TTTGGCGAATTATGAATAGCAACCGATCTCTCAATCCCCTTAAGCGGCCCAACCACATTCACATTCACATTCTCCTGCGAGCCAATCTTAGGCGTCTTCGGCGGAGACAAGTTCAAATTCAACTGACCCCCCTCATTAACCAACGTATCCGTAGATTTCTTCGCCACCTCCTGCAACCGCGCCATAATAACCGGTGAATCGGAGAAGAGAACCTCACCGACCGAGTAAACGCACGAATTCGCCCTTTCCCCAGACGCAAAAGCAAAGTCCTCATGCGCAGCCTCTCGCACCACACACGGGAATGTCCGAAGAACGACATGGCGAGTTGGATCAGGAACGGTTTTCTGAATCGGACTGGCTTCCTTCGCGACTCCATACTCCAACCACCCCTCGTTCGAGACATCCTCCGCGTCTGGCGCGGGCAGGAGCGCTAGAACCAGTTCTCGCTCAACGCGAGCATGTCGCCACGTTTCAGCCGCAAGTTTAACGATCTTGCGAACAGTGACTAGTAGGGAATCCAAATGTTTAGGATCAGCGAAATGTCTAATATGATCTATAATTTCATCCACGATCACAGCAGCAGCGACATTGATAGATTGTTTCGCGTCCGAGGTCGTGTATGCTGCTTTTAGAGTCTGCTGGCGCCAGAATGCCTCGCGGCGAACGGATTTGCGGCGTATGTCCATCGAGAGCATTTGGAAGAATGTGTCGGCTTTGTCGTAGCGTCGGCCTAGGGTGAATAGGAAGGGTTGGAAGACTCGGTAGGTTAGGGTTTTGGAAACGACGTGGCGGATGTAGGCGCATCGGAGGTCGCGGGAGGCTGGGCTGTTGTCGAGGAAGGAGGGGAGTTCCGAGGGGATTTTGGAGAGGATGTCTTTTGGTGGATCGATGGGGAGGTAGGCGAAGTGGTCTTGGGAGAGATCGTGGATCATTTGGGAGAGTTGGTTGAAACAGTCGGTACTAGAGAGAAGGGGGTTTATTAGAATCATTCATATACATTCAGGTTCAAGTTCAGGTTTTATGGCGATATCGACATTCTATAGAGTGAAGGAAATAGATCGGTCTTTGCATGGACAAAAGAGACATAATAATGAGTGACATGGACGGACATGGACATGCCTAGGTGAACATGATCGTGATCGTGATCATGAATCATAAACATGAAAAATATAGAGAACGGAAAAGAATGATCAAACTCAGACTGCTGGCTCACTTACAAGAATCGGTCGCCCTTAGTCTTGAGATCGGTGGCCTCCCCGAGACTGTGGAGTGTCTTCCTCAGCCGGTCGCAATCACCATCCAGATGATCAATAGTCGATTTCATCTCATCCACCGCACGCTGAAGTTGCTGTTCCTTGACGAGGCCATCTCCCTCCAATCTCTCCTTCTCCCGCTCAGAGCTCGACAGCTCCCCATCTTTCTCAGAGATCTGCAGGACCAAGCCCGCCTTCTCAGCTTCCCAGCTCTTCTCCTTCTCCGCAAGCTGGGCCTCAACAGCGGCAATCTTATCATTGAGCTCCTGGGCAGCGGTAGCCAGTTCCTTCGCGTGGCCCTCGCGCATAAAATCCAACTCACCCGCATGGGTGTTCTGGATCATCTCAATCTGTTTCGCGTTCTCGTCGCGAGTATCCTGGAGCTCCTTCTCCTTAGATTCGAGCTCGGCTACTGTACGGGCAACTTCTTCGCGGATCGAGGTGAGTTCGGCAAGGCGAGACTCCAATTCGTTCTCCTTGGTTTCAAGCGCGGCGATTTTAGAAGCCAATTCTGTCTTTATCGCTTCGAGTTCGTTACGGTGAGTCTCGAGCGTCTCCTGCATCAGTGTCTTTTCCTTCTCCCATTCACCCTTGTCAGCCTCGTGTTGTTCACGGAGTTCCTTTTCGCGCGCTTCAAGAGTCTCAGCAGCAGCCTTCTCGTCTTCATTCTTGATCTCCTCGAAGAGTTCCGTCAGTTCTTGCTTCTGCGTCGCAAGAGCCTTGGTATGCTCATCTTTCTGCTCTTCGCGCTCCTTCTCGTGCGCGGCCTTGGATTCTTCGATGCTGGTGTTCAACGTGGCAAGTTCTGCTTCGAGGTCACTTTTGCCTTGAGAAAGCTCTTCGTTGGACTTTTGGTGCGTCGCCAATCCATCTTCGAGATCTCTTTGCTTCTCTTGTAAGTTTCCGAGCTCAAGGCGCAGTTCGTTGATAGTGTTCTTCAGCTTAGCGCATTCTTCGGCACTTTCGTTGGCGGTCTTTTTCATTTGTGATTGAAGTGCCTCGATATAGAATTCTTTGTGCATTAATGCTTGCTCGTGCTGGTTGCCGATCTGCTTCATTTCTGCCTCGCGACTGTTGAGTCGGGTGTGGGTGTGTTGGAAGCCATGCAGTAGACGGTTGATGTCTGGAATTGCAGATTGGATGCGCTGCAGTAGTTCGATATGTTCGGCGTCATTATTATCAGGAGGTGATATAGTGCCGTTCTCGTGTGTTGCGCCATTGCCCGGTAGGGGTAGGTCCCGGAGGGCTTGGAATGAAGATGCATATGGCTGATCAGAGACACTGTAGCTCCGGTGCATGTATTGGGGGCTTGGCTGAGGGGGGAGGATAATGAGCATATGGTGGAACGACCCCGGCAGAGCTCATGACAGGCGAGTGAACAGCGGTAGTATAGCTTTGATTGGTTGATGGAGGGGGGTGGAGGTGCCATCATAGGAGGAGCTGGTGCTTGAGGTGGTGGGGGTGTTGCGGTGGGAGACATTGTTGGAGGCATGGCGGGAGGCATATATGGATAATGAGAACGAGCCAGCGGACTGCTGACTTTGGGTATGGGTGAGACGAAAGGTGATGCAAAGGGCGACGCAAAGGGCGATGCGAAAGGTGATGTGTATGGACGGGGTGGCGTATATGGCACGGGCGAGGCGTATGATCCGGGCGAGGCGTATGGCACAGGTGAAGAGTACGGCACAGGTGAAGCGTACGGCACAGGTGAAGCGTACGGCACAGGTGAAGCGTACGGCACAGGTGAAGCGTACGGCACAGGTGAAGCGTACGGCACAGGTGAAGCATACGGCACAGGTGAAGCGTACGGCACAGGCGAGGCGTATGGCACAACTGCTGGAGACGAAGGGTAGAATCCGGCCTCTGGTGAAGCGCTGGACACAAACCGGGCCTCCGTCAGGGAAGGTGATGGCAGTGGTACTTGCGATGGCACGGGCGAATATGGGACAGCTGGAGACGGAACAGGCGTTTGTTCTCTTGATTCCAGCTTGTTGGATTCTTCAACAAGCTCAGGCTGGTGTCTGTCTTCGATTGATGGCTGGCTCTCTTCGGGCTCTATAGAAGTCTCGGCCGTATCTTGGTCGGTTGACACGGGACCTTCGGTGTCGGTTTCGGTTCCCTTCAGAGAGGGTGGTTGATCTGAGGGTTCTTCAAGTTTAGATGAGACTGTCTCAGGTTCCTCATGGTCGACTGGAGTTGGAGAAGGTTCAAGTTCAAGTGGCTCGACGGCTTCTGGGATTTGTTCAAGTACTGGTTGCGATGGTTGGCCGAGTTCGGGTTCTTGTACCACAGGGGCCGGGCTGTCAGGAGTCGAGGATTGAATTATCGTCTGGTCTTCTGCTGTCGCTTCAGGACTCTTGGTGTTCTTATTTTTCTGCTTTGCTCCAGCCTTCCCATTCTTATCTTTGGCTTTCGCCTTCTTGCCACCGGCTCCCATGGCGATTGAGTGATGCGTGCCCAAGTCTATGGGTTGATGGGTAGATGATGGAAAGACGTGTTTCCAATAAGATCACTGTGAGCAATAAATATAATAACTTGATGAGTAAATTTCCGGGTCTGGTGATTCCATGGGTCTTCAGTCTGCACTGTACATTTGCAAGTTGCCAGGCGGTGCTTCAAGATATAGCCCAAACGCTAGCCAGACTAAGGGGTACTAGGGCTCAATTTGCTAAGAATATTGAGTCAAGGCCGCGTCGAATACGCGACAATCGGGCAGAGAGTCAATGACTGGGCTATCCAGTCAGACGAGTGGGCACAAATCAGTGCGATACACGAAGGCAAGGCTGCCCGTTCGAGCACGCAGACAATTCGGGCAAGTCCAAATTTCAATCTCCAGTAAGAAAGGAAGAAGTCAGAAGGGCGCAAAGAGCGACAAGGAGAATTCAATTGCAAGCGACTATGGAAGACTTGAAATGTGCGACCCTATTGGGAAGACCGCAGCGGACCGAACCTTAGTGGGCGTTGGTACCCATCTTCAGGCCGAATAGATGGAGATTGCAGCGCAACGCTAATCCGCAGACCCAGTATTCGGAATGTGAAGCGAACAGATTCAACTTCGGACCGAAGAGAGACCAATTGTTGTGCGCCATGGGGGCATTGGGCACCAACAAAATCAGGCGAGGACGAACAAGTAAACCGCAGGGCCATAGTGGGGACCCTCTCAAAGCTGACATGTTCAATCGACAGCCCGACACGACCTGCAAAAACCGCAATGATGGGCAAGAAACGATGGGTCCGATGGGCCCCTGCTCGAAAATAGTGCTATTAGTTTTGTTGGGGGGGAGGAGGAAGAAGAAATGAGGCAATGTCATCTCAGCCCATCACATCCACTCCCAGGAACCCGGCGCTTTGATTCCCGATGGGCTTGCATATGCAGGATGATTTCTCATCGCCGCGGGGCTCACATTGCATTGCATAGATCTAGAAAACAATAATAGACAGAGAGGGGAGGGAAGATGTAAAGAACCAGAATGGGTTCTGGAATTCTGGAAATCAAGGTCCCGCCAAGGTGCTCTATGTACACTCCACTCCGACTTAACGGCCCAGGCGCTAGCTGTACTAGCGAGATCAAACCTACACCGCCCCGCGTCAAGGCGGTAGGGAACGGCAAATCTATACCCAGTCTCAGTAGGGTCACCAGCACGTGATCTATAGACACGTGATTTTGTCGGCACGCAACCTCATCCTATCATCGCGGCGGAAAGGGTCATCACCAACCCGACTTTCCTCAATTATCCCCCAACAGCCATGTTCGCCGCCAGAAGCTGTGCTGCCTCGACGCGGCAGGTGCTGCGCACCCAGGCTCCTCGCCGTTTCGGCTCATCCCACGCCCACGCTGAGCCCGTGAACGAAGGCGTCGGTGTAAGCTCCCTCCCCGCCAACCCGAACCTGAAGACTCAAGAGTCCCAGTCCCAACAGACCGCCAATGCCACGGAATCGAAATTGCTAACCTCTGGTTTCCACTGAACAGCGCAGCTTCTACATCACCGCCGGTAGCATTGTCTCCGCATACCTCATCTACCGCTTCACCAAGGCGCAAAAGGAATCCGGCTCGGAGTCGTTCATCTCCGACCTCATTGCCAAGTGGTCGCCTTCCCAAGAGGCCTTTGAACAGCGTAACGCCATTCACACCGCAATTATGGAGAAGGCCGCCGAGGACCGCCACCTGCTCCAAAGTGAAGGACCCCGCGAATTCGTTCCCTTGAGACAGAATGAGTATGTGATACCGCTATTTTCCCTCCCGTTCCGGGTCCGACATTGGTGTGACTAATGTGTGAATGAATTTCCCCTCTCTATTATAGTCTGTTCAACGTCGCCCCTATCATCAACCTTGCCCCCGGCTCCCAGGCTGACCTGAGCAAGGTCATTGCCCACTACGAGCGCGAGAACCGGGAGACCGAGAAGGCCCGGGTTGCTCGGACACAGGTCTAAGGTCTCTGCGATGAAGAGGATGGAGTCGAGTCTTATTATTTTTTCTCTCTGTTTGGGTTGGCTGTCTTGCACTAGACATGCGCAATGAGGTAAAACATGTACATATACGTTAGGATTTGAAAGTTCAATCCGGCACCTGATCCCTTGAATTTCATTTGTTTGAATTCTTCACACTGGCATTCTTGTACTTCTTGGTTGTTGCATTCAAAGGCTCAATCTCATTTGACTCTACTCTGATATTCTACTGCACGCCATTTCCGACTGGTGTAATCTCCAATACAACTCGGCCGACTCCTTCCGACTGGATGTCCACCTTCTGTTGAACTTCCAATTCATCAGCACAAACATTCTTTAATGTGGCGAGGAATTCATCGACGCCCCCTCCCACTCCGAAGTAGACCTTCTTTGCAGCCACCAAAGCCCGAGTCTTGCTTGAAGGGGTGCTGGAGCGACGCAGTAGCGCCAGAAGAGTTTCGGAGAATGCAACCAGTGATAGAGGGGAGTAGATTGTCTCACTGGCAAGAACCAATGTTTGACAATCGTCTCCACTTCCGAAAGGTGAAGAAAACACAAGCTCCACGAATTCAGGGGACCAGGCACCAGAAATGAAGCTCAGGGAAATACCCCGCCGCGTAAGGTCAGCCTTGAAGGCATCGAGTAGTTCAGACGTGATATCCAGTTCTTCATCCTGGGTAGTATTAGCCGGTGGAACACCATCCTGGCTTTCAACTACCGATGTAGCATCCTGTGACTTGGTAATATGCCAAGTCAAAATGAGATTAGGCAGTGTGACGAGACGCAGGACGGAATCATTGTAGTCTGCAAATGTGAAATGGGTTTTCCGAATTGGAGCCCCGTTCTCCACTGCCTCTGTCTGGCTCAATGCATGCGCGAACAGAGCCAGTGATGGGACTGCAGTTCCTGCACCAAGCTGTGCACGGGTATTAGTGTCAGCGATGCGGTCCACGGTCAAAGGTAAGATATCGATGCAGGGATGGATGTACGAACCTCGATGGTATGGGTAGTAGTTTGTGATTCTGGGGACTGGGTGGTTGGGTTTTCACTTGTGACCAGTTTTGCTAGGTCCAGAGCACATTCCCACGTCTTGAAGCCGCCTTCGTAGAAATTGGGCTTCAAGTCGCCTTCTTCCAGGCCGGAGATAAGTTCCTCGTTGTCGTGTCCTTCGTTATCCTCAGCCATCAATTGAGTGCGGATATCGAATATTTCCCGACGGGCGATGACTATCTGAGTGCCACCGATTTCTAGTCGGTTGTAATATATTTGCGACGGCAGAATAGAGAGCTGTTTGACAGTTAGACCCGATCCAGAAGTGATATATAGAACTTTCGAAGAAAACTTGAAAAACGCGGGATGTGAATCCGAAACATATAAAAACAAGATAGCTTAGAGTTACACCAGTCGCAGAGACCCTTTCAGATACCGCAGCAGAGTGAATTTCAAAAAGCGATACAAGATACAAATTTCTGGAAAAAGCTTACCCATTCATCCATGTCATGCTTGTTGGCCTTCACCAACTCAGGAAGCGAATTGCTTGCCCCCTGTCCAGCGGCAGCGGGAACAAACGGAGACTCATTTTTAACTTCAGTGTCATCGATGTCGATATCATCTCCAGCAAAGCCGAAGCTAAACGCCATTCTCAAGGCTGGCCGATAATGAGCGCTGTCCCGGGACGATTGAAGCGGACTGGTAGCGGAAGAAGCCTTTCTCAGAGGACTGGTACAATGGACGACGCTAGTAGTCTAATTCAGCACCTTTTCGAGACGATCCGATGTCAAAAAAGTCGTGAGTCTATCTACTCTGAGATTCTCGCTGCCGCATACCAAAAATTGCGGCGGGCAGATATGATGACTAATATTCACCCACTTGCCCGATTGGGCAACCAGAAAACTATCTACAGCTTCGGAGTGTTTTGAACCTTGGAATATTTGAGCTTTCAACTAATGTTTGGTCCATTCTGTATTTGGAATATATCCGTTAGTCCGAGTCTATTCATGCTCTTGGAGTATGGGGAAATCAAATCGCTAGCTTCGAAGCGCCTCATCTCGTCTCAATTCGGTATAGTAGCTTTGATACTACTACTAGTACTGTTCCATGGAAAAATATTTCAATCAATGCAACCCAAATATTGGAAATACTGATCTAGCACGGCTGTTAAAGAAGGAAATATGACTCATCAATATAAAACTGGTATAGCAGCCTCGACTCGGAAGTTCTTCACTCTTCCTTATACTTATCCTCGATACTATACATATCTTGTATCGCGCTACATCATCCCGCGAGACAACCCCCACAACCACTGGAACAGAATGAAGATAAAAGATGACAGATCCTCGCCAACTAATTACCCTATACCCGGCCGGAGGGCCTGTGAGAATAAACTACAATTTCCCTCCATCATGCCATCACTGCCACACTTCTCCGCGAAATCAATGCTCTGAAGGAAAAAGTCGCGGCCCTCGAGCGAAAACCTTCCGAAGTGAGCATAGAGGACTTTACCAAATTCAGACATGCGATAGAAAGCAGATGCAGGGCTTTCGAGAAGCATATTATTGGGCACCTAATCAGTTTCAGTAAACTGATACGTGGACATATAAGGAATCTGATGAAGGAGCAAGATAGTCTCTATGGTCATGCGGGAGAAGAGGAGTTACGCTGTTTTAATGAGAAATTGGATGAATTTTTCAAAGCGATGCAAGCTATGGATCAGATGGTTCAGAAAATCGTTGCTGGTTGGAGTAGAGAAAGAGAAATTAACAGCTGAATGGTTTGAAGGAAACCAATGGGTTTTATGAATGCTTGAAGTTGGAATTAGGTATGCCATTGCTTATGGCTGATGTGGTATGGTATAACGTCGAGCGTTTCGCCTTAGCTCTTTCTTCCAGGCTTGATACAAATGCTTTCCGAGAACGGTAGGGGAATATAAATTGTTCAAATACTAGACTGTGAATATAGCGAACCCAAGGGTTCTCATCCGTACATATCAATGCTCAAAGCTATGCTATCCGTTTAGCTAACACCTATCCCACCCAAACTTCCATTAAAGGTCTAAACCACAGCAGCACTACCCAAATAATTAAGCATCGAATCCCCAAAGCGTTTCAATCCCCTCAACCCTTTCTTCAAAGGATCCCCATGTCTCCTAGTAGTAGCACCTTGATGCTGAACATGCCCGCCCCCATCAGAACCAACCCTCTTAACCCCCAATCTCCCCCCAAACCGATATTTATGAGACTTCACATAGACCGTCTGCGCGTCATACAACCCCCACAATTCCCCAACAGCCCTCTCAAAATCTCTCACCCCAAATCCAGCCACGCAAACGCAGCCGCAAGATACCTTGCCGGTTTCAAATATTACAAAACCGGATATCCATCCTCATCAGGAGGAATATTCACCAACCCCAAATCAAGAATAACAGAATACGTGCGTTGAAATTCCTCCCGACTAAAAACTATCCCCAGATGGACAATCGTCCCTTCACGCCATACTTCAATAGATGGTAGATAATTTATTCCTAATATCTCGACGTACCGATCTACTTGGGTATGGAGATTTAGACGCGTACGTAGGATGTGTCGAAGGTGTATACTCTCCTGTGAGGACATGTTTTCCGCATGGAAATCGGATATTAGGTTCGTTAGTGCTGTTGATTCGTGAGTGGTGTTTTCGTCTTTGATTGGTCTGGTGCTGATGTAGGCTTTTATGGCGCGTTCTGTGCTCGTTGTTGTGAGGTGTTGGCTCTTTTGTCGGAGGTTGTTGATTATAGTGGGTTGAGTATACATGTTGATAGTAGTAGTAGTAGTTATGGAAGATCGGTTGAAACGATGTATGGTAATAGAAGTGAGAAGCTTGAGACTAAATTTCAAGTTGTATTTGAGATCGTTAAGGGTGACTATGCTCAACGGATTGAACTAGTCCTTTTCGGGAGCTGTGAAGCTGTTGGTCTGCGGGACGGGTATACTAGATCCATGGATCAGCCTACACTCCAGAATTGTAGTTTACATGACGCTACTACTAAAATACTCTACACCATGGCCGAACACATAAATGTCTTCCAAGGAAAAAAATATCACGATACGAGGCTCTGCTACGCCAGAATATTCTACAGAAGGAAGATATCTGAAGAGTAAATGGGGTGTCAAAACAACACCCCTCAAGGAAAATCGTCTATTATCTAATTTCGTCACAATGCATGCAAATGGCAAATGCAATAAACCGCATCAAAAAAGACCGGCCATAACCATAAAAACATAACCGAACATTTTAAGCGCTACCATTCTTACCAGAAGCAGCAAGCTCCAAAGCCTTAAGCACATCTTCCTTCAGATCCTCCGAATCCTCAATACCGCAGCTCATGCGAACAAGATCATCATAAACACCCGCAGCCTCACGCTGATCCTTAGGAATACCAGCATGAGTCATGCTGGAGGGAACCTCGCACAACGACTCAACACCACCAAGACTCTCAGCCAGAGTGAAAACCTTAGTGTACTTGCAGAAGTTGTGCGCGGCGGCCTGGCCGCCCTTGATGCGGAAGCTGAGCATGCCGCCGCCCATACCGTCGCGGTGCTGCTTGAGTGCGATCGCGCGGTCGGGGTGCGAGTCGATGCCCGGGTAGTTGACGGAAATGACATGCTGGGAGGCTTCGAGGGCCTTGGCGACGGTGGTGGCGTTCTTGGTGGCTTCGCGGGCGCGGAGGTGGAGGGTCTTTAGACCGCGGTGGGCGAGCCAGCAGTCAAATGGTGAGGGGACGGCGCCGATGGCGTTTTGCAGGAAGGTGAGGCGCTCGTTTAGGGCCTCGGAGTTGAAGGCGGCAACGCCCATGAGGACATCCTGGGAGAATGTTAGATATGTGGCTTAGGAATTGGTTGGGATTGAGGAGAAAAACTAACAGAGTGGCCGTTGATGTACTTGGTCACGGAGTGGACGACAATGTCGGCACCGTGGTTGAGCGGGTTCTGAACGTAGGGGCTCATGAAGGTGTTGTCGACGACGACGAGAATGCCATGGCGGTGGGCAATCTCGGCAACGGCTTGGATATCGACCAGGCCGAGGGTGGGGTTGGAGGGGGTCTCGATCCAGATGAGCTTAGTCTCATTAGGACGGATGAGGTCCTCGACGTGAAGCTCAATGGAAGGAGAGAAGGTCACATGAACGCCGTGGGCGGCGGCGACCTTGGTGAAGTAGCGGTGGGTACCACCGTAGACATTGGAGACCGAGACAACGTGAGATCCCGCGGCCAGAGATTGCAGGACAACAGCAGTAGTGGCAGAGCCAGAAGAGAAAGCAAGGGCGTACTTGGCGTTCTCGAGAGCGGCAATCGATTGCTCAAAGTTGTCGCTGTGAAGAAGTTAGTCATTTAGTACCGCTGAAAAATGGGATTTACATGGCGTGACTGACCGGTTGGGGTTGGAGCTACGAGTGTACTCGTAGAGACCGACAGGGCTACCGACGCTGGTCTGAGCGAAGGTGGTGGAGAGGGAGATCTGTTTCGCTCGTTGTCAGTTAAAGTGGTTGAATCAAGGGAGAGCGCATAACATACGGGAGCGATGACAGCACCAGTCACAGGGTCGTGAGGCGCACCGGCGTGGACGGCCAATGTTCCGAAGCGACGCTCGGTGGTGTGAGTGTTTTCAGTAGATCCCATGTTGGCGGATGTGTTTGGATTAATGCAATTGTAAAAGAAGTAGTAGTTGAAGAAAAAGCAAAGAGGCGAGTTTAAAAGTAGGCTTGCTTTAAGAGCTGTATGTCGTGATTGATGTAGGATAAGATGAGATGTACCGCCTTTGGAAACTCAGGTTGAAAAGGTTTTTGATTAGCAAGCACGAAACGTGGGAGGCGTCGGAGTGGCCGGATTGGATTGAAACAATGCTTTGTTGGCCCTGTTTGGGAAGGTCACAAAAAAGTTTGAAAGCTCTAACTTTGGAACTGAATTCAGTGGACTCAGTGGACTCCAGTGGACTGTCACTAATTTTTCTTACGTTGCCTGCAGCTTTCTCAGGTGGGTCGTGATCGATCGTCTCATTGTGAGTGGTCGTGAGATGCAGATTACTCCACAATTGGCGTCTTTTGCCGGATGGAGCCGCGACCGCCTTGTCGGCGAAAAGTCTGCTTGGTCCGATCAGTCGGAGTGATCGGGGTAATTGGTCATACTAAACAGTATCGGATTAACAATCATGATACTAGTATTAACATTATACATATACTTATTTCCAGGGATGTAGCTTGAGTCACACCAATGCGAGTATCTCCTTTTAACTCCATTGGCCAAACGCTATTTTCTAAAATTTCGATCTCGACTGGTATGCGCACTGTACCCGATCCGGAATTTGCCACTGGAGCCGAGGCAAGTTGGGTCCCAGCATTAACCATAATGCTCTTTATACGGATGCTAAGTATCGGAGATGATGAAGGAGGACAAGAATAAGAAGATTAAGAAGAAGCCACAAATTGCCAGCACAAGAAAGAAGAATAGCTAGGAAAGTGAGGCACTGGTATACCTACTAGTGACTCGTAGTAATAGTAGAAGACTCAGTCATGTGACTGTACCATTCTAGCAAACTATATCAAGGTCACTCCAGGGCTATTCAAGTTCCAATGCCAAGGGGGGGAATTAAAAGATACCGATACTTTGCGATTTTCCAATGATTGGGGGAATTAGTATCAGAACCTACCCTTCATCCTCATGAAGGCTATACCAGAGCGGACAAGATGGGCCAGTCTGTTCGTCTGCATCACACCTTGGTATCCAGAACAAAGCGAGATATCAGGGATGGCGATTATTCAATGAGACAAGATACGCATAAATAAATTTCCCCCAAAGATCAAGAATATGGTCTCTTCTCCTTTCCTCGAAAGATCTCCCGCCCCACAACGGGAGGATTGTGGGGAGCCGAGATCTACATGTCGGCTCTCCGCCCAGGGCGACGACGCGTCGTAGCCCACCCAGCTTTCCAGTCAACGACTTGAAATCTTTTCGGTATCACTCTCATATACTATCGCTTCGCAAACGGACAAAGGACCATAATCCAAATTCTGATATATACCGGAAGCAAACTTTGGAACTATTTGTCAAATGGCCGATCAACTTCACATCGGTGAGCCTCGGAAGCTCATTTGCCGCGAGGGACAATAGGCCTGAACCTGAGCTGTAACTTGAAGATAAAATTTTTTTTATCAAGTAAATACTTAATCTTGATTCTTCTAATCTGAATATCTCATTCCATTCGTCGGCGAAGAATCGTTCAGAAGTTCGCTCATACACATGATTAAACCTTCACGAAGAGTAGGCCACCCAGTCCGAGAACGGATTATTCGGAGGAACTCCTTCAATAGCCGGCGGGCACCCCCTGGGTTGGATAGAATCCCAACGCCCGTTGTATGAACGAGTGCACCCGACCCGGTTTTAATTCAGGTTTGTAACACAGTCGGTTCAGAGTGCACACTCGGATCAGGGTGCACACTCGGATCAGGGTGCTGGTCAATTTTGGAGACGGCAGCAGGGGAATGGAGTGCAAATGTTCCTTCAGGCATCTCACATTCTCCACCGGGTTGTAAACGCACAAACGCCCACAGGTAGAAGGTTGCAATAAGTAGACAGAAGTAATTGTAACAGGCAGTTGTAGGTGTCGATTGAATTTCACCAATCAATCCCCTTGCGTATGAAGCCAATCTCCGTAAGAATACCGGATTCTCGCGCATACAATCGGTTAGATAAGTCAACCAGAAGGCAAGTTGCCATTTGACTTGCCTTCCTCGACGGAAGCTGTGCAAAATTCGAAATCAGATCTGCCATGCGACACTACAGATCCCCTATTTCGGTTTGGGCACGGGCTAAGCTACAATCCGTGATAAGGGGCTCGTTCTCTGAGATTACCTTTCTCTTATATTTTGCGAAGAGTTATAGAGTTGTAAATAGAAATCGACATAGTTTAAATGAAGTAGAAATGGCATCAAGGCCTATATTGGTCGACGTTACGGGGGCTATAACTTTACGCATTTTCCAGCCAAAAAGATAAAAGCTCAGTAGATTGATGTTACAAGACTTGCAACCAGAGAGTAATGGCTAGAGTGATAGAACTGCATAATCTAGGTTGCAATGTATGCTGAGGTTGGATGAAACAGGGTATTGTTGGTCAAACTTGAATGTCTATATACTTCTCTATTCAGCTATATCTAGCTCATACTAGTACGACCACTGGAAATGAAGAGCATGGCTCCCTGTCTACTCAAGCGCACTTATTGTGACATATGTGTGGCTAGTAACCGGGTAGATGCCTCCCGGGTGGGACATAGCGACAGCTTCTTTAGTGTCACGCGACAGGGGGTGAGCAGGGTGGATTGAAATTCCTGATCTTTCTAGCTGAGCGAGAAAGGTAATATTGGATGACAAACCAACATGTGAGATCGCTAGATTTCTTTATATCTCCGGACCGCCTTTCGGAAGCCCTAAGAAAGTTTAAAATAGGATAAATACCTTAGGCGCTATACGTAGCATGTTAAATGTGCCACAGACTTAGAAGTACGAGGTTGCGTGTAGAGCGAGACCCCCTTTGGATAGATCGACACGGATTGGTTTGTTCTAAGGTCACCGATCCGCTTTTATCCTCTGCTACTGAATTTGCATTCGCAAGTTTATCACGACAGATATGATTGCTCTATCACAAATCACAAGTAATTTCCCGACGTGACGCTGTCCACCCGATAAGACACATAAGCAACGAAAGCCAAATTCGCCAGCGGGCTAGCTAACACATCCTAAAAACAGATGTATATAAAGGCCTTGGTCTGGGTTCTATTGATGATTAATTTTGAACAGCGCATTTCAGATAAATTCGGACACTATTTTGTAACATGCTTCTCACGCACGCTGTCCTCAATATCCTGCCTATCAATGCTATATTAGTCACAGCCCTTCCCCAGGGAGAGCCTGCCGATGTTCAAGGTTGGAGTTCGTCCTATCAAAGGGATAAAAAAGTAATTTTTTAACAGGGCTCATATCAGATTCGCTAGCATGTCGGAGCACCTTTGAGGCCACTCTATCACAGGGCCTGTCGATTGAGGAGCATCCTGTTCCCGTTTCACCAAATGGAAAAAACGCAAATAAATCTGATGGAATATTAGGAATCAACAGAATATACCGCGGCGTGACTTTACCCTTCATACCCAAGCGTTCTAAGACCAATAGAAAAAACGCTAACTATAAATAGTCTTGTTACGCGGGGCGTAAGCAACAATGCAGTTTTTGCATCAACGGACGCCGTTACTGGACACAATGTGAGGAGGACCACCAAGTGAGCAAATTGCCCCTATTGCTCAAGTATGGCTTAACAATTACATTACAGTGCACTCAGACTAGTAATCTATGTACTTGGTCTGATTCTACTCGTACCTCTGTTTGTACCTAGGTCGGAATCTTATCTGCTTGGCCATGGAGGAAATCAAATTCATGTTCATTTTATTATAACGTATTCCGGACACCAGAACACGTCAAGATGAAGCCAGCCCCTTTTTTATACTTGAAATTGTTTTGAGAAATGGGAATAACTTGTCGGGAGTGGTAACTATACTAGGGCCAGAGCCAGATGGCAGTTCGGTAGTTAAGATAGATGAAGACTCAGTTGCGCTGATGCTGGCTTTGAATTGATAATAAACCCAGTTAATTGGCCAAGGGGCGATTTGAGGCTTCATTAATCACAAGTCTGCCTCGTCCACATCGGGCAGCCGGTATCCCTCTAATGACTTCTCCCACTCGGCCTTCCTTCTTACGTATTCCGGGCTACGGGCCGGAGCCGGGATGCCGGAGCATAAACCTAAGTGAAATTCCTAAGGTAAAGGTAAAAAGAGATTCAAATAATATACCACCTTTTGACCGTTAAGTTGTTCCAAGATCCATTTAATAGGTCTTTCATCCCAGCTACCCCGGGGGGCCGCCTCCATCTGGCTCACTTCGGGTCCAGCAAGATCTACATATGGATTGTAAAAAACTGGCGTGTCCCCCATCTCATCCGACCAAGAGATTTCTGTTGGATCTATTGCACGTTTATCGCTTTTTCATAGGCCTTCCGGGAATAAATTAAGACTGGTAGCGATGTCGATTTATTGAATGTTTCTGAGATGACAGAATCTCTCCTAGACTAGATATTATTAAACTATGAGCTCAGAGCTAGGTAAAAAGAAATTACTAGTAGTGCAGTGGAAACTGAGAGAACATACTGTACCAATTGACCGCATTTTCAATACTTGCCAGGTCAGCCATATCAACCATAATAATAGCGGCATCACTATCATGGACCCATTTAGCCCTATCCTGAGCAGTGCTATGGGATCCAGAGATATCCCAGATATCAAACGTTACAACACCGAGGTTCTATGACGGGAACGGACCAATATGAGATGAAACTGGATTATGATGGAGCGAAAAGCACTCAGAGCAATAGCTACCAATAAATACTACTACTATCAAAGGACAAACGCAACATAAAAGCCACAAAGGCCACAAGGCAGGGTGGGCTGACAAAGTCGCAGGCCTGAGGCCCTACAGTAATTTGTACTATGTAGAAGTATCTACTAGTAGTACGTAAGATGCAGTGATATTTTTGAATCAATTTTGCGCCGTCGGTCTCCGCTCGACCGCCGACATGGGTATCTAATTTTTGATGAAAGAAATGTAAAGAGCCAGCGCATCCCACGAGTAGCAACACAGATATGTGAAAAATGATATGCCCGGGTGACCCTCCCTCACCACCAGGTAATGGGACCCAGTCCAGCCATTTGCATCGAGCCCTATAGATTAAATTAGCATGTGAAGCCAAAATGGATACAAAGATAGTTTCAGTATCAGTTCCCGCCTGTAAAAACATACAATAATCGAATACGGTGACTTTCGCTCTGATGTAGCACCGTCCGCCAACTCGGGAGCATTGGGGATCTGATCGTGCCATTCTTCCGCTTCGACGCGGAATCGGACGACTTCACCGACATCGAAGTAGAAGCTTGAGCCTTCTTCGTTCTCCCAGATCCATACTTGATCCACATAATCACTATATTGAATTAGTAATCTAATCCGTTGAGACGGAGATTTCTAGTTGGATCCTAGATCGATAGATAATTGGGGAATCAACTCACAATCTGGCGCCCGGCATAAGAAGCTCCGGTGGAATTAAGATATCGTTAAAGAACTCGACGGCAACTGCAAATGTAAATGGATTAGTCAGTTCATGCTCAAATAAAATGAATTCGTGACGACGATGGTTCATACTCTTAATACCGTGCTCGGTTCCACTGGAAATCTTGCCCATCACGATTTCGCCCTTGAAAGGCCGGAACACAATCACTCGGAATTTGACTATCAAGAGGTTAGTCGCCGCCACAAGAACAAACCTAGAGGGGAGGTTCAACGTACCATTCACATTCACCAGACCAGTTCCATGACCAATCAGGCCATCTGAAGACTCCAAAAGATCATAAAAGCTAACGCATAGACCGACTTTTTGAATTACCTAGCAGGAGCGGAGTCAGTACCATCCGGAGAAGCGGAAATTGACCGAATTGGCCCGGATTGGGTACGTACTTTGTTGGCATATTTCTCATTAATATTATCCTCAATAGCCACAGCACTGAGCTTCGAAAAGTCCTCAGGTGAGATCTGAATCAGATCGGAGATGGTGGTCTAGTGCAGTGCAGTCAGTGAAAAGATATCCCGTTTTCAGCCGCGGCTTCAACGTACAAGGATAAACATGGTGGCAGCGACCCGGCGGGACGAAAGGGATCTTTATGAAACGACCAAGGATATGCGAGACTGGAAGAGTTCCCAATCAAATATCAAGGGCCGTGCTGCGATGCACTTACACAAGAGAATCGAGGAACCAAAAAGCCTGTCGCCAATCAAGCCGGTGGATCCTTTTCCGCACGTGACTTCGGAGCTGTCAGAAAGCAAAACCTAGGAAAACTTCAAGCGCAACTCTGATTCAAGCTTTTTTTTGACTGCTTTTTCTTCGGCGCGTGATGGTGTAAATCGATCTCACGGTGGGACTCTCCGAGGGATCATGAGTTCCCAGGGGTTTTCGTTCCCCCCACCACCACCTCCTCCGCCAGTTCCCCAGGCATCTTCCTCTTCCTCCTCCGCCCATCCTCCAGCGCCGCATGGTCAACACTGGAATGCCCGTGGCGCCGGACGAGGACGTGGAAGAGGCCAGGGAAATCGCGGCCGAGGAGGAAATCACTCGAATGGGAACCGCCAACAATACCAGAATCACAACCAGAACAACCACAGCAACAACAACAACAATATCACACCGAGCTACAACTACGCGCCTGGGAACTACGGCTATCCATCTCAACCAGTCTCGGCGACGTCGTACATGGCCCCGCCCCTCCCTCACACGCAGTCAAATTTTCAGCATCCTCAAAATACGCCTACCTACGCACCTCCGCAAACCTTTCATCAACCCGCTGGATCGGCCTATCAACCTCTTCCCCACTACAATGCAACTCCCAGCCTTACGCCCTCCGCATCCTACCCTCCGCAATCTACACAACCATACCCGTCGAATGTCCTCCATCAACATGCGCCGCAGAATGGGCCCATAGTCATGGGGTCACCCTGGGGCTCTGAGGTACCACCCGCTACCCCGGCACCATACGGAGGAGCGACACCCAGTCACGGGCATGGACATGGACATGGACGAGGATCCTGGCCTTCCCACCCACCTAGCAACCATAATAATCACGGCCCCAAATCAAGGCCTCCCCATAAGCGCGATCACTCCGCCGCATTCAATAAACCCCAGCCCAGCGCACCACGAACCCCGGCCGCACCCGCAGTTCCAAGTTTCGGCAACCCATTACCCTGCAAACCCCCACCGGCCGCAGATTTAAACGCAAACGCAACTCGGAAACCAAAGAAACGCAAGCGGAAGCATAACCAGCTCGGCCTAACCCCCAAGACGGAAGACCACGAGTCCAGCGAGGACGAAGAAGATGTGGACGAAGAGTCCAAATTAGCGCAAGGTGGGGGCGGCTCGGAATCCGCACCGCTCCAATTCTCCTATAAAGGTCGAACGGCTACTTTGCAATCATCCGCTGATATCGCGGCGTGGATTGCGGAGCGGCGGAAGAAATTCCCCACCGCTGAACGGATCGAGGAGAGGAAGAAGGTTGTGCAGGAAGCCAAGGATGCGCGCGAAGCAGTCCGGCGCGAGAAAATGAATGAAAGGGCGAAAATGAATGGGAAGGCTGCAGCAGCAGCTGCGGGGTCAGGCGATAATAACAAAGACAACAAAGAAAAGCCAAAGGGAGCGCCAAAGCCTACCAGCGATAATCCAAATGTGGACCCGGCATTAAATGCCGTGATGAAAGCACAGCGAAAGGCCGACAAGATCAGGCGCAATCTGGACCGGGAACAGAAGCGCTTTGCTAAAGCGGAAGCTGAAGCCGAAGCTGCTCGGCTCAAGGTCGCTGCTCTACAGAAACAACTGGGATCGGATCAAAATCCCGTGCAAAAGGACGTCGGTGGCAACGTGGAGACTGGGGCTGGTGACCTTGTTGTTGTTGCCGAACCGAATGTCGCGCTGCTGCCCGAGACAAAGACGCCAGCTGAAGTCCCGGATCCCATGACCATCGATACGATGGACAAGCCTTTAGAGCCGGGGGCTTTGACCGCTGCCGCTAAGCCTGTTCCTGCGGAGGCGGACATGGGGACTATTGACGTGGCTGATCAGGTGGACGGACCTATGGATCTCTTGCCCGAGGCTGAGGCTGAGACTGAGGCATCGAGGCATGTCAGCGGCGACTGGACCTCATCTAGTGGTTCCGAGTCGGGCTTAGACTCTGATAGTGATAGTGGAGGTGATAGTGACAGTGACAGCGAGAGTGAGAGCGAGAGTGACGGCGACTCGGCTCCCGAACAGGTGAGTAGCCGACGACAAGGACCCGAGAAGGTTCTCCCGCCGCCTCGCGAAGGCAAGAAGCAATTGTGCCGGCACTTTGCTCGCAATGGGAAGTGCAATCGCGGAGATCAATGCAGTTTCTCACATGACGTGGGCGAACGACGAAAAGCGAAGCCGGAAAAGAAGGAGAAGGGGCGCAAGGGACTTCTCTCTGCTGTGAGTAATAGTAATTCGGGCTGCATGAGCACCAACACCAACACCCCCGGACCCCCGCCGGGACTCCTCCTCCACTCTACACTACGAACGATATACTAACTTGTACTCCATAGCTACTGGACCGGCAAAAAGAAGACGAGGATCGGCGGGCAATGGAAGTCATTGCCTGGCTGGGACAAAATGGTCTTTTGGAAGAGCCGAAAGGTTCGACCTCAGAGACTGGCAGTGGAAGTGGAAGTGGAAGTGGAACTGCACCTGGGACCATCGGGACAGACGCCCCGCAATCGGATATCCCTATCTAGCACTCCATCAAGCGCAATGCGACATGCATCTAGTACGAGTAGTAATTGTTGAGGATGATCCCACGTTTTCTTTTCTTTTCTATTATTTTCTTGTGCTTCCCCATTCCCCATCTGTACGACATGAATCCCCTGCCGAAAATAAGGGGGGGGGGGGATAAAAATAAAAACAAAAACAACCCCCAAGGAAGCAAAAAGGGGGAAGGGAAGGGAAGGGGAAGCAGCCCAAATCTCAACTGGCCCGTCCCGCGTGGCGGGTGAGCCCCAAAATGATAAACATTCAGATGCGCATCCTCATCTCGAAGATCTCCTGGGAGTGGCAGTACTCAGTACTCAGTACGGAGTACACCGGAGTAGACTCGGGGATAAACACCAACACCAGCTAGACGACCGCTAAGAAAAGCACTAAGAATAGGATGCCCCATAAACGACGAACGGAGCAGGGAAAACAAGGGAAAACAGTCCCTTAGTCCCCGAGGTCGTTCGTTCATAAAAATAGGCACTAAAAAATTTTCCCCGTTGTTTTTCCGGGCAAAGTCTCCCCACATGATTTTGTGCCCGAAATGACTGCCTAGGCTAGATCCTACTGGACACTGGCAGTGGCACTAGGCTGCCAGGCACTAGCCAAGTTGCAATCTCCTCTTTTCCCTCTTCCCCCCCCACTTCATTAAGGTACTTTGCAAGCGAGGGTTCTGAGTGGCTGGCAACACCGCCAAGCAGCACCCCAGCCTTGACTTTGGACCAATACGAGGCTCGTGGATACTGGTGGATGGGCTCGTGGCGGCGATCCACGAGCAAAATTCACTTTCCCATGGGTGAACACTGGCCAGCCTCGTCCTGATATCTCCTAGCGTCCTCCCACAAAGGGATTAGCATGGCTTTAACTAGCTAAGCCTAGACTAAGACGAGACTAGTCCAGGTGAATTCCAAGTGATTGCCAACCTGCTAGTGCCGGCGCCTTCCTAGCTCGGCACCAAAGGGAGGTCACTCGTCTGTTCTGTTATAACGATGGATTTCCCTGCCCTTCCGGGAGGGGCGAAGCTACGCCTCTTTTTGCCCTTCTTTTTTGCCTTTCGCTTCGCTTCCAACAGACACTCCTTTGCTAGATCAATCTTGGACTAAAGTCCTTGCCTCTCCTTGACTCTTAACTGCCACTCTTTCGCTCTTTTTGAGATACCATACCCCCGTCAATCCAAACACACACCTACTACTCCTAGTACTACTACCACTCTCATCATGCGCTTCATTATCGTGACTTCGCTCCTCGCCGCTCTGGTTGCTGCCAAGAGCACCAACAATGACTTCAACAACCCGGCTGGTGGTTACACCTTCACTGCTGGTGATTCTACTACCGTGACCTGGGACCACAAGGCTGGCAGCACCGTTTCCCTGCGTCTGCAGTCCGGTTCTGTCACCACCGCCACCTCCGGAACTTCTATTGCCTGTAAGTCTCCGAGTCCGAAATTCATATGCGAGTGATGTTATCTCCTGGATATATCACAATATCACAACGCCTCCGAACCTGAACCTGAATCCTTAAAACGGAAAAATGACCCGTCGGAACTGACATGCGCCTCACACAGCCAACATTGATAACTCCGGCTCATTCACCTGGACCGTGCCCACCAACCTAGTCAAGGGCAAGGAATACACCATTGAAATCATCAACGACGACAACACCGACGAATACAACTTCCTCCCCTACTTCACCGTCGTCGGTGCCACCGGCTCGGCTTCCACTTCCACCGCCGTCCCAACCACCACCTCAGCTGAATCCACCAGCACAACTGAGGCATCAACTACCAGCACCACCGCCGAGGCCACCACTACCACTGAGGCTAGCACCACTACCGATGCTGCCACTACTACCACCACTTCCAAGGTTGCCAAGACCACCGCCACAACCCTGACCAAGGCTTCCAGCTCTGCTGCCACTACCACCACTTCATCCGAGTCCGAGTCCAGCACCACTGCTTCCAGCAGCAGCGCCAGCTCGTCTTCCGCTTCTGCCTCCTCGACCGCTGTGCCTAACGGCAACGGTGCTGGCGTCAACCGCGTTTCTGGCGCTATGTTGGCTCTGGTTGCCGGTGCTATTGCGATGATGTAAGGTGGTTGTTTACGAGGGTTATGGAAATGGAATGGATTTATTGGTTATTAGTTATTTTTTGTTATTTTCTTCACGTCTTGTACAGCCCATGTCTTGATATTTTACTTTTTTTCTTTCTTTTTTACTTATTCCCGGCCTGGCATTGCACAGAATTACGCCCGGTCGGTTTAATGTGTATGTGTTTCTATGTGTGTGTGAAGTGGAACTTGATAACCTAACCTTCTCGCGAGGGATGGGGATGGAATCCTTGAAATAAAATCAATGTTATAACATATTACTATTACTACGAGGACTATTTCTCCAGTTTCCTCACGATCACAATTCATCTCGAGGGTCACTGTGGTGGTAGAGTAAGAGCATTGTAAGTTGACCCCCAGACCCAACCCGACCCAACCCACACTCACCCGTGGCGATACTCACTTTCCCCGACTTTACTTTACTTTCCGCCCCAAACGGCGGTCTGGATTCATTCAGGCCCAAGTTCATGTTATTTAATTACTCGTACTCTCTCGTATGGACTCCATAGTGGTCCCGCGATCAACGTGGGTCTCGGAAATGAGCTTGACTTTTTGACCCTCACCACGGCACTTTAATTGAATCGGAAGAAATTGTTTACGGATCCAAGCCCGCGCCGATACACACACAAAGAAGAGGAAGAGGCGGAAACCTGTCAAAATCGCTCATTTCCATGGAATCAGGACTGAGGCAGTCTCTAGTCTGCAATGCATGCATGTACGAACGAGTATTCCCACCCTTCCAACCAATAGTCCGAACAGAGCAAAGGGCGGGGAAATATGGGTAATGAGGATCAACACACAGTGGAGACTCAACGGTTTAGCGGGCGATAGTTGCGGGATCTCGTCGCTTTGATGTTTTTTTCTTCTCTCTTTCGCTCTCCCGCTGGAATTAGCGCGCTCCACTCGCTGATACGATGTCGGAACTATGGTTGGATCGTATCTGATATCGGTAGATGACGTCGGGATGTTCATCTTGTCTTACCTTTAATTCATGGTAGTCACAGTGTGGATCTGTGTTCGTATCGAGACGAAGTTCAGTATGTGTACGAGTTACTCAGTCGCGTTTATGCATCTACAGTACTACAATGCTAGTACTATGTATGAAGTGTCGGTACGGAGGGCGACTGCAATGAACCCAGTTTCCTACGCCGATCTGACGTCTCCATTTCAGGCGTCCAGGCACGCAACACACACACACACACACACACACACCGCCGCAGAGATAGCTGTGCCTGACTTGACTCTGACTCTGACTCTGCTGCCACTGCCACGATAAAATATCATTTGTCGGGTCTGCAGTTTCATGTCATTGGCATCTCGACCAGCTCAGCCTCGCAATTCCATCTTTTACATATGTACCTAGGATCCGTATATACGCAATCCCAATGAAATATGCCCGTGGTCTGCTGCCTCGCCTCGCAGGCAGAATAAATCTTTTTTGACGGTCTATCATAGAAACCAGACCAGTAAGCATTAAAATGCCTCTACAGTATGTACTGCGCAGGTGCTCTCGTTCATGCAATTCTCACCGCATGCGAACTGGTCAGTCTCGATCTTCGCACTCCATCTCCATCTCCATCTCGCATCAAGGGATCCCCGTCATCCCAGCACACCGTCATCCGCGACCCAAAATCTTTCCCCTGGAAGCAAGGATCATCGATAAATGGGCTTGGAACGAGCACCTCGTGCTGATGCCGCAAGGGCGAACCAACATATGATGCAGCCCGCGACTATTTACGGAGTAGCGAGAACTGGAGTGAAGGGGCAAGCGGATGAAGGGCTTCATGCTTTATTCCCCTACTATGGACATCTCTGATGAGTCGAAGTGACAGGAAGGAAAAGTGACTGCCTGCATGTGAGATATGCAGTAGATCCGGACCCTAGATCCCAGATTGAACTGTGATTGGTCAATGGGCACCATTGCATGGGCTTAGGGCATGGCAGACTACAGTATACGGATACATAGCCCTGCACTCACCTTGCAGCCCAGCCCAGCCCAGCCCAGCCAAGCCAAGAAACTTGAACTTGAATCGGATCGGATGTCCCCTTCCATTTCCACCCCTGTACAACCATGCGACAGCAGTGCCAACGATGACAGCTCGGTTTGCAATGATCGACCCGCCGACCCTCCCTCTGTGCATAAGCCGGAGATCCGATGGACGCGGTGTGGGCGTGTGCATTGGCAGTGTTTGCCTTTGTGAAGGGCTATAAATGAGCCCTGCGTCCCGATTGACAATTACGATGTTGATCAGCGAGCGGTTCTTTGAAGAAAGAAAGAAAGAAAAAAATATACTCCTCCTTCTCCCAGTGAAGCGGTCCTAGTCTTGGAATCTTTCTAGCTAGCCCTTTTGCCCAATCGGATCCTACTACCTTCGCTCTCGCCAGGTCTCATCACATCACATCACTATGCCATCTAGCATCCGATACCTCGCCGTCTCAGCCGCAGCCCTCCTGGGCTTCGCGCAGATCTCCCAGGCTCAGACGAACATTACTTCTCACGCCTGCGCTTCCGGCTCGGACTACACCTCCTGTAACCGCAAGGTAGCAGATGACTGGAGTTCCTGTATCCGAAACTGCAATGGCAATGGGAACTGCATCGTTGATTGCGGATGTAGTTCTCACCAGGACTATATCAATTGTATGGCGCAGACATGCTGGAATCAGGTACGGCCCGGCCCATCCGTCCACCTACTACCCACTATTGATATTAACCCAATCGCGAAAATTAATAGGTCTACTCATGCGAATACCAACTCTTCGTCCAACAATACTTCGCCATCTGCCCCAGCGCAACAGAACCGATCCCCTTCTGGCCCGCTCCTGACAACGCGCCAAACCGCTGCTCCTGTGATCTAGGCAAAGTCCTCCAGTCAACACTCACAGCACGCAAGGAACAAATCTCCTGCATCAAGAATGTCACCAGTCAAAGCCTGAACAAAATCCCCAGTGATCTGGGCGATCTTTCGAATCTGCCGAATGGGTTGGATATTGGGAAGCAGGCCTCTGATTGCGCTTGCTGTGGTGCTAGTGCCAGTATCTCCGCGTACGTTTACTCCCCCTTCCACCCTCCTCCCCCACCTAAAAAAAAAAAGTCGAAAAAGGAGCTAACAGACCTCCAGATCCTGGGACGTCTGCCCCCACACCGAACCAAGACTCGCCGGCGCAGATCTTTGGCCTCTATTCTTCCCCTCCGACCTACCAAACCTCTACACCTCGGTTCCAAACTGGGCCTGGTCAAGCTGCGACTCAACCCTCAAGAACACAGACTGCCAAAAAATCGGCTTCACAGACTCAAGCGATAAATTCTATAAACCGGGTGATCTCCCTTCGAACGGAACTTCCACTCTGCACAATGTCGCAGGAACTGTTACCGCGCCGCCGAGCGGGACCGTGTTGACTTGGTCCCAGTCTTCGACTTCTTGGACCGTTACTGCGACGGGGTATGATCGGAAGGCGGTTTCTAGTCAGAGTGAGTTTCGGGCTACGGCTACGGGGACGGATGTCTTTCAAACGCAGACTGGGACTAATGTTGCGAATGGGTATGCTGCGACGCCGGTTGCGGCGATGCTTGCTGGGGTTGGTGTTGTTGGGGCTTTCATGATCTGATCGGATCGGATCTGATGTAGCTAAGATTCTCTTTGATCTTTTCCTTTTCTTTTTGCTCCTTATGGGGCGGGATGAAGGAGAAGAGAGAAGGTTATGTTTTATGGGTTTCTTTTGTTTTGGCATATCATGATATGATTTAGGGGATGATGCTCTGGTTGGTGGGGGCTAATTGCTTATTCGTGATGCTTTATGTTGTTCTTGGTCGTGGAGATGTTTGGATGAACTTGAGAGAGTGGAGTGTTGATGTGATAAGGATGAGGATGAACGAGCTATGGATATGGGTTATCTGATGTATTGATGATGACTTGGTAAATTGGATTAGGTCAAAGAGCTGATTTATGAATGGGCTCGTGAACATATAATTTTGTGAACAGATTATTGAAATTGATGTGATGTTTATGATTATCAATGGATGTTGTACTCGATTGATGACCATCTGGGCATTTTTCAATTAGTAGGCTCAAGTATCTGGTTATCTACTAGTATGGTTCCTAGGCCCTATGAACTTGAACAGTACTCTAGGCTCCTGAAGACTTTTGCTACCCCAAAGACCTAATCTGTGCCAGTGCTACCTACTAATGGTTGCTTTTGTCTCCATATATGACTACCTCTAGTTCAATAATATACATAATCTTAAAAAAGCCTTGAAACCTTAGGCAACTGGATATATTGAACAACATGCACTCGTAAAAATAAAGAAACTGGCTAAAACTGCATAAAAGCTAAATAAAACAATACTAGATAGCAAAACTTATTCGTTTCGCTCTGAAACGACCTGAGTAAATGTCGTGTGAACAGTGACACCATTTGTTGAAGCAAACGGGCTCCTCTCGGGGTATAGATCTTCTTCACTGCCGTTGGAAGTAATAAAATCCCGCAGTGGTGGAAGCGTCACGGTGCTTATCACACTGCTTCTCCTGCCATATATATTGGCAGGAGCCTGAACTCTCGGGTTTGATTCCTTCAAGCCATCTTTGTTGAGACTGGAGAGATGGCATTCATTATAGCCTCTTCCAGGATATCCTCTGCTAGGACCGCGGGTGTGTCGACCATATGACAAATTTTCATGCCGAAACCACCGGAAGAGTGGACGGAGGGTGAAAAGACTGCTGGCGGTGATTCCAAGGCCGGTTTCGATAACGGACCATATCGCTATTTGGTAGGTAGAATCTTGAACAATTATCAGCATTTCCTTTGAATGATTTTGTCATGCCAGCAATGATGATATCTCGCCATTTGCCAGTGCTCTGTAGAGACTCACGTAGAAAATTTGTGTCGGCATAGAAGCGGAGAAACGGTAACCGAACTATGACCGCGACGCTCGCACTATTTCAACAACATTAGCGATCAGGGTATCTAATACCGAGGATCATACATATTCTCTTACATTGCACCCACGCTGAGAACTCCCGCAACTGCAACTTTCGTCCAATAGCTCATCTGCAATCTCCAAATGAGGAAAATTGGTAGGATCGCAAGTGTCAGGTCGCATACTATTGTCAAGCAGCTATACACGTATGCGACTTTGACCAAATCATTCTTAGACATGCACGTTCCTGACTTCGAAGGATCCGCGTAATCCCAAAAGTATGAGATTGGGTGGCAATCAAGAAGCATGACCATCCAAAACATGAAGCCAATAGCTATTGTGAGCCCGATGTTGCATAAGAGAATTATGCGATGGATCTTTTCGATCGTTAATCGGAGGAGGGCGACGGCGATGGATATCTTGGCAAGTACCGACGCCCAGATGTAGAAGATTTGACTGAGCCACCAATACTAGAAACGAACATTGTGGTTAGCTTGAATCATAGACCCGGAATTATAGTTGGAGATAAGTATCATATATTCCCAACAAGTACCCACCAGAAGAGCTATTCTATAGACCTCGTGATCGGTGAAATCACCTTTATCACGGCCAGCCCCGTTTTTTGCTCCAATAATTGAACACACGTTCAATACCAAGAACAGGGCCTGTGATATAGTTAGTACAATGCGAGCCTCTATTCGTTTCTTTAACCAATAACTTACTAGTGCTGCAAGCATAAGGGCGTCATCCCAGCCAAAAGCCCGAACAATGAAGAGCCTCACGAACGTTCTCATCGACACGGCCACAATGGAAACAATCATCATGACCATAGAAATGATAAAGATAGCCAGACTTGGACCCGCCAACGGCATATTTGAACTCATTTTGAAAGTATTGCTTTCTCTCTGATTATCGTTTCTCTTTTTATGTACCGCTTATTAGAACGGACGGCTATAATCAGCTCTGTGATCAGATAGTCGCTAATAGTTTGTTGTCAAGGTCGCATCTTCAACCACACGACCCGTAAATCCAGCCAAAATCATGAAAAAAGAGACAAATGCTCGCTATAAAAGAAAAGCCTGGAGGGGAGAAAGTTCAATAGACAGCGAGAGGGGGAGAGGGGAAAGTTTCAGAATTCTGCGATATGGCCATGGAACTAGGGGTTCTCGAAGCGACGGTCTAAACACGAACCCTTCCAAAGTGGAGATTTCTTTATGCAAGTGATTCGCCGGTTCATCAATTTAGCTACCGAATCTAATACTAGTAGCAATGACAGGCGAGATCACGCACCTAGGATACCGGAAATGGAAACTACCCCGTTAGATGTCCTGCCGGACTCCATCGCGCTTAGATAGCACCATCCAATGATGGCACGAGAGCAGCCGCACCATGATCAATTGCCATAACGACTTCCTACTGCATATGAAGCAGGTTGGGATTTCTGAATGAGCTACGGCTGCAGGGTAACATCGACTGTCATGGAAAACGTACGCTAAGGGGTTGGGCCCACCATCACGAACCTTGACTATTGGGTGCTTTCTCCATGGTCTCCATATGTACACGAACGCGATGCGGGCCAATGAGCTTTATCTTTGTAATTCCACTTTTCCATATTCATAGATAGAAGTGCGAGAGTTGTGAGTTCGCGAAGATCTTGTATGGCGTATAAAAGATGAACTTAAGACGCCCGAAATTGAACCTGGTATTTTGAAGTAACTCAGTAAAAATAGCTATTTGCACCAACAAGCTAGCTATATGATGGGTGGAATTGTAGCTTTTTTCTCTTTGGAAACTCTTTCTATTAGTGAAAACCCAGCTTTCGCTCCAGGGTCCAGCTTCTGGAATGGATTTCCTGAAACCCCGCCCCCTAATTTAAGCTTTTCGTGAAACTCGGCATCGGCATCGGGCTTTGTTGATGGCCTTTTTTGCACGTGCTCGGCTTTTATTTTCAATCCTTTCGATTTTATGTCCTGGTATGAGCATAACAATCAGTTTATTTAGCCAAAAACCTGCAGTTTTATGTTTCGGTGGATCCATCAAGAGTAATTTAGCCGCCAGCCTGTCGATTTCCGTCTTGTTGAGCCATCAACGTTACAGAATTGTTGAGAAACACGAGATCTGTAACGGTAGTGCCTAGGGCCACGTGCCAATTCCAATAGCCTAAAAATACCACTATATTGAAGCGAGAGCTTCAATATTCCTAGGCTCCGATATATATACTACAAGGTATCGCGCGGCAACTGGTCAACGGTTTCCACACCCCATATGGCGATCCTGTGATAAGATCACTGGGGTATTCTGCATTTTACACGAGGGCGACAATAAACTATATGTTCTCAAGGTGGTCAATCGCCCACTCCACCGACCGCGGCATTCAAAAATCCATACACAGCAGGCACAAGAGAATCTCGAATAGCTCAAGTTTCAAAGTACGGCAGGGATAGTTCAGCCATTGCGGTTGCCATTGCAGTGCTTTCCAATCCCCGACCTCCATAATAGCAATCCACAGATGTTTATCAGCAATATTATATTTGAGTACTACAGCGGTGGCACCTTAAAAGTGACCTGGACCAATGGCTAGTGAAAGAGTCTAGCTGGGAGCAATGGGCTGTTCAAAGTGGGAATGCTTTGGACACCATTTCAGGGACAAAGAAGACTCATGGACGTGAGGCCTTCAAACCTTGTCTTGGACCATCATGAGCTTTCTTTTTTCCTCGGTCTCAAGCCTTTAGCTCAAAAATTATTTCAGTATCAGAACCTGGAAATTTTCTCATGTCCAAAAGCTAGACAAAATCATCACAAACCAAAGGGTCCTTCCCAAAATGGAAGGACCCCCTCCTCCGATCAGTATCACGTGATACCATACATAAACGGCCCCACCCTAATGTATGCGTCAGGAACCGTGCCTCATATCTAGGCACTCCCAGAGACTTACACTCAACGCCGATCCTCACCTCGTTCTCATTGAAAGTTCCCACGGCAAAGCTAAAAAGGTAATGCATATCAGCATGACCTCACAATTATACGAGACTTTCAAAGCGGAAATGATGACTGACGACATGTTGGCCGAAGTCGCGCACCTTTTCAACAGCAACTATGGAACTTGGGGGCCAACTATCCCATGCACCTGGTGAGATGGGATAACACAATTATCTTTTTCAGAGACAGCCTCTAGTGTGGCTTATCAGGAAAGCCCGTCAAACTGAATGCGCGACGATTGCGAGAACAATACCTTCCCTGCACCGACCAGAGTGAAAGTTCCTACGCACGAGTGACTGTTGACGGGAAACTCGCCGGACATGCATTTGCTTGTCGCTGGATGTGGCAGAGCAGGGCTGTTTGCTGGATTACTCAACTTGTGGTCGATCAGCATCACCGCGAAAAGGGACTTGCAACTGGTCTTTTGCGAACCCTTGGGCAATTCCAATGACATGTACGGAATAATGAGTTCACACCCCGCTGCGTGTCTGGCTGCTGCGAAAGCTTATGGGAGTAAGTCTCACCGGAAGCTATATACTGCGCAGTTCTCACATCGGGTAGGAACCATCGAAAAGGTCGACCTCAGCTTTATTAGCGAGAATGCCAGTGAAGTCTTGTCTGCTTCGCTAGTCCCTTACATTCATGATTCTGAGCTCCGGGGGACTATATTTGACCCCCATAATGCGAGCGGCATGGTTTCCGGTGTCGACACCAACTTTTTTGTGGATCACACGGAGCCATTAGAGGTCCTGGGGGTAGTAAAAGATCAGTGGGATGGGTAGCTTGCCAGAGGGCCATGAATATCTTCTCATACTTCCAGCAGAATAACGGGGCTCAGAGTTAAGATCGACTGATGTTCGCCAGTAATCAAGTTTCTTTATTCTACCTGCCGCTCCAAATGGAGATAGTGTAGCTTTCTTCGCTCTTGAAAATCTCGTTCAAAGGTTAACTTCATGTTTCTTATATTTACTAATTTACTAGTAGGCGAAAGTTGTCTTTCGAAAAAGGACTCGCAGATCGTCAACTAGTAGTACTCTAATCAACACTTGCATTATCATAAATGTAGATCCTCACCACTGGAATCGGAAATTGACAGCATCTCCTTCGAGATTTTAGGTATCAAATACTCTGCCGCGATTCTTAAATCTTTTATTCACATTTTCAAGGGCATTTAACCCATGCAGCAAATAGAATATCCTTCTTCTAGTAGGTTGCATAATTTGTTCCACTCCATTATCTTTGAATAAAAGAATCAACCAATCTCGATGTAAGCAATAGTATAGTATTTTGAACTATAGCAATAAGTATTACCTTGGTAGTATACTATAACAACAAGACTCGAATGATTTCGTTGTTTTTCTTCATCTGCCAGACAGCATCATGATCAACACCGTGTTTCAACTTCCAAAACCTTCCAAAAACTCCCATATTGCTCCTCTTTCTCCTTTCGCAGCAAACACCACCCTTTTATTATCAGTCCCATGTATTTTCAATGCACAGAAACCATCCCCTTTCATCAAAAGTATTTCATAGCCGCCGCTCACATTATGTCGAACGCATAGATCTTTTTTGCTAACAGAACATCCGATGAAACTCCCTGAAACCGTATTCTTGAACCCTAACCAGCGATTCTTGTTTCCACACAGCGGAAGTGACTACCACGCCCATCCCTACCACCGACCAACCAATTACTATTGTCCCAAGGCAATGAGTATAACTTTCCATCTATCTCTGCAATAACGGAACCTCTCTGGAGGTCGCGAATAACGAAAATCCCTCCGTGATAAGGGGGTCCTACCCTTCGTGCACACGGTGATGGGCCGACGGCAGTGAGTGTCCCTGGTGGACTTGTATACGTATTAGTAGGCGTCAGCACAAAATCGGATGAACAATTTGATGCAGTTTCGATATTCTCCATGGTAAGAAGGCTAGTAGTTTTCGATATGGAGTATGTAACTTGGAGAAATCTACAAAAACAGAGAATGGTGATGATTATCTATTGATGACCGTCTGACTATCGACCGTCGACGGATACGGTGCGGGCCCCCTCCTTTCGGCGCCCGATTTATAGAGACTTATTCAAGTTACAAAACAAGACAACGACCTATCAAAAAAAAAAAAACCTAGAAAAGTTGGCCGAATACAGTAACTAATTAGCAGTATACAAGTATTTGCGTAGTCGATAAATTTCAGCCAGTCAGATGTGGTTGTTTCTATACACGATATTTCTCTGAAAATTACATCCCAGTGAATAACCACTGATGGGAGGGCCATTGATACTAGTATTGTTCTGGTGTTGATGCCACGCTGAGGTTAGTGCTAGAAGACTAAGGCCCCCCTTCAACAAAAGGACCCAGACTAAATCAATCTTGATGTAAGCAATAGATGGTAGTTAACTATAGCAGCAAATACAATAATACTACTATAGATTCGCAGCTTTTCTTCGTCCATGAGTCAACTTGAACATCAATACTTCGTTTCAATTTCCAGAAACTCCCATAGTGTCCCTCTTTCTCCTTCTTCAGCAACCAACAGCTCAGTGTTATCAGGGCCACCAACTTTCATCGCACGAAAGCTATCCCAATCCTTTACAAGCATCTCATAGCCACCGCTCCAATGACGCCGGGCGCAGAAAAATTCCCAATGCCTGTGAGCTTCTTTCTTTGCGCGAAAACCCCAGTTATTACTCCGTTTATTGTCGTGCCCGATGAACTGTCCTGAAACCGCATTCTTGAAACCTAACCAGCGGCCCTTGTCTTCCACACAGCGCCAGTGACTGCCACGGTCATAGCGACAACTGACTAGTAAGTCATTATTCCAGTCCATTCTAGGGAACATGCATAATTTTCCATCCTTAAGTGTGATAATAGAGTTTCCCAAGAGCTCGCAGATAATAAAAGTCGCTCCGTCGTAAGGAGGATTTGTCTTTAGTGCTAGGTGCGGTGCTTCGGAAGCGATGTCTGAGGATGACCCTGAGTCCGGTATACTGGTATGCGTAGGCGTCATCAAAAGGTCGTTTATGGAACTTGATAAAGATTCGGTATCCTCCATGTCAGGTGTGATTGGAGTGGTTGTTGACCTGGAGTGGAAGACTCAAGCACCAGGATAGTCTACTAGTTTACAAGATAGAGGAGAATATGATCTAGTGATGACCACCATAAGCTATGAACTGTCATGTGTCTGTGGGACACGGTGAGCGATGGGTGACGAACCTTGGGACTAGCGATGGGGTGACAGAAGAAGAGCAATACTTAGATACAGGCCTTGCATTTATTAGAAATCGGTGGATATGCACAGTAGGTAATCTAGGGGTTTGTTTGGAAGGCAAACATAGGTAGTTCTGGAGAAGTCGATAGTGCTATGCTGTAAAAGGACTATGAGCCGTATGCCGTGCAGATTGATTACCGGAAGATCTAAAGATATTCGAGAAGTCTTCGACTAGGACTAGAATTAGACTTAGGTCTCATATTCTCTAACAAGCAAAAGTAACAAGAACTCCAAGGGCGCCAGGTATCGCTCCGTATCCAAGAAAGCACAAGAAAGAAAGCCCAACCACGACGAACCCAAAAAAGGGCAGCTGGAATCAACACACAATCTATCCATCATCGCCCCTACCAAGAAGGCACAACCTTCTTCAAAAACTTCATAAACTTAAAGAATCCCACCGCATACTCAACATTCCCATACGGATCAACAACCCGCTGAGGAAACGCAATCCCAGCCCCAAACAGGCCCGGAATCTTCTCACCAGCAGGAGCACTCTCATGAAAAGCACCCGTCTCATGATCAAACTCCATACTCAACGGCTCCGCATCATCCCCCTTAACAAGCTGCGGCAACGGATCCCTCGTAAAACCCACAGCTTGCGTAATATAATCACAATCCGGCAGATGAGCCCGATACATCTCCTTCTCCCTCGCCTCACCACCCGCACAATCAACCTTAGTAACAATCTTCCCCGCATCCGAACTCCCCAATACGCCCTCCTCAAGCTGAGTACGCGCAAAATCCGCCGCCAACCCCTTCAACCCCGTATTATCGCGCAATATCCACCCATCCATGAACTCCGCATACCGGAGCTTGTGGCGGGTGAACCATTTCACGCGGAGGTGGGGGTGAGAAGACTGGGCTAGAGTGACGAGGTTTAGCAGTGCGAGGATAGCGCTGTGGGAGGCGCCGACGACGGCGACTGTGGTGGGCTTTGTGGTGGGGAGGGTTTCGGAGAGAACTGAGGGTTTCAGGACGGTGTCTCAGGTCTAGGGTGTGGATTTCTAGACCTGGGATGGGCACGGGGAGGTTTGTTGGGTGGGAGCCGGTGCAGAGGATTAGGCGGGATGTTTCAATTTCGAGTTCGTTTGCCTCGTTGCCGGAGGACTGTTTGATGCGAACGGTCCATCTTGCTTGGTCGGGCTGTGATGTCATTGTTAGCGGTGCTTTTTGATATTGCGACCTTCTCGCGTCCCGTCTCGCAGGGAGGGAGGGTAGCCTACCTTTGAGCTCAAAGTGGCAGCCGTAACGAAGCCCTGATAAGCATAGACCTGCTCCATCTTGACAAGGCCATTCGTAAGACCGCGGATCATATCAGCGGCGTAGTGTAGGTGGCAGGTATTCTCCTGGTCCAGTTTCGCCATGGTGGTGAAGGCATTTGGGCGCGGGGTGTTTTCGATGATGGTTCGGAAGGGTTGGAGGGATGTGGCGTATGACTGGAAAAAGGAGACCTTAGTGTTGCTGGGAACTTCGCGATATTTGCGGTTCACTCGGCCTGACTCGAAACTGGGGTCGATCCAGGCTATTGAGCCTAGTTGTCGCTCGAGGAGATTGCCGACGACTGCGACGCCGGCTGGACCAGCGCCTACGACCACGGCGGCGCATTTGCGGGTTGTTGTCATTTTGGCGGGATTTGGGATATCTGGAGTCGTTTGAAGAAATGGGAGGGGAAACTGGGCAGTAGAGGAGGGAACAAAGTTTAAGATGTAAAGAGGAGAGGAAATGCAGATGCAGACCAAAAACTGGATTGATTGGGGTATCTAAATAAAGCAAAAGTCACACGGCGCACACCGCAAGAAAGGAGGGGTTTTTTTGGTTTGTACGATTAGTATCCGTATTTCAGCCAAGACCCCAAGGGCACAACACAAGGAATGCGTCAACCTTGGGCGGAATCCCCTGGGAAGCGTCGTCCTCGCCCTTCGCCCCCTCCCGATCATCATTGGTAGCGCAGATAACGCAACCAACAACCAGTAAACCAGTTCGGACCATCGCCAAAGGCACGGGAACCTCAAACCAGTGACACATCGCGCGGCCAGGAAGTGGAGTTGGGTATCATCATCGTCTGCCCATGTATCCCATCTCTCGGTCGAAATGCACATCCCGCTCTTAGGCCAGACCAACAGAACTCAGCTGATTATCGAGGTCCTCGAATTGGCTAATGCCGGCCGAGAGAGTGAAAACTGACGCAGTGGGCCCCACTGTCGCGGACGGTTGTCGTCGGCCTGTCGGCTTGTCGGCTGTTCCGGGTGTGCGTGCGTGAGCGGCCAGAGGGGGGGGGGAAATAATGGGCATCCTGGGTATGGCCTCATGGTCGAAGGGAGGCAGCCCTCAAGGGGGTTGTCGGGGGTTTTTTCGAGTAATCAGATGAAACAGCATCATGTTCCAGGCATCTTTGGGCCAATTCTGGGGAAAGAAAGAAGGAAAGCTGGTGGTGGGCGTGCTGGTAGTCTTATACATCAACGGGATGTCGATCTTGGCGAGCACGCAATTCTCGACACCTCAGGCAGCAGCACTAGTTCTAGCACACTAGTACACTATGGACTATGGCTATGGACTAGACTTGCCTTCTATCTTCAGGTGAAATCATAAAAATAGACCAGCCAATTCAGTAATTTCATTTGCAGAATTGCCTAACAGCACATCTAGTAACAACAAGTAGTAGATAAGGTCTTGTCCAGTCCAGCCGCATGCCTCAAGCTACAAACTCTGCTACTCATCATCTCATCAAACAGCCCAGAACACCCTAGCACTCGCCTGAAAAACATGATTCGCCCACTGTCCAAACCTCGCCCGACCCCAAAGCGCAACAGAATCCCCAACTTCCAATTCACGCACAACCTGCCCGTCCAGTGTATACCGACCACGGCCCTCAGTACGTTCAATATCATGCGCCTCCGTCGACTCAGGCGACACATTATCCAGATAATGCCAGATAATGACACGGTCCTGCGTTTCCGAAACCCTCGCCCCATTCATTTGTAGTTGTTTACTTCGCGGAAGCAAAAGCTCATCAGTTGGTTCAAAGTGTCTCTTCTCTTTGCCCGTCTCATCTTCCAGAATCTCCTGCTCCGTGCCGTCCACATACATCCTTTTCTTGTGCGCTTCGCGGATCACCTCTGCGTCGAACCAGGTAAATGACCCTTGATACATATCTTCGTGTATCCGTGAGCCGCCTTGGTCGTGAGATGAGAGGTGGAAGATGATTTTGCGGCAGGGGTGAGCAGTGCGGTGTGGTAGGGGCTTAGGAGATTCGACTTCCTCAAGAGACTAGAGTCGCAAAAATAATTTAATCAGCATATTTCCCTACCTTTTAAGCCATCGGGTCTGCTGGGCCGTGACAAACCTTCCTATCAAAGCAAAGCGGCACAGTCTTAAACAAGACCTGATCCCGATCCCAAAGAATCCTCCTCTGCCCCTCCATCACATGCTTCGTCGAGGGCCAATACTCTGCCTGGTCGATGATAGCGTCCACCAGCTCGGGAGGTACTAGCTTCTTGAGCTTCCATTGGAGTATGTATCGGACTTTGAGCACGTCCCAAAGCGTGGGGAAGAAGTTCTCTGTATCTGGATCTGGTTTGGAGAGGGAGCTTGACTGAGGCTGTTCGCCGGAAGAGTCATTGTCGTTGTTATCATTGTTCTGGTTGTTTTCGTCCGGGTTGCGATTTGAGCGTCCGAAGAGACCGCGGCGCAAGCGGAGGGGGAGCATGGTGAGATAACCTTTGCTGTCACTGTTGGTGTTGGTGTCCTGTGGCTCCAAGGTTATGTGTGTGGAGAGGAGTCAAATGAGAAATTTTGGCCAGGGGTATTTGTAGGATAATCAATAGTATTGGAAAGAGAAAGAGAAAGAGGAGAGAAAATAAAAAGCCGGGGGGATGGTTGACGATCAGATCAGGCTGCAACCCCACCAGAGCTCACCCGCACCCGCGAACTGACGCGCCTTTTAAGTTGATTGGAAACCTCTTCTGACAGTATTTCAGGATTATTTCAAGGAAAATGATAAATCACATGGCTATGTAATCTCCATTTACTTCTCTTTGATGTTCACCTGGTGGCAATTTAAGTCTTGGAATCCTAGTTCAAATTAATTGGACCTTAAGCTGGGCTCTATCTTATCGCAGTCACCCCGCACGTCATCCCCTTGAAGTTTATATGTGCTATACACAACAATCACTATTAGTACTTTGTCCACAATTGACTACTAGCAGTTGATACTATGGGTGAAATAGCAGAGCTACTTTCTGGTAATATCTCATCTGGTTGATGCCCCCCAAAAAGGGGGATTGGTCTTTTCTAGGACCAAAAGTTCAGCTGAAACGACATCGTCGATCCAACTTGTTTATATGACGTCAGGATACTGGTACTTACTACTAGAGTACTTTCTACCGAAATAGCTCCAACTTCTCTTCGCACCAATCCCAATCCCAGAACTTCTTCCCAAAGCCCAACTTGAACCCACTACTATCCTTAACAGGTCTCAGAGCCTTAATGATATCCCTCCTCGGGAAATCCTCATCGTGCCTGATAGGCACCCAAAGAACCACAGAAGTACCTTCCCGCATAAAACTCCGTATACGCCCCAATCCTAACCTTATGCAGGTAAAAGCTTACCGAAGACCACATGTATAGCAATTACTGTTCTGATTGAAGAAAACCCTGAACCCCGATATATTCTTCTAAGTATCTTGATAGTAACGATAATGCGCGAGAAATATTATTTATGTACCGAGGGTGAAGCACAGAGCGCAATCTCCCCTCGGATGATATCTAAACCTTGCAACACCATGTCCATCATTCCGCCTCCACTCAGACTCTCGTAAATAGCACTCACGCGACTCCCAATAGTCTTCTTGTCTTCCGTAGGCAGGCCCTCACGGACGTTATACAAAGGGTCATCTCTCAGACCACAGTGCAAGGGTATATTGAGCGTTGAGCGAACCCATGAGTACAACTGGGCAGATCCATGACCAAGCTGTGCAGCGACATCTGAGGGGGCGATTGTAGGACTTGGGTAGAACATCTCTTTGGCCGTGCTCTCAATCGTGCTCTGGAAGCTCTTTTTGAATGCGATGAGCATCGGCATTGTACAATCGTTCTCATTGGAGGCCAGGAAGTCGGTAACTGGTGACATCGCCGCGTCCACAACGTGAGGTATACGGTCTCTCCATGTATTCGCATTCCAGTGATACCAGGTTGATTCAACGATGGGGCATAGAATCTTGGCAAGGGCTTCGGTCTGTACTTCCTGTAGTTTCAATTCAGAGAGAGCGCCGTCTGAGGAGACGTTCATCAATTTTGCATGTACAGTTGAAAGGAATCGGATGTGATTTGCGCGCATTTCGACCGCCTGGCAGGATACGTAGATATGGCAAGCACTCATATGTGCGACTAGGTCTGCTGCTTCCGTGGTTCGTCGTGCAGAGATCAAAGCAAGAGAGTTGATTCCTTGGTTATGCATCTCAGCGGACATGACGTGGGAGGAGACCGGGTGCGCCAAGGCTGCCAGTTCAGACATATAGGCGGACATATTCACGTCGATACCTTTCATGGTATAGTTCTCATGCTCACTGGGATTAAGATTGGCTTCGAGTCCATTATTGGTGTTGGGGCCGATGATTTCGGTGACTTGGGACCAAAGCATCCGTCCGATCATTTGAAGGGCCAGCCGTGTCTTATCCATAGCAGAGGTAACAGTAACTGCCTGGAAGTTTCCGCCTGAGTATACTTCCCCACCACCTTGCTCTGTAGTATTCACGATAGGATTATCGGAGGTGGAGTTTAGCTCTACCTCTAGCTGGTGTTGGGCAAGTAGCAGGTCCTCCAGATATGGACCAATCCACTGTGGTGCTGTTCTGGTTGAATACCGGTCTTGCCAGAGACCTTCACCGGTCCTTTTTCTTGACTCAAGACCATCAACGAACTTAGAGCCACTTAAGAACTGCCGAATATTGCTAGCGGCCTCAACTTGACCGGTATGGGGTCGTGCAGTATGGATAAATGATGATGCCCATTCAACATTCCCGCCCATACACTCCGAGGCAAAGGCCGTAAGCATTTGAGCGAGTAATGCAAACTGTTGCGCATCAAATAGTACTAAGCTGGCCACCGCGACCGACGGCGCAGTACCATTAATCAGACCCAATGCTTCTTTCGGGCCTAGCCCAGACGGTGATAATCCAGTTTCCTTCAGAGCCTCCGAAGCGGGAATCACCCTGGCATCCTTTCCTTTACCGATTTGAACAAAAACGTCAGGGTTCCCAGCAATCGCTCCAGCGATATATGACATAGGCATAAGATCACCCGAGGCAGAGATTGTGCCCCGGAGCGGTATCATTGGGGTAATATCTTTGCATAGCAGATCCACAAGACTTTCAAGCACGCAGAGTCGTATAGCACTGTGCCCACGAAGGTTTTGGTTAGCACGAGCAACGATAGCCCCACGAACCCACGCGGGTGGCATGACATGGGACGGTTCTCGCTCTGAATTGCTGGCCGGGTTCTTATCCGCCTCAGTGATAATTGCACTCTGCGTATGCTGCAATAAATGAACCTGAAGATCGAGAACATCACTGGTCCTTGTATCCGCACTTCCTCCAAACCCGGTGTTGACTCCGTATACAACGTATTGGTGAGATAGGTAGTCGGCGAGGGTATTCACGCTTAGCTCGAGTTGTTTTGCAAGATGTTCGTCTTTGCTTATGGTGGGCTTGATGTCATGGCGGGCTACTGCGATGATGGAGGCAATATCAAGGTTGTTACCGTCGAGGACAATGGCTGCCTTTTTCTCTTTCAATTCCTGGAGTCTCCTCCATATCCGGAGAGTCGCGCCCGCATGTGGCGACGAGATGTTGGACCAAGTCATGGTGCACGAGGGACTCGGGGGTTAAAGGGATAAAGGAGAGTTCCACGAGACTGCCAGTGGACTGTGTGCGTTTCGTCTCTCGGAAATGTAAACCTTAACCTGTGGTTCCTGACACACACCGTGAAGGTTGATCGGGTCCACGTGTTTCAAGTTGGCTTTCACCTTTCACAATTGAGATCAGCTCGCAAAGTTGAGGGGCTTCAGATCTTTAATACCTGCTAGTAGCCAAGGGATTTAATCTATTAAATACTCCGTGTCCGTCCGCCCCCACCCCCGATCATACCTAGGCAATCGTCGAATCTTGATTATTCCCGACGATTTACATCGGAACAGCTTGTGACCCATTTACATGGCCAATCACTGGTACTTCTGCTAGAAGCACTATGCAGTGTAGTGGATCGAATGTGACATGCCTTGCAATACTAATTCTCCGTTGATACCGACAATTTGACCTTCTAGACCGCCAGATCTCCGAATGATCCACAAGCCAACAGCCGCTGAACAGTAACGGCCCCACTGTAAGTGACAGCGTGTAAACATGCAGCTGGTGCAGGAAATCAATCCAATTTCTCCGAGTCTGCAGATCTCCAGCAAAAGCAAATGTACAATCTATGGTCCAAACTTCACAGAGCACTCAATGTCTCTTGACTCTGACAGTGAAGATGCATGCTGTCCAATTCAAACATGATTTTGGGATGACATTTGCCATCAGTATGAGGTATCCATTTTTTTCATTCCATCTACACCCATGCCATGATGAAGTTAAGTGACATGTATTGCCACGGTGCTATGAGGTATCAAAGAGCACCTACGCAAAAATCATATATGATTTTGCTCACTCATGTGCTACAATTGAAGATTGAAGTCCATCACGAAGCCTGTATTCAGGCCCACCGCCTACTGACCTTCCCTCCCCACTCCTCTGGACCTCCCCACTCCTCTAGATTTCGGTCTCGGCCTTTTTGGGGCACATATATCGTGCAACTCTGCCATGGCTCGCGTCTCCAGTCTGTTTCTATAACTGGGAGACAATTGGTCCCGATTCTGTAGAAAATGTGACCCATTTTTGTCAGATATATCCCTAGATTTTCGACAACAGATTTCATGTTGGCCGTAGTACGACGTCCACAATAGATATAAGCGAGGCAAGTGAATGGCGTATCCTCGAGGTAAGCAACCACAGGAAAGGTAACACGAAGTCCCATATTTGTCATTGTATATGGCTCCTGGCCAGTGAAATACCTCGGACGCCCGAGAAGGATGTCGTGGGAATCGGCAAACCAGTCCACCGATTCCGCGAGCAGGCCATGTAGGGTATAGATATCATTAGGAGATGGTTGCGGGCTGGTCCAGGCAAAGATAGTAATATCAGATGAGACCTTGAAAATCTCTTCTTGTAGCCGAAGGAAGGCCTTCACTCCCTCTTCTCCGTAGAGTAGAGGCATATTGACATCAAATATAACCCATGAGACAGTATGCCATATCTTCCGACCTTTTTGTTTGACGCCGAGAAGCCCAGGACATTCTCTGTGCAATAGTACAAAGCTGAATTTCCATTTTACCATCCAGGACATACACAGGAATTCTTGTAAGCGCAGCAAATGTCCCTAGTAGGGTTTTCTTGTCTCCAAGCTTAGCCCAGTTATACGAGAAGAACTGTATGTTACGCGGTGCTAATAGCTCCTGCAGTGTCCAACCTCGCCGAAACCATTCACTTCTAGCCAATTGCTTAACATCATTGACATCAGCCAGATATACATAGAATTTCGTGGCCTGTCGGTACCACTGGAACATAGAATTGATGGCCTCGGATAGCTCAGCGCTACTGTCCTTGTTGATACAGCATGTGTCGATCCACGCGAATTCGAACTCATCATCACGAGCTTTTTTACAAAAACTTTGAATTTTCTGCCATTTCTTCTTCTCTGAGTCGGTGGTCACGGCATTTCGATGCAGCATTTCTTGAAACGATATCTCTTCCTAGGTCTGGCCCCAGCGGTGAGAAAGGATAGCATATTTCTTTGGTATTTCACTCCCGACGAACTCCTGGAGTTTCAGTGCCGGAAGGGAGCGTATGTCGATTAAATGCATCAGTGCTAGTGGTTGACGAGGTTGGGTACCTAGGTATTTGCTGTCAACAGGTCGAGGGGTCAACAATCTCACGAGCGAGGTTCCCCGCCTCATGCTGCAGGTATCAGGTGATCGAGCGCTTCGAGATGCTTGGGGGCCATATTTACAGTACAGTGGGGGATCAGTAGCTACTGAAAAGCAGAATAGTACTATACGACCGAGTCATTCAAAGACCTTCAAGTTAGAATCATCCGTTTAGATTTCACGCCAGACGGCGGGCATTTCGACCAAACACCATAAACAGGCCGACATATATGCGTGGTATGTACACCGACAAACGCCAACAAAAGACAGGGAAAAAAAGAATAAGAGAAGGCCCATTTCTCCCCGAGGAAACAAACGATGCAAGAGTTGAAGTTAAGGTTACTCCTATTGAAGTAGAGAGGGAAAAGATCCACAATAAAAGAGAAGAAAAAAGGCACAAGACAAGTCACATACCCCCGCATAAGGTAACAAACACCTCCGTATGGATAAGAGATAGGGAGAACAAAGTCGTATATGACCTGGGGGGGTTTTCTTTCCATCCAAATCGAACTCGGCTAGGTCAAGCCAGCAGTCTGTGATCTCCATATCATATTTAACATGAGCTCAGAAAGACATGACCTGACCTAGCCGGCGGTTCATACACAAACAATATGTCATCCTTCTCTCTTTCTAGGTTGGAACGCTGATCAGAAATACATTTGTCGGCAGAGAGCAATAGCAGAAGTCAAACAGTGGGGAATCTTCATTAGGCGGGAGGAGATTGAGGAGATGGGATAATGTGGAGTTTCGATACAGATCGAGTGATGGGATGTTTCTGTCGGGGAATTTGTTCAGTCATGAAGGTGCGTAAAGAAAATATCAGCGTTGGGTTCGGCTCGTTGCCCAATGCTTATCGCGCTGGCATATGACTTGATCCAGATCCCGTTGATACTTCGGTTTGCCGAGGGCGGTAATGAACCGCATCAACGGGTTTCGAGGTCAGGAGGGAAGTATCTGGTTTTGGACCGACAGAGAGTTGGAACAGACTTGATCGAACGGGGGGGAGGAGGGGAGAAGAGAGGATTGCGGGCGGAAGAAACGTCTGCTACTGGAGAACCGTGCTCAAGGCCGTGACTCGGGTGTGGTTGGGATTTTCGAACATCGAGTGGGGAGGAACTTTGGGAGCGAAAGCCGGATTTACGTTCTGTGTCATAGTCCGGATGTCGCCACGACCCTTGATGTGGGTGTCGCGGGTCTTGCTCAATGCCGTAAGGGGTGTTGTTGGCCGATGAATTCGCAGCCGAAGCATTCTCGGGAATGGTGGATGCTGATCCATTCGGAGCATGCACATCCACCACCCGCTTCTGAGCTGCGGGTGTCGCAAATGATGATGCATTAGAGGCCTCAAAGGCCCGCCCTTGAGGTCGATGAGGTTGAGGGTATTGGTGTTGGGCTTGTTGCTGGTGAATTGGATGTTGCGGATTGGCCCACGGCGTTTGCTCCAAAAAGGCTTCTTCGGCCTCGGCTGCGGTGCGGAACATGTTGGATGACATGGCTGACATGGCACCGCGAGGTTGTAACGTGGAGGACGATTGCGATTGTCTTGAGACCACGACACGAGGTTCGACTGTAATTCCCATCTTCTCCAAATCGTCGTCCAGCTCTGATGGGCGAGCTCCTAGCAAGGTTGGAGCGGCTGGGAAACCAACGTATTTCGCGACACCCGCCATGATCGAAACCTCTTGATTGTACGCAGCTTGGTGCGCGATTTGTTGAGATCGGCGGGTAGGGAATGGGATGATGTGGTGGGGGCTCAGTTCGTCCGTCTTGAAACGATCATGCTGGATGGCATAGAATTGCTGGCTGATCGAGCTTGAGTGGACTTCGCGGACATCCCGAACCTTTTGGAAGTAAGTGCTGAGAGCCTGCGCACGTTCGGCCATGCTCTTAGTAACGAGTGATTTCATGCGGTAGTGATACAAGGTCCGTTCGTATTGGACCTTGGCATCCCGGTAATGTTGTACACACTCGATCTGGCGCAGATATTCGGGATGGGTCGGGTTTGGTCCGTTCAGCATTTCTAGCTCACGATTAAGTTTCGAGATCCGCTCATCATAGATCCTGAGAAGAGGTTAGCAAATGGAAAAGGATCCGCAAAGGGGAGGTGTCCTGACTTGTCACGCAACGCTGCGAATTCCTTTTCTAGTGTTGCCAACGACTCCATCGCAGACATCTTTTTCGCAGCTGAATGGTATGTAAGCAAATCTGATCCCAGGTAGGCTCCAACGGCATGCAACTTACTTTCTTCTTCAACTCTGGCAGCGACCTCTGCATTGTGGGGTCCCTCGACACGTTCCACCGGCTCTTCATCTTCGACAAGGGTGTCGTCAACAGCATCCTCTGCGATGAGCTCGCCGCCTTCCGTATCCCCCTCAACATCTGTACTTCGTTTTCCTTTCCGTTTACCCTTCTTGCTTTTCTTTCCTTTAGTTGTCACAGCGGGTAGGTCTGATTCGGGAAGGTCGTCGACCGGAAGTTCGTCCTCCATGGTCGCCGTAGCGTCATCCATCATTGGCTCTGGGGAGAGAGGGGTATCATCGTCGATTGGGTCGCTCAAATCGCTTTTGAGGGAGCTCCGGCGTTTCTTCAGTGGCTCATCGTCGCCGATTTCTGTGCCAGTGTCGTCACCGAGCTCAACGCGTTTTCGTTTCTTCCCAATGCTATCGGGAAGCTCAACGTCATCGAGCAATTCCATACCTTCCTCGATAATTCCATTGTTTTGAGAGGGTCGCCTCTTGCTAGGCGAGTCATCCAGCGCATGCTCCTCTTCCTCGTCCACGTCCTCCAGGGTAGTGGACTGGTGGAGTTTACTCGGACTGGGACCAGCGCTGCCAATACTGAGCACGATGTCTCGCTTTCGAATGTTGTGAGGGGAATCTTCGAGGCGCTCGGTTTCCGCCTCCGAGTCGTTTTCAAGCTGCCTCTCGGGTTTAGGAGACTCTTCAAAGTCAGAAGGCTCGTCGTCCGAAACGTCGTCGATTTCACTCAAGCTGCTAGAGCGTCCATCGTCCATGAGCGGGTCGTCCAAGAAGGGATTTCGTTCGCCATTGGTTATGGTAGAATCTGCCCCCGTCGTTGGACCGACGGAGGCTTGTTCTCTGCTTTCGGCTACCTCCATCTGCAGTCGTGCGAGGCACTAGGGCAGTGAGAGGCGGTATGTAGGAGGAGAAGAGGTATAGTAGGGGAGTGTGGTGCCAAAGGGCTTGCTTGCTTGGCGGCGGTTGGGGTTGTGGGTGGGAGTGGTAGGACGTCAAGGTCACCGATCCACCAGGGAAGGGTTTCGTGGGGAGTCTGGAACAACAATATAATTGATTAGTTCAATTGCCATGCTAGCTGGGTCAAAATGACCCGGGTCAAGGTGGTGGAGGGGAAGTGGTAGGGTGGGAGGGAATGGTAGGTCAGCGCCTCCAGAGAAGGCGGTGCGGAGATTGATCATCGCGGCAACGCCTCCACCCCCCAAAGCCGGCAAGCGACGCTGGCTGGAGGGCCGGCAACTGCGCGCGTTCAAATGATCGTGAAAAAAGAGCTCCTTGCGGGCTATATTCTCCTTTTCACCATACCAGCGAGCTAGAGAGATCACAAATGGGACGAAGAGGTGCAAGCGACGTACCGTCTCAACAATGCGCCGGGAGCGCCGCTGGGAACGAGCAAAGCTGCTCGCGACCAAACACGATTCTCACCACCAGTGTGTTCCAGAGACACAGGTGAGTAACTAGGACCAAGTCCACGCGTCTCACAAGTATAGAATGCCAGTAAAAGCTGTCAGATCACCGATGCGCCGGTGCTGAGGAGCGAGGGGAGGTCGGCTAGGAAGCGGGCAGGACCACAGTGGAGGGTCGCTGGAGGGCGGTCGGCATGAAGAATCGGAGGATAACAAGGATCGTCCGCAATGCTCGCGAGAGCGATGGGGGAAGCAGATCGAGCAGTAAAATCGTAACAGGGGTGGGGAGAGAACCGAACGGACCTTGCTATGATGGGGGCGCCCAGGAATCGTCCTGTCGTTCTGCCGGGCCCCGAGGCTCACCGCCGCAAACCCTCCAGGGTCACGTGGTGCTGACGTCGCCGGAGACGGCGTTGCATAAGCATAGCACTTCGTATAGGGTATGGCAGTTGACCTATGGTTCTATCACATGGTTCTTTGCAGTCTGTGATAACAGAGGAGGTCCGTGAGGTCGAATGACAATAGTCCTCTGAAAGTTATATCAGGTAGGAATATGAGGTGATTTGAAGAAATTTACTGATAAAGACGTGTCCATCCATGTAAGGAGTAGTTTTATAAAAGAGAATAATAAAAGAGTCTGCTACTAATATTACTTATCCACCCAGAAACTCCTAGGAACCCATACAATACCCAAGAACCTCCCATACACAAGCATGTATGTGAGTTGACTTGCCCCAGAGTGCCCTCCAATCATGTGATGCGCAGCCCAGCTCCGCCCGGACCGATAAGCGCAACGAAAAAAAAAGTTCGGGGCTAGATTGGTATGCGTGGAACACCCCATATAATTCCAACTCAACCCATTAATTTCCCCTTGAAGAAATTTGTTTCTTCCCGGGAGTCACCACACACACAATACAAGATGGGCAAGAAATCATCCAAATCCCAATCTAAGGAGGAGAGCCAGCCAGCCGCTGGTGGCCTCCCATTCATCAGCGGTAGCGCATCTTTGGACCCAACATTGTCCTCGCTCTTCGCGGCAAGCGTACGTTCCAATTCGACCTACCCAAGTGACAATCGAAAACTAACATTGTCTTAACTAGTCTGGACCCGTCCAAGCACCGACTGTCAAGTACAAAAAGAATGCGGATGCACGCAAATCCGCCAAAAAGACCGACGAGGTTGAGGAGGAGGATGATGTGATGGAAGATGCCTCTGCCTCTGAAGAAAGCGACTCCGAGTCTGCGGAGGAAGCAGAGGAAACACAAGGCCGCAAGCGAAAGCGTGGTCCTGCGGAGGAAGTCGAGGAAACCTACATGCGCCGCATCGCCAAGGAGGAGGAAAAGGATGCCGAAAAGCGCAAGGCCGAGTACACCAAGCGTCAGAAGCCTGATGAGGAGTCCGACGACAAGAGTGATAACTCTGACGATGACGAGGAGGAGGATGAGGAGGAGGATAAAGACAGTGACAGTGACGACAAGGAGGAGAAGAGTGCTCCACCTCCAGTTCACGAGAGCGTGGCCGGAAATGCGAAGGCCAGCGAAGTTGAAAAGTCCAGCCGAACCGTCTTCCTGGGCAACGTTTCCACCGAGGCGATCAAATCCAAATCGTCCAAGAAGACTCTCCTCCGACACCTGGCCTCCCACTTATCCAGCTTGCCCGAGTCCAGCGGCCCGCACAAGGTCGAGTCGATTCGATTCCGCTCCGTCCCATTCGCCAGCGGCGGCGGTCTCCCCAAGCGCGCATCTTTCGCCAGACGGGAGATCCTCGACGATACCACGCCCAGCACCAACGCCTACGCCGTCTACAACACTATCCAAGGCGCACGCAAGGCCCCCCTCAGCCTTGAACGGAACCGTCGTTTTGGACCGCCACATCCGCGTCGACAGCATCGCCCACCCGGCTGAAATCGACAACAAGCGCTGCGTATTCGTGGGTAACCTCTCCTTCGTCGACCAGGAGGGTATCACCGAGGACCACAATGGCAAGAAGAAGAAGGCTCGCGCATCCGCTGATATCGAAGAGGGTCTCTGGCGAATCTTCAACCAGAACACAGGGGACACCAAGGACAAGAAGACAGTGAAGAAGAACGTTGAATTCGTCCGCGTGATTCGTGACCGCGCCACTCGCGTCGGCAAGGGCTTCGCCTACGTCCAATTCTTCGACGCGAATAACGTCGAGGCCGCTCTCCTTCTCAACGAGAAGAATTACCCTCCCATGCTGCCGCGCAAGTTGCGCGTCACCCGTGCGCGAAAGATGGCTAAGAAGCAAGAGGATGATGGCGGCAAGAATGGTGGTCGTGGTGATCTTGCTCAGAAGACACTTCAGGGTCGCGCTAACAAGCTCCTCGGTCGTGCGGGTGCGGCCAAGATTAAGGAGGCCGGCAAGGGCGGTATTGCTGGTAACTCGATGGTTTTCGAGGGTCACCGTGCTACTGAAGATGGATCTCGCATGAAGGTTAAGACTAAGAGCCGTGGATCGAAGGGTAAGCCCAAGGGCCGGAGCAGCAAGCGTGCTGCGGCCTACCGTGCTGCGGGTGGTCAGAAGCCATGAACGTGACAAGCTTTTCTTGAAGCTTTGTCTTGAAAAAAAAACAATATTTTGTATCTTTTACGGGCGTTGAGCTGGGCATTGGAATTGTTGCAAATACTAGGTATAAAATGCATGATATCCCTCCGAGTCTGAACCCATTCAGATAGTAGTAGGCCCATGGCAGTGTTTTTCTCTCTCTAAGTCTCATATTTCGTAGTCTTTTTCTAAAATCAAATCTATTTGAGCCTCTAGTATTTGCATCAAAATATCTACCCAAGTGATGGTAATTTAGAGGTCTAAGTAATAATTTACAAAATTATCGCCAGCTACTCCACCATGTCCGCTACCCCAATACGCTGGCTAGATATAGCTAAATGGACCTAGCTGGTTAAGAATATTGCATGTAGAATAAGACCTAGAAAAGACATGAACGCTTGTAAACAGAGTGGGGACATGTCCAGTGAACATCAACAGGTTTCCGCTTGTAAATGGAATAGATAGCCTCTTTCCTGAAGTTTTCCACCAGGTTGAGAGGTAGAAAAAGGTCAGCTCCGACCACGTCATGGTTCGACAGATCAGCCGAACTTCGATTCTCATTCTCAAAATCGCCACAAAGCTGGGAGAACCTCCGCAATTATGACCCAGTAACCCCCACCATTGTTGAACCATCCGTCGCCGAGGACATAACTGTTTGCTGTAGTCAGATCTCGAACATTCGAGATACTGGACTCAATTGGGCATTCTGAAGCGAACGCCCTCGCTTTGCTGGAGGATCCACCTCATATTCGTCTTCATTCTCATTTTCGAAATCGGAAGCAGGTTCCTGTAACGCTTCTGTCCCTGATTTGACAGGGTAGGTGCCGCTAGGTTGATGTTTCCTGGGGAACTGCCATTTGTGTGTCCGCTTGCTGTGCCGATGTACCATTGGAAACCGGCTCCGGCGCTTGAATAGCCTGCGGTCGCCACTTAGACAAGACCTTGCCAGCCGCGGGCCGAGATTCCTCGTCTAGATAGTGATGAGTTAGAACAAAAGCTTGAAAGTGAGATATCAGGTGGAAACCGGGGAAAACATACAAGTGTTATAGACATCCTCGAGTGTATCGAGACACATCTCACGTGCCGGAGGCCGGAACATGACCAAGTACCTAGAAAGCGGGGAAAGTCAGTCCTGCAGTAAAAGGCGTTTGGGGGGCAGGGACGAGAAGGGGAAGCTAATCTTACATAAGGGCTTGAACGCAGAGATTCACACGTTCGGGGTCCTTTGCGAGACTCGCAATGCGCTGAGTGATGGGAATAGTGATTTCGGGTACTTCGCTGAGGAAGCGCACCAAGACCTTAATATCCTTCGAATCCAAGTATGGCAAAAATCCATCCAAGAGTCGTGTCGCCCAGTAATCATAATGAAGCGCGACAACCGGTTCCGAGTCTGACTCCTCGCTCTCATCACGTTGCGTCGCTGCTGCCTTCATCTGTACTCTATCATTGTACCATTCCTCGTTGAGCCAAGTGATACCGATATTAAGACGACCGCGAAAGTCCTCCAAAATGTATCGATAAAGCGTCTCGCGAATAGAATCTGAAATCGTTGTTTTGCGAGATGCAAGCGCCGATTCCCCTTTGCCAATCTTATCACTTGCTTCCAGGCCAGCTGGGGCGCGAGTGGCAAGGCGCGTAAGGAGTACGACCCAAGCATCTCGATCAAAAGTGCTTCCGGCCAGCCGGGAGAAACCGAGCTGTTGGCTTTTGTTTTTGCCAGAGGCTGTTGATGCTGGAGCGGTCTCAGCCAAGTGAATCATGCTGAAAACGCGCGAAACGGCACTGCGGCCGACTTCGGCGGCTTCTTCTTCGCCGAGAGGTGACGGCTGAGGCAGGACGAATGGACCCAATGATACCAGATCTGGCTGTAGCTCTGCTACTTGATCTGCTGCAATAGTGCCCTCGCCCTCGGCGCCTTCTGCTACATCCATGGGCTCATAATCTGGCTCATAATCTTCGTCATCGTCGAGTGAGGTCGCGTTCTGCTGTTGTTGGCGCTTCAGATTTTGCTCTTTTGTTATGGTCTCTAATCGATTCCGGACGGCCTGAAAGCGTGTTAACAATAATATCTCATAGGGGATATTCAGATGTAGATGCTTACATCAACAGCTTGTGTAAGCGTAGACGGGTTAACGTGTTGCAGTAGAGGCAGCGTGATCTTCATGACGAGCTCGACAGGAAGCTGTTTGACATCAAATGAGGACAGTGCGACGTCCTGGGTTAATGTAAATAGCTGATCGTAGCTCGTAGGTCCTGGAGGTAGCGGGGGAATCTTGAGCAGTGGAGGAGTAAGCGCATCCAAACGGGCACGCTTTGCGGTGTCTAAACCGTCTGTCGGTTCAATGGGAAATGCACGTTTCCGAGATGCGTCATCTACTTCCTCCAGCCTGGATTGCATAAGACGCTCAATGTACATCTGCATCTTACCCACGTAAGGGTGGTTCGGGTTCTTCTTCATTATGTTGACAAGTAAGGCCCTCGCTGTACGCTCCATGGATTTGACATTGACTCGGACGATTGGCGTAAATGGGGGTCGGACATGTTTAGTTGGGAAAAACTCAAGAACGGTATTGATGATCTTGTTGGCGATAGACTGGCGAGTACGGACGAGTGGTGAGAGACAGTTCAAAGTTGCATTGACAATTAGCGCATCACTAAGACGGGGTAAGTATACGGTTTTCTATCGAATGTCATGGGTATGATGTCGCACCATGTCTCTTCTTGGAAAACGCCCAAGAGTCGATCAAGCAGGCCCGATGCTTCAGCCTCGAGATAAGATATTTTGAGAACAGGATGAGTACGAGGGACAATGGCCAGTGACGTCTCATTCTGCTCAGGTCGCTATAAGAAAGATCAGCATCGAGGGGGCAGCGCAAGGTAGACTTGTAAAACATACCCTTGGGTCTGAAATCAGTCCTGGTGTCTGAACTTGAACGACGCGCTGCAGGAACTTGACGCAGCAGATCTTGACTGGACATGGGAAAGAGTCCATCTTTCGCAAGATGTCTTCTTTAATCATTGTCATCGTCTCCCATGACTTATTATCCCCGGGCTGATTCACGCTGAAGATTGTTAATACAGAAACCCAAATCGACTACTCGCAAAAACATACATATGTCGAAAGACCAATGGGTACAAGCTGGCCGCAGTTTGAACCAAGCCCTGTAGTACGGCAACATCTGTCTCAGGAAGAGCTAAGGTGTCTTGAATGGTCTGGAGCACATTAGGCGCAAGTTGTTCCTTCAAAGGCGCGGACAGAACCGGGCTAGAGAAGGTCTCAGCCATAAATTCTGCCCCCCCATCTTCGCAATTCTACTCTCGAATTAGCCCCGACGATAGGCAGAATTCCATTCACGATCTGCGGGTAGAGAGCTGCGTCGCCGAGGACGAGGTTGCGAGCTGCATTCAGCTGATTGAGTTGTACGGCCGTTTGAGCCATCGCGGAAACGGTGGGATCTAGATGAGGATATGCGGCAGGTCGAAAGGCAAGGACGTGAGGTCGGCGCAATGGGCGATCACTGCGTGTTTGCTTGCTTTCGGATCGAAACGCGATCAGAGCAGCGCGCTGCTAGGGGACAGCCACGCGCTAATGGCTGGAGATATTTCGATAGATAGTAGGCGATGAGCGGCCACGGGGAGGTAGAAATGAAGGGGAGGCGAGGTGTGGCCTTGAAAGCTCTGGAAACAAAGGATGGATATGTAGGGAGCAAAGGTCCGTAGGGGCCGAGAAAAGTTGGGGAACTGATTGATCGATATCGGGCGCGGTGGTCTACCCTGGCACTGCAGAGTTATTGTTACAACACGAACGACTAAGCATGAACGACTAAGCACAATCTAATAGGAACAAGTTCAGAGTAGTTAAGTTCTAAGGAATATTACAATACTTTCATTCAGTCCAATCACCAACAAAATAACTAGAATAATAATCAGCATGAGAGACCACTTATGATGGGCTGACCATTTGCCAAGACTTGATCTTCCGCACTGACCAAATCAACTTCAAAGTTACGCTTCGTTCCTTTAAGACCAACCCAACACTTTCACCATGGCCGCCGGAATGTCAGTTGATGAGTTGATATTATTCCCACTCACATGTTCACCCTGAATTGACTTTGATATACAGCTTCAACTCCACATACTACGGCAAGGATTACCGCGCCGGTGCCGCCCTCCTCCGTGCCCGCCGGCCGTTCCTGGTCAAGAACGCCCTGACTGGATTCGGACTCTTCGCCTTCACAATCGGTGTCTGTATGTACTCCTTGATAGACAATGCTCTCCATACCCAGTTCTCTGCCCTCTCCTGCGACCCAGAAGTCCCGGCGCAGAGAGAGGATCATACCACCCGCTGCCTACGACAAACCCTCCCCCACTCCTTCAAGCCTACCATGTCTTTGACATAAATACTTTACGAATGAGAGATTAATTATCGTACTTTCAACAGATGCCTACACTATCAAGGCCGTCGGCCAAGAAGAATTCTCCGACGTAAAGGTCCCCGAGATCCCCGCCTCGTCCGAGAAGAAATAAGAGCAATACAATATCGACGCCCTACCAGGAATTGGGTACTGAGTCAATTCCAGAGGGGGTCATTGAATTGTGATTTCTATGTGTACCATATAACCGTATCGATTGCGAGGGGTGGGAATGGGAAGAAGGCCCCGCCAACACGGTCTCCTCTCGGCGGAAAAACAGCAACGGAGCACTTTGGGGTTATGGAGTCTTTTAGTTTGGGCAGGTCATGATTCTTGACTTGTGAGCTCAGCGGCTTTGATTCATTGGCATCTATGATAAGATATCTTGTACAGGGTGGATTTGCTGGGAATAGTATGGTGTAGTATACTATTACATTGACCTTATCTGAAATCCACATTTCTCTTCTCTTTCTTAACTCACTACTAGTAGTACTATGTAATACTCCTAGTAGTATCTACTGCACCGGACAAGGTGAGATCATTTCTCCAGGCGGTTTCATTGTATACTATGTCGAAGCTATTGTACTCAAGTATATTTATGTCACCCGCAAAGAAAACACAGGGGTCAAAGCCCTGGTGTCGTAGACAGAAGTGCAATAACAAAAGAATTCAGACAATACAGAGATCGTTTCCTAGTCAGAAGGGTTTACTCAGTTCGCAGAACGCGAGGTCCCTTCTTCTTAGTCGCGCGCTTGCGCTTCAGACCCTTATCAAAGGAAACAGCGTTGCTGTGGTCACGGCCGAAGTTGTCGAGATCCTTAACCTTGAAGATACGGATGATCCAGTTCTCACTGGTGAACGCTTCCTCGAGGGTGTTAAGCGTCGGGCTCTCCGCGGGCAATTTAACGCCACGAACGCGGTCGACGGCTTGTCCGGCCGGGAAGAGAGAGTTGTAGTTGTAGTAAGACATTTTGTACCTAGTGATAGGGTTAGCAAATGGTGGCTCTGCATGCATCAAACTTGTTAAAAATCACGTACATCAGGCTGTTCTTCATGGCGGGGGTGGCCTCCTCGTCAACGCGATATTCACCGCGAGCAGTGAAGAAGTCACGCTCCTTGATCTCGTCGGGCCAGATACCCTCCGCAATTCGGACCATCCACAAGAACTTGTTCAGATCATCACCCGAGTAGCCGAGGAGACCGCCGAACACGACCAGAACATAGTCGACATCGTGTTGACGCAAGATCGGGTAGCTGACTTCCTCGCGAGAGCTCATGGCCTTACCAACGGTGGCAATGTGGGTGTTGTTCCAGGTGTTGTTGTCAACAAGAGTGGGACGGTCGGCCATACCACCGATCTGGTAGCCGTAATCCCACCAGGACATGATCTTGGCATTGTCCTCAGTGTTTTGACGGAGCCAGTAGTAGGCCTCACGGTAATCATCGATGATGTGCTGGCTTCCATCAGGCAGGCGGCTAGCGAGCACAACCGAGGGAGACGAGTACGCATTCGAGGTGACCCAAGTGCAGTGAGCAACGAACATCAGAAGGTAGATGGTCAGGGAACCAGTCACAATAGCCTTCGAGAAGTAAGAGTAAATGCCAACAACGGGCTTCTTGGTCGACGAGAACGCCTTAGACTTGTCGGCGTTCGCCTTGTCCTTGCTCTCGGGAGTAGGCTTCGTCATAACCAGGAAGCTATCAAAGATGGTCGAAAGAGCCAGAGCGGCAGCGACACAGACAATCGGGGTGAGAGTCAGCATCAGACGAACCATGACACCGGCGAAGTAGCTGGAGAGGACAGCGTAGATGATCACGAAGACATGCTCATCCTTCAGGTTCTGGAAGCACATGAACACACCGGCCGGGAAAAGCCAGATCAAGAAGTTCAGGTCAAAGAAGAAAGCAGGCCAGGCGGTAGGCTGGTGCTCAGAGACGGAGGCAATGATAGGAATGTGGATCTTAGCATAGCCGGTATCCCACAGTGAGTAGAAACGTCCACTCCAGGGAGCAATCACGCCAGAGACAGACAGAAGGACGAGGCCAGTGAATCCAAGGCCGAAGGTAAGCAGGACCATGGAGGTGAGAAGCTTCTGGAACTGCTTGCCGGGCAGGTATGCGCGAACAAATTCAGCGAATGCGACGAGCTGAATGAGACCGAAGACACCCAGAGCCGACATATGATCACTGTTACGAATAGGCAGGAAACCGACGAAGGGAATCTGCATGCTACCCAACGTTCCCAATGCATACCAGGTGGTATAGCTGATGTAAAGGCGGGTGCTATAGCGACCCATGCAGAGCAGAACGAACACGTGGAGAGGAATGAGGTTAGTGATGAAAACATATCCACCCCAAGCAGAAACCATGTATCCGTAGAACAGAGCAGTCAATGCGCCCCACATAATTGAGCCATTCTTGACAGCCTTGATCCACAGGAAGAAGGTGAAGACAAGCAGGAAAATGGCAATGGCTTCATTGTCGTAGCTACCAGCCACGGAACGAGAGATATAACCGGGGGTGATGCCCATAAACGCAGCCGCAAGAAGACCAGCGGATGGGGAATGAGACATCTCACGGGTCAAGAGGTACATTGCCAGGGCTGTCAAGCCGGAAAATCCGGGGGCAAGAAGAACACAAACGTTGCGGATATCGACAGGGATTGTAAGGAGACGGAGGATGTGGTAGATGACACCACTGGTCACCATCAGACCGGGGTACAAAGTGCCACCAGTGACACGACCCAGAGGATGCCAGGTTCCTAAATGGGGAAGGAATTGTATCAGCGCTGCTCTGTGATACGGATGGGACCTAAACGACACGCAAGCATTGGGAAGGGGGAAGCATACGGTCATCAAACCAATCCCAGAAACTGTAGAAGCCATTTTGAACAAGATATTTTGTTGCTCGGAAGTTGAACCACGGATCGACTGCAATTGAAAGTAGGTCAATATCTCATCCTTGTATATCTGGCCGTTGAGATGTCGTGGGCTGGGTGAGTGAGCTAGAACGAGGGGATCGTACATTCGTGAATAATACTTTCAAATCCTAGAATTGAGATTAGATTATATATACGAGCAGTCAAGTTAGGGTCATTGACATACGGATAACACTGAAAAGGCGACTGGCGACGGCGGCCGCAGCGATCGTGAGGAGGATGATGATCCGCAATAGACCACGCGTGCGCTTGCCGGAGCTGCCTTTCAGCAAGACATCGAGGGGAAGACTGGGCCATAATGGCCTGGAAGAAGGAGCAAAGTCCAAATTAACAAAGATGAATCATGAAAACAAGAAACGAATGGGGCAGAGCTGCCAATGGGTTGCCTGGTGGGAAGGTTGCAAGAGGGAGAGCTGCGCAAGGTGGTCACTTCTGAAGGTCTTGGCGTCTTTCCCCGACGCCACCTCCGACTGCTCCCCGCATCATCCATTCAACAACCAAGCACCACCACACCTACATCTGAGCCTTGTCAAGCTCAAGATACTCCTAAATTCATACGAGTACAGAATATTTATCTCATATCTACTGCTATTTGATGGAGTTCCCTCCTCTCACCAAGGAGCAGATCTCCAAGGTGATCATCTCAAATGCTCCTCCTTCACAGCTCTTCGAGATTCTGTCGCAATACGAATCAGATGCCTGTCTCACGTCTGCTGGCAGCGGTGGCACCGAGACAGGTGCAGGCGATCCTGAAACGTTGTGCCTGTACTACTCTGGCTTCTTCTTCGCTCATCTTCTTACCAAACAAATGTGAAAGCTCTCCATCATACTTCGAATGATGTAGTCGCTAATAATTCGACTTAAAATAGACCAGAAGCGCGCGCACTTACCCAGAGAATACCCGAAACATTAAAGCTTCACGATCCCTCCTTACAAAATTGCCTGACTTTGCTGCGAGCCATCTGGCAGAACGAACATGGTCAGGTCTATCAGATCCTGCGTGGGTTGCCGTGGCCAGAAACCCTGCAACCGTTGGTGCAAAGATATGAAAGTATGTGCTTAGCCTGGGAAACGATTTATTGCCGATTTACTAACGTTCGTACTGTAGATTTCTTTCAAGACCAAACCTTGATCGCTGTCAGCACCTCATACAAAGCGATTCGACCCGCTGTAGCAGCAGGATACCTGGGGCTAGATATTCAGGCTGCAGAGAAAGGCGACCAGGCAATCATTCAAAAGTTCACCGATTGCGGGTGGACCTGGAAACCAGAGACTCAATTGCTGTACCCATCTCCGATCACGGTGCCCCCCCACCGATAACCAACCCTCCCGCGGCATTCGTGAGACAATGGCAATGCTGGGGAATCGTTAGAGTATTTGTTGGAGATATTATTACGGGATATGAAGCGATAAATGACTGCAAGAAGGGCGAGAAGGTGATCGCATGGAGTGGTATATCTACAATCTATCGTGGGAGTTTAGGACAGGAAAGCATAGCACTTGATTACGGACTGGCTAGTCGAACACGGAAGCCAGTATTATAACGCCGGAATGCTTAACACGATCTTTTGCTCTTGAGGTCCAACTGTATTGTACAGGCGCACGACACAGCCCAGGGTATGTACAGGACCAAAATGATAACGTCTAAAACGATATAGTAAAGAAAACGAAACCAAAAGAAACCATTCCGTCTTTCGCTCGCAATGTCGCAACTCGGGGGGGAAATCAGACCCGATCAATCGTACAGTAAATGGACCCGAGCAAATGCTCAAATACCCTGGGGACGGGAGGTGCGAGTTTCGCAAAGAGATGCGTTTTCATTCCTCCACTCTATTTAATTCATCGCATTTAAGGGTTCTCGGCGAACTTGGCCTGCAGGAAGGCCTCGAGGTCGAACTTGGGGTCCGCGAAATCGGTAATGACTGTAACGTAGCAACCATCAGTTAGCGCTGTGTCTCTGGAATTGGGGCCCTTTCGGCCCTTTCGGTCTCGGCGAATGCCATAATTGTACGAGAACGAATCAATAGTGTTAAAGGGTCACGTACGGCCGGAGGATTGCGTCTTGGTCTCCTGGGGCTGGGTCTTCTTCCTCCACTCGGCCTTGGCCTGCTCAATCAGACGCTCCTTGCGGGTGTACTCATGCTCGATCTCGGTGCGCTTGGTCTGGGAGTTGAGGGAGGACTGGTGGTAAACACCGTAGACGAGACCGGCAACGAGAGCCGAGTAACGGAGGACCTAAATTGACGGTGGATGGTCAACATCAGATTTCGCATTGGGAGGGGGGCGTGTCCCATCGGTCCCTGCCGGGGAAGGATACGGATGATACTCACGTTGACACCTTGGCTAGCCATTTTTGTGAATATCCGGGGGACGGGAATGCGACGTTAAATAAAGGAGTGGGAAATCGGAAAACCGTTCAACAAGAGTCGACCGTCAATGGCAGTGAATCCTCGGGTTGGGCAAGGCGAGGTTAGACGTCCCTGGTCTGCGCGAGTTTTTCCGGCGCCGTTCGGGCCTGTCCGCTTATGTCATCCCGTAAATAAAGCGCAACACGCTACTACAGCTACAACGCTTCGACCAGGTCGTATGATTTCACGATGTCGTCCATGCAGCAGCGCAAGAATGAGATCCTGGCCAAGCGGGCTAAGCTTGCTGAGTTGAAAAAACAGCGCGACCTCCGTCAAAAGGAGTTCACCACCAACCGGTACAGTGTTGGAGATGCTTCAGAGGTATGCACCCCCGGAGATATGACTCGGGGAGCTCACATACGGAAACTAACTGGGTCATATTAGATCGCTTCACCGGTTCCCAGTCATTCTGGTAGCAGAGCTGAACTTGATGATTTGATTTCGCGTCTGGTGGACCGTCCTGGGTCGGCTTCCCTTAGCCATGGTGCTGAGGACCAGTCGCGCCGAGGAAGTCGGCCGACTTCAGTACTCAGCGCCAGCCAGTTGAGTGGAGAGAACGCGGAAACCTATACCCCTTCGTCCAGACCTCAGTCCCAGTCTATCGCCGTTCAGACTGTCGGGGACGAACCCTACACTGCCCCCACGCCCGAAGCTCAACCCCAAACCCATGCCCCGCCGCCCCCTGAACCCAAACCAGAAGTCGTTACATATAGCAAGGGTGTCCAGACAGATGGCCTAGACTTCCCAGAAGATCCAGATGAGTCGATTGGTTCAGGTGATGAAGAGCTCGCCGGAACTTCACGATCGAACAAACGTCTTAGTCGGCGGGGTCGTGAGCGCGACGAGGAGATCCGTCAAAAGATTCGCGCCGAGATTGAAGAGGAATTGCAGGCGACCAACCAAACCGGGCAAGACGCTACGGCCGCACAGTCGTCAGACCTACGATATCCCATGCGTACACTTGAGGATGATGAGCTCAAAGCTGTGACCTCATCGGACGATTTCCTGGATTTTGTGGAGCGTTCCGCAAAGGTCATTGAGCGGGCTCTCGATGAGGAATACGATGTTCTTGCAGACTACGAAATGGGTGGTATAGATGGAGACCTGGAAGAAGACGAAGAAACTGGCAAGAAAAGGAGGGGCATTCGAGAGGTTTGCCAGTTTTGGGACGAGCGGTGGAGTAAGAAGCGCATGATCAGTGACATTAGCTTCTCTCCTAAGGTACGTCGTGTTTTATTTCGAGAGATAAGTTGAGTCTCAACTAACCCGAGCTTTAGTTCCCTGAGCTCGTGCTGGCATCTTACACCAAGAACCCATCTGCTCCCCATGAGCCGGACGGTTTGGTGCAAGTCTGGAATCAACATTTGCAGTCACGCCCCGAATATGTTTTCCACTCTACCTCCGACATTCTTACCGCCAAATTCTCTCCTTTCCATCCTAATCTCATTGTTGGAGGCTCATATTCGGGACAAGTCCTCCTATGGGATACTCGCTCCTCTCGCGCTGGCGGAGGTGCTCCCGTTCAAAAGACGCCATTGACTGGATCTGGACACACTCACCCTGTGTACAGTATCTCTATCATTGGTACCCAGAATGCGCACAATATTCTGACCTCTTCAACGGATGGAGTGGTCTGTGGCTGGACAGTCGATATGCTTTCCCAGCCCCAAGAGTATCTCGAGTTGACTACTCCCCCTCCATCCAAGACGGAAGACCTTGCACCAACAACCATGTCATTCCCACAGTCTGACCCGACATTCTTCATTGTCGGTACCGAAGAGGGTGGTATATATCCTTGCCACCGATATGATCGCGCTGGGGCCAAGGCCGGCACAGACCATCGCCTTGCCTACCGCGGCCACGCCGCCCCGATCATGTCAACCGCGTTCCACCCTGCTCGCGGCCCCGTCGATCTGGGTGACTTGATGCTGAGCTCCAGTCTTGACTGGAGTGTGAAACTTTGGCGTGTGCGGGCACCTGCCACAACAGCTTCTGTCACTTCCGGCACAGCCGCCGCGCAGGTCGTTTCACCCATTCTGGACATCACTCGTGAGGATGTTGTATACGACGCACGTTGGTCCCCCCCACCGACCTGGCGTCTTCTCTCTTGTTGACGGCGCCGGCAACTTGGAAGTGTGGGATCTTTACACAGACACCGAAGTTCCAGTTGTACGCACTAGTCCATCCCGTGGCTCCAATGGCGGCATCTCCCGTAGTCTTAACAAGGTTGCCTGGGAGGAACGCGAAGGCAGACGTCTCGCTACCGGTGGACTCAACGGCGTGGTTACGGTGTTTGAAGTGGGCAAGGGCCTGGGTGGTCCTTCTGAGGAGGTACCTGCTGATGAGTGGACGGGCATGAAACGACTAGTTGGAAAGCTGGAGCAGAATGATAGAGTTTCTTAGCGGAAGGGGGTCCTCCTGCAAGGCCGAATGCCACCGTTTTGCTTTCGACTGTTTCTTGTCTTGCATATCTCTTGATGCTGCACGTTTTGTCTGCCATATACCATATACCCCTTTTTCTCTTCAATAACATAATTCAGGGATATTTGTGCCTACAGACCATGGATGAAAGAATATGTAGAACTGACAAGGGTTGTGTGTCTGCCTTAGTCACTGCGCTTTATCTTGGCATAACCTACTGCAATGGTGTTTCCCCAATGCCCCGCGGCTGTAACTGAGGCCCCTACAGAGCTTTCACACTTCATCATCATGTCTGACAAGACAGGGCCCGCGTGGGGCAGATTAGCGATTGAGCAATACTTTATGGTAGGTTTCCATCGTGATCATTTTCCCTTTGGTATCTTGCTACCTCTACAATGCTGAACTGGGACTCCTCCTCGACCGAAACCCCAGACCAGCAACGAAGCAGGCTCGTCACTAAGTTTCTTAACATCGATATCCTTCCTCTTGAATGGTTCCAAGATCAGGGACACCTTCTATCTCATAGGCCCAGGCCACCGTTACCTATAACAGAAGAAAATAACACGTATATACTCATTGCAGGTGAGGAAGCCTTTCGGTCTGGAAGTCTCCTGGTGCTTTATTTAGACGGCTTTCGAAGGGTGGTCCGCGGGGGTCGTATTGATCAAGAACTCGATGATATCGCTAATATCGTCGGGATATGGATGTGTACGGCTGATATTATGGGATATCCAACCGTCTCGGAGAGATATCGAGTGAACGGTGATCTTGGACGCGAATTATATCAGTTGACTGAGGAGCTCCTTGCTGATCCGTGAGATAATGTATGAAGGCCTGCTGGCTTCCACAAAATTAGCTATATCGCCCCCCCCCCCCGGTATTCTAGCATATGGATTCCACGACGGTACTATTTTTGGTCAATATAGTATATCAGTATTTATTCTTTCTCTGTCTCTATGTGGCACTTGAAAAGATACTATTATAGTACTTATTAAGCTGAAATGACATCTAGGCCCCCATTATTTCCGTAGCCACTGGTTTTTACAACTGGAATATGAGGGTCTTTGAAATTAACACCGAAAATGTCCGATTATGGCGCCAGACACGGCCATTTTCCTTTTACTTTTAAAGAAGCTGGCGCCGTTCAACAGTCATTCATTCTCTGCGATACCACGTGCAACCATCGCCGAAAATGGCTCCCATTTGCACCCCCATCTAGGCGCCCTCTCTTTTCGTCTTGCCTGGCCGGGCAACTATAATATGCCTCTTCTCCCTTGTCCCCTGTCTCCGTGTTCCTGAGTCCTCCGTTACTAATCTCGCCTCTTTAATGATTCAGCCTAATTTAAACATGCCTACTTCTGGTATGAAATGCAAAGTCTTTAGATTTCTAGCTAGAGCTAGCTTCAAGTTATGGGTCTGCGAGATCCTCTTCCGTTAATTGATACAATTCCTTCCCTATCTCACCATTGATTCGGTACATCTCATTGAGTGATGTATACTCTGGCCCCAGTAGCGCGCAACAATTTCCCCATAAGCCTGCAACGGTGCCAATATTATAATAATCAGGCTCAATACGACCCTCGCGAATGATTCTTCGAAGACCATCGAGATAAATAATGTACAAACGCCTACTTTCGAAGGCTTCCTCATCTGCAATGACCATAAATGTGTACGTAGCAGCCACCTGTAATGTACCGATAGACTCGATCACCGATTCGCGATCGTTATACCAAGCTTCAGGGTCATATTGTTTCGCATTTGCGATATCTCTTTTGAAAAACGCCCGCATCTCCACATGATCCTGTGGCTCAGTATAGTTATCCTGTAAGATATTCTGATCGCCCTCTTCCACCCCTCTGAAACTAATAGGATATGCAATCTCAGGTAAAACATCGTAAATACGACGCCATTCGGACCCGAAATCAAATAGGTTCACATCATCAAGGACTGCCCACCAAGCTTCTTCCTCAAATAGGTCCACATTAATCCATTCCTCCATGATTTTGTCGTGGCGTTTTTTGTCATCTGCGTTTTTGGTGTAATGTGTGCGTAGGAGCATAGGACATACTGCATTCATGGATATGTTATCAGCGTGCCACCGAAGTTTTTCGCAACGGTAAGGTCGAAGAATCGTGTCAATTTCTTCCGCTGTAGGCTCTCGTAGAGGAGTGATTGTGGGCTTTCTTTCGCAGTCTTGTTTTGGCTCAAGGGGGGGTGTTAAGAAATCTAGACACAAGTCTTTTCCGTTGCTGATCTGGCATTTCAACAGAAAAACGGTCCCAGTTTGTCTATGCCAGGTTAGTGTGACGGCAAGGGCCCAAATATAAATCAAGTATCTTACAATCAAGTACTGTTCAACACCTAGCCTGCCCCACAGGGGACCAGTCTGGTCATCTACATCAGACATGATGAAGTCAGATAGATGGAGCGTGGATACGGAAAGACAAGAGATGTGATACTTACCAGGCACAACGAAACAGCGACTTTCCTTTAACTACGGGGGAAATGGCTTAGGTAAGTTGGAGTAGAGTCTACACCAAGGTTCTTTAGAAATCGGCAGTGGGGGCTGCATCGCTGATGCAGACTTGAAACCTAAGGATCCGTCTGCAGGTAAATTCGTCTGTTAGTTCTCCTAGCCATGTCTCGACACACAACATTCGGCCAGAATATTGCTCTATGTCTGAGCATTTACATTTGAGAGCCGATAGCTAGTCTCAATGAAACAGTCGCTAGGCACAGGACCATAACGCAGTATTCAATTGGCAAGAACATATAGTCCCAAATTTTCTTTACTCACTGGCAGTCAACGGGGCCATCAAAAGCGCTCAAGTACGAAAAACTTCAAGACTTTTTACTAGAAGATAATGTTCAAAAGCTAGCTTGCCCCAAGGGGGACCGGTCATATCATTCATGAGGACGAGAGATAAGATGTTGTCGGGGCACAGAAGTACATGCTTTAAGTTGCGACAAGTGCATTTCAGCCTACAAATAAATGGCGGGCCCTGGACACCTGATCATCTAGCTCCCATTAGTGTATATAGCTCTTATTGCAAGTTTACCAAAAGTGAACATTGGTTCAAGTTACTAGTAGCCAGATTGTGCGAAGCGTCTGGATCCCGACCTTAAACATGTACCCTGCTAGGATCTGCGCATCCTTGGAAGCAAATCGGAGCTATTGGCTATGCCGCAGGTACCAAAATCTAGGAAGACAAGCCTGGGGCTAAACAAGCATCCCATGGGGCGTTTCATTGGACCGATAAAGTACCCCCGCAGAAAGAAGAAATAAAAGCCTGGACGGGCAACGCAAGGAGTTGGAAATCAGCCCAAAGGCGAGCAGCCAAGCACCCGACCTCTCCGATGCCGATAACTTGAAAGAGTCTACTTTGTTGATTCTATTCCCAATGCATCTGCAGGGTCACATCGAGCCGAAGGTACCACCAAAAGACTGACATTGCCATGGTCATGGCTCCATTGTAACGTCAAACAAACTACTGAGTGGGGCTAAAGGTCAACATATACCTAGAATCAACTAATTCCAAGCTATACATATTATTTATATTATTCATATGAGTCACTGGCATATGGGAAAGTTGAAGTTGAAGTGAAGATATACTAGTAGTAGTCCGATTACACCAGCCAGTAAGCTTCCGGCCCGCTGCTGCCCCACGCTTCGGGCGAATGGATCGGCCTGAGAAACTGAGGAGCTTTCACTTCACTTCACTTCCCCAGAGTCCCTCCTCTCCCCTCTTTTCTTTTCCTTTCTCTCTCTCTTTCTCTCCACACCCCCGGATTTCAAGTCACTCAGTATACCTCTTGTGACTATGGTCGAGCTCATCAATTCTCCCGACTCTCGAGCTTTGCTCCCTCCCCTCCTCGCTTGTCTTCCTACAGCTTTTGTCTCTCCACGCCCGCCACCAGCCCTCCTCCCACTACTCTCCCCAATCCTCCGCCAACGACTACAAATCCTTACCTCAGTATCTACCTCCCCGGACGAGTCATGGTTGAAGCTTCTCTGCTGGGAGCCCGCCAAGGCGGACCGTCTCCAGAGCATCGTCGACAACACCACTTTCGAGCCGCACCCCGTCTCCGGCGAGATCGAGCTCACGGACGACCTGCCCGCAACCTACAAACGGATTGACGACGAGACACTCCAGTCACTAGTCGTGCTGCCAGAGTACAGCCTAGCCGTGATCTACCTGTGGTGCCCCACCGACGAGCATGGCCGTGGCTGGCGCGTGGCGGAACTACTTCCGCGCGAGAGCCCAGCCGACGACGAAAACACGTGGGCGTCTTCCATTAGCGAAGCGACCACACAAGCAAAAGACAGGCTTCTGGCAGAAATTCTGGACGAGAAGGACGAAAAGTCAAACAGTGAACAACAAGCCAAGGACGAAGAAGATGACGATGACGATGATTACTGGGCTCAGTATGATGCCACCCCAGGCGGCGGGGAAACACCCAACGTGAAGACCCCCGCACCAGCGTCCTCGTCAAAGGGCCCCTCCCGGACTCTCTGAAGCATCGTACTTCTCCCAGTACGGTGACGTGCAGCCGGCCATGGATAGCCATGATCCGACCGAGGAACAGCCAGAGGTTGGACCCTCGTCTTTGAACGGAGATATTCTCGCCAACCTTCTACGTTCATCAATGGGTGGATCTGAAGACCCGGCAAATGGCCCTCGCACAAATGGTTACGCCCACGATAATATCCCCAATGAAGCTTCTGCTCATGCACTCAACCACCCCCGCCCCGCGTCTGCTTCTTCGGGCAGTTCCGATGCTGTCGCGAAGCTGGAGCAGGAAGCAGAAAGTCAATCTACCTACGAAGTAGGCGTGAAGCAACACATTAGTACCAGTATCAAGAGTCTATTCCGTCTGGCCAAGGCGACGGGCATGTCACGGAGCGACTTCCAGTCTTTGGTTCAGACTGAGGTGCAACTTTTGAATTTGACAGACGATGAGTGAATGAGTGAGGATTTAGTGTTTGTTTGTTTTTTTTTTTGCTTTTATCTTGACTGATACCCATGAGCTACGAGACTTGTTTTTGGCATGTCGGTGTATATTTGGAACGAAATCATCATAGTAGATGCATTCTGGGGGGTTTGGGTGCATTAATGAATGTCTGAAACTGCATATTTTCTATTATATACGTCAATACTATTATATCTATTTCCATCTACCACCTCCTGACTGCTATAATATCTGACATGTCCGAAAGCATAAAGCATCCCCATCGGCTCATTCTTCTATACTGGCGTCCCGGCTGTGATTGGTAGGGCTGCGGTGATGTGCGCCCGGGCCACCGCCCTCTCCAACAAGAAGGACACGCAGCCTCACACGCCGCCCCCCCTCCGACCATCTCCTTTCCACCCTGCTTCTTCTGGCACTCGTTTGATTGAGTGCCATGCTATTTGGTGGTTCTGGTAAGTCTATCTTCACCTCTTCCCCGCGAGGCCTCTCCACTTCCTCGCAATTTGATGATTCGGTGCTAACGTTGCGCGTTTTCGGAAGTCTATTTACTTTAGGTAGTTTCACGGTCGCTCTCTTCCCTTGATATTTTCTTTCTTTCCTTTTTTTTCGCCCATCATGTCGTCCTCGCCTTCTCTGCGCAAGAGAGGTGGCAAGAAGGATATCCCCGTCATCCCCTCCAATGATGGCTCAGCTCCGGTGGTCGCCTCCGGCAAGCGACACTCGGAATGGGATTACTGGCTGGCCATAATCATTCTGACCGTGCTGGCCTTTGCGACTCGCTTCTGGCGCATTGATTACCCCAACGAGGTGGTTTTCGATGAGGTTCACTTTGGAAAGGTACGCTCCTCGAAGCTCCGCGGCGCTATGTTGTCCGACGAAAAGGGGGATTGGCCGAGCTAACGCAATTGCAATTGCTCTATCTAGTTCGCCTCTTACTATCTCCAACGCATGTACTTCTTCGATGTCCACCCGCCGTTTGGGAAACTACTCTTCGCGTTGATGGGCTGGTTGATTGGATTCGATGGCCATTTCTTCTTTGAGAACATCGGTGACTCGTATATCGAGAACAATGTCCCGTATGTGGCCCTTCGCGCTTTGCCTGCCACCCTTGGTGCCCTGACGATTCCCGTCGTGTTTTTGACCATGTGGGAATCTGGATACTCTCTGCCCGCCTGTGTTCTGGCCGCCGGTCTGATGGTGTTTGACAATGCCCACATTGCCGAGGATCGTCTCATTCTGCTGGACGCGACCCTGGTTCTGAGTATGGCTCTGAGTGTTCTTTGCTACGTCAAATTCTACAAGCTGCGCCATGAGGCATTCGGACGCAAGTGGTGGAAGTGGCTGCTTTTGACTGGATTCTCCCTGAGCTGCGTCATCTCCACCAAGTACGTCGGTGTCTTCACCTTCGTCACCATTGGTGCGGCGGTCCTGGTCGATTTGTGGAATCTTTTGGACATCAATCGCCGCCAGGGTGCTCTTGATATGGTCAGCTTCGGCAAGCACTTTGTTGCTCGTGGCGTTGGCCTTGTTGTCATCCCATTTTTCTTTTATCTCTTCTGGTTCCAGGTTCACTTTGCCATTCTCACCCGTTCCGGACCCGGCGATGATTTCATGTCCCCGGAGTTCCAGGAGACTCTCAGCGACAATGCCATGACTGCCCAGTCAGTCGGTGTACAGTACTTCGATAGCATCACCATGCGCCACAAGGACACTAAGGTTCTCCTCCACAGCCACTACGAGACCTACCCCCTGCGATATGACGATGGCCGTATCTCCAGCCAGGGACAGCAGGTGACTGGATACCCCCACAACGATACCAACAACCTGTGGCAAGTTCTCCCCACCAAGCCCCTGGCGGACGACGGCGAAGCCAAGAGCGTGCAGAATGGAGATGTTATTCAACTCCGCCATGTGGGCACTGACACCTTCCTCCTAACCCACGATGTGGCTTCTCCTTCCTTCCCAACCAACCAGGAGTTCACCACCGTCTCGCAAGAACTGGCCGCCGGCGATCGCCACAACGACACCCTATTCGAGATCCAGATCCAGAACGGCAAGCCGGAGCAAGAGTTCCGCACCTTTGCAAGCTTGTTCAAGCTGGTTCATGTGCCAACCCGAGTTGCCATGTGGACACACACCACCCCCCTTCCCGAATGGGGCTTCAAGCAGGCCGAGATCAACGGCAACAAGAACATCCTGCAATCTAGCAACGTGTGGTTTGCCGAGACCATTGACGGTCTGGAGCCGGATAGCCCCCGCCTGGAGCGCCAGGAGCGCAAGCCCAAGCAGATCTCCTTCCTGCGCAAGTACTTCGAGCTGCAGGGTGCCATGTTCCACCATAACAATGCCCTGACCAGCAGCCACCCCTATGCCACCGAGCCATTCCAGTGGCCCTTCCTGCTCCGCGGTGTGAGCTTCTGGACCAAGAACGACACCCGTGAGCAAATCTACTTCCTCGGTAACCCCATCGGATGGTGGATTGCCAGCAGTCTCCTCGCCGTGTTCGCCGGCATCGTCGGCGCCGACCAGCTATCACTCCGCCGTGGCGTGGACGCTCTCGAAGAAAGTAAGTTCAGACATTAATTGATCGACCCCACTACGACCCGTGAACAATTCACTAACCATTTCTTTTTTCTTTCTTTCAGTTTGGGGCCCCGGTACCCGGTCACGCCTGTACAACAGCACGGGCTTCCTGTTCCTGTGCTGGGCCGCACACTACTTCCCCTTCTGGCTAATGGGCCGGCAACGTTTCCTGCACCACTATCTACCCTCGCACCTAGCTTCGACAATGGTGACTGGTGCGCTGATTGAGTTTATTTTCAATCTGCAGCCACTCGATCCCGACACCGCCGCACCTCCCGCCGATGATCCCTCTGGCAAGGCTAAGGGACGGGTGAGCCGGAGTGTGCGCCGATTCGTCACTGCGAAGGAGCGCATGGGGTGCAAGTCTGTCATTGCGGCCTGGGCGGCTACTACCGTCATTCTTGGCGTTACGATCTGGGGATTTATCTTCTATGCGCCTTTGACTTATGGTACACCCGGTTTGGATGTGGATGGTGTTGTTGCGCGCAAGTGGTTGAATTATGATCTTCACTTTGCTAAATAGATCCACAGAGAGGATTTGGCTTAGGGAGGGTTAGTAGGAGAGGGAGGGGATTTGGATTTGGATTGGATTTGTGATTGTGTGGAGGATAAGTGAGGAGGAAGAAGAGGAGGAGGAGGAAGATTGCGTCAAAACTGAATCTAAGCTAAGCAATCTGTACGATATGTTTTTTGGTCACCCTAATTTGGGATTCGGATAGATGGGACTGGGAAGTGGCGAGGGAGGTGTTGATCGACTCATTTTGTGGATCCTTCGTGAGGGGGTTGCTCCACCATTCCATGTTTTGTAGCGATCTCGAGTTATATTATTCTGTGATTTGTACTACAGTATTTCTTCAAGTTCTGATTTTCTAGTACTCCGTACTCGTACCGTCACTATGTATCTTTATCTCTGGTTGCACCAAGCTTGATGGATGACCCGAATGTGACCGGCGGTGGTACGGTCGAGTCGGCCAATGTGGAGTGAAAGCGGGTGACTGGTGACTATCAAAGGCCGGTATCAGACGATATCCCTGAGACAGAATGGGAATACTAGTACGATCTCAGTATACCTAATTACCTATGCTAGACCGATATAGCTTGCGACTACATTCCTTTCTCGAAAAGGCCCAGAACGTTTTTGAGAATGTGAATTTTTCTCTAGTCGGTATATTTAGTACCGGTAGTGTGTAGTGTATGTATGGATGGATGAATGTGATTGGTTCCCCCTCGCTTAGTAATGTTTATTTTTAGGCCGCAAAGGGCACCACCCCTCGCTATTGATAGAAGAAAGGTTTCACATGGTCTGGCCTGACCAGACGGGGACTATCCGACGCCTGAACATCATTGTGCATACATACTGTACTCAGTGGTGAGTATTATACTGTACTCGCAAACTGTATTAGTATCCTAGTATACTAGTTTCCTGAATATACTGTGTACTGTGTACTGCATTATACAGAGTGTACTGCCTGCACTATCAGCCACAAGAGGCAATAATGCAGGGACTAGACTTTTGATTTTGACTCTCGGCCTTCCCTCAAACGGCTGATTTTTTCCTTTCTCTTCATTCTTGCCTCTACATTCTTCATTCGTTTCAAAAACTTTGCCTCATTCTTCCTGCTCCCAGCTACCCAGCTGTCTAACAGCTACTATCTCCAGTCTCCCGTCCCCGAGAAAGTCCCTGTTGATCCACTCCCCACCTGCTGCTTCCCCATTCCGATCTGACTCGCTCGTCCGTCTCGGGAGTCAATCTTGAGCGGAGCCCAAGTGAAACCGACCTTTACAAGTCTGCTCTGAGGTCTCACACTACTTTCTTTCTTTGGCTGCCGTCCTAATTTTCTCTCTCACTTTCTCCCTCCTCTTCCTGATTACCAACATCCCTCCTCTTCCACCCAAGGGACAATCTTATTCCAACCCAATCCAATCAATCACTCCAATCACTCCAATCGCTCCAAAACTGCCAAGGTGTGTGTGTCGCCTGCATCACCCGATCGCTGTGGATTCTGAATGGGCCTTGATCAGCCGCTAAGGAAACTGTGTTGTGTTGTGGTGTTTCGGGAACTTAACTCCGTGCCAGAAGCTTCCTTTGTGACTGACTCGTTGCAATTCTTTGCCTTTGCCAGCCCATCCCCTGATCAACAACCTCTCCCCACTCGCTGTTTCTTCTGCTCTCCCCTTGCGACCGCCGGCCGATCGTCAATCTCGTTACTAGACACGTCGTTTTTTGCTGGCTGTCAACTTGCATTTGACACATCCAACTCCCCCGAGTCCCTCCCGATAATCCCTCCACTTCTCCGTCCCAGGATCGGCCAAGCAGAACCTTGATGGGCGCACACCACGACGATACCCGGAGCACTCATTAATACATTCGGATTATTCTAAAGCGCTTTCCTTCGTGAGGGCCAATAAGACACTCACAATGCCCATGAAGCTGCCCAAGAGCTTTCAACGACGCAAGTCTTCCGGAAACATCCTGGAAGACGTGGAGACACGCCCGCAGTCCTCTTTCAGGGTCTTCGAACGTCCGGGGCCTCATAGATCGATGACAGAGGGCGCTCCGCTCACCAAACGCATGAGCGAGGGTAATGTAGTGCCATCCATGTTGGAAGATGACAATATCTTCGCGGGTACCGAGCAGCCCCTGGACAAGAACCGGTATGATGAACACCCTCACGCTCGACCTTTGGACTCCCTGAGAATGCGTCTGACCCGGAAACACCATAGTGGTGCAACATACGAGAGTTCGACGTCCACTCGTCTGAGCTCGTCGTCTACCCTTCCTTCCTCCACAGAAATCCCATCCGACGACACCGCATCCCCGCATTCACGAATCCACGATATCCCCGTGCCACCTCCACTTTCCGGAGCCCTACGCGCCGCCGCTGGTAGAACCTTCTCCTTCGGTGGTCGATTCAGTAAGAATTCGAACTCGGGGCCTCCGCCTCCTCCCCGTCATGCAACGCCGCCGGAGGAGACGAGGCAACGGACGGTGTCGGGAAGTACCAACGATACAGCGACTCCGCCAAAACTTCCAGATTCGCACTGGGATCTAGGGGCAGGGTCGGACGATTTTGGAAAGATGTTCGACCAAATAGGAAAAAGGGATAGCGCCATGTTGCGGGACCCCTCCCCTCAACCTCAACGACCTAATCAGGTACGCGGAGGCTCTTAATCTTATCATGCAAGGGATCTATACTAATTGATGATATAGTACTCCTCTTCTCCACCTACGCAAGCCCTTCCAGAGTTTCAAGCCAGCAGGAATGCACGACCCCCGCCTATTAGTACAGACCGCTCAGTTCCCGTCGAGCCCTCCCCTTACTCATGGGACAGTCGTCATTCGAGGCATCATTCCCAGGAAGGCCTTCTTAATGATCAAGATGCCGGTAGAGGAAGGGATACCGGTTCGCCAGCTCAATCCTCCGTCGACACCGTGACTGGATTTCGCAGGCAATCACCCGGCCCCAACCAAGCCCTCGGTGCTACCACATCCCATCGTGCCCTCGAACGCCCCAATAGAAGACAGTCCAATTTCTCGAATTTGCGCCGGAGTGGAGTATACTCTTACGGAGGGGACGCTAGCCCGATTGAAGACGAAGACGCCAACCTGGTCAGAAAATCTCTGCTCTGGACCGAAGGTGGTCCTTCACCCAACGCAACACCTTATCTCGACAAAGGCAAGGCGGCTAGTGCTAGTCCTAGCTACCTAGACCAGGAGCCAGAATCGATGTTCTCAGGTCGCGAATCCCCCGATCCAACTATTGCAGACCATGGCCGTTTGGCCGTTCAGTTCGCTGAAAGCGTGCCCAAGAGAAGTTCCCCGGGAAACAAGGTCATGACCCCATCCCAATTCGAACATTACCGCCAACAGCAAGAACTGCGTCGTTCCAATAGCAACGCGACGAAGAGTGATGATGAATATGTCAATGATGAATTCGATGACGAGGAAGATGAGGCCGAGAAGCAGCGCGAGACGGAGCGACAGCGCAGGAAGCAGGAGGCCCATCTCTCTGTATACCGCCAACAGATGATGAAGGTGACAGGTCAGAAAAGTCCTTCACCGTCACTTCGCCCCGAGATGAGCGGTGCAAGCAGCAGCACCCCCAATCTCAATTCAAACCGCCTTTCCCACCTGGGTGACAAATCCTCCAGCGGCAAAAGCACCGAGGAAGATGACGACGAAGTCCCGCTTGGTATCCTGGCCGCCCACGGGTTCCCTAATCGTAACAGACCACCCACTCGTCTGAACAATGCCAGCTCTAACCCGAACCTTCGCGCCTCATTGCAGCCGTCTTATGCGTCGTCTGCTCACTCCATGCACGGTGCCGACCCTTATAATAGAAACAACTTGCCGGCGTTTGCACGCAACCTGCCGCCAGAGCCCTACGTGGGCGCTGGTCTCAGTTCGGGAGTCTAATCGCGAATCACTCGCATTTGGTGGTGGCTCAGGCTCTGTATATGGAGGTGCATCCTCTCCAGCACCTCCTCCTGGAGGTCTGATTAACGTGATTGCCAATGAGGAGAGGGCTCGAGCCGCCAGGAGAGGTAGCCCGAACACTCAGGCAATGTTCGATCCGATGGGTGGAATGGGAGGTGGTATCCCTCGTCCTTATTCGATGATGCCTCAACAGCAGAGTCAAATCACCCAATCAGAGCAAGCCCAGTTGAACCTCTCCAACCAGATGTCGCAGATGGTGCAGATGCAAATGGACTTCATGCGGAACATGATGGCCATGCAAGGCGGACAAGGCACTCCGCCACCAATGATGCCGGGCATGCAAATGCCTCCCGGTATGGGTATGCCAGGTATGCCAATGCCAGGTATGCCCACCGGTCCCCCATCAATCAGCGGAGGTCGACCCGTCTCCATGCCAAACGCAGCCGGCGGCGCCCAGCCAAACTTCGACCAACGAACCCTCGGCCTACTCGATCCCAACAACATCGCCAATCGCCGCGGTTCTCCCATGCCCAATATGTCCGGGTACCCATTCCCCAACAATAATCCAGGCTACGCCGCCTCCATTGCTCCGTCAGAGCGCAGCAACGCAGGTCTCGCATCCCGCTACCGCCCCGTCTCTGTCATTAATAATGAGAACGAACGGCCCGGAACCTCACCGCATCTGAAAATCTGGAACGATGAAAATCACCTCTCCCCCATGTCCGCGTCTCGCCCACACTCCAGCCTCGCGAAGTCCACGACCATGGCTACCGTCACCGTGCGACCTGTCTCACAAGCGGGCCAGTCTCCGTCGGGCCGTCATCAAGCTCAGTCCGGCTCAGGGGATGAAAATGAGGACGAGGGTTGGGCTGATATGATGAAGAAACGTGATAAAAAGAAGAATAGCTGGAAGATGAAGAGGGCTACTTCTTCCTTTGGCGATTTATTGGGTGCTGTGCATTGAGTGCATTGCATTAACTCCCCCTACCCCTCACACAATCCGTCACCGAAGACAATCCGCCCCCAACCCAAAAAAAGCTCTCGAGCTCGATTGGATTGATACCACCACCAATCACAATCACAGTCAACAATCACGCCCGTCGCGCTGTATAGAAACACCACACCCCATTCTTGATGTTTTTCTCTCATCTCCGCCTCGCCTCGCCTCGCCTCACTCGATATGACATGACATTACATGAAAAACTGCAACTGCAACAGCTCACCATCCATTTCTTACTACACCCATGAATCTGAATACGATCTAGGTATTCCATATGGAATTCTCTATCGACAAGCAACAGTGTCTCGCCTCGTCTCGTCGTGCGGCAGGCTTAGGCAGGCAGACGGGTCCGGGTCTTCTTCCAACTATGAATTATCTATCCACATCGAGGCGGGTGAGGCGCAGCGAAGCCCAGCGAAGCGAACTCTATCAATCATCATTAGTACGAGAACATATGTCCCTCAATATTTCCATATTTCCATAGTTTGTGTTTCTTTTTTTTGTTCCGGCATTGGCGCAGGAATGGCATGGCGTTCGAGTTTATTTATCTTGTTATTTTTTCCCTCGTTTTGTTTGTGTTTTTTCCATCGATGTCGAGTCGAGTCGAATCGAATCTTTTGGATCATTGTCATTGTCATTGTCTTTGCGTCTCGTTCTCTGCATTTCATATTATCCGGGCATTTTATCTTCTCTCACATAATACATTTCGGCCTAGGTCGATTATACTATATCATGATATAATCTTACTAGTAATTTTTATCAGGGCAAGTTCTCCGCGAGTCAACCTCAAGGGTTGTAGGTACCTAGTACTAGTAGAAAGTTCCGATCAATTTGGTGGATTGGGTGGCTATTAGGTAGTGGGTGCATTTACCTGGGCAGGTATATATTTGAAATTACACCAGATCACAAAATTGATCACATATTTGGATTTTGGATGTACGAGTATAAAATTTACTCACGATGAAAGATGAGTCTCTTAAGTTTACAATCATTTCAAAGGTCGCTTCATATTGTTGCCGCTGTTGTCGTATTTGATACTGTGCAGGCGCTGCAGAGGATCGACACTGGGCACAGTTACCTACACAGCCCGCATGCCAATAAAAATGCCTACCGAGATACATAGTACTCAATAATTTATAAAGCAGGAGTTAGACAGTTTTAATACTCAATAATCGCGATGTACCCCTTCAGTCATAGATTCAAGACGTTGAACTACCACAGCCATTTTGGGGTTAGCGCTATCACGTGCCAGTCACGGGGTAATCATCAAATCACGTGTTTGATATCGCGCATCTGTCTTTGATCGCGGCCCCGACACTTTTCAACCCGCAGATCAACTCCGAATCCAACGCCACAAGGCTTTTCGCCAGCTCTATCAAGCTGAACAGCACATCCGTCTCGGCCGAACGAGCTGCGTCTCTACTAGCGGCCATCAACTCAAACCCGAGGCAGCCTTGGCACTTTCACTTTTGAGATTATCAACCGCATCATCGAAGCGGGTCCCTTTTAATCACTAGCAAGCGCTTTATTGGAAACAGCCTTGCTAGAAGTCGTATATCTCGGCCTTCCACATCGAACCACTTGCCTGGTCAATTCGGTTATAAAGCCTATACATTCAAACCAACCCCACGTCGAAAAGAATCACTTTTCGCCTTACATATCATTTTCCACCTTGAAGAATTAAGCTCTCAGCATCATGAACGCGCCGGATCGGTGAGTACTAGTTGATTTATCTGCGTGCTCAATGCTGCCCTTACTTTTTATTTCGCAAATTTGCCCGTTTGGTCATTTTCTTGTTCCTTCCAATTGAATTCGGTGGATTGGCGTGCCTCTCCTCGGTTCCTCGAGGACTGTTGCTGCCCCCCGAAGCCGGCAACCTGGAGCCGTCATGTCAAGGAAGGTGCGATGGAGGGTTGCCTGGCTCCTGGCTTCACTTGCCTCACTTGACTCACTCGCTCCACGGCCACAACCCTCCTCTTCGCACCTTCCATTCTTCTCCCTATTCTGTTCTTACTCATATCATTTGTTTGGGAACGGGACTGTCAACACGATGGATTCTCTTCCCCCCAAATCCCCGGGAATACCTCTCCCACCTCCTCCCATGGCAAACCGCAATTCGGAATTCCCCTTTGAACCCAGCAGCGTCACTTTTGCGCGGGAGCTTGCAGGACGTCCTGCGCGTCCGGTTGGGCGCTGGGCTCCTCCTGGTCTCCAGACTAATGGCGTTGATGTGTCAGTTTCAAGGAAGAGAATCTAATACCCAGACCCTCCCACCCACACCCCGGAATCGTGTCCTTGTCCTTCCCCCGTTGAACTCCATTGAAAACACGATTCATTGCACGTCTGGCTTTGCGTAATGCGCACCTGCTAACATTCCGTCCCAGTTACGAGGCTATTCTGCTCGCGCCTGGCGAGAACAAGATCGATGTCGACATTGACACCCGTAAATTCTCCTGAACCGCCCCGCAGCACTAACACCAAGAACTGAACTGACCTGACTACCAGGTCTCCCCTCCGCTGCAATTTTCACTTTCCACAAGGAAGATCACACCCTCGCCAACATGCTCCGCACCCGTCTGCTGAAGACCTCGCACGTTATCTTCTCTGCTTACCGCGTAAGGCATTCCCATTTCCTTTTTATTTTCAATGTCAAGGAATACCAGGCTGATATCTTGACCAGGTCCCCCACCCTCTTACTCCCAACTTCCAGCTGCGCGTACAGACCGATGGCGAAGTCACCCCGCGCGACGCAGTGATCAATGCCTGCCAAGCCCTGATCAAGGATCTGGGAATTCTGTCTCGAGAATTTACCAAGGAATACGAGTTGCGCAAGATGGCCAATGCGGCTAATCAGCAACAGGCTGCTGTCGAGTAGGGTTGGTAGTCTCGCTTTTTCAGACTCTGGTGCAATGTCGTGAATTTGATTCTTCATCTGGCGCATGGAGCGGCGCTAAGATTTTATTTGCTTTGCTTTTCTTTGATTTTTAGAAGATTTGGAGCTTCCTTTTCTTTTCTTTGTTTTTTTTTCTTCACACACTGGCGAGTCTTGACATGACCTGACCTGACTGGCACGCAGTGGTTCGCACGCTTTAGTCCGAAGTCCGAAGTCCCGGCGAGGACTCTTGATAGTTATGAATGGCGTTTACTCAATGCCGTGTACCTAGAATGGATGCCTCTGCAATAAAAGTCACCTTGTGGAAACGAGAACCTAGTGGCGACCCATCGGCCTGGAAGGGTTGGTTTGACATAAAACCTAATTAAATGGACCGCAAATAATAACAAATCTACTGATAGGGCTCAACCACCGGACGAACAAAAATTTCGGTTGAGATCAATTGTTATCCTTACTGTATCTTTGAAGGATTGTCGGACATTCTGTCGGGAAATTCAACTGGATACCCTTATCAAGGTTCAAATTCACCGACGCCAAGATTATCATCTGCGGGGAATGACCGCTAAGCTATCGGCTTTTTAACTTAAAGCTTATCATTCGGGATTAAATTCATGGGTCTGGCTGTTGATTGGTGATAATCCCACTATAGGAGTCGAGGAATTAGCCTGCGGAGAAAACTGGGGAAATGAGCATCCCATGCGAGGATGAGATCTTCGAAAACTTATAAAGATGGCTTGATTTCCCCCCAGATTTCTCTTCTATCTCTCTATCTCTCACTTCATGGGGTTGTGGAACTTTTGATTAAGAATATTCTCGAAACCTATCATTTTCACACCCTTTGTGTACAATTTGACCAGAATGGAGGTTAATACCGCACCGCCCGTTTACCAGAACGACAAGATTGTAGAGAGAAAGGAAGAGTCTCTTTACGAGGAGGAAGGTCAGCTTAAGCCTGGTGAAGTCCAAGATGCCTTTGGTAACGAGGAAAATGCCGAGATCAAGTACAAAACATTGAAGTGGTGGTACGTATCCAATGAAGCAAGGTCTTGAACGCATTGAAAAAAAGAGGGATTCTAACGCGACATCTAACTCTAAGGCAATGTGGTCTGCTCATGATATGCGAGTCAGTGTCGCTGGGTGTGCTCTCACTACCCTCTGCTATGGCAATACTGGGCATAGTCCCCGGCGTTATCTTGATCATTGGTCTTGGGCTTCTCGCAACCTACACTGGCTATAACATTGGCCTATTTCGAGAACGGTACCCACACATTCAGAACCTAGGTGATGCCGGAGAGATATTACTTGGCAAGTTCGGTCGCGAGCTCTTCGGTACTGGTCAATTTCTCTTCTGTCTCTTCATTATGGGAAGCCATATCCTCACCTTCCGTATTATGATGAATACTGTCACCAACCACGCCACCTGCTCTATACTATTTAGTATAATTGGCATGGTCATTTCTATCGTCCTCTGCCTGCCACGTACTATGAAAGGCATGATCTGGATGTCCTTCGTCTCATTCCTCAGTATATTGACCGCTGTCATGATCACCATGATTTCCGTCGGAATCGAAAGCCCCCCCTGGTACTATTATCCAGGCCACCACAGAGACAACCCTCTACACAGGCTTCCAAGCCGTCTCAAATATCGTTTTCGCCTACTGCGCCCACGTCGCCTTCTTCGGTCTAATCGCGGAGATGGAAACACCCCAAAACTTCAAAAAGTCTCTCTTCATGCTCCAAGGCTTTGAGATTTGCCTCTATCTCACCGTCGCCATCGTCGTCTACTTCTACATCGGAACCGAAGTGACATCCCCGGCCTTCAACTCCGCCGGCCCACTAATGAGCAAAATAGCCTTCGGAATCGCCATCCCAACAATAATCGGCGCCGGCGTCGTCAATGGCCACATCGGTCTCAAATATATCTACTTCCGCATCTGCACGAACATGAAGTCCGATCTCCTTCACCAGCGTAATAAGCGCTCTGTCGGTCTTTGGGTCGGTCTCGGTATCTCTTGTTGGACTGTTGCGTGGATTATTGCCGAAGCTATCCCCGTCTTCAGTGATTTGAATGGATTGATTAGCGCTCTCTTTGCTAGTTGGTTTAGTTATGGTCTCTCGGGTGTTTATTGGTTGCATCTTAATTATGGTCAGTGGACTGCTTCGCCGAGGAAGATTGCTCTTATGGTTTTGAATATGGCTATCGCTTGCTTTGGTCTTATTCTTTGTGTGCTTGGGCTGTATGCTTCTGGTACGGCTATTAGTGCCAATTCCAATAGCAACAGCTTTACCTGCAAGAATACTGATACTTAGGTTACACCGAGTCCTTTGCTTTGTCTTTTTATGAACATGGTCTTTGATAGACCTGGTTGATATGGATGTTGGCCAATAATGGCATTGAAATACCCTACTTGTACAATTATTAGAGTTAGGCAAATATTCCAAAACACTTGAATATAAAGTATTCAACTCATTTAACGCAAGTAATACCTATTCTATACAATACTCAGTGTAGTATACTATAGTCTATGCTGTCCATGCTGTGCTATTTTTGGTGGACCGTGAACCCCTGACTAATCAGCCGGGCGGGCCTCCGCGTCCCTGCGACGGCGTCATTTACGTTGCTCCTGACACCCACCCCCTCTACATTCATTCATTCTTCGCATCAATCTCTCATCGGTTCTTCTGCATCTGTTTTGTCCATGCGAGCGCCGTGTCTATAATGTTCTCCTCGTCGAATTCCTTCGTCGGCGGTGGTGCTGGTGGCCGACCCGGCCAGGCACCATTCATGCAACAGCAACAGCAGCAGCAGCAACCCCAATACTCGCAATTCCCTCAGGGACAACAGCAGCAACCGATGCAGCCCCAAGCAACGGGATTCGCGCCCCAGCCGACCGGTTTCGCCGGCCAGCCCTCACCGTTTGGTAATGCGCAGCTCCAACCTCAGCCCACTGGATTCCCCGCGGGACAACAGCTCCAGCCGCAGTTCACTGGGTACCCCGGACAGCCCCAACAGCCCCAACAACCCCAGCCGACGGGCTTCCAGCCTCAATATACCGGATTCCAACCCCAAAACCAGACCCAGTCACAGCCGCCTGTGCCGCCCGTGCCACCCATCCCGCAACAGCACCTCGCTCAAGCGACTGGCCTCCCTAATCGGCCCAAGACCTCGAGCGAGATCGCGAGCTCCTTCCAAGATACCGGCGCCTCTGGCCCCCCTCCTCAAGTGCCGCCGAAGAATGGCGCCCGCATCCCAAGCATCCGACTGTCGTTCATTACCGCCCAGGACCAGGCCAAGTTCGAGCAGCTGTTCAAGTCTGCCGTCACCGATAGCAAAACAATGGATGGCGACAAAGCGAGGGATCTCCTGATGCGCTCTAAGCTGACGGGTACTGATCTTTCCAAGATCTGGGTTCTGTCAGACTCTACCAAGTCCGGCCAGCTCTTCTTCCCTGAATTCGCATTGGCAATGTATCTATGTAATCTGCGCCTGACTGGCCGTGAGCTGCCCTCCGCATTGCCCGATACCATCAAGAACGAGGTCTCGAGCATGGTTGACATCATCTCGTTCGATGTCCCCGACACGCAGCCCCAGCCGGCCCAGCGTACTAATGTTCCTAATTTCGATGGTTCTGTGCTCCAGAACAATTCCACACCCCCTATAGTCCAGCAGCCTCAGCCTCAACAACCAAGCAACACACAGCTCTTGAACCAACTCACTGCGCAACCCACTGGCTTCTTCAATCAGCAGGCTGGCATGCAGCCTCAGCAAACCGGTTTCCCAGGCCAAAACCAGTCGCAATTCCTTCAGGCTCAGCAGACTGGATTCATGGCCAACCCGCAAGCCACAGGATATAGTGGTCCCCGACCTCCAATGCCGCCTATGCCTACTGGCTTCGCCTCCAACCTGAGCCCTGCCCAGACTGGCGGTCTACAGGCGCAACCGACGGGTATCCCTGGACAGTGGGGTTTCATTAACACGCCCGCGCAGGGTCTCCCTAATATCGAGGCCATGAAGCAGCAACTCATGCCCCAACCCGGCCGTGAAGGTGGCTTTACTACCACCAATCTTTCCGGAAATGCTAAAGTTGCCTGGGCTATTACCAAGGAGGAAAAGAAGATCTATGACGATCTCTTCCGCGCCTGGGATGGTTTCCGAAAGGGCTTCATCAGTGGCGAGACTGCTATTGAGATCATGGGGCAGAGTGGTTTGAACCGAAACGACCTCGAGCGGATTTGGACTTTGGCCGATCCTACCAACCGTGGACGTCTCAACATGGACGAGTTCGCCGTGGGAATGCACTTGATCTACCGAGCTCTGAACGGATATCCCGTTCCTGCTCGCCTGCCCCCCGAGCTCATCCCCCCCATCTACTAGGCACCTGAATGATTCCATCGGCACAGTCAAGTCGCTTCTGTCTCAAGATGCCGAGACCCGGAAGACCACCGGGGCATTTTTGCAGCCTCAAAAGACGGGAGTCAGCTACTTGAAGGACCACTCCTTCCGCGGCGGTCCCAATAACCAATCTGGAGCCAGTCGCAAGGACGCGACCATGTTTAAGAACAATGATTCTGCAGGCGGCTACCGTTCAAGCGCCCGTCGCCGTGTTGGTAACGACGCTCGCACACCATCCCCGGCTCCTTCTTCCCAAACCTCCGAGGGCGACGATCTCAGTCCTGACCAGCTGCGAAAAAAGATTCGCGAAGCTAAGATTATGCTTGATGCTGTTGACTTCCAAGACGAAAACCGTGCTGAGGATGATGATGTCCATGATCGTCGGGACCGCCGTGAAGCAGAGAGCCTTATGGAACGGATTCGTCGCGTGCAAGACGATATTGACACCCATCCAAATGCTAGCTTCCGTCAACTTGACAGTGGGGCCGAGCGCAGATCCCTCCGTCGTCAGCTTCAAGGCTATGAAGACCAGGTTCCGCAGGCCGCTTCCGATGTTCGACGTATTGAACGGGAGATTGCTGAGGCCAAGCTTGAACTTTTCCGTCTCAAAGATGCCAAGGCGCACCCCAGCAGCGCTGGTAACATTGTTGGTACTGGACCTGGCGGTGCGATTACCGAGGCAGATCGGATCAAGGCTCGCGCCCGCGCGCGTATGCAGGCTCGTGCTGCTGAACTGTCAGGACGTCCTGCTCCCGCCGCGGAGGGTGATGACGGCGAGGCTGCTCGTCGCTTGGAGAGCGAGAGCGCCGACGTGAAGGCCGAGCGAGAGCGTAACGACGTTATGACCCGTGACGTGGAGGAAAGTGTTCGGGAGTTTACCCGCAGCCTTGAGGACAGTCTCCGCGACGAAGGCGAGAATTCCACGCGCGAACACGAGAAGCGCCGTTGGGAGGATGCCCTTGGCGTGGAGGATATCATTCGTGACTTCATCTACGATTTGAGCCGCAACAGCAAGACCGCGCATGTGCGCAAGGATGAGTAAGTGTAAACCCTATCGATTCTTTACATAAATATGTTAACATTATGCCCAGCCGTGAGCGCTCAACCCAAGAGCAGCGCCGCGCCCCTGCTGCCGAGGAGGCACCGGCTCGTCCTTCTATGCCTCAATCTACCGACTCCTCAAGCTCTGTACCCGGAAACACACACGAGGACCGCGTTGCCGCTGCCAGGGAACGTGCGCAGAAGCGTATTGCCGAGCGCATGGCTGCTGCTGGCTTGAAGCCTGCCAGCTCCGAAGAGACCCTTGTGCAACGCCAGGAGCGGGAAAAGAAAGAGCGCGAGGAGCGCGTTCGACGTGCCGAGGAGGAAGATGCTAAGCGGGAGCAAGAGAGATCACGCCGTTTAGCTGAGGAGAAGGGCGGTTCTGCATCCGCAGCTGCTGCCCCCAAGACGGCGGGCAAGAAGCCCCCACCGGCTCCTCCTACTCGCAGAGCTCGGACCGATAGTGCCGGTCAAGCTGACTCGAAGAAGGCGGATGAGGTTGCCAAGGAACATGCTGTTCGTGAGCAGGCCATTAAGGAAGAACAGGAAGCCCAGGAGGCAGAGACCAAGCGTCTTGAGTAAGTATATTCGAGTGAACCTTCTATATCGGTATATCTTGTACTAATTTGATACTAGGGGTGAGGCCCAGTCGCACGAGGACGAGTTCGAGAAAGAGAAGGAAGCCCAAGCTGCCCGACTCCGTGCTCTCGAGGAGCAAGTCCGACAGGGCAAGGTGAAGAAGCAAGAGGAGAAGCGCCGCAAGGCAGAAGCTGCACGCGAAGCCAAGGACAACGAAGCTCGTCTTGCAGCCCAGCGTGCCGAAATCGAGGCTGCCAAGGAGCGTGAGCGGCAATTGCAGCTCGAACTCGAGGGCATTGACGATGAGAGCTCTTCAGATGACGAGGGCCCTGAGGATATCACTCCTCAGCACAGCACTCCCACCCAGAGCCAGGTTCTGAATGCGCCGCCACCCGTTCCTACAATCTCTATCCCCGAGCCCCCCGCGCAAGAAATCGAGAAGGCCTTCAGCCCTGAGCAGCAGCCTACATCCCCTGAGAGCACTCGCTCCCAGCCAGCAGCTACCCCGGATGCCGAGTCCAAGAACCCCTACTACAAGTCCTTGGGCCAGAGCCAGCCTCCTGCAGACTCGACCTCACCTCCTGCAGCCCAGTCCACGAATCCCTTCCACCGCCTCCAGCAACAAGAAGCCATCAAGCCAACCTTCACCGGTGCCGGTCCCCTGGAGCGCAAGAGCCGTGTTCGCCCCGAGGAAGACGATGACTGGTCCGCCGCCGGCTCCGACGCAGACTCATCCGACGACGAGGATGAGCGCCCAGGAGGCGGTAGTGCCAAACAGCTTGCTAGCATCTTGTTCGGTACCATGGCCCCTCCCCGTCCTCTAAGCGCCATGGACGAAGACAAGCCCTCTTCCGAATACACCACACCGGTCCAAGAGAGCCCTATCGCTCCTCCTCCCCCTCCCCCCGCACCCGCAGCTGTCCCCGAGCCAGCCAGTGACGATGTCTCATCTCCTGTCGCACCAGCTGGTCTTCCTCCCCCTCCTCCACCACCGCCTCCTCCTCCTCCTCCCCCAGGCATGGGCTCTGCACCCGCAGCACCGCCCCCACCACCCCCCCTCTGGTGCCCCTGGTGCTCCACCCCCACCTCCCCCTGCAGCAGCAGCCCCTCCGCCCCCACCCCCTGCCGCGGCTGGAGCTGGAGGTGACAACCGCTCAGCTTTGCTAGCTTCTATCCAGGCCGGAATGGGGTTGAAGAAGACGAAGACAAACGACCGCAGCACTAGCTCATCTGCTGGTCGCGTGTTGTAAGTTTCGTTGTGGAGGCAGTCATAATCGAACCTTTGGAACATAGTTGTACAGAGAGAAGGCTAGTTGGGAGTCTGGACTTGTTATATTTTTCGTGGAATTGAAGGATTATCGATCGGGTCAGATCATCCAATTCAAACTCAAACTCAAATTCAGGTTCAGGTTCAGACTTGGTGCTGGGTAGTTAGTTATATCCATGGATGTTATGCGTGCGTTGGTGGTAGTTGACTCTTTATGTAATTCTTCACAATACTTATTGGTTGCTTTTTTTGCTCTCACTGCTTATAATTGCCCAGGTGTTCTGTGCCAGTGCGTTCCTAGTAGTACTTTCCAAAGGTTGTAAGCTGAAGAGGTACCCATCCATGGCCAAAACGGTTCTGCATCCATTAAACAAGAAAATGACAGTTCAATTCATGTCCAGTTTTGTCAAAAGACTGCAACCTTGACACAGGATATAACCCAGATACACCTTGTAAACAGATATCCAAATCCCTTCCCCCCCCCCCCCCGCGGAAGTCTTGGTCAACAGACATGAATGTTATCACAATTTGACGAGAACTGGCTTGAAGAATGTATACAACAGCGCCCTACATCGCCTTCCATGTTGGAAACAGAGATGCTTTTTCAACCCCTACTCACATGATACTGCCCAAGAAGATATTGTCACACTTCTTGTACCTACCCGTAATAATATAAGCTCCTTTTTATAGATTGTCTCTTTCTGTCTATGCTCCTGTCACCCTTTCTCTCTCTTATCTCGACCTGCCCGTGCCGACCAGGCTGCCTTGAGCTTCCCCGTCTTACTAATTAACTTTCAATAGGTATGCTCTAGTGATCAACGCTATGTTATATCCCTTCCTATCGCTGCCATAGCCGACAGCATTTATTGGAAAACATGCTCCACTTGGATCGATTACTATATTGATCACCATGTCGATCTTTATGTCGATCACTCACCAAACAGCAAAACCGCCCTACGTCAAATGCTTTATAGAGTAACTACCTATTTTCATAAACCCACACGGCCCGGCTGTTCGTTATGCGTACAGTGCACCTCAATGCAAGCTTTGGTAAACATTTAAGCAAGATCCATCGATATGGTATTGGTCTCAGAGCATTCTCATCCTTAAGCCAAGTTACAAGGAGTGATCGGCATTTTATTATGAGAAGCTATTTTCTGTTTCAGCTACGCCACCAAGCAATAATCGTCGGTAGAGTTTCGAAAATAACTTAGAAAGTATGGACTCTGCGGCAGGCCTCTAGGTATAAAGAGGACATACTTCCTCCCAGTTCTTTACAAAAGTTAATCATCTGTTCCCTAGTCAATTACCTGTCTGCGTCTTGGAAATTGGACAAAATATGAAGATTTTTACCTTCCTCTTTACGGTCATGTTTACGGCCATGGTGGTTGCCGTGCCTGTCCAAGAGCTTAATACTCGGTTGGCCCAACAGGAGGATGACGGAGTAAGTGATCGAAGAGCTCTAAAATATAGGGTTTAAAGGATAGAAGCTAATCTAAATTACATATGAATAGAAGAACAAAGACTTTTGTTACGAATGCAATTGTATTGTGGTAAGTGATTCACTCGGGGAAAAAAACTCAAGAACCTGGGGCTGATCAAGATGGGATATCAACAGCAAGCTCTCTCCAGGAAGTGTCGAGCGTGCAAAAAATGCAAATTTGTCTATTCCCGACCCCTTTTCGGGCTCTTCGATCCTTAATAGAGCCAGCGACTTTATTACCTGTGAAATGGGGCATTGTGCGGGACCCTCAACGAATTGGGGAGAGGCAGGTGCATTTGGGAAAGAATGAGGGGAGGCGGGAAGGGTCGAAGGGAAACACATCAACCAGCCAGCTAGTCTCAGGAAACAGACTTTTTCCCCTTCACACTCTCCTAGGCCTCCTCTCCAAGTAGACACGGTGCCCAGGTCTCCTTAGCCAGCCTAATCACTCACTGAGAGCTTCACCAGAGTGTCGGTACAGTTCCTAGGAGCTATTGTTTAATTCATCCTTTCAATGTGGTTACTTACTCATTTTAGTGGCCAGGAAAATGAGGAGACCAGCGTCTACGTATCTTTTCCACCGCTTTTCCTCCTTTCATGGATATGATTAGACACTTTGACTGTCAGACCCCACAATCTCGTATATGCAAGCCGGAGGGCGTGGTGATTTTAGGGAATGTGGGTGGAAGGGGGTGGTATACCAAAAGACAGTACAGCCGAGGGTAGCGGAGTATGTGGCCTTTGCAGAAGAACGAGCTAGACAAGATCTAGACAGAATCACAGGTCCTCTACCTGTCAACAAAAATTCCCAAGCATATCCTAAGCCCGCAACGAAAGTTGGTGAAGGTGTTCATGGCGACAAACCGCTCGCTGTGAATGATATACCCCAAGGCGGAAAATACTCCTAAGGGCTCCAATAAAAGCGAGGAAGACAAGGGTCAGATGAACCGCAAAAAGAAGAAGTCTGGAAATCATAAATTATTATCTAGTCCACGTCGTCCTCGGAAATGTGGACAATGCCTGGGTATTGTGAATGGAGTCGGGAATCCAAATGAATCGTGTCGCTGTGGCTACAATTAGCGTGGTGTTCTTTATTAGGCTACGTCGCGTGTAGTGAAGTTGGAATTGTGAGTGGATTCTCGAATGGGTCAATCAGTTGCAAAATACTGCTAGACTCGACTGAGTTTGTGTAAGCCTCTACAGTGGATGGATGGATGGATCATGGTTTCATTTACGCTAACCCCTAATCACTATTCGGACACCCCCCGGGTCTAATTAGGAGCATGGTATATGTAATACTAAGGATTGAGTGGTCAGAATTACACTATTACCACAAAAACGTTTGAACATGGTGGTTTGAACATGGTGGTTTGAAAATAGTGGCCGGCATGCGACCACAAGGAATAGCCAAGCTAACTTGAATATAATGAATGCTATAGACTCCACATCACTTCTCACAATGAATGGAAAAATGAAAATGAAAAAGACATGATAGAGCCGAAGGAAAAAAGATGACTATGCATGATCTCGTCAAATCAACGACACCACATGAGCTTGAGGGCAAAACCCAAACCTGCATGCACGCAAACAGCAGAAAAGCGGAGTGTGAGTGTGAGTATGAGTATGAGTCTTTATGTTAACTCCGCAATCACATTGCCAATGGTACTAATACACCAAACAACAATAAGCCCCCACCCAATCCTCTTATCCATGCGCCAACCATTCAGCGGAACGACGATCAAAAGACCGACCAGAACAACAAGCAAGGTAGCACCACTGATAACCAAGACCTTGGAGATTTCAATCTCGTAAGAGGTTTCCACAGCAGTGATGCCGCCCCCACTCCCGCCAGCAAAGATCTCGTCACGGCGGGACGGAGTACCTGATCGATTGACAGTCATGTATAACCCGCCCAGACCGATACCGAGTAGGATGTTGAGCATGGGTCCGCCGAAGCAGGCGCTCAGAGCCATGACGGGATATCCGAGTCTTGCGACTGTGATGTCGGCGACGAGGTCGCCGAGGGAATTACCGACGGCGAAGACGGTTAGGCCGAGGAGGGAGTCTGAGATGTCGAGGATTACGCCGATGGTTTTGAGGAGGGAGACGACTTCTGTGGCTATTGTTGCGATCCAGGATATTGCGACTAGGAAGCCGAGCATGGAGAGGACGGGTCTCCATGAGTGTGGGAGAGGTTGTGGGTGTGGTTCTAGTTCTGGGGCGGTAGAATCGTGCTGCTGCTCTGAGTGGTTTGTTCGGGAGAGTCGATTATATGGGCGACTGCGTGTCGTGATGATTAGGAGTGCGAGACAGATGAAAGAGAAGAGCAGAGATATCAGGGCTGGGAGGATGAAGTTGCGTGGATTGAGGGACGTGTCTGCGGTAGTCCAGGCAATCAGGGCGAAGAAGAATGGGCCCGTGAACAGTTGAATTGAGACCAGCCAGCGGTTCCAGTCCTTGACGGACGTTACAGAGTCAATTGCTGGAGGCGGGGGTGCTGCTGGCAGCTCCGAGTCCCAGCGGGGTCGCCTGTAAGAGTCGTCATGTGAATGTTTGTGCGGATGAGGATGTGTCGTTGTTATCCCGGGAATAGAATCATTATGACCATGTCCCATGGGATGGATGGTAGGACTGTCCGCTGGTAGTCTTATTCTTGGAGCAGGTCCATCAGTATCGACTTGTTCGATGACCACCGCCGGTATTGGGTCTGGTTCGTCATATTCTGAAGCCTGGGGCTCGACGACTGGCACAGTGATTGTTAGGAGAAACACGCTTGGCGCAGCAACTATCCCTAGAAAACGTCCCATGATGCTTCTGCCTTTCCAGCCAGCCAGTGTTGGGAAAAGTGTACATGCAAGTTGCTGAGGGGGAGGTAAGACAGAATCAGGCCACCATTTTCTCAACCGACATGAAGAGCTATCCGTGAGCCTATCGTCAAAGGGATCATGAACAAGGAGCTGTTCTGCTGGACTGGCCACTGGATTGGGTAGACGGATACTGGGTGCGCGCGATGACGGAGCTGAAGTGTCGTCGACATATATCGGGAACGGGGCCGAAGGACTTTCTAAGACGGCCATGGATTGATAGCTGCGGCTGGTGCCTCGTGGCGACACTGCTTGTGGCGATCGGTCATGAGTCATGCTTGATTGATAGTTGGGAGAGCTGAAAGCGGCTGGTGGAGCTAGTAGGTCGGGTGTTTGGGGAGCATCCGCGGCAACGGGGCTTCCGCTTGGCGATGCCTGTGTAGATGCCGAGGGAGAGAGCGTTATTGCCAAATTCGTATCGATTCGAGGTGGCTGCACAGATTGTCGAGTGGGCACCTCCTCAGAAGGCCGTCTAATAGTAAGCTGTGGTACCTCCTCTTGATAACGACCTAGCACACTGGGGTCCAGTTCAACTCTATCAGCATCATTGGCTGACACTGCTCGAGCCCTAGAGCCTTCCGCGCTATGCGGCGACAGGCGGTCATTAGGCGCAGAGGGCCGGGTAGCACGAGGATGAGATGCTACAGATCTAGTGTCCCAAGACTGAGCAGACGAATTGCCTTCGTCCGAATAGCTGCCCAGGCTGCTTGTCGCCCCGTGTCTGATATTTCTCGATTTCTCAAGCGAGTGCAGCACGGATTGAAATTCCAGCGCACCAACAAGACTTGCTCGGATCGGATTCATAGTGTTTCGTCTCGATCGATACTGAGGTCGATAAACGTGCATATTGTCTCGAATCTCGGCTAAATACCGGTTGCGGGTTTCGTCGTCCTCCTCGTCCTCCTCCTTCCAACTGGGGGGTTCTCTCGGCGCGTTCCAGTAGATCAAAGTCATCAGTGGATGCACCGCGGAGAAGAGCCCGAGACTCGCGTGACTCTGATGCAACGCCTGGATCATCGTCATCCAAAGGTTGCTCGTACTCCAGCTCCTGGTTGTCAGGGATATGGAAATGTGTCCGTGCTGCCATGTCCCTTTCGTGACGTTTTCGACGCCGAACCAGATACCAGTGCCATGTCACAACCATAAAAACGTAGAAGGCATATAGAGCAACCATTGCAGCCGATTCCCAAACATGAAGCCGTCCATCGGCTAGCAAAAACATGCTGAAGGTGACGGCGATCACGAAATAACCAACATCCCGGACAAAGCTCCTTCGCGCGACCTTGAAGGGGCGAACTAGAGCCATGGAGCCGGCCACGACAGTAGTGATGAAACTTGCAGCTCCGATTAATTCGCCAATGGCTAGGCTGCCACTATTCGAGCGCATGGCGGCGAAGGTTGAGAAAACATCGGGACTTCCATTGCCGAATGCGAGGAAAGTAACGCCCGTGAGACTCTCGCTCAAGCCCAGAATGCTCGCCAGTGTACTCAAGTCGATACATAAAAAATCACTAGCAGCGATTCCGATGGTACTGAAGAGGAGCGATAACCAGAGGATCAAGATGAGAAACGCAAGCGGTTTTGCATTCGGGAGGGCGCAGTAGTATAGCTGTAAATAAGAGAATAGGCCATCTTGGTGATCTGGGCAATTGTCACGGACATATGCGCATTGATCTTTGACTTCACGTACGAGACGACACTATATCCAAGTCACACAGTGTAAGAATTAGCTTTCAAGTGGCCTAGGGAGAGGCTGGTAATACGGGATTGTTGTCATACCTCTGGCTCGTTATCGCGCTTGAGAAGAAGTGTGCCCGCTGTAGTACGATCGGCTTGACCTTTTCCAACCCATGCAATAAGCAAGCTCAATATTGTCAGTGTTGTAAAAACGGCTATCGAAGTGTAAAACGGCCGTACAGAGTACCGAGGCACTTTGCGGGCCGGCCGCAGGAAGAAGGGTGGTGACTGGAGCATTATGGCCACGGACACTGCTGCATTGTGAGCCGATGAAACCCTGGAGTAGTCCTTGACCCGCAGTTTATGCAGAGAAAGCGAAGCAGCAAGTTATTTGAGTCGCGTGTACCCCCTCCATTGACCCGGTATGAACGTGAGGAGCTGCCAATGCGGTGAGCTTGGTGATGTCAGCCTGCACAGCGAAGAGTGGGCCAATGCACTCACTCTCTATTGCATTTTGGGTTTCTGCAAAGCCACCACCAGAAGTTGAGAAATGTGGCTATGCAGATCGATCTTGAAGAAATCAGGGAAATCGCCAGGTATTCAAGGAAGGTTTTTCCAGTAGGCTCCAACGACCCAAAATTAATGGGGGGCGATGACCGGTTTAGACACCTCCAAGACTAGGCGATAACACGTGATAAGATAAATACGCACGTCCACGTGATCACCCGTTTGGGAGGCGCGACTGTCGTCGCTGCCGTGCGATAGGCAAGTCACGTGGGGTGTGTTTGTTGACATTGTTTGTGCCCGCCCCTCTCCATCAGCTGCAACCACGACCGGCTATCGCAACCAGCAACCAACATCCAGCGCATCTCGATCTTCCCAGCTGGGGGAAACCGCAATCATGCCTCGTGTAGTCAACAAGGCGCATCATCGCCGTTCCAACGGCGCTTCGACACCTCAGAAGAACTCCCCTATCAAGTATGTCGCATCCATTCGCAGTTGGTTGTACGTGGAGCGCCCGGATTCTAACAGACTATCAGGGTTCCTCTTAACGATGATATGGGCGAGAAGGCGGCTCGGAAGGAAGCCAGACAAGCCCTTCATGACCGCCAGATGAATCAGATTAAGGCCGCCGTCAAGACACCCATGCCCCCCCCGTCGATACACATCTTACAACCGCGAAGGGAGTGACAGTCCCGCAACACCTCGGGGATCGACCGGTCACCGTGGCCGCGACAGCGATGTTAGTGGTCGGGGTGTAACTCCGATGAAGCGTGTGCCTATTCTGGCCAACTTCGAAGAGTGGATGAAGATGGCAACGGATAACAAGATCAACGCAAACAACTCCTGGAACTTCGCCCTGATCGACTATTTCCACGATATGTCGCTCTTGAAGGAAGGAGACGGCGTCAACTTCCAAAAGGCCAGTTGCACCCTCGATGGATGTGTGAAGATCTACACCAGCCGTGTGGATAGTGTCGCAACCGAGACTGGAAAGCTACTGAGTGGCTTGGCCGATAGCCGCGACAAGCGAGGCCGTGAAGCCGATGCCGAGGGAGAAGATGGAGACGACGATGAAGACGGTGAAGATGGAGGCACCCGCAAGTCGCGTAAGAAGGTTTGTCTCACTACCACTGTAATCAAGTCATGGGAATGTGCACTCGCTGACCAGTTTCTACAGAATCGCTCACATGAATCTACGCTTGCCCCGTCATTTACATCGTTACAACTGAAGAAGTTTGAGTTGGAGTTTGCGGTGGATCCGCTCTTCAAGAAGGCATCTGCTGATTTCGACGAAGGCGGTGCCAAGGGATTGCTGCTGAACCACCTTGCTATCGATGGCCAGGGAAGAATCGTTTTTGATAGCAGCGACGACGCTGTGGATGACAGTGCTAAGACAGACGAGGGTGATCGACAAGATTCCGAGGATCACGATGCGCAAGCCGAAGAGCAGCTACAAAACGAGGACAACAAGGCGAATATTATCCAGAAAGCCAGCGAAACCTTTGAAGATGACCCGAATCTCGATCTCACCACTCTGGCCAACCAGTTCTTCCCCGATTTGGATTATTTAGACGAGCAGGATATCTGCCCCTCCCTGAAGAATTTCAACCTGGGTGACCCTAACGGTTCACTGGACATCCCACTCCTCAAAGCACCCGAGGAATGGCGACAGGATAAGAATGAAGACGGAGTCGAAGACCCCTCAGGGATTATGCTTGATGACGACAACGCGGTCGGTTTCGATGATGACGATGGTACATTGGCTGGTTTCGACCTTAGCGGCGACACCGGTTTCGGTGATGGAGGAGAGGCATGGGCTCGCGAGGCTGCTTTGGAGCCGATGCTCAAGGTTCACCGAATGGAGGATGGTGAAAATGCCGATGGGGATGAAGACCTCGATAACGAAGACGCCTACGCCATCTCCATGTCGCATCAGCCTAGCAAGCAAGACCATGAGAATATCCTCAGCTACTTCGACAATGCGGCTTCCAAGAACTGGGCTGGTCCTGAGCACTGGAAAATTCGGAGAATCAAGGACCACACAGCCGCCAGCACTACCGCTGCACCAAAGCAACGCAAAGAGAAAGAGCCTTTCGAAATTGACTTCGGGGCGTCGCTTGATCCATCTCTCGCGGAGTTGATTTACACTCCTGCCAGCTCCAATTCCGCCATTTCCGTACCCAAGACGCAATGGAAGACTAAGGGTCGCAATCTATTGCCTGACGATAAACACTTCAACTCCCGTCAACTACTTCGGCTGTTCCTGAAACCAAAAGCTCAAATGGGCTCAAGGAAACTTATGTCACGACGGATCAACCACAACCGACCAGACCAAACATCCGGTAACGGGGACATGGACGAGGCATTTTGGGCGAATCACAAGACTGAAGATGTGGATGAAGAAGGCGTTCCTGGTGCCTATGATGCCAACTTCTTCGCTGATGATGATGGTCTTGCTTTCCCTAATGGCATGGACCTTGACGACGACGATGACAACCTGCCATTCGCAGACGCACGGGAGATGCTCTCCCCACCTACTGATGGTACTCAAGGTGCGGCAGCTGGCGATGCCGGCGGACAGACCGGACTCTCTGCCTTATTGAACATGGTCGGCGCGACACCAAGCAAGGGCGGATACGGTTCGCAGTTGGTTACTCAAGGCGCACGTCGCGCCCGACCAGACTACGTGAACTATGCACGTGTAGCGAAGAAGGTTGATGTTCGACGTCTCAAGAACGAAATGTGGAGAGGCATGGGTGAGCGACTCATCGCTGCTACCGATTTCGCCTCCGCTTCACAACCAGGTGCCGTCTCAAGCGAACCACCAGCCGAACCTGAGAGTGAAGCCGACACCACGCCACCCACACCCACACCCCAGCAAAGCAGCCCAGAAAAAGCCATTGACCTCGGGGATGATGGCCGGCTTCGGTTCACGAAGATCATGAACAACCTGAAGGCGGTCTATCCTGTCGAAACACTGCGGGATATCAGCACCTCCTTTGGGTTCATCTGCTTGCTGCATTTGGCCAACGAACAGGGTCTGGTCCTCGAGAGTGATATCACTAAGATAGCCAGCGGTGCCGCTACCCTGGAAGAGATCTTTGTCAGTCGGGATGTCCATGCTGTTCTGGAAGAGGGCGGTGGGATGTAGGCTTCCTTCTTTGACATGCTAGTATGTATGTATGTATAGGTCCGTTACCTTAGATCGGAACACGTGTTAGTCATGAATTTCAGGGACAGAATGGGTTGGATTTAGTTGATCCGCGGAGTTGTTTCGGATTTTGGGCTCTTGCAGAGTGGCGCTGGGGATATCTTTATTTGCTGTTCCATTGATTCCCAATGCGAGATCGGTGACCTTTTGCATACACATCCAATTCAAGTTCATGTTGCTTGTAGATCCTTTGATAGGATTATGGATTGAATCCAGACAACTACTTTTGAAACCTAAGAGTTCTCTTTCTATTTTCCAAGATTCATTCTTTACTACGTCTTAATTCAACTTGATGTACTCGACAAAGGGCATCGCCCCCCCGCCAAGTCCCTAGCGCAGATTACTATTCATTGAGTTGATCAAGCGGCTCTGGGGGCCTACAGATAAATACAGAGCGCTTCTCCACTGCATACTTGGAATACTCCAGCTAGGTGGAGGACATAGTCTTGATCGGTATTCATCCTTGTTCAGCAGCAGACACTTCCACTCCTTTCAAAATGATCGAACCACCCTCAAACCAAGAAACAACCCCACTCGAAACCATTCGCGAGTCCGACACTCCTGAAACAACACCAGACTGGCTGACACGACGTCTCGCAAAAACCCTCGATAGCCAACTCTTCGTCGGTAATGCAGGAGCCTTAAAGTACGACTATCTCGGACGGAATGGCGACGAACTAGACGGCAACCATTACACCATAACATCTGCAGTCGGAAGCAAAGTCGGAATTCACGAATATCCAACTCAAGCCGTATCGTCAGATCAGGACTCGGACCCAGACCTCGTCCTCCTCTTCTTCCACGGCAACCTCCGACCTACACGATATCTCTCCAAAGAAATCTTCCAACCCCTCGTCGAGAACGGGATAACAGTTATCGGTCGTGATTTCGTCGGCTACGACGCAAGCTCATTCGTACCAAATGTCGACGGCGCAATGGAAATTGCCGCCATAGCAAACGACGAAGCTGTCATCAACTGGACGCTCGAGAAGTATCCGAAAGCCCGCATCGTCATCTGCGGTCGTTCAATGGGTGCACTGTGCCTAGCTGGTCATTTAGCTCGGCCCAGAGTGATAGGGGCTATTGGCATCGTGCCAGTCACGAGCTTGGATTCTCTAGTAGATGGTTTGGTGGCGTGGATTCCGTGGCCTCTGAGTGATTTGGTTTGTCGTCTTGGTTATCCCGATGCCATTGCGCATGAGGCGTTCCCTCCGGGATTTCGGTCGAAGGCTGAGCCGAGTATTGTTACGAGTGGGTTTGCGTCGAAGTTTACGGATGATATACGCGGTAAATTGGTTTTTCTTTTCCCGGCGGAGGTGGATGAGTTTGTTCCTAGTGGTCGGATTGAAGTTCTTCAGCGGGAGATGGAAGAGAAGGGGTGTATTGTTAATGTTGATTGGTTGAAGGGGGGTCATCATGTTTTACCGACATCTGATCAGCTAATGCGGGCTTTGGAAGAGCTGAGATACTAGTATCATCAAGAGCCTTGGATATAGACTCGGAGTTTCATTGCTGCCATGGGATCATTCAGGTTGGAGCTGGGATAGTATCGTGGTGTCCAAATTTTTATATACTCAATTTTCCAAGAAATACTAGTACATCTATACTCAGATATTAACTTGAACTTGAAGGCATTCAGTAATAGTATATCAGAAAATACAGCGTTGTTTTTGATTTTGAAGAACACAATATACTAGTAGTTGAGAAAATGCAGTCTAAGCAACCTTGGAGCCCTATGTTGAACCTGCCAGGAACTGGGAGTATAGCAAGATATGAATTTAGTATTCTCAAAGATGGAATGGTAATATTGAATCTTAGAAGCAAAGAGTTTTTCGAAACAATAGCAATAGTAAAACAATCAAGCCCTCCAACTAGCACTGGTATCTGTATCCCAACCGCTAACGCCCTTGTACATCATTTGTCAGTGCCCAACCCCAGATGGGTAAATTAGGGAATATAAAATAGTAGAACCAAGAACGAAAAAAAGTAACAGGAGATAGGTATGTTCAAGATTTCGACCGCAAAACGATCGTATACATTTTTTTCAATAAAGGTTTTTTTATAATTTTTTTGGGACGAAATCAAGCTGACTCTCTCGCTCCCATACGCCAGGAAAACGCAACGTAACGTAAAACCAAAGCATTCAAGCTTGGAAGTTCTAGTACTTGTGCACCGCAGGAGGGAAAGCCGGACCCATGGGACTGGTATAACCGCCCGGGATAGGCACAGCGGCGTATTCCGTCTCGCCCGGCGCAGCAGCAACGTGTTGCGGGGGAGGCGGGGACGGGGAGTGTGAGGGAGCAGCGAATTCCTCTTGAGCTGTTTGGGGGGGTAGGTTGTTGGACGCGGATGGGTGGGGCTTGGAGTTGGAAAGAGGGGACGGGGCGGGTTGGGGAACGCGGCGAGGCATATTGCGTTGTTGTTGGCGATCTCGGGGCCTGGCCTTTCTCTGCGGCTGAGTATGCGTCAACCGGGGTTGCGGCGGCGAAAGGCGATTTAGGCGGGTATGATGAGAAGCCTGCGAAGCCGGGCGTGTTGGGGGCTGATTGGAGGCGGAGTTGGGCGAGGTAGAGATCATCTCGTGCTTGGTCGCGGCCGTTCATGCTCTTCATCAGTCGGCGCTTGGTCCAGATACGGTAGAGGACTACGGCGTAGATCAGGATGGCTAGAACCTCGATGACGACTTCGATGATGGCGCAGACGAGACCCCAGTCCTGATTAACTGTCAGCTTTTGTAAACTTTGGGCTGGATGGGGAGGGGGCGCGAATATTTACCTGAAGACGACATAGCAGAGCGTAGTCAACTGAGTTGCTGTATATCTCTTCACGAGTATTCTGGGCGCAGGACCATCCCCACATGTCTTTACCATTCCCACTTGATTTGGAGTGTTGGTAGACAGCTGCACCGACAACCCACATAATCAAACTGAAAAGGAAGAAGAATATGGAGAATACGGTGTAGTAGATGGCGGTCTTTTCGGCACGTTTGTGACCACCTTTCCAGTAAGCCCAGAAGACGATCAAGCAGGCAAAGAGTGAAACACAAGCCATTCCCAGAAGCATGTATTGAGCCCATGGGTTTGTGCCCTCGGCCCAAGCAGGAAGAGAGTTGCGCGTCGGGATGGCTTTTGTCGCTCTGAAAACGGTCAAAGTCACTGCCAGAAGAGCCAATATGATCAGACTGCAACCAAAGTTGACGAAACGAAGGAAAATCTTGGCGATGCGAACGCGAAGTTTGATTCTCTGGACGAAGGTTAGAAACTTGAGCGATTGATAATGGTTGTAAGTAGAAGTTTCCTTACCAAATCTCGGGCGTTTTCTTTATCCGCAACTTTTTCTTGCTTCTCGAGCATGTATTCCTCGCGGAAAGTAGGGCTGAGTGGGTTCAATGAACGAGCAGTGTTGGGCACCTTCAAGTCGGCCCTCCATGGCGAGGCTGGGGGGAGGGAGTCGTCCACATGCCTCGCTGGATCATTCGCCGATACATAACCAAAACCAACATCCGCAACACCACCCCCAGCGTTCTTGTTCTGAGGATCGGCGAAAGGAGATTTAGTTGCTGGTTCGATTGGCGAGTGAATTGTTGTGGCCTCGGCGAACCGAGCTGTGCGGGGGCTTTTTAGAGAAGCACCGCTGCTCTCGGAGGAGCTGCGAGTCTCGTTGGCTGTGTGCTGCTGTGGAGGGGGACCCATTGCGCTGTGATAGGAACTGCGAGTGAGATCCACTGGAACGACGGGTGCGTAGTTCTGGGGAGAACCGTTGTTGCTATCACCAGAAATCGACATTTCAAGGAAGAGCGATAGAATCTGAAATCAACAAAGATCGATCAAGAGAGCCAGCTCTTGATAGGAATCCAAGAGGCCTTTCTTCGAGAATTAGAAGAAAAATAAAATCGGCCAAGAGCGAATACAAGTCAATTGTGTGCTGCGATCCCAGCTGTGTGCGTGTGTAACAACTGCTGAGAAATATGGACGTTTTCGCAGGATCACCTTGGATAACCGTGAGCGAGACCTGCTGTCCACGGATTAAACAAACACAGAACCAGTCAAGGCGGCGGATGGTGACAAGGAGGAGAAAGAGAAAAACGTGAGGAGACGCAGGAGCCGGCCATGGCTTTCTTGAATATCAATCAGCGCCAGTGTCGAGTCGAGGGGCGGGGGCAAGAACTGCAAGCCGATGGTCGCTCATCACTTCGTGCCAGGATCAGAGTAAGCGCCGGGGGGAATAGTGCTGGTGCGACGGAGATCGTGATTGGGGAACGGTCCCTCTGGACGAGGAGCCTGCATCTTCACACTGTCGGTCGTGCAGACTCAGCACTCTGACTGGATGGTTGAGGTGATCGGTCGAGCTTGTCACAGTGGAGTCTCCAGCCAGTAAGAGACACTAAACGGCCTCGGGCACCTCCTCACGATGCACGCCCATCACCTCAACCGGCGCTAATCCGCCGATCGCCTAGCCAACCACACCTCCTCCCGAACCGCTCGAAATTGGGGTGGGATGTGGGATGGAAGGATAGGAGCAGCACGGGGCATGAAGCCCAAGCCGGGACCAAAATACCCGCCAACCCGCATCTCCGTAGGGATGCAAGCTTGTCACACAGGGTCAATAAGCACCAAGTCCTTCCCCTGGCGCTTCGCCATGTTTCGAGTCGAATGTATCCGAGGCCAGTGCGCGGGGGAATTTGAGGGGAGGGGTACGAGTACGGAGTAGTGTGATACATTTATGTAGTGGTTGTGCTGGGGAGGTTGGACGGGAGCATTGCCAAGACCAGACTTAAGCATTGCTATGAGAAGACATAACCACCTACTCCGTAGCGAATATAGAGACACACTAGTAGATGGCTTAACTAGACTATTATTACAGCAGTCATGCAATTGTCTCGCCAATTCCGACAGTTTTAGAGAGGCTACACAGAAGAAAAAGTGCTTGGATCGATTCATAATATAACTTGCCAGTGCACTCCATGCACTCCATGCACTCCTATTCCCAACCTTCACGTTGAACAGTGATTCTTCATATACTCGTACTCTGTATACCCCGGTCACTTGCACTGCCTAACTTGTAAGACTCAATGCCAGGGCCCCTCATGCCTCCAGCATCTTCTATTTTTAGACTCCCTATAATTTAAGATCCACCATGATTCCCGCGGTAGGACAGATAGATCACGCTGACCTGATATCGATGATTGACCTGTCCATTGACTAGTTTGTTCATAGTTGTAGAGAAGTGCCTTGTTATGTCCTGCTGGTTTAGCAGTACTTTTCAGAGCAACGAGCATGACTATCTAACTCAGATTTTGAGCTGCCTTGTACTAAATAGAACCCACATTTATAACAACATAAGCTCTACAGTCAATTTCTGGTGTAGAGGTAATATTCTGGTATATTCAAACCCGGTGAATATTAGATGCTTCCCGGCCCTGAGTTCGTGACAGGCCGGATAGACCGGCAGTGCCACTAGTCATACCTCAGAAGAAAGCCTTAATTCACTTCTAGTAAATATGACACTTCAGTTCCAGGGACTGATCTTGCCTTTCAGCACAAATGGAAGTGTTCTTCTCTTAGGCGAAAGATAACTAGTTACTAATACATACAGGTGTATCTAGATCTGGTCAACTCTTCTAGGCCCTCCCAACTTCTTAATTATTTCTAGTCAACCCTCTAAAAAACCACCAAGTGGAGATTCGACCCATCCATACATAGAAGAAATGGGCGTACCTGAGAGACTATCAAGTAACAGCTGTCAGCTTACTATTGATGGTTCACATCAGCCACACCTCTGATGTAATTAGGCAAGGCACCAAGGATCCTGAAACGCGATGGCGGATCTGACCATGTTGGAACATTCTAGCGATAATGAACTTAATTTTACACAGCAACAGATTCATACTGGCCAAGCTGTCCTTTCATTCATATCCACTGTTTTCGTCTGACGTAGTCCCGGCCAAGCCACAATTTAGGGTGTCGGCCAGTGATCAATACAATTACAATGGAAGTGGATCCGTGGGGAGAATATTTCCGACACAACAAATGTGGAGATGTCTGCCGAATTGGGAATCCAGGTGGCTGTTGACCAGGTTTGCAGGAGAGTAATTATAGAACTATGGAATTCAAATCCATGTCATGTGAATTGGAGTATCGGGATACTTCACGTTGTATATCCTTCCATGCCCTGGAGGTAAACTTGCTAGTGTCTTTTCTTCCCTGGCCGTTACCTATCTGTTTCCGTCGACAACACTTAGCGATGCCATGACAACAGTTATTCGACGTATTCGTATTCATTTTCCTACTCCAATTCTATGCCAAATCCTCATTTTTTCCGATCCAAAACCCCAAGAATAAAAATCTGCGAACGCCACATTTCTAGAGGTCCACCAATTCCATCACCGCTCGCCACCCCATTCTATCCCTTCCCTGCCCTTGCATTGACAGCGAGTGAAGCACGATTCCGTGGAAATCCTGGTAGAGAATCCTTCAAGTGCCAATGCCGGATGAAACTTGAAGCTCACGACCCCCGATCCGAACCGTGAGACTACACAGCTATCGGGCTATGCAAGGCCGCCTGCAAGAGCCTCATCGGCCCATGCAGATATGACCGCCTGGTAATTGCCCCGGTGCTGGGGAGATGCATCGAAAAGCCTCATCTGACTGATCTACCTCCAGGGGTTTGGAGGCCTTCTTCTCTCCCCACTCTCGCCGACATGAAGATTGGATTGGTCTGACTGTGACCCATTTAGAATATCGTACTGACACCGCTACCCCCCACCCACTACAGTATGTACATGCACAGGATGTATTGTACATCCCAGTGGAAGCCTCGAAGCCTCACAGCCCACGCGACTGGATTGATTCACTACAGCTGTGCTTATGTTATATTGTCGATCCTCGACTGAAGAACAGGTTGAGCCTCAGTCGGGTCGGCGGTAAAATGAAACTAGACGCAGCAGCAGCAGACTGGGCCTAACGCTGCAGAAAAGCATTGGTGCATTGGCATTGGCATTGGCATTGACATTGACATTGACATTGGGATTAGTTTCCACGGTCAGGCCCCGAAACAAGGTGGGTTCGAGTAGATCTGCCGCCCGCCCCTCCGAGCGACATGAGGATGTCCACGAGGTGACATCACGGGTGAAGTGTGGCAAGGGCTGGTGGTACGTCGGTCGTACATGGCTGTATTCTCCGGAGGGTACGGTGCATAAGGAGGAATATAGACAGAGTTAAACAGATGTGTCCCTCAGCCGCAGAGTACGAGTATGAGTATGGAGGAAAGGGGAGGGACGGGAAGCCTCGTGTTGATGCTGGTTGTGAGTGCTGCTGGTGCTAGACCCACGGCCCGCCACAAACGCCTTAGCGGCTACACAGCCTCAATCTTAACCAAGTAGAGGTACCTGATCACAAGGGTAATAATATATGCGGGAATAAGTACCAGTACATACCTAGAGGGTTCATTTCCAAGAGCCTCGACCGTGGCCGACCAGGAGTGACTAGATGTGAGTTACATGAGTACCAGGACCATACAATACCGGGCATGAGGCCGCCAATTGCTCTAATTTGTTACTGCGCCACGCCAGCCCCCCGGAAATATTACCATACACGTACTGTTGCTCTATCCTGTTTCTGCCTGTTGCTGCTGCTGCTGTTGCTGCTGTTCCTGTTCTTTCTCTTGCTACTGTTCTTGTTCTTGTTTTTGTTCTTCTTCTCTTTTACTCTAGTCTTGTTCTATTGGGATCCAGTGAATGAGCATCACCCACTCTTCCAACTCTTCCAACCTTTTCAGCTGATTAACCCAAAGTTATCAACATTCCTCCCCTCTTCTCCACCGCCCCAACTCAGCTCTCTCAGCCAACTTCGTTCCTGCGCAACCCGCACCCGCCACGGTTCCAAACTTCCACACTTCCACGCCTGATGGCCTGGCTTCATTCAAATCGCCAATCTCCTTGATTCCACTCCCCATTTGCTATTTTAACACAAGGCCCAAGCCCCCCCTAGACATTCCAAGTGGATCTTCTTCTGAGTCCAACAACTCTGAAAAGCTGAAACCAACCTCGTCAGCTTGCGCCACACTTGCCTGAAGGTGAAAGTGAGTCTAAACGCCCCACACGCCGTGGACTTCGCCTCGCCTTCATCCTCCTCCTCTCACCCCGTCTCTCGTTCGGTTGTTCCAAAAGCTCTTGCGGTTGGTTTCTTCCTTTCCCCTTTCCCATTTCCCTAGACTCCCCCCCATGCTCTCTTCCGCCGCGTACATTTTCTAACATGTCGTCGGAAGTAGCCATCGCCTTGGTTCGTCCACCCATCGAGGCTGGCGCGAAACCTTCTGCCTCCATGGCGGCATTGATGCACTCCAATAACGAGACTGTCGCCATTTCAAACTCCATTTCCGCTTCCTCCACCTCTCTCTCTAGTCCGGAGCCCGTCGCCTTTATCAAAGGTCACTCAAAACCTGACACCAATCTAAGCTCCATCGCCAGCGCCGGTCTACACGTCTCGCGATCTCAACCCCCTCAGATGACAAGTCCAGCGACGATGCCGGCGGATCGGCCGGCAGAACAAGATCGGGAACCCGAAAGAAACAACACACAGGTCGCCCGCGAAGCATTGGGGGCCAGCGAGAGGTCCCCGGCCCCCTCCATCCATGAGCCTTCGCTTCACGCATCGCCGGAACAGATGCAGGTAGACTCACACCCGAATGACTCCGCGTCAGACCATTACAAATCAATCGATCACAACTCGAACTCTCTCATGCACACATCAACCGTCGCGAGCCCAGGTCCCATCGAAGAGTCAGCTTCACAGGATGGCGATCGACCGCGTCCTCGGGCGGTCTCGGATCTTGACCAAGACAGCAATAAAGCCTTTTCGTATCCTATGCCCAGTGGCGGTCCAGGGATGTTGGCGGCAAATAGCCCGCCTATAAACGCTCGTCGCCCAAGCCTTAGCGATCCGCGCCGCGGACTTAGCTTGCCAGATGCGGGCTATAATAGAGGGAGCCCGCGCTCGCCGTCCGCAAAGAAGCACCGCTGTCCCTATTGCGCAACAGAGTTTACACGGCAACACAACCTCAAGAGTCATCTTCTGACCCATAGCCAAGAGAAACCTTTCGTCTGCCAAACTTGCCAATCTCGCTTCCGCCGATTACACGACTTGAAACGACACACCAAACTCCACACAGGCGAGCGCCCTCATATCTGTCCGAAATGCGGGCGTCGATTTGCTCGCGGTGACGCGCTTGCGCGCCACAATAAAGGTCAAGGGGGCTGCGCTGGTCGCCGATCCAGCATGGGCAGCTTTGCAGCAGACGACGACTACGGTGATGGCCACCCGGCAGATGACGCAATGAATGGATTGGTCTATGCTGAGCCAGAGCGTATGGATGAGGAGGACGAGCGACGACTCAACATGCCGGGCATGCGCAAGTCCGATGTTGATTCTCTCTCCAGAACCGACTCTCTCCACCCCCGCCCGCCTAGTACTTATCCACCGATCGCTGCTGGCCGTGCTCTCTACCCACCTCCCGGCTCGCACGGTGGATCGGGATCTTCTACAGCAGCGACTTCACAACCTTCAAATATGACGTTCCCACCCGCAGGTCATACATCTGGCTCGTCCATTTTCACCGCAACAAATGTCGGCGACAGCCCTAAGCCACTTTCTCCGAACTCCCTCTCGCATCACGACGGAAGTACACAACCTCACCTCGCACACTCCCCCGGCATGGGCCAGTCCTTGCCTCATCCTCAATCATCTTTCGCTCCTCGAACAGCGCAGCCAAACCATGCCCCACCCCCACCGGGCTTGGGCTTGCCACCACCGACCGGAGCGCCCCATCTTCCCCCGCCCGTTATTAGTTCTCCTGATGCCAGATACGGCCTGCAGGCACCAGCAAAACACACATCACAACACGGTCATTCCGGCTCTCATCACGGTCTACCAAAGGTGGGGCTGGATGGCCCAGAGTCAAACAGCGACCCCAGCCAAATCGATAAGCTCTGGCAATATGTTCGGTCCATGCACGACGAGATGGTGGGATTACGAGAAGAGGTTGCGTCGCTGCGTGCGCATATCGCATCAAACTCAGCGCCTCAACCGGTGGAGTTAAATCAACCCAATTCAGGTTCGCGATGATGGTCATATGATGGTCATGTATGATACGGTTTTATCTCGCCTAGTCCATCCCATCCCATTCTTTGGCAAGGAAAAACCCACCATTTCCTGCGCCTTCTTCCAAATTCGTCGATATTTCTTGTCGATATGCTTCTATTCCAATCCTCTCCTCTGAGTAGGATGGAAATCCTTGAATGTCTCATGATCAACGTCCCGACAGTTGCCGGCGTTGGTGGCTTTCCTTCGTCTTTTTCCGACCTCTACCCTTTTTTGCACTAATCGATCGATATTAGCCCCTTTCCAGAAGGTCTTGTTTCGGGCTTGAGCTTATGGGAATGGGCTATATCTATCTACTCTTTTGAAATTCCCCTCCTTTTCCCTTTTTTGATCTCTTTTTTCTCTACAAATTCTCTTCTTGCGAGGTGTTCTCTTCAATGGTCAACTGGGGGGAATTCGGCGTACTTCCACTGCCAAGGATGCATGGAACGACCCTGGCTTGGAGTTTTCTAGTCTTATCCATTTTTCATATTTTTTATTTATATCTCGACCCCCCCTCGACACCTCACTCTCACCCCCTTTTCACTTCTCTGTCCAGCTATTTATCCCTAGGTAGTGATAATATACCCAATGTTACAGTGTCTAGTAATAAGCATAATCTCCGAGTCCTCCAGTAATGCTATGTTGGTTAGCATCGACCACTGATTATAATATAATTGGAAATAGAATTAGATCACAATTATTTAAGTATATTGGTAGGTACAAGTACAATTAATGTTTAAGCTTCAATCCATCTGCCCCATCCCATCCCCATCCCATGCATAAACATGTGGAGTCGATCCGAGATTCATTCCCCACTCGACCCAATTGTTGAACCGAGGCTCGCTTCAACCCACCCCCCCTGCCTTGAAATACCCCCGGAGCTCCGGTCACTCACATGGGCACCTTCCAACATCGCATCTCATCCCTCCAAGCTTGAACAGGGCTGTCCGAGTCGATATATAAAACAAAACGAACTCAGTTCCATAAATACCTTGAACTTGAAAATGTCCGCACCATCCGGCGCCCTTACAGCCTCGGCTGTGTCTTTTGTTCTGCTTTCCATTGCTCACACTGTACGTACTAAGTCACCAACTGGTCAACGTGGAACTACTACAAGTACAAGTTGATCTCCCCGCCGAGATAAGCCTCATGCATTTGCATTCAAGTTTAAACTTGCATTCGTCTTATGCAGACCAAGACCAAGACCAAAATCAGACCAAGCTAACACACCCCCAGATCGGCGGCAAAGAATGGCAATCCGACAAAGTCTTCAAAAACATCAAAGGAAGCCGAGCCTGGGCCTGTGGAAAGGTCGGCTGGTACCAGGTAAGACTACCCTCCCCCACCTCACCTCACCCACTTACCCTGGCCGGCCCTATCTAACAAATGGCTGACTGCCTCGTCGGGTTATAGGGAAGCGCATTCCTCTTCCTCTCCGGAATCCTACACTACCAATGGTCCCGCAACCCATCTGCCCTAGCAGATCCCTTGAACAAGGCCATGGCGGCTATCATTAATGTCTTGCTTTGGTCTAGCTCGGCTTGGTATGCTAAGAATGGGATTTTGCCGAATGTCGTTGCTTGTGGGTTGGCTGCTTCGTTGCAGGCTTTTGGCGTTTTGAAGGAGGTGCTTTGAACTTGAAGCGAGTGGTGTGCTGGTTACCGTCGTGCCAGCAGGTTTACTTCGGCTCAGATTTGAATGAGAAATATAAACACTCTTACTAGTAGGTATTCCAGGTTCAATCAATTGACTGAGATAAATTCAAGTTTTAATACTAGTAGCTAAGCTACCTTATTTCCTAACGTAAACACTAAGTAGATTTTCAATCACTAATAGATCTCGCATTCTCAGTTATAGGAAATAGTCAAGAGATAGTATTCATTACGATTGATGAGGATTGTGGTTTTTTGACTCTATGAACAGAAAAACCCCAATTGCATGCGTGGGTGTTGATCAAGGTAGTAAATTCCAGCCATATCACAAGTATTACTAGTATTGAATTTATTTCAAACTGAACAACTTCGCACAGGAAATACAAAGACTTTAGTGCGCAGACCTGCCATTATACTGTATCATAATGCATTCCCCCTCCACTTCCCACCACTCAACCCTTTTTTACCTTACCTTACCCAGACTACGCCAGTGCTCGCCGTTTCGTAGTCCAATCAAGAAACAAACCCACATCCGCAACAATCGCCCGAGGAACACCACCAAGAGTCCAATTCCTCTGCACCCACTGCGGAATCAACCCGCCAGCATCAGAGGTAGTCGCCATAGTCCACTGGATAAGCGGGGGATAGACGTGGCGCTCGCGTTCCGCGTGTTGCTGCTGCTGCTGCTGCTGCGACGAAGAAGACTCCGGAGGACGATTCTTCTTCGCAACACGCTCGACACTGGCATAGTTGGCGAAGATTGTGCGCTTCGGTACGACCGATTTGATCTTTTCGTGGATTGCTGTTGGCGTGGTTGATGGGTCTGGGTAAAGGGGTATTTGAACAGTTATGAAACCTTTTGATGGGTGAGAGGGTTCGTTGCTGTGTGCGTCGTATGTGGCGGAGATGGTGAATGAGATGAAGGAGCGTGGGGAAATAAGGGCTGTTGGGTGGAATGTGTGAGTTATTAAATTGACTGTTGAATTTGAATTAGCCTTAGCTCTTGCTGTAAAGCAGACAGAAAAAGAGAAGAAGAATAAAACGAAGATTGGTTAATACCGCCCCATCGTAGGACACACTCACCCTCAAGATCCACATCCTTAAACGTAACCCCATTCATATCCAACTCCCCAACCTCCTGCTCCGTCCATTGAAGTAATCGCTCGACACCAGTAACACTGGGCGTATATTCCATTTCGTGCTCAGCATGCTCCGACCGCAGTCCATCTTCGAATTCAGTCCACGGCGCGCTACCAGCGACGGCTGCGTCCGGGTGCTCGCTTTGACGGCAGACCCAGAATTCAGGCTTTCGCTTCAAGTTGGATGGAGAATTTTCTGGCATTTGTTCATATTTGCGCCATTTTCGAGAGAGACAGATGTCTGCGTATGCTGGGGGTGAGTGGCGCGTTTTGGGGTCCTTTTCCCAGGTTGGAAGGTCTGAATCTAGCAGCTCAAGAGCTTCTTGGAGAGCGGTGCTGGCGACATGTCTTGCTTCTGGGCGTGGAGGCCCTGGGGGAAGGGATGGGTGGGAGGGGAGAATTGTAAAGGGGTGAGGTTGGAGTTGGATTAGGGGCATCTTGGTCAGGGAATTGAGAATAGCACTGCTAACGGAGAACTGGAATGGGGAACTTGAAGGAATCTGGGGAAAAGGAGGAACCAAAGCTTGAGGGACCGAGGGATCGGCGGAGCTTGTTTGGTTTGTGGTTCGCGCTGACGTGGTGGGGCGATCTGTTTGCATAGATAGATAGAGATAGTAGTGAGTGTGATAGTGATAGTGATAGTGATAGGATAGTGACAGTGATAGATATTTATATTATATATTCAAAGGGTATCATCTAATATCTTGTGGAATCATCCAGCAGTCATACGCTAGATGCAGCGGACTCCAGGTCCTACACTGCCGGTCTCAAAGATTTCCACGAGGCCGGCCCCCACAGTTTCCTCCAACACCCAGCCGAACTGCATGCCATAAAGATCTTTCCATTTCTTCGTTTTACCTGGCAAAATACCCGCAAATTCCCCGCGAGCCCTCTTGGCTAGATGAAAGCTCTTTTCGGTTTCCACTGCTCCATCCCAACGGTCTCTCAATAAGCCCATGGGGGCCTCGCTGCAGCTGGACCGTCGGAGAAGAGCCAGCATGTGAGCACGACCAGCGCCTAGCAAACGAAGATATGTCCCGGTATTTGGCAGCGACAAAAATAGCGTCGCGGCGCGAGATTGGGCATCGGTCTGCACAGATCGGTTGGAATCAGAAGATCTAGCCGGTTCGCTCCGACTGGCCGACGAAATCGCCGTGGTGGGCAATTTAGGAAGAGACGCAAGACTCAGTGACCCTTGTGTAAATGAAGAGGATGATACGAGGAATCCTGCACGCATCAGTGCCCTATACTCTTCCGGTTTAAATACGCTCTGTGAGATCGCAGAACTAGTTCCGATGCGGCTAAGTATGTCGAGGAATTTCTCTGGAAAATATGAAGTCAGCTGCATGTCCTTGACAATAACCCCCGGGCCGAAACACATACCCTTGACATCCGTATCGAGAGATGAGTTCTCACGCACCAACTTTTCCCACTCGTCCGCAAGAACCAGGCAATCACCTAGCCCGGCTGCATCATTGCCCCGGCCTGGAACGACCAGACGCCGGACTCGGCCGGCCTGAACCAACTCTACGATCTCCCTTTCCACCTGTGTGGGCGAATCGATCAACATATGCACATGTGCTACCGACGCTAGCGGAGGCAGTGACCGTCGTAAGTTGAGGACCTCCGCAATGCGCGTGCTATTCATCCCAGCTCGAGCGGGGAGCTCGTCGAACATTTTTGTCCGGATATACTCGATTGCTTGAACGACATTCTCAACGGATGCAGCGTGTGATATATAATGCGATACGCCTATATCTGGAAGAGGGTCGTCATCATCAAGCAGACCCTCGGCTGCCCGCTTCACGCCACTCGCTGCGGCGGAGTTTGGTTTGCGTCGGGCATGGGCGGCAAACGGGGAGGCCTGAGGCTTGCGGACGGCTGGCTTGCGTTTCTTGACACCGGAGACTGGGGCTGAGGTGAGACGCAAGGGCATGCCTGGGAGGAGTTGTTCCAATGTTGAGAATAGAATGATGAAGGAGCCTCGTTACTGCCAAGCGTCTACATTGAAGATTACCTCATCCATGTCAGGTGACTGCGCTCCGAAAGCAAAGCCACCGCGAATGTCAATTTTAGAGCTCAGATTGTGGTATGAGCGGAAATTTTTCTTTGACTTTAAATGCCGCATTCTTGGCAATTGACAGGCGCTACTAGACTCTAGTACTCCAACAAGGACAGGCCGATCAAAATCCGCTGCCAACCAACAGTCCCGGAATGTGTCAAACCACCCCCTTCCCACATTGAGAACCGATAGCAAACAATATTAGTATATACATGTATATGAATAGATTGAGTTGGCTGCTTGATTCAATATAAACCTTGGAAGAGCGAATGACACCTTCACTGCCGATCAAGCCCTTTTTATTCCAAAGAGATCCCGCCAATGACATCAAATGCCTCATACTCTGGTATATGTAATACCGTAATAAAACATCAAGATCAGGGTGGAGACACCGGCAATTTGTACGGCCCCGTTTGATTCAATACGCCATCCAGTGCCTTGGAAGCTCAGGTTCTCGCCCCGCGGTCTCGCCCTCGTTCTATGCCCGAAAAAAAGAACAGAACAAGCAGAACCCCCGACTGCTGCATTTTAACAGTTCATACACCCAGCCCTGGCGAACCCGATACATTCCAAGTAGTCTACAACTACTCACCGGAGTACCGGACCACCTGATCTACTTTCACATGACGTAGCCATGAGAAACAGATCTTAACTTGATCAACTTTTCTTGCTTCCTGCTGGCCGATGACAGCTTTATACCCGGCACAACAGTTATTGCTCTTCAATCGCTATCTGGCTGCTACTTTTTTTCTTCAATCGCTTTACGCGAGGTCCCTATCGCGCCGTGCCCGCCATTCCTGTCCCTCTGTCGAGATTGGTGTTCCACCATGACGGTCTTCATCGCGTCTCTGTAAGCCACCATGAAATCAATCATCATGTCTCCACCCAATTCAAGGTCAGACCCTAACCTAAACCTTCTGCCAGCTTTTTACCATACACTGTCAACTTTCACGTTGAAAACTCTCGCTATCGCGCCGTCCCACCTCCTCCGACCGCCGTTAATAATGCGGGGGCTGAACCGGCTACTCCGCACCCCAGTGCGGGCGCCAGTTTATTCGAGAAGAATGATCCTAAACCTCAGCAAGGGTTAACCCCCGGTGCGACAACCGACCATGAGCGGATATTTACAAGCAACCCCGGGAAGCCCGAGAAAGAGCAAGATGGATACTTCGCGTTAGCCCCGATTCCGGAACACGCAGAAAGTCAACTCCTCACCGAGAGTGAAGGTCATTCTCCAGCATGGGGTGCTACGACATCGCTGAATCAACCGAGGCCTCAGACACTCCTGTCGCCGTCGCCGTCGATCTTGAAGCACCAGGATCATGTTATGCCCAACAAGGAACCTGCGCCGAAGACCCCGGAAACCAAGGCGACCAATCCATACCTCGGGGTCATCAAGCCGGAGATGTTCGCCCGCAAGCAGTCATTTTCCCGAGTAGATTGGACCGTTGAAACCGCCGAGCAAGGCAACGGTGGTTTGCGGAATGCCGTTCGTTCCGCGAAAGAGTCTGGATATCTGGGTGAGCTGATGTGGGTCGGCACTGTGGGAATGCCCACTGATGCGCTGATCAATTACACGCGCACTGAGATTGCCGAGAAATTGGAAGACGAGTACGACTCGTTGACGGTTTTTGTTAGCGATGGTGACTTTGATGGACACTACACCCACTTTTGCAAGACGATTCTTTGGCCCGTTTTCCATTACCAGATTCCAGACAACCCAAAGAGCAAGGCCTATGAAGATCATTCGTGGATCTACTATGTGAAGCTGAACCAGGAATTTGCAGAGAGTATCGCCAAGAACTGGAAGCGCGGCGATTCGATTTGGGTCCAGGATTATCATCTGCTGCTTGTTCCTGCGATGTTGCGCAAGATGCTGCCTGATGCCGAGATTGGATTCTTTCTACACATCGCGTTCCCGTCGTCGGAGGTCTTTAAATGTTTGGCCCCGCGGAAAGAACTTCTCGAGGGTATCCTCGGCGCCAATTTGATCGGTTTTCAGACGACCGAGTACTGTCGGCACTTTTTGCAGACCTGCAGTCGTATTCTGTGCGTGGAGGCCACCAATGAGGGCATTCAGATGGAAGATCGTTTTATCAACGTTGGGACTTTCCCAATTGGTATCGATCCAACCTCCTGGGACAAACGTCGTAAGGCGGCCGATGTCGAAAGATGGGTCGATACAATTTCCGATCGTTACCAGGGCAAGCGGTTGATTGTCTCACGGGATAAGATTGACTCTGTCCGCGGTATTCGGCAGAAGCTTCTGAGCTACGAGCTATTTCTGAACACATATCCAGAGTGGGCGGACAAGGTTGTTCTCATCCAAGTGGCAACCAGCACCACAGAGCAGCCGGAGTTAGAGGCAACCATCTCTGATATTGCCATGCGCATCAACTCCAACCATTCGACTTTGGCACACCAGCCCTTGGTTTTCCTGAAACAAGACTTGGCATTCCCTCAATACCTTGCACTTATCACGGTAGCGGACGCTTTAATGATCACCAGTCTCCGCGAGGGCATGAACCTGACCAGCCATGAGTTTGTGTACTGTCAGGATGGCAGTTACGGCGATAAGAAATATGGATCACTCATTCTCAGCGAATTTACAGGCAGTGCATCAGTCTTTGGAAACCACGCACTGTTGGTCAACCCTTGGGATTATCGACAGTGCTCCGAGGCGATTCACACAGCGCTCACCAGGGATGAGAAAAAGAAAAAGGAGGTATGGGAGGCACTGCACCGCGCAGTACTGCAGAACTCGACCGCCAACTGGGTCAAGTCCTTCAATGAGACTCTGACTCAGGTTTGGAACGAGCAATCTTCACGAGAGATCATGGCCGTGCCGCGACTATCTACGCCGCGACTAATTGAAAGATACCGACAGTCAAAGCGCCGACTCATGATTGTCGACTATGAAGGCACACTCGCCTCATGGGGATCTCCACGTAGTATCATTCTTACCACGCCCCAGCGTGCAATCACAACCTTGACAGAACTAACCGATGACCCTGCCAATATTGTCTACGTGATGAGCTCTCGCATGCCCGAGGAGATGGAGCGGCTATTCCGCCAAGTCAACCACCTGGGCCTGATTGCCGAGAACGGATGTTTCGTTCGCAAACCCGATTCCGATGAGTGGTCGAATCTTGCCGACAAGCATAGCATTCAAAAGTGGAAGACTGCAGTCTCGCCCATCCTGGCTTACTTCAAGGTGCGCAGCGAGGGGAGCTGGGTGGAAGAGCGACATTGTTCCCTTGTGTTTCACCATGGATCGGCCGAAGACCGCCTCAGCGCTGGGCGATTGGCTGCTGAATGCGCGGATCACATTAATGATGCATGCGCTGGTCATGGCGTACATGCGATTCCAGTCGAGGGCGCTTTGATTGTAGAAACCTCCAGCACGAACAAGTCATCTGCTGCTGCGAAGGTCTGGAAGTGGTCATTAGAAGATTCGAAGCAGAACGAAGAAGTCTCCAAACCCGACTTTTTGCTGATCATTGGCGACAACCGTGAAGACGAGCCTGTATTCCGGTGGGCGAACAAGTTGGAAGATGCCAAGGCTGTGGACTATGCAATGACTGTGACATTGGGGTCGAGAAGCACGGAAGCTAGGGCGACATTGACGCAAGGCGTGACAGGTTCGTTTTTTTTTCGCTCCAATCAACAAGTTGATGAGCTAAGTTAACCCCCGCTGATTCTTTTAGGTGTTCTCTCTTGTCTGCAGCAGCTAGCAGCACCTGCAGGGACAAACTCGACGCAGCAGTAATGATAGAGACGTTGTCATCTGTTCAACCAGCATGGATAATCGCTTTCGACGACGTCAACACGAGTCCATGGGGGCTTAAAAGGAATGGCGTTTTTTCTTTTCGGATTTTTCTTATTTCTAAAGGATATCAAGGGGTTCTATTAGTACATGGTCACCTCTTCTGGGTACATACTACCATACTACCATACATCTACTGCATCAGATAGTTACCGTTGGATAGTACAGCATCATCTCTGGCGTCTCTAGGCACGCTATAATACCCACGATACATTCTCTACTCTTTTAGCAATGGATTCCGTAATTCAACCGTAGAAAGTAAACCTTGAGTTCTGTCAGTCGAAGGCAGCATCAAATATCTTCACATGACCCAAAATTCCGCGCTGCTCAAAATATTCACAATTTCTGGCCATCTTCCCATCGCATAATCGCATAATCATGCCGAATCCTTTCAACTGAACATCCATGCCGATAGGTGGAGACCGAGCGGTGGTGGATCGATCTTATGGGGAAAAGGGCCTTGGGCCGAGGTTCACCGAGAGCTGCGGAGTACAAGTATACATCGTAGTACCTACCTCTATGGAGTAGTTCTCTCTTTAATTTCCCATTCCTCACCTCATACCCATCACACCCTACACCATGTCACCCGTCAACGCCTCCTTCGAAGACGCGATCCGCGTCACGCCAGAAGGCGCGAACAAATACAGCGCCAACCTGCGCACGGAGTGGTGCATCGGAGCCGGTATCTCACCCACCCCATGAAACCCGTCGCAGCAGCAGCATCACTAACCAGAAGAACCCAAAATGCAGTTCCCCATGGCGGCTACACCACCTCCGTTCTATACCGACTAGCGCTCGTCCACTTCGCCCACGCGCACCCAGGCCAATATGACACACCCGCCTCACCAATTTCCCTCCAATTATCCTTCCTCCGCCGCACGGCCGCCGGGCCCGCAGTCATGGAAGTCGAAGACGTCAAAATCGGCGCCCGAACAAGCACAATCCACGTGAAATTACTCCAACCCTCGGAAAAGAAGCCAGACCTCCTAGAAATCAAAGTAGCCGGCTATATCACCGTCAGCCCGCCCAGTGCCGAGGTCGGCATCAGCGCCCACACAGGCTGGACACCCCAGCCCGCTGCGCCATCCGGTTCCGGACCCGGTGGTAAGATCGACTTTGCAGCTTTGGCAAATGGGAAAGATGGCGAGTGGATTAAGCTTGAACCGCCTTATCCTGAATTTCGTCGGGCGGCGGCGCAATTGGAGCTTTATGGACCTGGGAAGGGTAAGACGCAGCAGGCGAGATCGGGGAGTATGGCTATCGATCAGTGGGCGAGATTTCAGCCTGGTGGGGATGTTAAGGGGAGGTGGACGGATGCGGCTATTCCTTATTTGATTGATATGTTTCCCATGGCGTTGGATGGGTTTGATACTGTTTCTGCGGAGGCGGAGGCTAAGGCGAAGGGGGAGAAGGTTTCTGAGGGGAAGGCGAAGTTTTGGTATCCGACTGTTACACTGAATGTTGATATGAAGAAGCATTTGCCGGCTGAGGGGGTGGAGTGGCTTTATTCTAGGATTGTGACCAAGGTTGTTAGGGATGGGAGGACGGACTTGGATGTTACGGTGCTTGATCAGAATGGGGAGGTTATTGCGCTGAGTACGCAGGTTGGTCTTGTTGTTAGTGCTAGTCGGAATATTGGGACGAGGAAGTTGGAGAAGTTGTAAACTTTTCTGATTCTGATAGATAGATGTATATAGTCGAGTTTCATAGATCAAAGTACATACTACTATTACTCAATACTACTAGTTAGTAGTTACTAGACACTACATTCAACTTGAAGATGGCGAAGAAAGACATAAGCCATCCCGTGCCAGTAATAGTCAGTATAGTGGTTCATGCCAGCGGTATCTTTTCAGTATGTACAATCCTGCTCGCTCAAATTCATATCTCTCAAATGTTATAACGTGGATATAAAGTTGAACCCCCACGGCAATGGTCTAATCTACAAGAAAGCCCGGTGTATCTATTTACAACCCATGACCCCTCTCCACACCACCAACTCAAAGCTTCTCATCCGGCGTAACGATCCAAAAAGCCATAGCCTCAGCCTTAAGAATCTTCCTCTTCGCCCACTCAAGATGACCACCAGAACTCTCCTCATCCTCCTGCAAAGCCTGCGCCCTTACCCAAAACTTCCTCCCCACCCGCGCAACAACCTTCGTCTTAACAACCAGCAATGCCGGGTTCGTCACCCGCTTCTTATACCGAACATCCAACTGAGCCGTGAAGATACCCCCACGCGCATTATTGCCAGCATCGGACGCTGGCCCACTCGTATGAGCCCCAACGGCCAACGACATCGCCTCGTCGATCAGCGTCGCGACTATACCCCCGTGCACGGTATCCGGGTGTCCTGAGAGCCCCGGGCTCGCGAGATCGAAAAGCATTATTATATCCGCGGGCATAGCGCTCGGCGTGGGATTTGTCTTTGCGGCCTCGGCTTCTTGTTTTGTTGCGGGGAGCCAGGTGGGTGTTTTGGAGGGGGCTGGGGAAATGTCGCGGCGTTGCAGCGTTAGGACGTGTGGGATTGTAGTTGATGTGCCGAGTGTGGTTGCGAAGTAGCCATCTTCGCCGGTGGGCTTCATTCGGCGTGAGTCGGTTCGGATGGGCTTGTAGTCCGCCGAGGAGATTAGTGAGTTTGCCCATGGGTTAGAGCGGAAATGCGCGATGGCGGGGTCTGTTTCGGCCATTGTGGGGTTTTGTTGCGGTGGGGGTGGTATATGAGGATGGGTTTTGGGGAGGGGATGCTCGGAGTAGAAGATGCAGGTGGGATTTAATGGCTGTTAAACTCATCCGCTTTTCCGAAGAGCCATACACTTTGGCCGCGGGTCTTGGAGAATCGATTAGATTAGCCTCGGTCCGGCTGTATTCGGAAATATGAGTGATGATCATATCACGTGAGATCTATATACGCCAGCATTATTAGTTTGAGGGTCGACATGATTTTCTTTATTTATGGATAGAGTCATGCTTATTCAGAATGAGACGTGAGCGTTCAATTAGTGCTTTTCCATTTATAGTAACGGTGGCGCTTGATTTGGATGAGAATCAATGATTCGTTTTCAACAGTTTCAAGTTCCATTCTGGGATCGGAGTACAGCGCGGTCCATGGTTAATTTACAGTGGATTACTCACTTCTGAGTATATGACTAGCAGAGGCTTTGTCGCCCGGTTTGTTGCATCTCTCTTTCCTCAGAACCTCTCCACGCTTCATCAATCATGGCAGACCTCGCTAGTCTCCCTGCAGAACTTCTGATTATGATAATAGCAAACCTAGACGGTTACTATCGTTGCATTGATCTATGCGCACTTTCTCAGACTAATCACCGCTTATACGCCATTGTATTTGAGGATCTTGACCGTCATCTACGCCATGTATTTTCTCCAGGAACGAAACAGGGCCTAGAGAGCCATATTTTGCAGTGGTCTGCAGAAAATGGGAAAGAAGAATCTGTTAAGAGATTGCTAAAAGCAGGAATTCACATACGAGACCACAGTGAATGGGACACTTTCAATTTTGAACCAATCACCCTTGCAGCCAGAAACGGACATGTAAACATCGTGAAAGCTTTCATCGACTATGGAGTTGATTTCCACCAGCCTGGTATCAAACAAGGATGGTATGGAAAAGGGATGCCATTACCAGCTGCTATAATAGGGGGGGCATGAGGCAGTTGTTAGACTCTTGATTGATCACGGAGCTAGCTTAAAATCGGGGACACACCGAACATTCCCTGTAGAGCCTTTGTCGATTGCAACGAAAATGCGCAATGGATCTCTCGTCAAGCTACTTCTTGACCACGGATGTGATCCGCACACATTTGATGCCGAAACTGACAAAGACTTCCCGACCTCCGCATGGACGAATGCTGCAACATCGAATTTGGAAATCCTTGAGTTGTTCATAGCGAGGGGTATAGAGCCCAAATTTAATGGCCCCGATTCGGATAATTGGTACCTGATGGAAGCGCTAAAGAGGGATCAAATCGAACTCGTCAAATTTCTGTATGATCACGGCCCTAGGCTCAAAACGTGCCCTGAGGATCACTGGCTTTTTGATTCGCCTCAATATTTGTATGTTTACTTGGTGGAAGTCAGTTATGCACTCACGAGACATCCTCAAGAGCTTGCGTTTCTGCTCGGGGCCCTTGACCTAGGTTCTATCATCAGCGAGTATAGCTCAAGGCAGGCCTTGATGGATGTTGCGACAGAGTTGGGGAATAAAGACATGATGGAACTCATTCTGGATGCAGACTGGGCCTCAAAATATTCCAAGAATGAGTTAAGAAACTGTCTCTTTTCTGCTACTACACATGGCCAAACAGGAATGGTAAAGATGTTACTCGATTATGGCGCACTCCCAGGACCTGAGGAAACTGGAAGATTCATTTTTACGGCAATCAGGGCAGAATCCTATGAGATATTGAAACTGATGCTTGATCTAGAAGCAAATTCTGGTTCAGATTGTGGCTATTTCTTGGAAATTGCCCTTGGGTCATTTATCAATGGTTCGTCAACGTCGAAAAAAGCTCTCATACCGATCATCCGGCTTTTAGTGGAGAATTTTGAGCCTGGTACCGTGATTCCTACGGGAAAATCTTTCAATATGGACGTGGCTCAGTCTCTAGGTGAAAGTGCAGAGGTCTTGGAAATTCTGCTGAAGCCTGTCCTAGGCGGCAGCCTTTTGCTGGAGGACCCATTTCACGAGACTATCTTTGTAGTAGCAATTCGGTCATGTGAAATTGGCATCCTGGAGCAATGTCTCAAGGCAGGATTTGATCCCAACTCGGACGTTAAATCCGAATTCCTCGCATCATCGTCCAGTATTCCACTAATTCTTGCCGCAACGGCAACAGATTTGCAGGGCGGAATGAACTGGCTGTTGATCTTCTTTTGAAATACGGAGCGAGGATCGAGCGGCAGGACTTTCCCAAAGAACTATCCCAGTTTTATATTATCTATGAAAATAGGACGCAATTTTCTTTTACTGCCGAACATCTGGCAAAGGCTACCCAACTTCTGCTAGAGAAAGGTGCCAATCCATTCACTACTTGCTCAAAAAACGGAGAATTGATTCCCATGAAAGAGACAATGCATGGGCCAGCAATCGTCGTCAAGGTCTTTCTAGAGCACTTTTTAAAGTGTAACAGACCCTTGTCTGAGATAAAATCTTTGGTCGAAGAAGCCACTGGAGATACTCCTGATAATGACCCTGGGATTGCTCACAGTGACCGTGGGAAAAGGGCCGACTTCTTATGGCGCTGGTACTGGCAAAAAGTCTACCCCTGTCCTCCGAAGTGAGATTTTAGCTTAGCTTTGCCAGAATCAAATTGCTTGCTCTACCCAGGTCTTTATACTTAACATAATTCCCCTGCAAGGTGGGGATTTTTACTATTCTAGGCGCTACCGCTTTAATGAGGGCGCTCAGAATTAGACTCACTGAGCAGCTAAGAGCAGATCACGTAATGTATCAATAAGGCTCTGAGCATCAAATAATTATTATAGCAGAGATCTGCTAGATGTAGCTATTTGACATGAAAGAACCATGTGTGCTAAAACCTACTATGGAAGACAAAGGAATGGGACTTCCAACAAGTCTACATACATATCCCCCAGTTTCTCCTGCCTCTCCTCCCTTCTGCTAGTACCGAGTAATCTGTAGAACTCACTCCCGTTCACCTGCCGTGCTTTTTCCACTCGTATTCTTCGCCTCGTTGTTACGTTCGTATTCGAAGGTCTCAGATGTGAAATGGGCGAGGAGGTGAGCCGCGCGATGCCTATTTCCGAAGGGCCAATAAATACGTATTTCAGTTTTTTTATGGGCGCAGAAATACCAACACACCTTGCTAATAGAGTTTCATACCCTGAGCGACGTGCACAGGCGAATGACCGTCGATATTGTAGCATTGGCCTGAGTGGAAGTAATCTCCATTATAAGAGTACGTGTCATAGATAAATGACTGCGAAGTGCACCCGGGCTCGCTGTAGAACGCAATTCTCTGTCCGTTACTCTTTCCGAATCCATCTTCCCTGTAAGACTGAAATTGCTGGACTGAGCCATCGCAGGCTGCACCGCCATCGACGACGACATCCTGCACGTTGCCAGTGCAGTCACGACCGCTGTAGGTCAAGACCTTGACTGCAAGGCTGCTTTGAATGCAGACAGCGGTGACGACGGCAAGGAGCTTGGAATAATGCATTTTCAGAGATGTTGAAAGGAGCAAGAACGTTCTTCTTGAATGTAAGATCAAAAGGAAGATTTTAATGATATTGGGAACTGTTTGGTCTTGGTGGATGGAGAAAAACTCTTGACTGAGATATGAACGTTGTTTTATATCTACAGTCATGGCACCGCTTCTAAAGGTCGATCATTGGGGCGTATTCTGCCTATAGAGCGTATGCAACGTCTAGATGTTGATTATCAGCTGGAGAGCGTATTCAAAATCTAGATGTCGATCATCGGAGCGTATCAGCCTCAAGGGCGTAGTAAGCCTTAAGAGCGTATTCAACCTCGATGCCGATCATCAGAGCGTATCTTCAGAGAAATGTCCGGTTTTAGGGATCTGTTTGACCTTCGGAGCATACCTGCTCTCCGCAGTGTTTTCGGAGTTAGAGTGTGTTCGGTGGTGATTAATTTAGGTAAAGTTAGCGCAGCGCGAATGTGGGAGTCATCCTAGATTGCGGAGCGTCCCGTTTCCAGATTGGGCCCCCAGCTCGATAAGCCATATGGACTTCTGACCCAAGTACATAAGTGTCGCCATTAGACTGCGGAATACCCGCCCGCAAATTGAGGGTACGGGCCTGGCCTGCAAAAACCCGCAGTATTTTGAGGGTACCCGTATACCCTCAAATAATGAACATTGTAAATATGCCAAGATTCAGTGGACTTTAGTGGCTTGGCAATATTGTGCACTTTATACAGTTTCTTTTGGTAATTTTTGGTATTTAATTTGTATAATACTAGTACTATCATGAATATTCCTGCCGAGTGGCTTGCTAGACCCGAACCGCGGTGTTCGATTTGGATCCCTGGATGAGAATCAATAGGTCACTTCCAACCAACAAGCTCCATTCTGGAGATCGAAGTACTATATAGCGGCACATAGTGTAGTATTTATTGTAGATGACGCACTTCTGAGTACATGACTACAAATAATTTTGTCGATTCAACGAAGGTTGCATTGCTCTTTCTTCAACATCCCTCACCACCACCTGATTAATCAACGATGACGGACTTCACTACTCTCCCTGAAAGGGTCCTGCATATGATATTATCATATCTCGACGGTTACTACCGTTGTGTCGATCTTTGTGCGCTTTCTCAGGTCAATCGTCGCTTTTATGCGATCGCCAGTAAGGAACTTGACCACCATCTACGTCGTATCCTTCGCACGGTAAGTCGGGAGTGGCCATTTGAGGATGGCCCGGATAGAATCGAGCTTACAGCTCTTGCGTGGGCTGCAGAGAATGGGAAAGAAGATTCCGTGAGAAGGTTGCTTAAAGCAAAAATGCCAGTCCATCTCGACAAATTTCACGATCGCCCAATTGATACTGCTATCGAAGATGGACACGCAAACATCATGAAAGCTTTCATCGACTATGGAGAGGATAACGGCATCATAGCAGATCATAAAAGGATCCAAAGTTTATTAACGGATGCCATATACCTTGGGCATGAGTCTGTTGTTAGACTGTTGATCGATAATGGACCTAGGTTAGACCCAGAAGCTTTCTCAGGGAGTCAGCCATTGTCTCTTGCAACAGAAAAAGGTCATGTGTCCGTGGTGAAACTACTCCTTGACAATGGGTGTGATCCACTCACACCTAACGGCATTTCTTGGGATCGTCGTCCGAGCTCCGCATGGACGGTAGCTGTAAGTTCGAACTTGGAAATTCTCCAGATGTTCATCGCGAACTTGAATGGCGTAGAGGCCATTTTTCCAGGTCCTCTGTCTGGTGTTTCTGATGGTGAGGAGGTTGATGAGGAAGTTGCACCAGCTGCGTGGCCCTTGGGAGCAGCACTAGCGCATGATAAAATTGAACTTGTCAAATTTCTCTATGATCACAGCCCTGAGTTCAAAGTGCCATCTCCTTCATGCTCTGGATCTGTTCATTGTTACATGAAACCCGGCAATTATTATTTTGATGTTAGTCGCGCCATCGGAGAATACCCTCAAGCGCTTGACTTTCTGCTTGAGAGTCTTGATCTAGACGCTGCTATCGATGGGAAGGACCTGCTGCCAATTGAATCATTGATGAAAGGTGCGGCAAATGGAGGGAATGAATGTACGATGAAACTTATGCTGGGTACAGACTGGACCTCAAAATAACTGAATGCTGGTCCAGAAGGCTGGCAATGCCTTCTAGAAAGCTGCCTCCATATTGCCGTTGAACATGGCCATATCAATATTGTGAATATGTTACTCGATTATGGAGTAAAGCCAGGAGTCAACCCTCTTGAGGAGGCAATCAGCAAAGGCTATATCGATATGTTGAAGTTGATGTTCGATCGAGTAACAGATCCGGCCCCAGATGAAGATGTTGATCTTTTGAGCTTCGCCGTCTCTGAGATTTTCCCGTATTTTGAAAGCATATCCACCCCTGGAAACATGTCCATCATTCGACTTCTAGCGGAGCGTGATAAGCCTGAACCTGATTTGGAGATGAAGCCAGAGCCATGGTTTATTTATGGTGAATGTCCCCACTCTAAGACATACATATGGAGAATCACTTTTTGTTAAGAACCCACGGCCAGGCTGCCCTCTGGCATTCACATGGCTTGATGGTCTTGTCTTCTTTCCTCAAGGGCTCCCAACCTTCTCGCAAATCCCGTTCCTGCCACGCTAGCACTTTCACCAATCTCTATCACACAACGGTTAGATTACTCTGACGTCTAGTATTGACTAGTCATGGCAGATCTAGCTAATCTCCCGACGGAGCTAGTGCCAATAGTTCTAGCCAATCTCAACGGCTATCATCGATCCACCGATCTCTGTGCGCTCTCTCAGACGAATCGCCGCTTTTATGCTATTGTCACCGAAGAACTGAGCCGCCACCTGCGTGATGTCTTTCCGCCAAACATAGATGACTTCGAGTACACCGTCCTACGAAAATGCGCCCAACATGGCAAAGAAGAATGTGTCAAGAAGCTGCTCCGCGCAGGGATTCGAGAGCTAATAAGCCCCGCTGACTTCTTTCAAATTCACCCAATCAACATGGCGGCCAGAATGGGCCATGCCAACCTCGTCAAAAATGTTTTCCACCATTGAGTGGACCCCAGCTCCCCAAGTGTCCCCAAAGAGTGGACCTGTCACTGTAGTCCGTTGGCAGATGCCCTCCGAAGCGGACGTGAGGCAGTTGTTAAAGTTCTCGTTGACCATGGAGTTGGTTTAACTGGCATACGCCAGTAGTTGAATGAAGATCCGTTGGCTTTAGCTACACGATACGGTATGTATCTCTCTTCAAGCTATCCTCCTTGATCTTGGCTGTGATCTATGCCATTCGAACGTTGATATTCCGAACGCTGATAATCCGAACGACCTAACGACCCCGACGTGGATGATTGCGGCTAGCATGAATCTCGAGATTCTCCAGGCGTTCATTTCAAAGGGCTTTGAGCACTCATTTCATGGAAACTCGTATAATTGGTGCATGGCGAGAGCACTCACGTTCAATAAGATCGAACTGGTTGAGTTCCTTCATGACAACAGCCCCAAAATCAAAGTGCCACGCTCCGGCAAAGACTGAGGTTTCGACCAGAATGATTACCACAGTGACTATCATTTCGAGGTGAGCAGCGCAATCGGCCGACATCCTGCAAAGCTAGCCTTTCTTCTCGAGACCCTGGACCTGGACGCAATTTTTGAGGGGAAGTATCTGAAGCCCATCGTTTTCCTAATGCCGGGTGCGGCTCACGGAGGAAACGAGAAGATGATGCAACTCATGCTGAATGTGGACTGGGCTTCGAAGCAGCCAAAGATAGACTCAGCATAATGGCAAGATCACCTGATGAGCTGTCTTTTTACTGCCTCTGAAGCTCGCCCAACCCGCATTTTAATGATGATTTTTGATCATGGTGTCAGCGCAGACGCTCGGGGAAATGACCATTCCATGGGGTACTGGTAAGCCGGTCTAGCCAATCTTAAGCTCAGGGCCCAGATTGTCTGAGATCAAACTATTGATCTAAGAAGCTTCTTCCTCTTCCTGGGGAGATATTTTCTATGAACCCCAAGGTTCGAAAAAAGGGGCCAGCCCCAATTGTATGTCTGAGTAGTAGAGTAGTAGTATAGATGGTGACAACTTGAATTGGAATATTAACAACTCGGATGAATCAAGATTGAGCCGTAATAGAATAACCATAGCTCTGGCACCCACAGATTAATGATGATACATATTGCCAGTGCTATTATGCGGGGTAACTAGCTTTTTAGACGAACAGCTCTCCCGCTGGGATGTAAACCTTACCTCAAGCTAGCAGCTGCCGATACCATTAGACATCAGAGTGCTGCCATATTGATGGCTTCTTCATGGGATATCCCAGGCTGTGTGAGAGCACGAAGTCCATCGTATCGCACACGATAAGGTATCTGGAATGTTTTTAGGACTTGGATGTTTCACGCAGGGTCACCGAGTTATGCTGGAAATATACTAGCGCGGTCGGATGGGACTGGATAAAACCTGCCCAACCACGGAGCTAGTCACGCTAGTGCCGAAAGTGGTGGGGAGGGTTCGGTTGGAAGAGGGATTCAATTTTTGGCATTCCCATGTGTCTCAAACTCTGGGGTTGCCACTGTCGCACTTCTTTTGCCGGTTTTACTTGGGTATGCGATTGGGATGACAGCTGCAAGGGGGTGAGCAGTGCCGGGGTGATGGGAATTCGGGATTGGAATGTATGTACCCCGTAGAAATAAACAAGGGAAGAGTGTTGAGACAGGACCGGCTTATCAGCACTATCGGTACTGCAGACCTAGCAATAACAAGTTGAACAAAAGTACGTTGAAGTGGATCTGCTCGGGTGCTAGGATGCAGTGACTATGGCTCCCGCGGTTCGCTCTGTACGCTATTCGGCAGGGTCTCGCGAGACCCAAACATGTACGGGAGTCACGGCAAGGACCGGCAGTATTGGACGCGGCGAGGGAGAGGATGTCGATCAAAATAAGAAGCTGTAGGGGAGGTGGAAGAGTAAACAATCAATCCGGGGGGAAGAGTAAAGATACTGAGATCATGTGGTATGGTATGCCCAGCTCCTTCCTCCTTCCTCCCCGTTACCCTAGTCACCCCAGTCACCCCAGTCACCCTGCGTACTGACTACAGTACTAGCTTGGCGGCACTGGCACTTTCCCTTAGGGTGGTATTTGGGCCCTTGGTTCCCTTGTTTTCTTGTTTTTTTCTCTTCTTCTCTTCTCTTCACCTCTCTCTCTCTCTCTTAACCTTTCCACATCTCACTTCCCGGATTCCTTTCCCAAACATCCCCATACACATTAATCAATCATGCGCTCCTCCATTGTCCTCGTCTCTGCCTTCGCGGCCGCCGCTCTTGGCCAAAACTCCACGTCTTACACCTTCCCCGCAGGGTTCAACATTGGCCTGGTCAAGCCCGATGAGCTGAGTGAGTCAATCGCCTTCCCCAATTTGCGTGAGCTGCGCTAACAATTTCTCTCCTAGACTCGTGGTGCACCGGTCAGCGCAATGTCTGTCCCGAGATCTGCCAGAGCGGAACCAAGCAAAACACTTGCGACCCGGTATGCGATATCTCTTTCCGAGCATTGATCACGGATCATTCATGACTGACCGTTTTGCAGAAAACCCTTGTGTTCGACTGTGTGTGCTCTGACGGATCGACTCCCGATGTCACTCCATACATCCAAACCGTCCCCTTCTACGTCTGCCAAGGAAATTTCGCGCAGTGCATTGAGGCTCACCCCAACGATGCCGATGGCCAGAAGGCCTGCAAGGAGGCTGCTCACTGCGGTAGCAAGAACGCCAGTGCAATCAGTACCACCACTACCGCTTCCTCTTCCGCTACCACCACTCTCGCCATGACCACTTCTACCGACTCGGACTCCAGCGCGACCTCGTCCTCTGTGGCTGCGGCCGCCACCACCAGCAATGCGGCCATTGCCATGGGCGAGGGCTCTTACTCGACCGGTGTCTTGGCCGGTGCCATGTTCTTGGCTATCCGCATGTTCCTGTGAGGAAGAGCATTCATCTGTCCTGGTGTCTTTCGGTTCTGGTCCGAGACCTTATTTTGGGAGTCATCCGCGTTCAATTGTCCTATTCTCTTATTTCAGCGCGTTCACGACTTCGGCATTGTTTTGGTTGCCTCTTTTTTTGAATGTCAGATTCCCCGTTCTTCTCGGCTGTGGATGCCCTTCTATCCGCTTTTTATGCCCGTCCATGCTTGTCTTAGCTTAGCGTTATCATAATGGACCTCGGTGCCTAGTAATAATTTCAACTGTGCTTTGAGATGTTGAACCTATTATCTCTCGGTAAATCTTACCTCTCTTATCGCCTAAGTTTATCAGCTTAGGTACCCTAGGTACAGACCGCATAGACAGTGTGGCTCCCCAGTAGCTGAGCCAATGGCAATCTGCTTGAACCTCAGGAAACTATTCATGAAATTCCAATCCAACCAATTTATATTAAGCGTAAAAGTAAACCTAGTGTTCGTCAGTGCAGTGTAGCTGTGTTGTGGCAACGAGTATACTCAGAGTATAGTATGTGTGTATGCATATTGGTGTTCTGCGGCAGCGGTGTTCCCTTCGCCAAGACTTTTTTGGCACACACTGAAATTTCTCAACTTATCGATTAGACTCCACCATCAAAGAACACTCTCTCCCTCCTCTCCCCCCCCCCCCCTCCTCCTCCCACCACATACACATCATGCCCGCTCCGACTACTACCCTCCTCATTGAGGGTTCGTTCTCCGAGCTCGCTGAGGAGTTCGCCAACTACATCGATTCCCTCCGCAAAGAGGGCAGCCTCCAGTCCGAGATCGCCCCGCTCCTCCAGCCGATCCGCGAGCAGGAACAATCCGAAGGCGAGCCCGACCAGAAGCAGTACGATGAGGTCCTCAAGAAGATTGTCGGCGCTGCGACCGCTCTGAACGGTGCCCCCGAGAAGGGTGAGTGGGAAACCCCCGGGCAATTGTGGTGTGGCCAGACCAGGAAAAAAGACCATCCGTCGAATATCGTCAGGCCGCGCTATTGCAAAATTCTGGGAACATGAAGAAATAAAGAAAAAGGAAATGCTGACATGTCTGGAATTACACAGAGATCACTCCCTCCTACAACTTGCTCGTTCACCTTGTGCACCAGTCTTCTGACCCTGACATGTTCCTCCCTCGCATCTGCACCTATCTCGCTAAGCCCATCACCACTTCTCCCCAATTCGGCCCTACTCTGGCCATCAACATCCTCACCACCATCTTCAACACCCTCTCCGCAAACGACTCCAGCCGCTACCACGTCCTCCTGGCCATCGTTGCCATCATCCGCCAATCTGGATCCGGATACGCCTTTGAGGCCCTGAAGCCCCAGCTGCTCAACCAGCTGCCCACATGGTTGTCCGCCTGGGAGCTGGACGCCGAGGAGGCGCAGAAGTTGCACCTGGCCGTTGCTGATGCTGCCACCGCCGCCGGTGATGACGACCTCGCCCAGACGCACGTTGTCGAGGCTCTGCAGACCATCCCCGCTGCCGAGTCCACCAAGCCTGCCGCTCGCGACCTGGGTGTGCGCGCTCTCGCCTCTGCCCTGCGTCGCCCCACCGTCTTCGACTTCACCCCTCTGACTTCCTCCGACACCGTCCAGGGCCTCCGCTCCAGCGACAGCACTCTCTTCGAGCTGCTTGAGATTTTCACCTCCGACACCCTCGACGCTTACGAGGAGTTCATCGGTGCCAACCCACTCGCCTCGATCTCTGGCGGTGTCCTCGCCGATGCCTCCGACGCCCTGCAGACTAAGATGCGTCTGCTCACCCTGACCTCTCTGGCCTCCTCCACCCCTTCGCGTTCGCTCCCCTACGCTACCATCGCCTCCGCTCTCCGTGTCCCCGCCTCCGACGTCGAGATGTGGGTCATCGATACCATTCGCGCTGGTCTGGTCGAGGGTAAGCTTTCGCAGCTGCGCTCCGAGTTCCTCGTTCACCGCGCTACTTACCGTGTCTTCGGTGAGAAGCAGTGGTCTGAGGTACAGGGTCGTCTGATGGTCTGGCGCCGCTCTCTCGAGGGTGTCCTCACTGTGATCCGCTCCGAGCGTGAGCGTTTCGTCCGTGAGGGTATCCAGGCTGCTGCTGACCAGGAGGCCGCCACTGCTGCCGGTAGAACCGGTGACAAGGCCCGAGGCCTCGTTGACCGGCGGCGCAACCCCCAGCAGGCTTCTCAACCCCGTGAGGTTGAGGGCACTGCTGAGTAAAGAAAGAATACAAATAAAACTTCTGGGTTGCTTTATTACTTTTTTTTGCGGCAAATCCTGCATTTGGATTAGGTGTTCTATGAGCTGGAGTGTTGAAGTGAAGTGGACCAAAAAAAGACATTTTGCAAAAAATTCTTCCAGTTGATAATAGATGGCAGAGAAGAGGAGAGAGAATCTCTTCTTTTTGGAAAACCCCCCTCCCACCCCTACCACCCCCGTCTCTCTCTCTGTCTTCTTCTTCTCCTCCTCGTGCATTTATTATTTTCTTATTTTTTCCTTATTTTGTCTCTTTTGTCGAGGCCAGTTGGAGGGAATGTATCTACTGGCCGCCCGTTGATATTGGGATCCCCACGAGTCATGTCATGTCTGTTTTTTACTTGAATGTTTTATGTTTTCCCGGTGGGACAACTTTGTTTTATTTCCTGACCTCTTATGATCAAGAATAACAATATTTCTAGACTTCATTAATACCGCGTAGTCACAGCCACTTGAATTCCGAGTATTCGACAGAATGAATGCCCCTCATCTCAGGGGGCCGATCAAGACAAATTTGGCCAAAAACCCCTAATTACAGCAAAAAAAGACAACTCTATTGATCTAGATGAAGAGAAACCCTTTCTTTATACACAAACAAACAAACACCCATCTCCCAACCCCAACAAGCCCAATTTAACGAGGGTGCAAACCCCGCTCCTCAATCCCAGCCTTAACACTCTCATAAACCTCATCCACAGACCCAGTAGCCTTAACAGTAACAACCTTATTCTCCTTTCGGAACGCCTCAACAACAGGCATACTAGTCTCAACGAACGTGCGGAATCGCTTCCGAATAGAAGCAGCATTGTCATCATCCCTCCCACTCGTCTCGCCCCGCTTCAACAATCTCGACTCCATAACATCCTCGGGACAATCAAGGAAAAGCACCAATTCCGACGGACAAACACTCGCTTCAAAGAACTCCGCCTGATCAAGTTTACGCGGGAATCCGTCGATCAGGAATCGAGCCTTGCTGCCAGCGGGAGGCGGGTTGGAAGCCAAAGACTCGGCCATGGCGTCGGAGAGCAAGTTCACGGTTACTTCCATGGGGACGATTTTGCCTTCGGTGATGTATTCTTTTATCATTGCGCCTCGGGAGGATCCTTCGCGGACTTGCTCGGCGCGGAGGAGGTCGCCTGCGGATAGGTGGACGAAGGAGTAGTTCTGGACTAGGTTTGCGGATTGGGTGCCCTTTCCGCTGCCGGGGCCGCCGAGGAAGAAGACGACTGTTACTTCGTCGGTGGAGAAGCGGGGGGTTATGTTGGTAGGTGCCATTGTGGTGGTTTTGGCGGAATTGGAGGGTTTGGTAGGGTGTTGTGGAGGGAGGCCGGGGTGGAGGGTGGAGGGTGGAGGGGAGAGGAAAGTGTGGTGCGGTGTGGATTGGAGGGGTTGCGGCGTGGGCGCGGGATCAACGCAGGAGGCTTAGCCTAGTTTGACGGGCGCGATTGGCTCACACCGGTGCGGGACTTGACGAGTAAAATATAGGAGCCGGAGCCTAGGAGGAAAATGGCGATGATTGGGATGACGGGGAAATTTGAGCGGCTTTGTTGGGGTGCGGAGGAGGATGGGCGAGGTGTTGATGATCCTGGCTTGTTGGTGGAATTGAAGCGGTGGGGCTGTGCGTTGGAGGCGAGCTGTGGTTTGGAGAGGAGAGATCGGGAGGTGAATCGGCCAAGGGCAATTGAGCGGGTGGAAGAGAAGAGAGACATTGAGATGGAGCTGATTGCAGTGACTCGGATTTGGAGGGTTGGAGAGGTGAAGAAAAAGGAGACTGCCGGAACGGGTTAGCTTAGCTGGATGTGGTATACTACCTACACTCCGGAGTAGGCAGAGATGGATTGTGGATGATATACAGAGTATTCGAGCCAATTATACAACTTTTAATGGTATATTATTTCAAGTTGACTTGGCTAACCTCTGGTCTTCCAAGGTTCTGCATGGATTCATGGAAGTACTATTAGCTACATATATATCAAGATATAGCCGAGATGTGTTGCACTCCAAGGCTCCAATCTGGACTCGGATGAGTGCGATTTTTTGGTTCCAACCTTGGAATCGAATATATAAGATCAAATGGTCTTCGTCTACTTTGAGAAATTACCCTTGTGTTCAATACAGACACCTTTTCCAGGTGTCGTGGCTCAGACCGCGACGCAAGAGACTGTCAAGGAGGGCAGGTAAGAGCCGGCCAATCAGCACTGGGGATGACAGTCCGCCCCAGCAGATAGGTTTGAAGCAAGCTGTGCCCTAGGCATCTACATACTAGCTGAGCCATAATAAGGCATCTAATTCAGGTCAGAGTCAGCAGCGTCAACCCAGCCATACAGCTTTCAAAATAACGCTGACAGGCAACATAGCCTAATTTACGCGGATAAGACTCAGCCAACCAGCGACTGAATTGACCGTCAACCCCGGCATACAAGTTTCAAATTATCTCGTCGCCTCATGGCCTCACTCTCAGGGCTGAGCCATGATCAGCACGAGCGCACTAAGAGCAGATAAATGTGGCGTCGACGCTGCACAGCACTCCCTAGCTAACCCAAGTCCATGCTGATAAATTTGCGCTGGAGGACGACAAGATTCTCGGCGATGAATAGAAACAAATCGGTATATAATCAAGGATATGGTATGAGAGAAAGTTGCCACTGTTTCTATACACAAAAGTTTAGTAGGAGAGTGGATATTCTAATCATTTGCTTGTATGCAGTATCAATATCCATATCAAAATGATTTCTATTCCAAGGTGTTCATATAGAGATGCAAAGAAATGCAAAGAAATGCAAAATTAAAACAGACGTCATAAGACATCAACACATAAAAAAGATAGTACAAAGAAAATAACCGCTCTGCTTGTGATACCACAAGCTCAATCCAATCCCACCTAAGCCTGCGACTTATTAAGGATAATTTCCGCCAACGCGATCAGAGACCCACTAGACAAGAGCTCCAAAACCTGGACATTGGCATTGGCCTCACGAGCAATCCAGTTGCGAATCTCAATCGCAACAAGCGAGTCCAGACCCAGCGAGGAAACAGTGATAGAAGGATCCATATCCTCCAACGAAATAACAAGGACCTGCGCCAACTTAGCAGCCAGAGCCTCGTAACAAATCTGCAACGCCTCCTCCTTGGACGGCGCATTGGCAAGCTGAGTGTTCAGTGGGACGGAGGGTCCATTTCCAGCACCACTGCCACTACCGTGTCTCGCCTTGGCCTCTTCGTACAGAATGCTGAACTTGGCGTCCTGCGCCCAGAAGTGGTCCAGCGTGCTGCCGAGCTCGAGACCTGTAATGCAGTGGCCGCCGCAGGATCGCGTAAGATCTCCTGTGATAGCGGCCGCGAAAAGGGCCAGCACTTCGGCTTCGTCCATTCCGTCTGTGCCAATGTTCTTGAGAACCTCCTGCTGGCGCTTGCTGTCGACTTCGGCTAGGTAGCCCACATCTCGAACGGCGGTGAGATCGATGGATGTACCAGGCAGGCCTTGCGAGCGGCGGTACTCCATGAATGCATCTAGGAAGACGTTTGCTGCGGCGTACGCGGCTTGGCCTCTGTTACCGATTGTACCGGACACAGAGGAGAGGGCCACGAAGAAGTCCAGCGGTGAGTCGGAGAGGATGTCGTGGAGATTCCAGGCACCTTCGACCTTGCTCTCGGCGACTGCGTTGAAGTCTTCCAGAGTCATCTTTTCGAAGAGGATATCCTGGGTGAAAGTGTTAGTATTGGACATTTTTATAGAGGTTGCGCGTGTTGGAAAGGCTTCTTACCCGAAGAACCATAGCACCGTGAACAACACCGCGTACTGGAGGAAGATCTTTCATATCTTCCTTGACAAGCTTCTCGACTGAGGCCCGGCTGCTCACATCACATGCCTTGACGGTAATTTGTGTGCCGTCAACGGCCAGCTCATCCATCAGCTCTTGCACCTTGTCATTGACAGATGCGCTTCGTGATACAAGCACGATGTTTCTGGCGCCCTTTGAAGACATCCACTTGGTCATACTTCGGCCAAGACCGCCAGTACCACCAATGAGGATATAAGAAGCATCGGCCTTCAGAACATGACCAGTCTTCGATGTAACAGCCTAAAAAGAAGAAAAGGTCAGTTGACTGCCATCATGCTGATTCATCGTGGAATTGACTTACCTTGACCTGATCCTCAGGGTGAGGAACAACCACAATCTTACCCATGGCCTTACCAGTCTGCAATGTGCGGAAAGCAGTCTCGAGTTCCGAGATGTGGTACGCAGTAACAGGCGAAATAGGCTTCACAGCACCCTTACCCATAAGCTGAGTGACATTGTCAAGAAGACGTCTCATCAGCTTAGGCTTACGGGCCGCAACCTTGGTAAGATCAACCGAGGCAAACGAGACATTGTATTCAAACGGCAACATGTCGAGACGAGTATTCTTCGTGATATCGGCTTTACCAATCTCAACAAAGCGACCAAATGGTGCCAGGCACTCCCAGGTCTCACGGAGAAGATCACCCGCCAGCGAGTTGACCACCACATCGACACCTTCGCCGTTAGTGGCTCTCTTGATACCGCGGGCAAAGGAAGTATCACGGCTGTAGAGGATGTGATCTTCCGGAATATCGTACTGCGTCATGAGGAACTGCTTCTTTTCCACGCTGCCGACAGTAACGAAGATCTCGGCTCCGATCATCTGTGCCAGCATGATGGCCGACTGTCCAACACCACCAGCACCAGCGTGGATGAGAACCCGCTCATCTTCTTGCAATCTGCCCAGATCGAAGAGCGCGTAGTACGCAGTGGTGAACACAACTGGTACGGTCGCGGCAACTTCGAAAGTCATGTTGTCTGGGATGGGAGCTGCGCTCGTAGCTGGGCAACGGGCGTAGGTCGAGTATGCACCCAGTGGCAGAGCCATGACCCGTTGGCCAACCTGAAGGCTTGTCACGTTCTTGCCGATGGATGTGACGATACCACTGCACTCGATGCCGATGTAAGGTTGGGCCAATTGACCCATAGTGACGACGATATCCTTGAAGTTGAGACCGGTGGCCTTGACCTCGATCTCAATGTCGTCGTCAGGAAGTTCGGGAACAATATCCTCAGTGAAGTAAAGAGTATCCAGAGCACCGAGGTTACCGATTTGGAGCTTGAATCGACGACCGGGTTGTTGGAATGGCTGGGAAGCGATAGTCATCTCGTGAGTCTCGTTGTGAACGAAGGCGTTGGTAGCAGAGTCATGCATGGCGCGGGGAACCAGGAGCTCAGAGTTATTGGCCTTGAACTCGAAGTCATCGACGGGCTTGGCTCCGTTCGTCGGCCAGAGAGCATCAATGGCGGCCAGGATGGGAGTTGTGGGCTTCTCCAGATTCTCGGTCTCGAGTCCGAGGGTGGCAACCTTGGCCAGAGTCTCAGAGCGAATACTGCGGATTAAACCAACAATCATCTGAGCATCTGGGTTATCCAGACGGTAGACCCAGAGAAGGTGGGAAGCATTCAATAGTGCCTTCTGGATCTTCTCGAAAACGTCCGCGGTCAAGTCACGCAGAGTCTTGTTTCCGGTCTGAAGGACGACGACATGCTTCTCAGTAGCATCAATATCTTCCAGTGAGGTTGATATCGGGTGCCACTTGGACTTGTCCTTGAAAATGGCCTCCTTCAACTTGTCGACATTACCATCTGGCTTTCCAAACTGGGTGATCAAAAGATCGGTTTGATGCAGAATGCCGTTTCCATTGATGGTGACTGCGTCATCAGGGGTGAGAGGAGTAAGAGGGCCATTTGAGATGCCGTTTGGCATGAGATGGCCATTCATTGCTCCATTAGCGGTCACGGCGTGGCCGTTAGCCTCGACTGGGCTCTCCAAGCTAGCCAGGGTCTGCCATTCAAACTTGTAGCACAGATCACGAGTTTGGCTATTGCCCAGCGAGCCGCCGTCCTTAAGAGGAGTCATGACCAAGCCCTCCATGTTGATCAAGAGCTCATTGGAGTGGATAGGAGTCACCCAAAGATCAAACTTGGTGGGCTCAGGGGATGGCTGACTGGGACCTCCAATACACCAAGCCTTGGTATAATCTCCAGGAGTGGAGGGGATCTCACTGCTGATGGTCAAGCTCTTGATCAGAGTAGGCATGTAGAGAGTATCAAGCTCCATGCGACCCTTTCCAAGAATGGGCCAGACAAGGTGCAGCAAAGCGTCGAGGAAAGTCGGGTGGATTGTCAGAGGAGCCTCGTAATTCTTAGGCATTCCGCTCTTGGTGTCCCTAACGTACAAGTCTGCACAGGAGTGGCGAGGGTCGGAGAAGCAGTTCTCCAGTCCTTGGAATGGAGCACCATAGCCTGCGCCGACATCTGCGAGAACTTGGTACAAGTTCTGAATGTCGATCTTGTACGTGGCCGACTCCTTGACCTTGTCGATTTGGGAGCAGAAGAACTTCTCTTCGGATTCGGCGACATTGGAGACGGAGGTCTGCTGCTTCTTGTTGGTGCGGACTCGGACTAGACCAGAGCAGTGCTCAGTCCAGCCGCGCTTTTCAGACCACGAAAAGATGCGGAATTGATCCCAGATATCCGAGTGGCCGCGAGTACCCTCGGCAAATGGTTGAAGAGTGATGGAAGTCTCGGCATAGGAATCATCCGTCAGGACAAGCGCAGATCCAACAGAAACCTCTCGGAACTCGAACTGGGAAAATGGAATCTCCTTCTGCGCGGCGCGTCGGCGTGCAGCTTCAATAGCCATAGCCAGCTTTAAGTCTGTTAGTATTTTTTTCTAAAAAAAGATCGAATGATGAAAGGAAGACTTACATAACCAGCCATTGGGTAGACAATCATGCCCTGCATTTTGTGGTCGCGAAGCCAGGGAATATCATCCAAGCGAACGATATTGCGCCATGTTGGCTCCAGGTCATTCGAGTACATAGCCTGCGCACCAAGAACATCGTTTCGGACACCATCTCGCTTGGCATGCTTGTCTGCGATACGGGATTCGTGCCAGTAACGTGTAGAATGCTGCCACGGGTACCGAGGAAGATCTCTCAGGAACGATCTGTTATTAGCATTGCTGCAAGGGAAGTTGAGATCAGTGATTTTGAGAGATGCTCCGCGTACATAAGCTGCGCCAGCGGCATCCATGACGGACTCGCTAGGGTCGGCATTACGGATCACAGTCGGGGCGTAGCCAATCTTGGACGCCGCGGAACCCAAGCTCTTCTGGATATCAAGGATAGGACCTTTCAGAGCAGAATGGGGACCAACCTCAATGAGAAGGTGAGGACGGGTCTCTTCATTATCACACATCTTGCTCAGGGCATCAGAGAACAAGACGGAGGATGTCAGGTTCTGAATCCAGTAGGCGGGGCCCAATTCAGACGGCTGGGCGATCTGACCAGTCACGGAAGAGAAGAAGGTCGCGGTAGAAGTAGTTGCTGGCTGAATGGACTCGATGGCGGCCAGATAGGCTTCGGCGACATTCTTCATGTGGTCTGAATGGTATGCCACATCGATCTTGAGGCGTCGGTTGAATAATGCCTGCTCTTGCAGGATGGGCTCCAGCTCGTCGATAGCAGAAACGTCTCCAGAAACGGTGACACTGGAAGGACTGTTCACGCAGGCAATAGTAGCGTAGCTTCCAAGAGTCTTCAGCATCGGCTTGACAGCCTCAGAGCCAGCGCCAATGGCAATCATGGTCCCCTTCAGCAGAGGGAATGTCTTCTTGAGGAGCTGGGTCATTTGACCACGGCGGTATGAAAGGGCCATTGCAGCCTCGAGGTCATAGATACCAGCAGCGTACGCAGCACCGATCTCACCAGAGCTGTGTCCGACAACCGAAGAAGGAAGAATGCCCCAAGACCGAAGCAGATCAGTCAACGCAACCTGGAGTGCTGTGCAAGCCGGTTGGCTCAAATGAGGGGAGTTGATCTGAGACTCCGAAGCATCCTTCTCAAGCTCCTCTAGAAGAGAGAATTCCGCACCAAGTTTGCGCAGGCATTCGTCGGCTCGCACAATGGCAGACTTGAACACTGGGTAGTCGGTCATAAGTGGGATACCCATCTGGGCCCATTGAGCTCCTTGTCCAGTGAAGACGAATGCTATGGTAGGCGCGCTCAGCACTCGAGCTGGGTTGACCTTCAACTGAGCCAAGCGAATACCAAGCTCATCAAGCGATGTCGCCGACACGGCAACGCGGTATGAAAGCTGCGACAGTTTGCTTCCGAGAGTGTAGGCAAAGTTCCCGAAAAGAGAGTTCTCAAACACCTCCGGTCTTTGTTCGAAATAAACGCCGAAATCATGAATTCTAGTCTTGAGCGAGTCTTTATCGTTTGCTGAAATGAGGAATAGGCGACGCTTGGGGTCTCCATCAACCTCGGCGTCGTCCGCCGCTTGTGTTGGCGCAGGAGGCTTCTGCATCACGACGTGGGCATTGGCACCTCCAAAGCCATAATTCGAGACACTGATATATTTCTTGCCTCGAGGCCAGGGTCGCGTGGAATTCACGACCTTCATGTTCCATTCATTGAGAGGGATATTAGGGTTCGGTTTCTTGAAGTCGGCATTCGGAAGCAACAATCCATTATCCAAGATCATAGCTGCTTTAATGATTGATGCAATACCGCTTGCACCTTCCAGATGGCCAATATTGGACTTGACGGATCCAATATAGAGGGGGTTTCTGGCTGTCCGGTTTTGGCCCAGTGCTGCGTGAACCGCAGCGGCTTCAATGGGATCTCCGGCCTTGGTACCAGTGCCGTGCATTTCGGCAAAACCACACTCGTCGGGGTTCAAGTTGGCCTCAGCGTAAACACGACGGATCAGGTTCTCCTGTGCCTTTTCATTCGGCAATGTGATACCCTTTGTCCTTCCATCTTGGTTGACGCCCGTATGAGCAATTACAGCCCGAATGGGATCCTTGTCGCGGATTGCGGCCGAGAGGGGCTTGAGAAGAACGACACCAGCACCCTCACCACGCGCGAAACCGGATTTGGCTCTCTCTTCGAATGCGTATGTTTTTCCTTCGTCGTTGAACAATCTATAATTGGGAAAGAAAAAAAAGGGTTAGTGATTGCGCCGGAAGATTGAATGTGGGGGAAAAGAAGCTTGAGCGGGAGTACTAACTGTGACATGGACATGGAAACAAAATAATCAGGGAGAATGTTCAATCTGCAACCTCCGACAAGGGCCTCTTTCGATTCACCACTGCGCAAGCTCTGTACAGCATAGTGGAGAGCCACGAGCGAGGAGGAACAGGCCGTGTCGATGGTCAAACTCGGACCCGACAAATCGAAGAAATAGGAGATTCTGTTTGATTGGAGGGATGTCGCATTGCCGGTGGCCTGGTATATTGGTGCAGTTTCAATATCGCGCAAGTTGCGCAGCTCGTAATCGGCGAAGTTGCCACCGACGAACACACCAACATTACGACCGGCAAGGGATTCTTTGGGAATGCCAGCACTCTCCAAAGCTTCGTACGAGGTTTCTAAAAGCAATCGCTGCTGGGGGTCCATGGAAATGGCCTCCTGAACGGTGACATTGAAGAAGGGGGCGTCAAATCGGGAGACATCCTCGTCGAGAAAGTACCCGCCGATGGGGTTTGTGGTTCCCGACTTGGATGGATTAGGATGATGGTATGCACCGGAGTCGAAACGGTCTTTAGGGATGGGACACCATCCACTGCGACCGCGTGTGCAAAGCTCCCATAAGTCGCCGGGGGAGGAGACCTGACCGGAGAGACGACAGGCGTAACCGATGATCGCAATGGGCTCGTGAGTCTCATTCACCCCATTCACACCGTCGGGCTGTGACCCGTTCTCGGCACTATTCATGGTATATGAGATTCTCCTTTTTGGTGAAAAGAGAAGGAGATAGAGAGGGGAGGAGGAGAGGAGGAGGGGGGTGGAGGAGGGGTTTAAAAGAAGGAAAGTATAGAATTGGTGGAAGTGGATTCGCCAGAATTGACGGGACTCACGATTAAATAAAATAAACCAAAGACTTTTGTCCAGATGGACACTGACAGGAGCGATCCAGAGCTTCTCCAAAAAAATTTCAATGGAAACGATCTGCGCCCTCTTTTTTGCGCCGAGGCGATAAACGTATTGGGTGCGTAACTTCGGACTGCTGTACAAGCCCCTTGGGGTTAGACACAAATTCAGGTACGTTTCGACCCACGGCGCCCCATCGGCCATGCAACCCACAATCCACGCGAGCTTGAGGCACGGAGCTACTTGGATCGCCGATCACATGTTTCGGAGGGAATTGGCTGATTTATGAGCAGCCAGGGAGGACTATCTTTCTTCTCTTTCCTCCTCTATCAGCTGTGCAACATTCCATTCATTCTCTCATCCGGTCTAGAACTAGAACAACCATGAAGTTTCTCTGCTTGCACGGTGCCATTGGCAATGTCGAAGTGAGTCTTTCAACTTGGACTTGAACTGATTACGGGGGAAAGATGCTAACTATTCCCAAAGAACATCAGTATCCAGCTTGGTATGCAGCAAGAGAAAGCCCAATTGATAGTATAGAGAGGAGGACCGTTATAACTGACCATGGATACTATATAGCTCCCCTTCAGAAGGACCTGGGACAAGATCAGTCTGCGTCCTTCCACTACATCAACGCCCCCGTCAAGATCACACCACCAGCAGGTATGAGGCTTTTGCGCTCTCTTGTATCCAGCACCAAGCTCACCAATATACAGGATTCGAGGAGTACTTTGGTATCGGTCCTCACTATCGCTGGGCAGATGATGGCGGTGCCGCCGAAGATTCTTTGATCAGTCGCGTTCGCCAAATCCCCGTGGGACAAAATCCAGAGGATGTGATGCGCGACCTGGTGGGCGATCGCCAAGTTATCTGGCTCAACTACAAGAATGTCATGGACTATCTCTACCAAACCCTGGAGGAGCACCCAGACATTGGAGGTATTATCGGCTACAGCGAGGGTGCCTCTATGGCCGCTACTTTCATCTTGGATGAGCAACGGCGATTCGAGGAGGAAGGCCGTGAGCGCCGCATTAAGTGCGCCATGTTCTTTACTGGTTGGCCACCCATGTCGCCGGAAAGGGGGGTTCTCCTGGCGGACGAGGTCGAAGATCTGGTTGACGTCCCCACCCTCCATATTGTTGGCGCGAACGGTATGTACTCCCAACTATTGGCTCCCGGTCCCCTTACTTTTTTTTTTTTTTTTGGCTCGGCAATACTGATTGCTAGGTAGATCCCTTCCGCCATGGTGCATATGCACTCTACAATGTTTGCGACCCGGATACAGCCACCTTCTTCGATACGGGGAAGGGCCACACTATCCCCCGCTCAGGGTTGGTGATTAACGAATTGGCCAATGCGGTTCGTGATCTTGTTGAGAAGACTCAAGAAGAGGAGTGAAAATGAGATTCCTCATTCTGGGCTGTTATTATGTCGATCGGCGAATCCCCTTGCGCTGTGCTATTATATAAGTTTGTATCATTTGTGATTGGTTTATGTGATCTGTGATCACCAGGGGTATACATAGGCGTACGGAATCTTTATTACAGGGGAATTACATAGTTGTCATTATCGTTTACAGTATCATTGATCACATTTATTATTTATTAATTTGCTTCTTCCTACTCCGTACAGAACCTTGGAATATGATGGTTCAATCGCAAGATGCTGTCATACAGCAGGCGAATGGCGTACGTAGCCTCTAGCCTCAGCTGGTTTGTACGACATGCTCATTCAAGTTTTGCTTTCATTTTTAAGACCTCCTTGATACTCTCTGTACGCAGTACCTGCGACACTCGGCAACACACCTAGGGTCGAAATGTTTCATCCTCCCCTATTTTCATTTTCCCGTTTTCCCACACTTCACATGTGGTCGATGATCGCGATCGACCAGAAGGCTCGATAAGCTGAGGACTGCCCCACAAGCATTGGCACCAAACCCTGTTTCCTAGTGGGAGCCACTCATCTTCAGGCCGGTGGAGCTTGTCGATCCCAATCTCCAGATCTAGCTCGGCCTGTCACACACCACGGCTAATATCATCATCAGCCATTTCTCGATAGTATCAGGCATACCCCTGGAGAATACCACCACATATGACCAGTCAGTGCACTGGCGTTTCCGTCCATGGTCATATTAAGGTGAAATGACACAAGCTGACTAGCGATCAGAAAGGAAACAGCCTCAACCCGAACCAGAGTTGGAGCCAGATTCAAAGGAACCACCAGAAGGTAAAACTAGAACCAGACCAAAGTCAGACACGGCAAACCCCCGACAATCATCCCACATCCTCCACTCGTCCGCGCCCCCGACCCAATCAATTGGGCCCGTCATGCGATTCCAGAACCTCGTGTTGGCTTTCGGTGTCCTGGTCCACTCCCAGTCCACGCCACCAGAACAGTGCGCCACTGGAGTGCACGCCATCCTTATCCGAGGCCAGGGACCAGGCGATCACTTGAATGTAATGGTGACTATCCAGAATCTGGTGTTGCAGCTTATTCCCGGCTCGACTAGCATCGCTTTGCCCTATAAACACGGCGCAGACGATCACCGTATCGCTGCTGGCAACGGGGCATATCTGATGCAGGAATATATCCGAGAATACATCGCCGACTGCCCAAATTCGAAGATCTTCTTGCATGGATACTCATTGGTAAGTCCTCATTCCATGGTCGGACACATCCCGTTTCAGATCTGCTTTTCTATTCATTCCTTCTCGAACCGTGTTCTCCTGCTAGAAGGTTTATGCGGCTACTATCGCTTCCCCCGTGCGCTAGCAAACAAATCCCCGAAGAACGGCCATGCAACCAATGTATCCCGGCTGGATTCCTCTCCTCGGTGGCGATATGAAATCCAGCTGAAACATGAAATCTTCACAGGGAGGAATTGTCCTGATGGACGGTCTATGTGGAACCAGTTCGTCTTGGCTCTTCCCCGTGCCAGCCTTGGAGCCAAAGTATAACAAAAGTGGTAAGCTCCATCGTATCAAATCCGCTCTAGCCAAATTTCGTCCGGTCTGGCGGGAGAACCCTAAATATGCCTGGAACGCTAGTAATTGCCGCTGTTTGCTACGGCGAGGAGACATTTCTCCCGCAACAGCCCTGGAACATCGGGACCTGCACCAATGGGACGGGGGTAAGCGATCTATTTCGTTCGAGTCCGAGTCACTTCTACAGCTATTGTTTGCCCTTCGGGCATATTACACTCGCGGATATCCCGAATGGAATCCCGATGCTAAACTCAATAGTTGTACCCACGCATTCACCCCGAGTGGTGCGAGCCTTACAAGGCCTCGCTGCGAAGCTACTGCGACGTGGGCGACGTGGAGTGTTGTCTTGGTACTTCACCCGGCGACAACCTCGCACATTTCTTGTATATTGTCAAATACAATATGGATGTCATACGCTTCATTCAGCGCCGACTGAATGAAACGTGTTTTCAATAATTATTTTCTTTTTTTTTTCCGCGCCTTACCGAATATTATTTCATATTCTGTACCTTTCACATTTTTGAATTTCCATTTCTCCCGCTCCCATATTTTCCAATTTTGAATATTTTATTACCATTATTATTACCACTATTATTCGTATTATTCTCCTTTTTCTACACGCCCCTCCCTATTCAACATCTCCACGGCTCTCCCTCAACACTTGACAGATCTTGCCAATGCGGAATGTGGATATCTCACGTTCGATCCAATTTGCAAGGTGACGCAATTCAGAAAACCCCTATGGGGATGATCTCAGCCACGTTGCCACTCCTCCTGACAATTTGCACCAGTCAGAGAGCGGCTAGTATAGGGTTTAGCTTAGCTCACCCCAAGTGGAGCTCAGACCCTGGTCTCAAAGTTTAGCTGAACTGCTTACTCGTATGGAGCGCGGGAAAGTGGAGTATAATGATAGGCTTATATTCGCCCGAGGCGCAACACTAATTTTTCGCACGGCAAGGGAGCCCATTCCCGTCGGCTTTGATTCGCGATGCGCTTGCCCTGAGCGCCAATCTTCTCTATCTTCTAGTAAGATTGGCGGCAATCAATAGGGGCATTTCTCGGCATTTCTCGGGGTGACTACTACGGCCCCGTCAATTTATCCAATCGATACTCCCCATTGTGTAGGTACGGAGTACTCCGTGTGGAGTGCCCTCCCAGAATTTTTATTCCCGATTGCCTCTGCGATCGAAAATCAAGTGGGGAGGAGTCTCGTAATATTGGATTTTCATTTAACTTGGTTTTCACCTTCCTTGTATCGTAAGGTCGATACCTTTGAAGGAAAGTCAATCACGAAACTAGTGACTGAAAATTTATTTTCCAGGGAGAGGATCTTCTTTGGGTTCGGTCAAGTTTTGGGCACTATTGATTGTTAGAGGTTGCCACAAGGTACGGAGGACATGTAGTTTAGACTGGGTATCAGAGTATCAAAGACTTGGTCGGGCGCAAGACTGAAAATTGGGCTCAACCCCGTTAAATCAGATTAATAGACCCGGGGTTTGACAGCTACAGTTGCCCTGGTTTTACCCAGCCTTGAATTTGAGACCATCTTATAGCCGTGGGTAAAACCCCGGAACGCGTAGCCTAATGAGGATTGACTCCAAGCTTAGCACGGTGAAGAGCCTCAACTGCCGAAACTTAGACTCCTCTTTGAAACCTCAATTCTCAAGCGCCTCAAATTCAAACCTACAATTCCCAAATTCGCTGAAAATTCTCCCTCTGGTTCTTGAATTTCAGTTTCTTCATATTATCAGGAACTGGTTTCGCTCTAATTCAAGGCTCCGCTCCCCGGCACCTGAAACAAATCCGACACAATCGTCCAAGATAGTCACTCTGCCTCAAAAAATGAGTCTTTAGATGCATGCAAAAATGCATGCAAATTGTTTCCCGGCGGACTTTCCGAGGATTTCCCTTCCAGAAAAGACCCTCCTCCCCGCAAACCCATCCTCTAACCAGGGTTGCCTCTTGCATATCCCAAAACATGGACCCATTGACAACGGTTGATCTACCTCGGCAACAACGCTCGTCATATTAAACCTTAAAAACGGTCGCTTCATGTCGGATCTTCTCTGTTCGCAGGGCCTGGTGGTGGCACCGGTCGGGCTCTTGCAATTGTGGAACGAGCACTGTGCCCTGTCAAAGCGTGCCTTTGAGAAGATCGCTGGCGCCCCTGCAGGAACAGAAAACGACCGAGAAACAAACAGGTGGCGTTCTTTTTAGTGGAAACAACTGTAGCTCTGAATAATTCGACCTATTATTTGCGGTAGTTAAATGTAAATGAACAGATTACAAGCATCCGGAGCCCTCGGCTCCCTCAAACGACCGTTCATAGGGTGCGTTCTCCATAGCAGAGTTCCACACCCTCCATCCTCCTCATGCCCACCGAGCGAATTTTTACGAACGGTCTCAGCCAAGCATTCGACATAGATCAATCACATCCTCCTGCAACGGACCGTGTCGCAGAACCAGGACTAGGAGCAGTCGCAAATAGATAACGAGGCCCGTCTAGTCAAATGTCGACATGTGAATATCACTCTTTCTCAAATATCCATCTACTCAGGACGATGCAGGTGCGTTATCCTCGCAAGATGGTTGGTGAGCCTAAGCGAGTCACTGAAGCTCTAGACCCTGGCCTTTTATCTCGATCTTGGTTCCGTCCGGGTCGGGTGAATCACCTGTGATCTGACGTCTGGCCTTACGGAGCCAATACCCGATATGTACTTACCCGTATTCTTACCTTATAATCTAGCATGTGATAGTGGACATGTATCAGTGCTTCAATATCTTGCTACCTGGGCTCGTTGGTTTTGTAGATATCAACCTAGCTTGACCGATATGAAGATTATACTCGCTGGTGAAACCTAACTACTAACTGGAATCCATTCAATCAGACCATTCCATCCCCCAATTAGAGGCTTTTCAGTAATCCGGGCAACACAACTGTCTCAGTAAAGTTCCAAAGCTTCGACGAATCCTGGACATGAAAGGCAGCGCCTGTATACCACGTACTTCGATAACCCTGCAAAGCATAAAGATCATGATAAAACCCAGTAGCAATGCGACCCGGAGAGACAGTTAGTTCAAATGGAACATGACTCTTGAAACGTAAGAAATTGGCCGCTCCCGAAAAGTTACCCGTAAACCCGTTGTTCTGCAGTTTCTGGATATACGAAAGTATCTCCCCCTGCACATAAGCATCCGACAAAATTTTCTGACTGCCATACTTGACGTCAAAAACACCATTGACGGCGGTAGCGGATACAGAATAGACTGCTGGCATCTCTGGGATGTTGAAGGAGGTATTGGCTGATGCGGAGCTGGAAGTGAAGTTCGATGGAAGTCCTGTACTTCGTACTAGGGAGGTGTAGTATCCCACGCTTCTGAATTCGTTAAATATTTTTGCTTCAGTGTGATCGGGATTGAAGGGGAGTAGGTTATTGAGGGTTTGAGGAATTGTAATGAGTATTTTCTTTGCTTTTATTGTTTGGATTCCGTTTGGTGTGTTGACATCTATTTCAACTCCGTTTGCATCTCTTTGTCGGGCAGACGCTACAGTACTTCTGAAAAGTACATCTGGTCCGAGGATTCTTGAAGCCTGGTCGTATATTTGATGATTGTTACCGCTGGTCGGAAGCAAGGCCCCATTCGCCATTGTGTTTAGGACATCGAACCCAAGTATCTTGAAAACATATAATGTTGGTTGATCAAGAATATTGCCAAGGCCTTGATTGAACTGAGCTATCGAGAATGTCGCATTTGAGATTTCAGGGTACTTTGCAACGAATTGTCCGAATGGCAGCAGTAGATCTTCTGGGACAGGGTTGGGGAGATTGTACCCAGTTTCCAGGCCCGGGTATTGGGCGAGTTGTTGGGCGTAGGCTGCTAGCCCTGCCGATGGATCAGGAGGAGTGAAGTTGACCGTCTGAGCAGTGTCGGGATCCAAATATGTAGTGATGGGCTGGAATATCTGTGAAAGGTTTTGTAGGGCGCTGGATATATTCAGTCGTGCGAAATATTGTCGAACGACGGGCAGATCGTGGAATAGAACAAGTCCGTAATCCACAACCTGTTTGGTCGTTGGATCGACGTATGTTTCGGTGTGGCCTCCCAAGATACTTTCTCTTTCTACCACCACGACTGATTTCCCTTGATCACGAAGTCTAATCGCAGCGTAGGTGCCTGAGGAGCCGCCACCGATAATGACAACATCCCTAACAAGCGGCTTGCTAGCACAACTCCCGGAGGAAACAAACAGTCCGAGACCGAAAATAACGAGACTTTTGCACGAAAGCCAAATCATGATTTAATATCCGGCGCTGGAGATTAGAGATTGAAAGGAGAGTTGCTCTTGCTGACATTGCCGGGAGAAGACAAGGTGGTATGGGCGGGCTTTAAGTATGCAGAGCACACATTCCTTGGGCTTGCCCAGAATTACTCGGCAATGTGCTGTGCCAGTCTGGCAGAAAACATTGACAAGTCCCTTTCTGAGGCTATATTTGCCTAGAATGTTGTCCCCTTACAATGTTCCCCAGTCAAGATTAAATTTGGCTGACTTTGAACAAATATCTAATGATTTAGAGAAGCAAAAACCTCGATGGTTCTAGATACTTTCTTAAAAAAGCCAGATTGAATATTAGCCGAACAAGCCGGTTTAGTTATATGAGTAGATACCGAGCATATCTCCAGTTACACAATAAAGCTTCCATGATCCTAGACCTGGACATTTATAGTTTGACCTTTGACAAATAGTAATACATACACCTCCAGGAGCGGTTTGATCATCTACGAAAGGCAGAAAATCAGATGTCTTATCTATGACTAGGACTGCTTAAAGTTTCACTTGTTTTCAAATAATTTTAGGCTCACAATTGTGGCCCTTGAAGATTATGCGAATCAGTTCGGGATCTATTTCAATGTCAATGGTTGATTGTAGCTCAGGGATGCCACGTCGCTACCCGAATAGGGAAGCTTATTCCGCATTCCAAGCCAGTAACGCCAGGGCGGCATCCGGTCCAGTGCAGTATTAAGGTGTTCAAGCAAGGTTGATAGAATTTTCCTGGTGCTACATCAATCGCTATTGCTTTTTTACTTCCCGAGGTTGTGACGGGAATAAGTTTCCAGTTCAGAGCACCGAAGTTACACCTACTATTTCGCGGATGCGAATTGCCGACATCGGCTGTCAAGGCCCGGATTTTCGCCGACTTATGATCTACGACAGTTGTTTGTAGGAAAGAAAATTTGTTTGCTAGGCTTTATGCCTTTCTGTCATTGATTCTCGAATAGAGTGGAGGTACTCGGTTTCCCGGCTTCAAGAGCCCCCGGATCCATAAGACATCAAAATTCTCTCAGAGGACCTTGAATTGGCTCATAACTGGACAGAAGCGGTATGTTAGATTTGTCGACGACAGTTCCCCGAATTGTGGATACGTACTTGCTGCGTGAGCCAGCTCCGCCTGGGTGTGTGCCTGCACATGGATACTAATGTCTAAGAGCGCCCGGAATAGGTGGTCCTTGTTGGTGGTGTAGTATGACTTGTCATGAATGCTCGCGCCCTCCGGGACCCTGAGCGAAACCTGGTGGTTAGCATGCTCCATTCCAGGGGATCTGCAGGATCGCTGCCTCAAAATGCGGGGGAGACAAATGTAACATACCACGTGATGAAGACGAGCTTGTGTCGCTGACCATCGCCAGAGGGAGAATCGTACTTGAAGTCGACGACGGCATATCGAGGAGTGTCATCCTTGAAGTTGGCAAGGAGCTCTGAGTATTCCTTGTATTTGCCGGATTTGTTGACGGTGATCTTCTTGTCGTGTGCGGAAGCTTCATAAATGACGTAATCAAGGTTGTCGGTCTCTTTGACCTCATCAAAGACGGTCTCGCACTCGGGCGAGATGGTTGCGAATCCCCTAGTCATGGTTGGAAGTGTTGATAGGAGAATATTGGGAGAAGTTGAGAGTGGAAGTGGGGGGGAGAAAGGGGTGAAGGAGAAGAAGAGAGAGTCTGCTGATCAAACTTACCTCCTTCCAACTTGCGGGGAAGCTGTCCGATTAGTCATGCATTGCATGACAATGGAGATGCAGTTACCGTCCAATAGATGGCCTGGGTGCCTGTAAAAACCTAACCTGTTCCTGGTGGGGTTTTCGCTGAATCGATGCACTGCTTGAGCAGCCTATACATCGACAGCTCCGAGGATTCAGACCTTAGGTGGATGGACAACAGGAGGATGGGAGGAAAATCGAGAGTTCGAAGCAGCTAGAATATGACACGTGAATAAAAGGTGCAATTTTGTTCTTCAAGTTATAATAGAGAATAAATCATCTTACACCTCTCTACCTCATTACTACATACGGTAGATAACGTAATTCCCGCCCGACCGGGTCACCCTCCCGACCGGGTCAACCCATCTAAAATCGCGTCTTCCTACCAATCTACCTAATTCAACCACCTACCATGCCACCAAAACGCACTGAATCCTCGCAGAAGTCGGCTCATCAAGAGGGCAAGATCTTATTAGCCCTTGACGATATTCAAAATGGCCGTATCAAATCTCTACGCGCGGCAGCCAAGCTATACGAAATACCCTTCTCTACACTGCAAGCGCGTGCCGATGGTCGAACCTCACGCGTTGATAAACGCCCAACTGGTCATAAACTGACCCAATTAGAAGAGGATTCGCTTACTGAATGGATACTCTCTATGGATGCACGTGGAGCAGCGCCTAGGCCTGCTACTGTAAGAGAGATGGCTAATACCCTACTGGCTGCGCGTGGTAACCAACCTCCGCCTACTGTTGGCAAGAATTGGCCATCAAAATTCGTTCAACGTCGCGATGAGCTTCGTACACGCTACTCAGTACGATACGATTACCAACGTGCATTGAACGAAGACCCAAAAGCTCTGCGAGCCTGGTTTACGACTGTACAAAGTGTGATTGACGAGAACGGAATACAAGCAGAGGATATCTATAACTTTAATGAGACAGGCTTTGCAATGGGCCTTATATCCTCGCAGAAGGTAGTAACTCGAGCAGAATACTACGGTCGGAGACGTCTTCTACAGCCAGGAAATCGTGAATGGGTTACTGCTATCGAAGCAATCTGTGCCGATGGTTATTCGCTACCGCCGTGTATAATTTTTAAGGGTAAAGTGGCTATGGCAGATTGGTTTAAAAACCTACCACAAAATTGGCGATTTGAGGTCTCTGATAACGGCTGGACTACCGACGCAATTGGCCTACGTTGGCTACAAAAGCTTTTTATCCCATCAACAAATTCGCGTGTACGCGGCCGATTTCGCCTACTGATTCTTGACGGCCATGGTAGCCATCTTTCGCCCCAATTCAACCAAGTTTGTGCAGCAAACGATATTATACCTCTTTGTATGCCTTCGCATGCATCACATCTACTACAACCACTAGATGTTGGCTGCTTTGCAGTTATTAAGAGAGCATATAGCCGTTTTGTCAGCGATCTTGCACGTAGGGGATACAACCATATCGACAAGTACGATTTTTTAGAGAACTATCAACACGCACGGCTAGAGGCTTTCCAAAAGCCAGCTATTATTCAGAATAGCTTCGCAGCTAGTGGCCTAGTACCGGTCGACGCAGAAAGAGTACTTTCAAAGCTCAATATCTCTCTACGAACTCCGTCACCACTAAACAGCCGGCCAAGCAGCAGATCAAGCCAATCTACGCCAAAAACGCCTAGAACTGTCGTTCAGCTACAAAAGCAAGTTTCAATGCTTAAGGATCTATTACACCGGCGGTCAAATAGCCCTCCGAGCCCATCAAAAACTATATTTGATCGGATTATCAAGGGCCACTGCGAAGCGCTACACAATACTGCATTGCTTGCGCAGGAGAACGCGAATCTACGTATGACGAACGAGAAGATAGTTAAGAAACGCAATCGGTCAACTAGGCAGATACCCTGCGAAGAGGGATTAACTGTTGAAGAGGGCCTACAGCTACTTACGCAGCTAGATTTGCTAGCAGAAGAAGCTGTAGTAGATTCGCATGCGCAGGGCGAACTGCCTAGTCATGCAGATAGGCGGGCAACTAGGGCTCCGCCTAGGTGTAGTGGGTGTAGGGAGATTGGCCACAAGATTAATAAATGTAAAAATCGCTATATCTAGTTGAATTAATGGGTGTTGGCTGCGATAATCGATTTTGAACTTCTATAATGGGGTTAGGTGACCCGGTCGGGAGGGTGACCCGGTCGGGCGGGAATTACGTTAGTTAGCGGGTGTGTAACTAACGTATTTCCCGCTCGAGTGAGCCACCCGGCCGTGTGGGGCCACCCCAAAACACATAGTAAATGCAATGAATTACAACTTCATATCTCAACAACCACGCGTAATTTAAATGGGAAGTTAAACCTATTTAGTCTGAATAGTATCTGTAACTAGTTTATAGAGTATGAGAGCAATAAGGCAATAAAAGGTGGAGGTATACATATTCATTGCTTAAATGTCTAAATTACTCTGTATTTTACAGTAAGGCGATAACGTATTGAGCTGAATATCTTAGTATCAAGATATATCATAACATTGCGTATATAAAAGTACATATACTTAAAACCAGACAAAATTGATTATTGGTGGTTGAAATATAGAGGGACAGAAAATGGAATTTACTATGTGTTTTGGGGTGGCCCACACGGCCGGGTGGCTCACTCGAGCGGGAATTACGTTACTTTGTTGAATCAAGTGCCTCAAGCATTAATATTGCCGTGGGTGCTGTGTTCAAGTTGTAGATAGCTTCCAATACGACTAGGGACTCCGTACAAAAGGACGTGAAATCTTGTAAGGTAATGGTAAACAGCCCTGGAGGTGTAATGCATGCGACAGGGCTGACTGGTTGGGGGGCCAGGAACAGCAACCAGTCAAGTAGCTTGAACCCCCTCACGAGGCTACAAAATAACCAGAAATTCATCTGAGGCAAAGGAGGGCAGGAATCAAAAAAAGAGATTGTGATCCGACCAGCGATACCCAAATCCACCATGATTGACAGGGTTCATTTCTTGGCGACTCCTGAGTGCTTGCATACGTATTTCAAGTTATTGCCACTGGCAGGAACTGCATAATCCACACATCATATATGGATCCAATATCTAGGTGGTGGCTGTTGTGCAGATAGTGACGAACGTATTGTAATTCCAGAATAAATCAATCATCTGCATGAGTACGAGTACGGGGTTGTGGGTTGACTTGTATGTATTCTGCTACGAGTACGAGACAATAGCCCCGATGATACATCCAGGAGATCAAACGGGGACCCATGCCCAGTGCTGTTAGGGCTGTCTTGGCATGATAAGCAACTCGCCACGGTGTCGGTTTCGAACCGGCATGGATCGACATCAGGGGGTGACGGGCGGGGCCGGACGCTGTGCTCGACTTGGAGTAACTTGATTTTGGGCCCTGGGTTTAATGTACAATTTCGAGGACTAGACTAGTCTACTAGTTAGTTTGGGTTCGGTGTTTGAGAAGAGGCACTATGGGATTTGAGATTTGAGATTCTGATCTTTATTGGTGAGACAGGAGGATAGATAATATTATACTGTATGTACATTGATTGGAATGGAATATTCAAAAATAAACCTTGTAAGAGGGTGCAGGCGTGAATAAGTATTACACAAGAAATGAACAAGGGAAAAACAAGGAGAATCAACAAATAAGAAACCAGAAAAGGAAAAGGTTGAAACATAATTGGGGTTGAAAAGGAGTTTTTCTTCAATCCACTGCCAGGTTCGAGGTAGAAGTCGAGTCGAGTTTGAGATCCTCTGGCTTGGTTCCAATTTCCTTTTCAAGTTTCAAGTTTTAGATTTGCAAGAAGCCCCGCGTAGGTTGAGAGAAAACGGAATGAAGACAAAATGTACACCCTATAGTTCAAAATCAAGAATCCAAGAAAAGAAAAACGCCAGATGGGGTATGATATGCGTGGAACGATCATAACCTGATTGTATGTATGTATGTACGTACTCTCCTTCCTTCTCAGCCGGGGTGTGGCATGGGAAGCAAAGGTGTCCGATAAATTTCGTTCAAATCCACAGCTAGTGGATGGTTGGTTGGTGTTGTATAAAATTTCTTTCTGTTTCTTGATCTTCTTTCTTTCTAGCCGACTTCACCGGGAAAAAGGCACGAAAGAAAAGACAGACCCAAATCAAAAAAGAAAATGTAAATGCGATGGCGAAGGCGAAGGCGAAGGCAGATGCGACCGCTTGTAATCATGCTCGAGAAAAAAAAATTGGACAAGAAAATTAAACAGTCATCCGAAAAGGGTGAGTGAGTTTGCAGAGACGCGAGGGATTTGATTTAGTCATGAGTTTGCGATCGCAGATGAATCTCTTCAACAGGAAGTCCCTCTTCTGACGGGACGTGCTGGTATGAGCGACGTCTGCGCTTTTGGATGAAACGCCATGAACCAAAGAGGATACCGCCGACGGAGCAGGCGAGCAAGATGAAGATCAGCAGGCCACCGACGCCACGGATAACTTCGTAGGCACGGTAAACAGCCTTAGCGACTTCCTTAGCGTCGGCGTAAGTTTGCTGTGGCGCGGAGTCCGAGTTCGAGTCCGATCCCATGTCCATATCCATTGAAGAGTCGGCCTGGTCAGCGCTGGTCTCTTTCTCTTTATCCGCGACGACCTCCTTGTCATCACTGGCTTTGTCGCTGTTATCTTCCTTGTCCGTGCCCTCCTTGACCTGGTTGATGATCGAAGGGTCGTCTGGAGAAGGGCCCCCGGCGGATCCCTTGAAGCCGACAGATTCCCAGTTGCTTGGGATCTCGCTGCGCTGGACATGAGATTTGCTCATAGAATTGCCCTCGGCGTCGACAGCCTCGGCGGTGATCCAGTCCATGTATCCATCGACGATATACATGGTCTCGAAATCGGACTTCTTGGCGTGGCCGATGAGCACGCTTTCACCGCGGTCGTAGGCCTTGGCGTAGAAGTTCCATCCAGCGACATCGGTGGCACCATTCCAGCTAACGTGGATGATGGTCGTAGTGTCATCGTCATTGGTACCGTAGACCGAGGCAACGACGTCGGGAGGGTTGGTCGGGCGACCGATGAATTCGGACTTGTAGGCGCGGTAGGTCGAGTAGCGGGTTGACATAAAGCGGGCGGTCATCAAGGTGTCGCCGTTGGGAGAGTGCTCGCTCTGGTAGCCTCGCTCACTCCAACCAGCGAAGATGTTGCCATTGGGGAGGGTCTCGGCACTGCCGCGGAGACGGGTCAGGCTGCTATCGGGGCGGTTGATGCGGTTGATGACACGGGCGGTCATGGCTTCGGTATCCATTTCGATGAAGAGCACTGAGGACACGTTCTCGTCGTTGCCCCGCTCATCGGAAGCATTGTTCAGCATCGAGATCACATGGTGGGTACCGTTGGAAGAGACGAATTTCACATCGTGCTGCTTGGAGAAGGTGAAGTCCATATCGAAGTCACCCGTAGTGCCACTGGTCAAACGCCACATAATCTTGCCGGTCTCGCCAGAGATACCGTAGATGGTGTTGGTGAACCGCAAGGAGATAATGAAGTCGCCGGCCTCATTCTTGTCGACAGCATTGATATGCACATAATCCCAGCCCGGCTTACCCCACGGCGAGTCCCACGAGTGAAACATGTTCGACTCGGTAAGGGCAATCGCATCTTTGCTGTTCCACTGGGACAGAACCTCGCTAGTTTCCATGTCCAACTCAACGAACCCACCCGTAACCACCCAGCTCTCCTCCGTCGGGCGTCCGAACTCGGCCAGGTTGATCACTTGCGAGAGGTATGTGCAGGCGACAGCAGACTTACCCCCGGGCAAGATGTTGAATTCGTGCATGTTGAAGTCGTGAAGGTCTGCAGGCTGGAAGACCTGGCGTATTTGCTTATAGTTCTTGTCCAAGACAACTCCGCTTCCCTTGCCTCCTCCCTCGTCCTCGAGTTGCCAGTTCAAGATAAATGATAGCTCTATCTCATCGTCAATGTTGGTAACGGGTCGGAAGTCGAATACATTTTGATTATCGTATTGAACGGAGCCGGCCCAGACTAGCTTTCCATCGCCATCGTAGATATATGGTCCAACTTGATATTGTTGGTACTTCTGGGTGGGATCTTCGGGCGAGATCTGACCGTACGGGGCGACGAACCAGTATCCGGGGGCCACTTTCTCGCGATCAAGGTAGTTGACTTCCCACTTCAAGGCGCGAACCTCGGGGAGCTATAGGAATTGCAAACCAACATTAGCATTTCGTTCAGGAACAAGCCGCGGGGAAAAGTAAAGAAGAAGGGGGGGGGGAGCCACCAACCGTCACAAAGGACATCAAGTCCGCATCTTTTCGCTGCGCGACAACATTATGCAGGGAACATAGTAATAATACTGCGGAGAACAACATGATGAAAGAGTGGCTAGGGAAGCACGCGATCTTCCCCCAGTCGAAGCAGGCAACAAGAAAAAAAAACGGAGAAAGACGAAAGCAGGGATGGGAAAAGAGAAGGAGAAGAGAGGGGACGGCTACAAGATAGCCCAGGAACGAAGCATTCGGGCGTCCCGACTTTCAAACGAGTGGAGAGGACTAAGGAAAGAAGAGGCAGGAGAAGACTCCACGCAGTCTTTTTCCATTTTTTTCTTCTCGGTCTTCCAGCCGCCGACTGGCCTCAGGGGATGGCGTGGAATTTGACGATCCAGGCGAAGACTCTTGGCACTTGTTTCGGACGGTGGAGTCGCGGTCAAGCAACGACGCTGAGTGGTGCAAAGCGCAGCTTAGAGCGAGGTCTTGGGAGCGAGGCGGACGTTGATTCCACTCGTATCCTTAGCCCAGTCGGGGTTCCACAAAAGACCATCCTCATCACGGTCGAAGCGTTGCTTCGTTCGGTCTTGATTGCCCAGTCCAGCGAGGGCCAGCCACTGGGCAGAACCCCGAACGTAACACCACTAGCACCGCCATTCGCGTTCATGCGTGTTCATTCGGCAATTGGCAGATGCAATACGCAAGACACAGCAAAGACTCGTCACACGCCTCACAGGGCTAAGCCGGTAGACCCGATTAAATGGGGGAAGGACACGAGGCCCGGAAGGATGTGAGTGGCGGACAAAACCCACGGCCCAAGGGGGAAGTCTTGGCACTTTATGCGGGTTACGTACATACACACACCTGGGTACGGAGTACACAGTAGTTATGGAGTACTCTAGGGTACTCCATAGTATCAATTAAATGATTATGATAAGATCCTTTCAGGAGAACTCCACTGCGGCAGAATGACGATCTTGGTCTCCAATTCCCACTCTTCTTCGCTTGACAGTGTCTACTCTGCACGTCCTCCAGACTGCGTGGGAATCTCTCCGCTTTTCTAGCGTCGGCATTGGCCATGTTAAAACGGTAAAAGGCTAGTCCGGTGGAGCACCACACGGCAATGCAATTTCGACCAAAGCAACCTTGGAGCTAAGAGTTTTCGCCATGAGGCTATCACAGTTAAGCATATGTTTAAGGGAATGGTGTCATTCGGGGGTTTAATGAGGAGACTGGGGTAAAAGAAGTAAAGAAAAGAAAGAGAAGCCTTGATCCACGCCATGAGGAGTTCCCATAAAAATCGTTCCCATTAAGGTTGACTGGCCTCCACAATTACTTCCGCTGTGGCTCAGGAGTAATAAACACTGGCAATAAACCTTGGAACAATCGACGGGTCCCAAATGGGGAAAAAAAAGGAGAACCCACGCAATTGACAAAACAAAAACAAAACTCAACCAACGTGTAGACTCGAACTCGTACTCCCCGGGCAAAAAAGAAAAGACTAAAAGACCATCAATAAATAAAACCAAAGCCCCAGGACGCGTACCACCACTAACTACCTCCCCTCAAAACCGATTCAAGACGACGCGTAGTCCATAATAGGCGGCTCCGCAATCGTATGTGGCTTATACAGCACCAATTCCATAACAGCAATAACTAACAACCCCTCCGTCCCCAATAAATCCGACAAATCCAATTCCGGCGCCACCATCAGCCCACAAACACCATCGCGATCGATCCGATCCAAATCTGCGGGCCCATCATGCGCAATGGCGTCCAGGGCCAACGCCCACGCAAGAGGATTATACAACAGCCCCTCATGCGTATAAAACCCGCCACCGACACGACCCGCACAAACAGTCTGAATATGCGCAGCCGTGACGCCGACGCCACGTACGTCTCGGAGCAAAGCCGACGCAAACGGGCCGGATTGTGGCTGGACGATCTCGTCAAAGGTCGAGTAGATGATTGTTGTGGGGACGTAGGCTGAGTCGCCGTCGTGGGCGCGTAGGGTACGTATGAACGAGGTGTTATACCCTTGTTGCCAGAGGGCAGGGGTGCAGACTAGTAAGGACAGGGCTGGACAGACGAGGGTGCGAATTACGGTGCCGTGGAAGTCTGGACTTATGGCGATGAAATCTTTGACCTTGGACCGGGTTGATGGCCAGAATTTGAGTGCCCATTGTGTGTTTAGGCCACCCTGGGACCAGGAGAGGATTGTGACGGGTTGGTTGGATTTGGATTGGGTGGAGATGTAGTTTATTGCGTAGGCGACGAATTCGGCGTTGACTTGGGCGTCGGAGAGAGAGGCTGATGGGAGGTTTAGCCAGACTGGGTCTACTGCGTGTGTGTTTCCTAGTTTGCCGAAGTTGAAGGTGAAAGTTGTTCCGGCGGGAATTGCGGTTCCTGGAACTAGGATTATGGGTGTTTTGTTGTTTTGTCCGTATTCGAATGATGAGGGGATGTGGATGGCAGAGCGGAGGGTCTCTTCACTCAATGAGTATGGCGCATCCCCGGGTGCTTTGGTTGGGTATATGTTGTCGTTGGGTGGTGGGTTTTTGTTTTGAAGGGAGTTGAGCTCGCTATCCGCGTATCCATTTAACAGGTTTAATATGTCGGGTGGTATCAGGCCTGCCTTGGTGATGCCGTAGGCGGCATCCTCGATACTGGGTGCGCCATTGGATAACTGTCTTCGAAGAGCTGATAACGCTGACTCGACAGAGGATGGGGCAGTCGTCGAGTTTGGCTGCTGAAGTAGAGCCGCAATGTCTGATATAATTGCATTGTTCTCGTTGTCGGATGCGGCATTGAAGAGGGTGGTGAGCAGAGGCGCTCTTGTTGACTTGGAGGTAGTTGCGGGTTGGCCGATAGCCGTCGTAGCCCCCGCAATCACCAGCAAGCCCACCTGCAGTCCAAGAAGATGACTTCTCTTCATAGTGAGCAATCATTCACTATTCTATGCACTCGCTCATGCCTTATTTGACCTGCTATACAGCCAACTTCACACTTCTCCTTACTAAACGAACCACACGCCACCTGAGCGAGACCCTCTGCGATTAAATATCCCATCCTGACAGACGAAGATTGTTCAGGACTACCAGTATGCATCTCCTCAATTTTGGGACTCAGGGAAGATCGACAGAACTATCACTTCCCAGCGCCATCTCTGTGTTCCGGCATTGGCCCTGCGCTCCCAGGAAAACGCAGATCACGAGAACAGAGCGTCTTCAAGGCAGGAAAACTATTCCAGACGCTCCTTAGTCGACTCTACTGAGATCTTACAGTCGGATTCCACCTATGGGAGAAGAGCATCGACAGAACCATTTCGCTGCCCTGACTCGCTCTCCCCGCAAATCACCTCACCCCGTGGGGTAAGACACGCGGAATAGTAGAATCACCCTCGGCCCGGCAATCATCTTCTCGTGTCTGGGTGAATGCATTGACATCGGCAACAGACATCAAGATTAAGACTGACGAGGTGTGTCCAAAGACCCTGCGTGCCATGCGCCCTCTCCCGTCCCGCTGTCAACGACCAGGCAGGGCAGGGCACGGCTTCTTGTGTCCACCACGTTCACATCGAATCCAACCCTCTCCCCCGTCCGTGCTTATCCGGGACACACGACCAGACCGCTTCAAAGGGCCGGTCGGATCGGATCGAATCAGGTCGTGAAAGAACACTACGGTCCATTGCTTACTCCGTACGAGATATTCAGATGCAACTTGGCTGCGGAGGGTTTCCTACCCACCCCTGTCGGCGAATGCACCGGGCATATCTGTGACGATCGGTTTCATCCTCGTGGCGGCGAATTCGGAGTCGATGAGAAGGCATGACAGGGCGGGTCGCGACATACTTGGCCATGCCATGCCATGGTGCGTGCCACAGCAACATAAGGCGGAGTTGGAATTGGTCGCCGAGAGCTCTGCCGTTGTGATGTGGATACTCGTACATTGGCAGCAGAAAGAGTTCGAGTTTCCAAGGCCTCGGCTTAGAGGCTACTACGATGAAGGGCTACGAGTACATACAGTACGACTCCGAAGGCGATGATTATGGTGATGAGACAGGGTTGATGTCATGTTGTTGTGGAGCATTCTTGAAGAAAGTCAAATGCACCGGTTGGCGGTTCCTAACCCTATCTCTGTCTCCTGTGCTTGTGCTGTCAAGGGATACGCTGACCTCCTTGGCAGGGCCCCAGGCACCGAGATTGCTACAAAGACGGGACAGGGACACTATGGTGTACTCATATGGGATCAAGTTGGCTTGGATTGAAGCTTGGTGGTTGTGGTTACATGCGAATGTATCGAGCATGACATCCTAAAAGGGGAAGAAGGCCGTAGCGGAGGGATGTTTCAGAGGATGGGGGATATACTAGGGCAGTGAGGCATCAAGGGGATACTACTTAGTAGACAGTAGACAGTAACTGACAGTAACTGACAGTAACTGTGTCTAGTAGTAACTCCTAGTAAGTAGTAACTGGTCGTGGGGCCCCATACAGTTTTGTAGTTGGGGGGTTCCACATGAGTGTAACCGTCCCGACCAGTTGGGGCCGACTACCACCGTTGCACTCAAGGGGGTCATTGAGTATGCGCATACCACATACTCGGTATACTCGGTATCTCGGTACTGGGGAACATACAGTAGAGTATGGTAAGAGAAGAGAGGAAAAGAGAAGAAAAAGCAATGTTATCCAGGCAGAATTAAACAGAGGGGTATGACCTAGGAAGAGAATACAATAAAAGATCAGATAAAGATAGTTGAGGGTACTCCATGGTACTCCATATGCCCAGTAATAACAATACCAGGTACTCGACCATTGCCACCACACCCGGCTGGTACGTCCCCTGCTACCACCAGGACCATACAGTAATACCCATACAGCAAGGGCTTTCCCACGTCAAGTTCTAAGTTGCACTCTGGTGACACTCCAAGAATGGGCCAATGTTGATCCATGCTTCGTCCCTTCTTTTACGGTGGGGATCTGGTCTTTCTCTTTCTCTACGACTCTTCCTCTACGACTCTCCTCTACGCTCCCACTGTTCCGATCCACCTACGCTACTCCGTGGGAGTGTCACCTTGTTCCCTATAACTTCCATCCCGCGAATATCCTCTTGAATCTTGACCTCGATCTTGACCTGCCTTACTCTACGCCCATGATTCCCACCCACCTCCCTTCTTGCAGTCCCATGCTGCTGTGAACTCAATCACCACCTCTTCCGACCATCATCCCTCCGCCTGGGGAATATCTTAATCCCACCTCCCTCCCTCCCTTCGCTCCGAGCTCCTTTCGCCTCTCGACTTGCCTCTTGACTCGACTCGCCTCAGCCTCATCCTTGCTCACCCTCAAAACAACCTACACACACCCTTCCCCTCCTCACAACCATGGCGGCTCCGCTGGTCAAAGTCTTGCATCGCTTGCAAGAGCTCTTCCAAAATGTCGTGTCGGCTCTCGAAACAATGATTTTCTTCCCCTCCCTCTTCCGCGGCTTTTCGCATCGCCGTAAGAAGCCCTTCCTGGGCGCCCACTGGCGTCGCCGCACACTCGATGATTTCGCCTTTGAGGTCGAGAATCTCTTCGCAACGCCCCTCTCCACCGATAAGATGATCGACATGTCCGAGAAGATCCGCGGCCAGTTTCGCGATTGCCTTCAAAACAGCCCATACTGCATGCTCCCCTCATACACCCACGCATTGCCCACCGGTTCGGAAAAGGGAACATACCTAGCGTTAGACGTGGGAGGATCAACATTCCGAGTCGCGTTGATTGAATTGTCCGGCCCCGATCAGGAGATGCGCATTGTCAAGGTCAACTCTTCATACATTGATAATACTGTAAAATTGCTGGAAGGAACCAAGTTCTTTGACTGGATGGCCAATCAGATCGACACCGTACTCAAAGAAGTTGGCGCTGATTACGGACGTGGTGATGCGCCTTTGCCCATTGGATTGTCCTGGTCATTCCCGATCGATCAAACCTCCGTCCGCAGCGGCAAGGTCATTCAAATGGGCAAGGGATTTCGTTGCTCCGATGGAACAGAGGGCATGGATCTGGGACAACTATTGACGGACTCCTGCCACAAGCGCGATTTGAATGTTGAAATGGCCGCCATCGTGAACGATAGCTCCGCAGCTCTCCTCTCGCGCGCCTACGTCGACCCCAAGACTCGCATGTCACTCATCCTGGGCACCGGTACCAACATGGCGATCCACTTCCCCGTTCACGAGATCGGCAAGAACAAATTCGGCACCCGCCCGGACGGTTGGTTCGACTATGCGAAGCACGTTATCATCAATACCGAAATGAGCATGTTTGGAGGCGGCGTCCTTCCCATGTCCCGTTGGGACGACTTCCTCAATCGCACTCACCTGCGTCCCGACTATCAACCCTTGGAATACATGATCACTGGTCGTTACCTCGGAGAGATCGTGCGTCTGATCATCGCGGAGGCCGTCGAGACCGCCGCTCTGTTCGGCGGCGAACTCCCCCACTCCATGCGCGAGCCCTATTCCTTCGACACCAGCATTGTCGCATTCATTGAAGAAGATTCTTCCGTCTCCATGGCCGCTTCCGCCGCTCTCCTCCAAAAGGAACACACTTTCCCCAGCTACCCATCCGTTGACGACCTCCGCTTCGTCCGACGCGTCTGTCAAAATGTCTCCCGTCGCTCAGCTGGATACCTCGCAACCGCCATTCACAGCATGTGGTGTCTCAGCAACGAAGTCGAGTTCCCAAACAACACCAAACCTGACCCTCTTGCCAAGGAAACTCCCGAAATCACCGTCGTCGAGAGCGACGACTCGGACAAGAAAATGACCATCGCTTGTGACGGCACTGTCATTAACAAGTACCCCGGATTCCGCGACACATGCCAGAACTACCTCGACAAACTTGCCCAACAAAGCCACCCCTCCTCCACCTCCCTGATCCGTCTCGAGGCCGCGCACGAGAGCGCGATCCTCGGTGCAGCTGTCGCGGTGGCTGTTGCGGTTGCCGAGTCGGATGAGCAGAGGTAGATGCGATACGCTGCGATACGATATGGTCATCGATCCCCGTCTTCCAAAAAAGCAAATCCGATTAATTCGATAATGCCAAAAGAACGATGTTCGACCGACTTGAAATTACACGATGCATGAATCCCTGCTTAGATAACTTACCTACACCCCCTCTACCTCCTTCTCTGTCACTTTTTCTTCTTTTCTTTTCTCCCTCATCGGTCATGGTGTTGAGCCACATCTTTATTTTCCCACTTTTGTCTTCCATCGTCGTTCTGGGTGGGTGCTTGCATGATTTCTTATTTTCATGGACGGCAGTCGGGTTGGATTGGATCATGTCGATGAAGAAGCGTGGACTGGCCGCCCACCTGGTAGAAACCCTACCTGGCTGGCTGGCTGCCTTCCTGGGGATGGGATGAGTAGGATCTGTACCTACTCAGTTATTCCCCCTCCTCCTACCCCACGGGATTATTCCTGTCGCGTCTTGTCCTGTTTCTTCTACCCCCGCCTGTCCTACAATTACTATTAGCATTTGCGAGGTGTTCTTTCTTTAATGTTCTGCATGGGTCTATGGTTTCTTTCGAGTTGAATTTCCATCACGCTGTTTTCTCTCTTCTTTTATTCTTGGACGGCGGAGTTCGGCTTTTTACTAGTATCTTTGGGATGGAACTGCTCCTGGCCCTGGTCTTTTCGATCATAAGGTTCAGGTTCGGGTTGGTCTCTCATTCGATAGGGAGACGAGGCATTTAATGTCTAGGAACTTATTACTCTACTGCCCACCTAAGGGTATTTTTGGGAATTTCTTCTTGGTTGAAGGTCGTAGATATCCATTGTGAAGCAACATTTCAGGGGATATATTTTTTGAAAGCTGGCTGTAGTAGCTATATTGGGATAGCTTGAAAGCATCATGAACTTGAATCATGATTATCCCACGATACTACTAGGTAGGATAAACCCAAGATCTGGTGTCACGGGTTGATGACATCCATCCCAGGAACAGCAAAATTTCAGCTTCACGTAAAAACGCCTTCCGGTATGGTCGGCATCTGCAATATCAAATCCACCTGGGCATATATACTCCGGGGCCCCACTGGAGTTATACTTCAGCCCAAAGAGCCGACCGTCTACTAGATTCCCAGATAGAGCGAGACAGTGAACGAGCCAGATAGTGTGCCATCTCATATCAACTAGTAGCAGCAGTCGTCATAACTACTACAACAATCCATAGCCGAAGTGGTGCAAAAAAAGCTAGTGGTATCACAGTATGAGCTGGAGAAGTCCCACCCAGTAGATGCCGGAGCACTGTCATAGTAGCATGAGTTCCAGTTCCAATCAGTTGATGCAGGGGCAACCCACCGTGACCGACTCCGAGTCGAGCGACGTTTCTTAACAACAGGGGCAGGTTTTGGTTTCGGTTTTGTCGGGCTCGGGCTCGGGCTCGGTTGCGGTTTGGACGCCTTTTGTTTTATTTTCCCTTCGCGCTTTGCGAGTTTCTTGTCCTCCTTGAATACTTTCGCAGTACCGGGTACTTTTCTCGGACAAAGCTTTGACCAAGCAACCAGCACCCTGAGATTCATCGATTTCAATCGAGAACGTAGTTTGTCACGGCTTCTCTGATTGCGTGGCTGGGTGGTCGAGTTGACCCCGTTGCTGGCACTGGCACTGGCATGTGTGCCTGAAGCTTCTGTTTCTGTTTTTGCTTTTGTTTTTGGAATATAACAATCAACTTGAACCTGAGGCGAGGGGTCTTCAAGTTGAATACGTTCTGGCGATAGTTGTCGAATATTTTTCGGATACAGTAATGGCGAGGCATACTTTGAGGAGAAGCGTGTACATGTCGTTCTGAAGCACAATCTATCAGCTGGTGAGAGGTATCCGAAGATTATGTCTACCAGTTCCGGTGGCAGTCCGTATAGTGTAGCACTCGCCGGGGTTATGGGCCTGGATGGCCGGGTGCCAATCTCTGAAGACATCGGTGTGAGTCTAGTATTTTAGTTCGTGAGACTGCAAGTGTACTCGTCACTCCAGGGCTCGAACTTGACGCTTCTGTGAATAGATTGAAGAAGACTTCGAGAGAGATATAAACTTCGAGAGATATATATATAGTAGTCGGTATATCTGCTTAATGAGATATTTCAAGTTGTAGAATCTGAAGCTGGGCGCAGTGAAGATGTAGCACTAGTAGTACTACTAGTAGTAGACTGATAGTGGTGACGGCAATTCCATCGGCCTTCATTCCAAGGTTTAGGCTCCGGTCTTTGCTTTTAGTCGCGGAACAGAGGGTTATATGGGAATGAAATGGTGCTGCCGAGACCTAATCGGGAATTATATTATGATAGAGCCCCTCATCATTAGTGCATTATGTTTTTCACTTTATCTCATGTCTCTTATAGTTAACGACAATGCAAAATAGGTCATCCACCGCATATCTCTCCAAAATCATTTTTAGTATGTGCTCAGGGATGAGAAAGAGGATGCACGAGGTGGTCGATGGATGCCAAGACAAGCCTAACGAAATAGGAAGGTGAAGGAGAGCGGCCCGATGTCTGAGGCATACAGCCTCAACAATGTACCATAGTTATAAAGTCTTTCGATGGGAGGTTTGTTGCAATTTGAAATTCCCTATAGATAGAAGAAAGTAATCGAGATAAATGTATGCCCATTACTGAAATCTCCAGGCAGGCCTTTTCTCTGAAAATAGTCTGTCAAGCTCCTCCGCAGTTTTTCCCTTGGTTTCGGGAACTTCCAACCATACTCGTATCCAAATACCATTTTGAAGCCTGGCATTGCCATTATGACCGCGTTAATGGCTATAAATTTAGTCATCTATAGATAATCCGCCGCGAAAAAGCTTCGCCTACCAATATCAAAGCCCCAGAGAGCAGAGTTGACACAAGCACCCAGGCTAAACAGAACAACTCTGGGGTTTTCCTTTGCTGACTGCCATGCTGACATGGGTTGAACTTTGATTGGCATAGTGCCCGAGGATTTTATGTGTGTTGTAGGGGCCTCACTTCATATCTTCCTGATTGAACCGAAAGAATCCTTCATTTTTGGATAGCAGTAGAGGCGTTTCCTTTAAGAAAGAACTTGAAATAAGGATAGACGTAATAGCGAATCTCTCGGAAGTGGAGAATTTACACTATTTATCTAACAGGTTTCGGGGTAACATGTTTGTGCTACTCCCCGAACGTAAGACGATGCAAAGTAGGTAGGGTGGGGGGAATCGAGATTGCTGGGAGGAGGCGCAACTCTCGCGGAAAGACAGAAGATAGTAACCCTAGAAGACTAAAAGGCTAGATATTCAAAAGTATAGCCATAGAGATGACTTCAGGCCTATCATTAGTGGAGAATATTCGACTAGGTAAGATGCAGTACGAGTAAGTACTAGTATTATGTGTGAGAGAGAAAACTTTACAGGGTATGCATTTGAAAACATTGGGTGGATTAAGGCTTCTTCATGTGACGTCGGACAGGATGTATTCTCAAAAAGAATGGGCGATTCTGGTGAATGGGAAATATTGTATGAGTGTCTAACCGAGACCTGTTATGAAACATCGGCATTCTATGATCAGCGATAAAGTGATACTGTTGCCATTTCTTTCCTTACCATCCCGATCCAACTAGTTTGTATTTCGGAAAGAAGTATCGCAGTTAGATAGATACGCTAAATACATGCATCATATGTTAGTAAGAGTAATTGCCAGCGTCATTGTCGATTCTGGAACCGGACAGACAAGTGAGGCAGTGCTATCCACTTTCCGCCGAGACGTCCGCCCAGCGGACCAAGACCTCCAAGGCCTCGGCGCCGAGTAGTAACCAATGGTATTATCGGATTCTCATTCAATCAGATCTCCCCTGCAGAAAACGTGTTCTCCAGTAAAATATTATTGGCCCCGGAATGCCATTTCATATTTTCTCATCGCCAAGTATCGAGCTCAGTCCGGCCTTGGCATCCTCTCGGCAGCAACAACTTCCTCTTACTTGTAGTGAATTCTTGTACGATGGCGAATTGTTCGGACCAGTAGGTGCGGATTTTTCATTGCACCTTGCTTGTGATGACATTGTCATAGGCCGAAACTCACATATTGGCAGGCTAGATTTCCACTCGGTGGGCATCGAGCCAAGTGCCCGCGGACCTTCGCTCTGGCTGAACCTTGGCGATGGATACGGTCTGAGGGAATCCTATAAAAATTGCCAGCTGTCTGCAATATTTTTCTTCTGGTTCACTTCGACTTCGATCTAAAAATTTCAAATTCTCATTGTCATTCCCTCCCGCTTGCGAGGCAACCGTAAACATGGTGCCGGCAGCTACCGCCAAGTACGATTGGATTCTCGCTCTTACCACAATCGCCTTCGTTTTCAGTGCCTTCGGAAATGGAGCAAATGATGTCGCCAACTCTTACGCGACTTCGATCGCGGCTCGAACCCTAAACATGGCCACAGCAGGTGTCCTGGCCATCATCACAGAGTTCATTGGTGCTGTGGCAATGGGCGCCAGAGTCACAGATACAATCAAAAATGGTATTATCGGAGTGGACAGATTTGAGGGGAAGCCTGGTGCTCTCATGCTGGCTATGGGCTGCGCCGAGGTTGGCAGTGCATCATGGTTGATGTTTTCCACCATGGTTGGCTTCCCCGTGTCAACGACCCAGACCATCGTCGGCGCTCTCATCGGTGTCGGTTTCGCATCTCAGTCTTCGATTAGCTGGGCTTGGGAAAAGGGAAGCGTATCTCAAGTGGCTGCATCATGGGGCATTGCTCCACTTATTGCTGCTGCATTCTCTGCGCTCATCTTCGGAACACTCAAGTATGCGGTACTTGAGCGACGCGATTCGTTCAAGTGGGCCATGCGTCTCATTCCATTCTACCTGTCTATGACGGGTGCCATCTTGGCTCTCTTCATTGTCGTCGAGGCCCCAACTGCACCCTCGCTGGAGGAGTTCGGAGCCGGTAAGGCGGCTGGAATTATCCTTGGTGTCTTCTTTGGCTGTCTTCTCGTTTCCTACGTTTTCTTCGTCCCATATTTCCATCGTCGTATTCTCAAGAATGATCCTCGAATCAGGTTCTATCATGTTCCTCTCGGGCCTCTGCTTTTGAGGGAAGACCCTCCTCTCTATTTCCCGAGCACCAGGGAATCGGCGGTTACCAACTATTACGAAGACGCATATGGCGAGGTACTCGCTGGACAGAAAGACATGGTCAAGGACCAAACAACTGCAAATGCGGATTCCGTGCTTCCTTCGCCTGAAATCACACCAAAGCAGTACACCGAGCGACCGGATGATGACGAAGAGAAGAAATTAGATTCTACGTCTACCCCTGCAGCCAAGCCGCGCACGAAGCACGTTGAGCCCAAAGAAAGATTCATCGACCCAGTTAGGGACCTTTCTTGGACGGATCCCAAGAGATACTGGGGATATACCAAGTGGCTATTTTTGCAGGGAGTGACAAGGGACGTTGTCACCCACGACTCCCCCCGAACTACGCGCCATCCACGCCCGAGCGCATCGATACGATGATCGGGTCGAGCACCTATGGACATATTGCCAAGTTGTTTCAGCCATGATGATGTCCATTGCACACGGTTCGAATGATGTCGCCAACGCCGTCGGACCCTGGGCCGCTGTATACAGCACATACAACGCGGGTGTGGTGGAAACTGAAGCACCGACACCAGTCTGGTTCCTCGTTGTAGCTGGTTTACTTTTAGGTCTTGGATTCTGGTTCTATGGTTACAACATCGTCCGCGCGCTTGGAAACAAGATTACTCAGATGTCTCCGACTCGTGGGTTCAGTGTTGAACTTGGTGCCGCTATCACTGTACTATTGGCTTCGCGTCTTGGTCTGCCCGTCTCCACTACCCAATGCCTTACTGGTGCCTCTATGGGTGTGGCTTTGATGAATTATGATCTCGGCGCCGTTAATTGGAGACAGCTGGGTTTCATTTTTGGTGGCTGGGTCCTGACCCTTCCTTGCGCGGGACTCATTTCCGGATCGATCTGCTTGATGGCCTTGAATACACCTCATTTATAGGATAACTCTCGGAAAGTTGAAATGAATTTGATTGAGAATTTGGCGCATATTTTTGTTTTCCTTCAAATTTTCGTAATATACTAATTACCTAGTGTAGTGGGGGATTCGCTCTGGCGATGTCAGGTGACGTTGTAGGCCTTAGGCCTTATAGGCAGTATATAAGCCCTCGATGATAGTTAACTTACACACTACCTTTCGGGTCACCAATGTTATTTTCGTTATTTCGGATTGCTAGCATTCGAGCAAGGGCTCGAATACTCTGAATGCTGTTTTCTCAGTAGGGCACCGCTTTGTCTACTACTCTCTCTCCTGCACTCTGCGAGTGTAGTGGTTTTGTCATCTTGCGATCGACCCGTCTGCTTGACAGACTGCCAGCGAGCATTCCCATCTTACACTAGGTAGTACTACTACTTGTACTAGTAGTACTTCAAGTTATCTTCCAGGGCTCGATTGACATATAAATGCTGAGAATTTTGATTAGAGACGACCACCTAGCATCTTGGGACAAACTTGAAAATCCCAATTATCGAACGGCTTGTGTTGGCTCAATTCCACCTCGGAACTCGCATAAGACTCCAGGACACTTCCATAGTGTATAATACTAGGTGCATTAGTTATTTGACGAGAACTCTTACAATTCTAGCCTCCGATTGAAGGATTGTTGCAACTGTAACAACGAAGATCTCGTGGGTCGTAAAGTATTGGGTCAATTTGTGCTAGACGTTCTAGTTCACAACCTATCTACCATATTTACAATCACCTTAAGACTCCGACAAGCCAAACTGGATTTATTCGAACAAAATTAAAGCAAAACGATACCACTGTCGCTTTTCAAGAGACGTGGGGCCTGATTGGGAAAGTGGTGTTGCCGCTTTATGACAGTGAAGTCCTGCGGAGTAGAGTCGAGGTTCTAAGAGCGCAGCACAAAGTTACGCTCCAGAGCAGTCGAGAAGTTGGGAAGTGTCAGTCTGAAATGTCAGAAACTGACCGAAAAAGTGTGAATGAGACATGGGACTGAGCAAGAGAGTATCACTCGACAGAACCATTGAGAGAATCACCTAGGGAGGAAAGCAAGAACGAGAAGAGGAATTGTATTGGTGACAACGGTGGACGCGAGTGAAGCGAAGGATGAGAAAGTTCGATGAAATGACATTCTAAGGAGATGCCCTCGCCTATATGTTTCAAAACGCGTCCATGTATTTACTTATGCCCGCCAGGCACACAAGTCCCAGTTGTAGATAGTAAGTGACAAGCAGTATAGACATTCTGATCGCCCAACGTCGAGAACAACCGCGAACGGAGAGCTGGAATAAACGTCCTTTGAGTGTCAAAGTACATCAACAGCTCGCCTCGCCTAAAGTCTGGCCCCAGACGAGACCATGGATGGAATTACAGACAAACTGAATTCAGTCGCAGCTGTATCTCCAAGTTTAAGGCGTAAAATGCGTAAAATGGCCGAGAGAAATACGAGAATACCCAAAGAGCATCTTTCAAGCAAATTAACGGAAGGTATGGCGTGTTCCCGCTCACTTCCCGGGCCAAGGAGGCCCGAGAACGCATGCCGACCCCGGGTTGATTCCTGGGAAAGCCGAGCCCGGCGCGGCGTCTGAGCACTTTCTGCTTCAGGCTGCTAGATAGCACCGGGGCCAAGCTTCCAAAGCTTACTATGACAAAAGCAATGAAGATGAGAGTGGGGCTAGGAAGGAGTCACACAGACTGATTATGCAAAGGAGTCCTTCTGGAAAGTCATGCCAAGAGCCAGGTCGACCGTTCATTCTGATGGGTACTACATAGATCGGGCGTTGGACGTAGTAAAGGGGCTTGCATATGGAATCGAAGGAACGGTTGCACAGAAAATTATTGATGAAGCTTTGAAAATATGCCCTCGAAAGTCTTGGACATTCTTGGATTGTTCATTTCAGTTCCCCCCTCACGGACCAGGTCCCACTTATTGAACCCGGGGGGCTCTAGGCATAAACTCAAATAAGTATCCGGGGCAAACAATTTTCGAATATGATTAGTGGGGCGTCCTCAAATTCTGCCCGATACCATCACCTCCTTACATGGCTCGGTGAACTTTCTTACCTTGCTTCCTCTGCCGGTTAAACAGATATCTGCCATGCTGCCAAGGGTGGTCCAAGATACCCACGTGTGATCCACGTGTAACAACGAGTTTTGCAAGCTTTCGAGTATGTACAAGCCAAGCGAATTCAGTTCGATCGATCTATAGAGCACTGTTCTGAGCTTATGCCGACCAGCCGCGGTGCAGGATCGTACGACGCAGGGGGAGTCAGGCAATGCAAAAAAAGCCTACGGTTATCGGGCGTTGCTGACTCGAATCCTGACAAGGATACCGTAGCATACAAACTGGGACTAGATCAGCGGTGTGGCGCGCCTCATCTTCTGACCCCCACCAAGTCTCGGGCTTTACCGAGGGTAGGCTTTCGTCATGTCATACTTCCTACGAAGCCGGTCAAGCAAAAATCACCTCCAACCGCCCCCAATCGTCAGATGTGCATGACTAGCAGGTTGCCCAATGGCGTGAATGGCTCGTTATGCCCCATGACTAACTAGGCCACCCAAAAAGTGAAGGATTCCCCCAGTCTTGGCCTGTTGGGCAATTGGTGGAAGGGCCCGTCTCCCCGCTTCGACGCTTACGCTTCGAGCCTGTTAAGTGGGTCGAATAGGGAGTCAGTCCTGCACAATAATGCCACCCTTTTCTCTCTACTCGTATGAACATGTATGTAGTTGATTTGCTGTGTCAGACTATTCTGCCCTATCTTTCTGAAATGGGGGCTTTCCAGCGCCCGATTTTATGATCTACCAACTCTCAAGCCATCAAGCCACCAAGCCACTGAACTCTCCCTTCCAGGGCCATGTTGAGAGTAAGAAGTATGAACTTTACCCCAAGCCGCCCGCTAGGATCCCGCCCCAAGGATCTTAGTCTCTTACGCCCGGTGTCTGTGCAGTCATTTCAAAGGTAGCCAAGGGGGCTGAGACCCGCCAAGGGTTACTTTCGGCTTGACCGGCTTTCAGCCCGAGCGAGCTCGATAACGTTATATGTGGGATGCAGGTGCCAATCTGTTTTCCCCACGGGGTTTGCCTTCAGGAGATTTCTTTGACCCACAGGTGACTGTTAGGCTCAGGACCTGGTTTACTTCTTTCACCACCTCCTTTCACTATCTCTTCTCTCGTCTATACCATCAAAGCAAAGAATTCACCATCAATATGAGCGAGAAAAAGCTCGCCGAAGAGCCCACCCAGGTGGCTCAGGTGGAGCATGCGAATGAGAAACGGACACTCAGCGTGACCGATGCCACGACCCCGCGTATAGCTTCTGGTGTCAACATCATTGAGAACCCTTTGACTGTGAGACCCCAATGCAACCAGCTTTTATAAAACATACCAGGCAAAGGGAAAAGCTGACAATACTCCCCTTTTGAAAAGCGCGTTTCCAGAGAACAAGCCGCTCTCGATGCCCGCAATTTTGCCGAGACGCATAATATGGCCGAACATGCCGACCTGTTCGCGCGAGCTGCCCAAGTTGCTCGCGAGCCCAAGAAGTTCGAGGCACTCAACGATTTACACGCTGACGAAAAGACCGCGCTTGTATACGAAAGGGATCACAAATGGCACGGCCCCAAGATGCTCTGGTACTCCATCGGTCTGTGCGCCATTGGTGCGGCCACTCAAGGATGGGATCAGACTGGAGCCAACGGAGCCAACCTGTCATTCCCCGAGGAGTTTGGCCTCACGGGCAAAGGTCGCGATGAGTGGATTGTGGGATTGATCAATTCTATTATTTTCTTGACGGCTGGTCTGATGTAAGTTGTATATGCCCAGGCGCTAGAATTTGCTTTCGCAGATTATCAAGTAATTCGGGAACTAATTATGTCGATAGCGGTGCATTCATTGTTGACCCAATGAATCACTACTTGGGTCGACGAGGAGAGATCTTCGTCACTGCACTGTGTCTCGTTGCTACGCCGATTGGTTCTGGATTTGCGCGAAACTGGCACGAACTTTTCGTCTGTCGATTTATCATGGGCATCGGTATTGGAGCAAAGAACGCTACGGTCCCTATCTACTCGGCTGAAATGGCACCCGCTCGAATTCGCGGTGCCCTCGTTATGTTTTGGCAGCTCTGGGTTGTGGCAGGTATGTTATTTCGAATCTGAGGCAGGTATAAGTCGCAATCGCTAATCTGCTTCTTCTGTAGGAATCTTCCTTGGTTTCTGCGCGAACATCATAGTCAAGGATACCGGCGACATTGCTTGGCGTCTTCAACTCGGCTCGGCCTTCATTCCTTCATTTGTTCTTGCCATTGGCATCTTCTTCTGCCCTGAATCGCCCCGTTGGCTCATGAAGCATGGAAAGCACGACAAGGCATTCCAATCGATGCTGGCCCTCAGGGCCCACCCAATTATCGGCGCGAGAGATTTCTACTACTCATACGTCATTTACGAGGAAGAGCTCAAAGAAGCTCGGGGAGCTGGTTACTTTGCTCGCATGTGGGACATTTTCGCCGTGCCGAGAATCAGACGCGCAAACTATGGTGCCTCGACTGTCATGATTGCCCAGCAGATGTGCGGTATCAATAGTAAGTTCTATTATTTCCTGTTCGATAGTCAAGCTCTAACTCCGCGCAGTCATCTCTTTCTTCAGTTCTTCCATCTTCTCCAATGCTGGATACAATGACACGCAAGCTTTGTATGCATCACTTGGTTATGGCGCGGTCCAGGTCGTGTTCACCATTCCAACCCTGTTCCTCATTGATACCAAGGGTCGACGAACTTTGACCTTGATAGTAAGTTCTCAAGATTTAGAATATAACTTGAAATACATTGCATGCTAACCGTCTTAGACTTTCCCTCTGATGTGTATTTTCCTGTTGGCGGCCGGTCTGTCTATCTTGAACAAAGCAGACTCGCCTTCTTTGCATGTCGCTCCAGTTGTCATGTGAGTTTTAGAAGTCCACTCGCAGATAAAGCCGATGACTGATGTCTCTGAACAGATTTGTTTACTTATTCACGATCTGCTATTCTCTGGGAGAAGGACCAGTTGCTTTCCAATACTCTGCCGAGGTATTCCCCACCATTCAGCGTGAGCAAGGAATGGCCTGGGCCGTCTGTATCAACAACACCTTTGGTAAGACTTACAAGAAGTCAATCTGGAGTCATTAACTTGAAGCTAACGATTTATAGCTGGTATCCTGGGGCTTACTTGGTTCCGTATGGAAACCGTCATGACCCAAACCGGTGCTTGTAAGTGGCAATTACCATATATATAGTACCCACATACCTGGGTATATACTAACCAACACTTTCCAATTAGTCGGTTTCTACGCCGGGTTAAACCTAATCGCTTGGTTTATGATATTCTGCTTCGTGAGAGAGACGAAGGAACTGACATTGGAAGAATTAGACCGTGAGTTTCTTCCAGCCGCTGATTTGATAACACCCAGAATTATCATATCTAACACACATCACAGAGGTTTTCTCCGTCCCAACAAAAGATTTCATTCGTCACGAATTGACCGTATGGCTTCCTTGGTTCATCAAGCGATATATCTTCCGCAAGAATATCCCCAAACCACCTCCAATCATCGCCACGGCCGACTCGGACGAGGTCAAGAATGTAACAGCATAGTCGATCGACCGAGGTCACGGGTGAGAGACGACAATCGGTCAATAATACCTGCTTGTGTTTTCGTTCAAGTGAATCTTAATGTTACTAGTTAAAGTGCCGCAGGGGCATTCAGCTCCATAATGCTTCAATGCAACTCAATGTCATTTTTAGTACTACCAGTAAAATAATTGTCGTCCCGAACTGTAGACAAAAATAGACCGCTGAGGAATTCCCTTCGTATTGAGGGGGTGCCAGTATACATGCATTAGTAGCCTCGTAAAAGCCGATTGCATCGTATAGTTAAAGGTTATACAGTGGCGTTGCAAAAGTTTGAAACCCCATGTTGACTGTTTCCTGTCTCCGCCTTTTAATCGCAGACTAGTAGCTACTTAAGACGGAATATATTGGCCTACCTATTCCATCTGAGGTAGCTACTAGTTTCCCATTAGAAGGCGGTCAATGATGTGGGCAATACGGGGTTTCAAACTTTTGCAACGCTACTGTATCTCCCGCTGGGAAACAACTTCGATAGAACACGTGCGGCAGCTAACGATAACCACTGATTAATTCCAAGCTTATTGACATGACAGAGAGTAGCAAGAAAAGGTAAATACGAGAGTAACTTGAAAGTTTAGAAATGATCCTCTCCGAGCCATACGAACCAGTGTAGCATTTCATCTACAAATACGAAAGATCACCATGCGCTAGAGCCTCAAAATGTCGTGCAGAGTTATTTTTAGCCCGCGATCCCGCAGCCATGAACTCTACTGGTACAAATCCATACGGAATGCAGGAACATCAGAAACACGAAGCTTCTTGAATGGCAAGAGTACCAAGCATATTGCAATTTCTTGGCTGACAAAAACACTGATCGAGGACTGGCTGGCTATAATTGACACACTCGGAATACGAAATTTGGCCCCCGGGCGACACATTTCCCCCGTAATCTCTAGTAAGTATCGCGAGGTCGTGATGATCATAAACACATTTTTGCTAGTGTGCAACACGAGGCTTCGTGACGTGGCCAGGTTGTAAATGATTCTATTATTGAACTTGACGTTGGCCTGTCGGGGGTGGTACCAACAGGAGAAAATATCTATAAAAGCCCTTTACTTCCCATGATATTAAAAGATCATATCCAAACAACTTGAAGCAAATCCAGTACCTCTTCTACAACCATTCCAGAAAATCTCAGCTAAATACTTGAAAACAACAAATTCAAACTTATTCCCTCTTATAAACGCACAGTTCATCCACTATGCTCTTCACTTCAATCCTCGCCGCTTCTCTGGCAGCTTTGCCCGCAGTCAGCGCCTACCCCATCACTGGAGATACCGTTAACTGCCGCTCAGGCCCAGGAACCAATTACGATGTCGTGAAAAGCTACAAAAGCGGCGAAGACATCAAAATCATCTGCCAAGCCTCCGGCACCGACGTCAAGGGCGACAGCCTCTGGGATAAAACCTCGGATAACTGCTATGTGACCGATTACTACGTCAAGACCGGCAGCACCAGCTACGTCGCCGATAAGTGCGACGCTAGTGGAGGCGGCGGCGGCGGCGGCGGTGGTGGTGGTAGTGGCAGCGGAGACGGCAGCTCAATCGTCGACGCCGCAGAGAAAGAAAAAGGACTCCCCTACGTCTGGGGTGGCGGCAACTATAACGGACCAACGGGAGGAGGATTTGACTGCTCTGGCTTGACGCAGTATGCGCTGTACCAGTCGCTGCATAAGAAGATTCCACGCACGGCGCAGACGCAGTACGATGCGACGAGTATTGGGAAGAGGTACCCACGATCGGAAGCCAAGGAAGGCGATTTGCTCTTCTGGGCAGAGGGGGGTAATTGCAAGTCTGGAGTTTCGCATGTGGGTATTTTCATTAAGAAGGGGCTTATGATTAATGCGGCGCATACTGGAACTCCAGTGCGGGAACAGTCGATTTGGACTTCTTATGGGGGGGAGAGCATTTGTGATTATGTTATGAGGTATGTGTTCAAGATCTTCTTGTCGTTCTTTTCTTCGACGTGCTAACTGGTGTAGATTCTGGTAGATTTTTCTGATGGGCAGTGGGTATGGGGTCCCATGGGGAATGGATGTTTGCATTTCTGTGCTTCTGTTGTCGAGTTTGAGCTTTCCCTGGATAGATCAATGCTGTTTTCCACCGTACTCCCTGCACTTTGTAGATGTAGGAATTTCCCTGCTATTGAGTAGAGACAAAGACATCATATCGAGATGTGATTTAAACATCAGTAATAGGGGCTGGCCTGGCCGGTATAGATGAGCCCTTTCGGTGTTGGGTCCATCGAGTCGTCGTAAATCCTTCGCTTGTTTGTAATATGGACCATGCTGCAGGTCCTTTACGTCATGCCTGGAAGAGGAGACGCAGAGAGAAATAAAGTGCTCGCCGGTGATTGATCGAATTTCAAAGTTTGGCTGTAAGCTTGTCGAGTAAGAAGGGGACCAGTGATAGATGGGGCCATGCAAATAGGTATCTAGTGGAGGCAGCTCGTTGAAGGTGTCGGCCAGCCGACATTGACCATTCACTCTTTACATAAATCCTCAAGTAATCCCAGCATTCGTCGTTGCAGTTCAACGAGCTCGGCTTTAGTCACTTTCCCAGAGTCTAATCCATCCACTTCAGACGGACGATCCGACTCCGACTCCCTGACAAGACTCTGCTTCAGGGCAAAGAAAGGAATATCCAAGCCTCGCAGTTCAGACATGAGTGCAGTGGCCATTTTCGCCGAGACTTTGTAGACTTTCGCATCGTAGGTGTCCAGTTCTGCTTTGTCGTCTTGGATTGTCTGAAAAAAAGATATAAAATGTGAATTGTTAATGACGGATTTATGATTGGCAGATAAGCCTCGGCAGGGAAATTGTGCGGCGTACCGATATCTCTTTTTGATCAACGGGTGCTCCGATAGATCGTCTGTCAACGATGAAGTCAGTGACAGTTAGGTTTTGCACGCTAATTTAACAGAGTGACGGACTGGTTAATACATACAATACAGCGTCGAGCTCTTTCTTCTTCTCCCCGCGGGATTGTTGCCGCGATACTAATGCCTCTCGGCTCTTCCACCACTGCCGTTCGTGGCTATGTTGGCTGTGGATGAGGCCGCGGATGCGGAGCTGAGTTTCTTCATTTTGGCCGACTATCCGCATCACATGGCGGAGTGCGGCGGGCCAGGTGGTGATGGTTGATGCATCTGTAGTTGAGGTGGATGGTTTGGGTGGATTGGAAGGTGGGCGAGGAGGAGCATGGACTTCTTTTGGTCCTTGTGGCCTTTGCTGGGGTGTCTCTGATCGACTGGGTGGTGTCGATGTACTCTGAGATGATTGTTGCTGCGACGCTAGACCCGACAGTGTTTTGAGGACGGAGTCTAGGTCGGAGCTATTGTAGGGATACTCCATTGGTGGGAGGGGAGAGAAGAGGGGGATAATAAATAAGATCTGTAGAAGATACCCTGTGTATATGTAGGTCTTCGGAGTACCTAATTTATGGCAATAAGCCTGTGAAATAGCCTTGTGGAGTGATCCGAGTGGATGCTATATTGAACTTGAAGTGGTCTGGGGTGAAGCTGTCCGAATGTCTTGGCGCATCTCCCGCTGAAAATTTACCTTTCCACCTGCCCATCGAATCCCACCGCCGACGTCCTTCCCACCCATCATTCTTCCTTGAACTTCGACGCAGGGCCCTTGAGCCAGATTAACGCGCATTGACAAGCCCTCCTCTATTGACTTATCTTTCATCCCATCAACCGCCCTTGTTAGGGGGGGGGATTCACATTCACATTCACATCAGACCACCGCCGTCATGTCCCGATCCGCCGCGGACGCAACGCGGTTCACAGCAACAGGTCCCTACGCCAGTTCCAAACCCGGCGGCGCGCCATACGAACTGCCCAACTTCATGCAGAAAGACAATGCCTCGAGCGGCAAGCCTGCGGGCCAGACTCCGCAGCGCGGACCAGATGGGCAACCCGAGACGCCGAAGCAAAAGGTTGAACGGCTGCGAGCGCAGGCTCGGGCTTCTCGGGTCGCGCAGTCATCGTCGGGTTCGGATCGATTAATTGAATTTGGGCGGAAGTTCGCCAATAGAGCGCACAAGGGCATGGTTTACTCGCTCATTGTTGCTTCGGGTATGTGTAGTTGTCCTGTCCGATCTGTCTAGGGCGTGGACGCGGAGGTGATGGATGGGTGGTTTTACCAACCATGGCATGGCATGACCAGCAGTGCTATCTCCGTGATCTACGTCTCTGATGCGATATATTGTGCATGATGGCATTGAAATGAACCCCCGACTAATCTCGATGGCTGTTCTAGGTGTTTGCGGTGTCCTCACAGTCTACTCGATGGTCTCGCTGACCATGTATAACCGACGCCAACGCACACTCTGGATCGAAAGGGAACTCGCCGTTCTGAGTGCCGCCCGTATCGCCCAAGCCAACGGCTCCGCCACCGAAGAACAGATCGACCTGATTAAGAAGGAGGATATTGCTGAGATCGTGAAGCAGAAGCGCGCGGAGGAGAAGGCTCAGAAGCCATGGGCCAAGGCGAAGCGATTCCTCTTCGAGAAGATGAATATGGAAGATACTGCCGCACAGGTCCCGTCATCAGCATCTTCCGACATTGAGGCTCTGCAGCCGGGTGTTTGGGATGCCCTGCAGGCGAAGGAGGCTGCCGATGCCGCGGCTAAGAAGGTCAACGCCCCGATGCCGGGACAATTGGATGTTATGGCCGAGAACGCGGAGCAGGCTGCGAAAGCAACAACGCGCAGTTGGACTAACCGGTTGACTTTTGGCTGGGTGCGGTAGGACTGAGGCGATTTTGGAAGAAACCTGGGGTCGGGGTCGGGGTCGGGACGATGGAAATGAACACAATGAAAAGCACAGAGTCCTGCCATCGCATCCTCTATAATCCCCTCCCGTCGTGGACGTCGCTGTCGCTGGGCCTGCCGCTATCGCCATCGCTATCGCCATCGCTATCGCCATCGCAGCCGTCCCATCGGGGGACCTTACCTCCCGGTCCCAACTCCATCCGATTCCCACACCCATTCCACCGTCATCCGAGTCCTTGAATAATCTTGCATGGCATGTTACGAGCTCCCTCGCAGCGTGCTTCCATCGTGACAGGGGGGGTTCCGGCGTTGCATTTGTCCTTCAGTGCTGTTCTTTTGCTATTCTTTTCCTTTTCCTTTTCCTTTTCCTCTCTTCTCTTTCTCCCAAGGCTGTGTTCCTATCTGATTCAGGTGTTCTCCTTGACCGAAAAATCAAGGCAGAAAACACCCGTGTATATTGTGTACAGTACATAGAAAAAACCTGCTCCTTCAAGTTCAAGTTCTCCACTTCCACCGTGCCGTGCCAGTGCAACACTGGCATACAGCCACATAGGAAAAACCACCATGTCTCCACCACGTAACAACGATAGGCTCTATTCTTCCCCATTAGACAAGAGAAAATAAATAATAATAAAAAAACCCCAACGAACAGGGCAAAGCAATCCTCCCCAAGTCCCCACCGCTAATCCCAACAGGGGTCACCCGATACCGAGTCGGGCAAAATCCGGCGGAAGAGCGCTTTGCCCTCGCCATTCCCTCGCCCAGTCCATCCCACCCCATGCGCCCCGGTGGAGCAGCAGGTCAATTGAAGATCCTGTGGAAACTCTGATCCCAAGAGCTGGAAGCTGTGACTTTAATTCTGGGTTATCGGTGGGTCCGGGGTGTTTGTGTCTGGGGTAAGTATACAATTTGATCTACAGGTGGGGGGGAGAGAGACTGAGATGCACACTACGGGGGCGGCGACATGTGGAAGGAAAAACTTGGAGATAGCAGGAAAAAGCCCTAAGCACCATTTTTGAGGGAAACTACTATAAGCTTGAAGTACTAACCAACGCTGCACTTTCGACGAGTCTATGGTAAATCTCTCCCCTCCTTTGCAAGATAGACAAGACAGCACAGAATAAGAAACTTTTTTATCTCAAGAATTCAGCCCGAGCGGATAGAACAAAGGAAGTAAAAAAAAATCAACAGAGAATACATTTTCACAACACAGACACACACAAACACACACAGCAACACACTTAGTGAGTGCCATTCGATTTAGACTTGAGAATCTCCCGACGAGCACGAACACCATCAGCCAAATCATTCAGCGTATCCACAGTCATCTCCCAGTTAATACAAGCATCAGTGATAGAAACACCCTTGAGCAAATGCGAAGGTCCCTCGGGGGGAACCTTCTGATTACCCTCATAGATATTCGACTCGATCATGACACCAATGATACCAGTCTCACCCTCACGAAGCTGATCAGAGACCTCCTTCGCAACGACCGGCTGGTTAAGATGATTCTTCTTCGAATTACCATGCGAGCAATCAACCATCAGCACCTCACGCTGCTTCTTCGCACGAAGCGCCTCACGAGCAATACGAATATTATCGCGATCATAGTTCGTGCCCCTGTTACCGCCGCGCAGGATGACGAATCCATGCTCATTACCTGCGGTCTTGGTAATAGCAGCCAGACCCTGCTTAGTGACACCGAGGAAGCGGTGCGGGTGCGCCGCAGCACCGATGGCATCAATAGCGACGGTGAGATTTCCATCCGTGCCGTTCTTGTAGCCGATTGGGAAGGAGAGACCGGATGCGAGTTCGCGGTGGAGTTGGGACTCGGTTGTGCGGGCGCCGATGGCGCCGAGACTGATTAGATCGGCCATGTACTGGGGGGGAAATGGTGTCTAGCATTTCGGAAGCAATGGGGAGTCCGGTGCTGGTGAGGTCGACGTAGAGTTTGCGCGAGACGCGGAGACCCTTGTTGATGTTGTAGGACTCGTCAATGTCCGGGTCGTTGATGAGACCCTTCCAGCCGACGGTTGTGCGGGGCTTCTCGAGGTAGGCGCGCATGATGATGCAGAGGTCCTTGGAGAGTTTGTTGGAGAGTTCCTTCAGGCGGCGGGCGTATTCGAGGGCTGTGTCTGGGTCGTGGATGGAGCAGGGACCGACGACGACGAGGAGGCGGTCGTCGCGCTGCTCGATGATTTCGACGGCTTCATTGCGGCCTTGACGGACGGCTTTGATGGCGCGGTCGGGCTGGAGGAATTGTTAGTTTGGAAGTTGGTGGGTTGGTGGTTTTGGTGGGGGATCGGAAAAAATGACTCACGGCGGGGATTTCGGTTTGGAGGAACTGAGGCTGCAGAAGAGGGTCGTAGCCGAGGACTAGGATGGTTAGCATGGGTGGAAATCGTATGAGGGGGAATGAAAGAGTAATGCAATGAAATAAAATAAAATAAAATAGAGAAAGAATGTAGTGCAGGCAGTGCAGAGTAATTCAGAGATACTTACCGCGAGTGTCCTCGTTGACTTCGGTGGTGTTGACAAGAGGCATTGCGCAGAGAGACTGTGCTGTAGCAGGGGAGAATGGTTAGGAGGAGTGGATAGTGGAATTAAAGTAGAAACAGAAGAAGAGGTCAACTTACCAGAGCAGCAGGCGAAATATAAATGTAAAAAGTGAGTGACGAGGCGAGGAAGAGAAAAGAAGAAAGTCAATTGTGGATTTGCGGGCAAAATACGCCAAGTGGGGTGGGCAGCGGAGGTAGGGACAGCAGTCCGGCAGTGCGAGTACAGCAGTATGTGTATGTGTATGCTGATACGAGTCACTATGGTAATACTAGGACTAGGCATAATAATAATTTATTATTATTACTATTGTTACTATTATTACTATTATAATTACCGTAACTATCTGATAGATCGCCTGCAGCCCAACTAATAGTCCATGTACTGTACAGATTTGCCCTCTGCTCCCCTCGGAGATACTCGGCCAATCACAATCCCCGCAATGATATAGACCGATGCTGTGGGCAACTGACTACAGCATGTGTCACCGTGCTAGTTCCTCTCTGGGCCGTTCAGCTAAGCCGCGAAGTCAGTTCAGCTGAGATCAGATCCTGCAGCTGCATTGCATACCTGTACTGTACAGATCAGAGTACAGAGTACAGAGTACAACACAGAGTGCTAGTGCAAATATACATAGTGGAGGATTCTATAATGCTCTAAATAAAAGAGAATAATATAGTAAGACTACTATCATATAATTGACCCGATCTGATCTGATAGTATACTCTATCTACTCTATCTACTCCATCTATAGTTACTGTGTACTCTGGTGTATACCTGGTATACTCCCATTCTCCCACGGCAACCGGCTCCACCTCCCATTCTCCCGCTCTCCTACTTTCCTCCTCCACCACCACCACCTCCAACCTCCCCTCGCCCTTACTTCCCATGATCTCACCCACTCAGGGGATGGCGCATCCTCCCTGACTCTCCTTCTACCATCCATCATGTTTCGCACCCAATCTCTAAAGCGCTCCCGCGATGATGACGGCGACCTCCACCCCCTTGGCCCCAAGGTACGTACCAATCTACTCCTACTCTTTCGCGACTTCACGCGTCAAAGAACACCACCTCGGTCACCCACCCCCATCTGACCTGCAGAATCGCTGACTCATTGTCGTAGAAAACTCGGCCGTGGCAAGGCCATGGGTCCAATTCTTTCTCCCTCCCCGTCCCTGAATCTGCCGACATCGACCAAGCCCTACGTTTTCGCGCTCCAACCCTAACCCCCATCGACTCATCGGACGAGGAAGATGCCCAGAATACCAACAGCCATGCATTGTACACCGGCACAACAACCAAAGTCTTCCGCCCTAAACCTTCGAACCTCCACTTGGACCTGAATCCGAACCTAAACCAAGCCCCGGCAAAGATCCTCCTGTCTGGCGACGACCTCTCCCCATGGCAACAAGCCTACGCCCTGAACCACTACGAGAACCACTCCCTCGACATCAACGCCTCGGCCCTCACAGCCCCAGGCTTCGGCCACGATGACTTCGAACCAACTCCAGCCCTCACCCCCGCTGTCGACACCCCCATGGACATGGAAGACATAACCCCCTTCAACAAAGAACCCCCCATAATTCGACTTCCAAGTCCAGTCAGCGACACGGATATGGCAATGTGCGATACAATGTCCGACACGGAACTAGTCTACCCCGGCACCTACCCAACCCGCGTGCCGACGCCAGGCCTCGACTACGGCAACATGTCGCCGCACCCGGTAGCAGCACACCCCATGTCGCGGAGCACCTCCAATCAATCCGCCACGCGCACGCCCACCCCGTGTCCTATTCCGCATCGCCGCTCGGCGCTGGTCATGGGTTATCGTGCTGATTGCGATAAATGTCGGTGCAAAGTTCCTGGCCACTACAGCCATATTATTCAGCGGGCTTGATTGTGGTTTGTACGAGGCGTGAGGAAGTTGAGCTGTGCTGGACTGGACTGGACTGGGTTGTGTCGGTTCAACTGAACGACTGTTATGATTAACCCTTGCTAGTTTATGTGTCTTGATTTCTTCTTCTTCTTTTGGCAGTTTTTAAGATTCCCTAGGTTCTGCGATTCGCTTTTTCTTTGCTTTGCTTTCTTGCTTTCTTGCTTTCTTGCGCTGTATAACATAGCCCTATATCTTGCTTCCTTGCCTTTATATGCAGACTACAAATCATTGTCCGCGGTTAGCGCTTGGATATCCTGAATACCACGGACGGAACGGATGGAAAGGGGTTTTCTAGGAGGTGCCTTTGCTCAGGATGGACTTTCTATGATATCACTAATGGTTACTTTTGTCCTTTCCTGCTTCGTTTTGCTTTTGCCTTTTTGAATATGACCTACTAGTATGTACTGCATACTAACTAGTAGGTTCCCATGTCTATCGGGGATACAACTTGAATTATAATTACACTCAACATCAGCATAATATAAATCGATAAAATAATCCCTACACACGGCGCTACACAAATACAATTATAGTATACCCCTACTCTCCTCCCATCCAATCAAGGCTTGCGTCAATTCCGACACAGCCTGCAAACCCTCCCGAATACAACCGGCCACAAAGCTTCTAAGCTCTGCGGGAATCTCTTCGCCTGTCACAAGATCTTCCGCATCAGTTCACTTCAGCTGAGCTGTTATTTTAGTCTCGGAGGATCTTGCCTCGTCTTACTTTAGGTACGTTTAAGTGGGTGGAATTGCAATCTGTGTTCGTGCTCGTGGTTGTGCTTGTGGAGAGACAGTAAGAAGTTTGATGGTAACTTTAGGGAGGTCTAGTTCGTACCATTTGCTTTCGATCTATAAGCCAGTGTAAAAAACCAACCTTGTTATTTGATATATCTCTATTTGTAGAGTTTATTTACTGCGTTTTAATTCTTTTTAATACCGAATAAACAAATGTTAATCCCTATTACGTTTCCTACCGTAGCAGCGTTTTCAAGCAACTCTATTCAAGTCTTGGAATAATGACACATTTATATACTTGTGAGAGATATGTTGTAACGGACATTATTGAATATTGAGACGTGTGATGATGATTTTATTTACCCTGACCCCTCGTCCCAACAGTTAAAACCTAGATTGAGGTACAAGTGTGATAATTTTCCTATATAAAGAGATCCAACTATTCATAGTTGCAATAGCTCATCTCCCCGCTGCCTAGCGGAGTCGCTGCTTGTTAGGTACGCACTCCAACAGATCTAGATGCATCACGTGACCTCAAATCTAATTTCAACGACGATATGCAGGCTACTTCAACTTCATGTAACACTTACACTAGGGGTGAGAGAGAGATAATAATAGATAAGCATAGAGTAAGAATGCCTACCCTTAAACAACTAAATAGTATCTCTAGGGCACTTATCTAGGTCTACCATTCTAAAATTTTAATTAATAGATTGGGCACTGTTGGTTATTAATATACTATTTTGGATCTTTGGGGCTTACTAGAATTTCGTGACAGATGACTTTCCTCTTTTCTCGACCATGCCAGAGACGGTTTGCGTATCATACCTTATAGCCGTATAGCTGTTCTAGAGCGTATACGGAGACAGATTGTGCAATATGATAAGGCAATCATAATAACAAAGATCCGAATCTACAAAACAATCCAGTTAACGTCCACTGAGTCACACCTGGGCAGATATTCCCCATCTCCCACCAAGGTTAGCACATGGAGATTCCCGATTTTGATCATCTTCTTCGGCTGCGAAGAGTCCCCACTATCGGCGGCCTTCAACAACAAACCATCCCATTGTCCAGGTCGGTACCGAAGATGAATAGCATAGTACGTCCCACGCACTCCATAGATCTCCGGGATGAGCTGTTTAATCCAGTACCGGAGATCCCCATGATACATGCTCCCTTGGGGTTGGAAGTGCTCCCGTTCAACAATATGTTCAGGAACCGGCATACTCAAATCGACAAAGCATCTCATATACTTAATATCGTCATAGTCGCTATCGGATGAGAAGAGGATCTCCACCTCCGGTAGGAACACCGCCCCGTCGTCGCGGACCTCCCACGTTGATACGGACGGATGGTCCGCCGTCTCTAAGCGCGGCACATACAGGCGTCGCGGCTCAGAGATCCGGGCCCGGAAGGGGAGCATAGTGCCCCGGACTACATCCTGAGTTTTCACATCGTCGACGGGCGGGTAATCCGCCAGAACGGCGGCGATGAAGAAGCTAGAGCCCAGACTGCGCGCGACCTCCTGCACGAAGGCGAGAGGGTACTGGTCGAAGACGAAGCCCGGTTTGTTGGGCTGGCGCTGCTCCGGTATGGCAGTGGCGGAGTTGTACCATTCTGTCATACCAAGGACGGACATGATCGCCTGCGCACGACTGTGGCTGCAGTATCGGCTGGTCGCTAGGAAGAGGATCTGCTCGCGCTTGAGCTCGTGGAGGTTGTCCATTCCTGTGCGATGGAGGAGGTCGAGTACTTCATGGAAGCCTGGGTGGACGAGGGGCTTCCAGCGCTCGAGAAGGTGGTCTGCTGGGGTAGTTAGATCGTTAAGTTTCCTAGTGAGTGTGTCTTTTACTCGTTCGGTGAGGGAGACGAGCGTGTTGAAGGCGACGAGAACCCCGTTGTCGCCTACCGTGAGGAGGTCGAGGTTCTTGTTGCACATCCAGATGTCAGGGCGCAGGCATACTTCCTGCAGCGTCCACAGGGAGCTGAACCAGGGCAGGCTGGTCATGTCCGGGGAGAACAGCCCCGTGGCCTGGAGCCGGTCGTGCGATTTCCACGGCGGGATACGTATGGAAGACTCGTCCCCATCCGAGAACTGGAGGTCCAGATATACTGAGGACATCCACTGGATGGCGCTGCACATGCCGTCCCAGGACTCCGGGGCGGAGTCGGTATTCCACCACGCAATGGCGTGTTTAGCGCTCCTGAAGATGGATGCCTGGCTCGCAACCTCCGTCCACATGGCCTGCCGCAGCTGCTCGTCAAGCTCCTCCCCGCAGCCCTCCTGCGGAATGCAAACCAGATCAAACCAGATATAGGGTGTATCCGTGGGAATCTGCGCCAGGATATCTGGTAGTTGCTCGACATCGAACAGTGAGTTCCGCGGGATCAGCCACGGCACGCGCGATTTCATGTTAACCCCAGGCTGATCGCGCTGCCGCCACCGGCCCCAGGTGTGACTGATGGCTGTGTACGGGATGTCGAAATCGTATTCGTCCCACAGCGAAACGACCTCCACGGTCCTCCGCTCTTTCACATCCCATAAGTAAAGCGGGAACCCGCGGATCTCTCCCAGCCAAGGGCAGGAGTCGATACTGGAGCCGGCGCTGCAGCGAGGATCCAGCCCGGGCAGGTCGCTGCTCCCCAGGACCCGTCTCCCTGCGCGCCAGATCGGGGAACTCTCTGACCGGTGAGCGAGATAACTCTCGCCATCTGGAGAGTATGGTACTTGAGCTGGCTGTTGGGTGTGGCTTCGCGGGGAGCAAGCTTGAATCGCAATAGTTAGACAAGCAGCTTCCTGCGCCAAGTCCCGTCGGAGGTTCACCAGCTCGTCGCCGCTTCGGTGTGTTACGAAGTTCTCGAATTCAGCGTTGAACAGCGTTGCCATGCACTTGTTGTAGACGCAGTCGAAGCGGAGTTTGTACCAGATCCCACCGGCCTGGTGGATCGTCTCGCGCTCGACGTGGTTTTGTGGGTAGAAGTGAGACTCGTCGTCGCCAAAGAGGTCGTCGTAATTATCATCGTATTCTTCTTCTGCTTCGTCCACAATACACACTCGGGAACACGTCGCCCACCATTTCCAGAGAATGTAAAACGATCGTTCCTGCCCGGGTAAGATGTTGTTGCAGTCTTTCAGCACGATCATCGTTAAACCCCGTGATGACCGTGCCGTCAGGGTTTTTAACACTGTCGACCGCGCCCTGCTCTAGAGCCAGTCGATACATGATCGACAAACACCTGCTGTACCCGTCTCCCATGCCCATGTCCTCGCCGTAGACCACCTGCATCAACGTGGCGAGGGGGTATCCCTTGTCCCTCTTGGTGCTGCGCACAGGCACCCAGTCATCGGGGCTCATGCTGTGATGCTGGCTTTTCTGTCTAATATATGTGTAAAGAATAGCAAGACGCTTGTAGTAGTGTTTATTCGTAGAGACGAACGACGAGGTCAGAAGCGGGGCTATATAATTAAAAACTAAGCGAACGCGCTGTGCTGCTATTGGCTGTGCTTCTGCTAGTACGAGATCAGATTTATTGATGCAGATGGAACGAATATAAGAAAGAAAAAAAAGGCTAATTCTCAGTTGCACTCAAGACATCACTGCAGCCAACCAACGACTACCGTCTCACCAACCGCTCCAAACAATCCCTCCCCTCCTGATGCCGCGCATGATACGTCGCAATAAGACTAACTTTCACCGTCTCAGCCCCATGCCTCTTCTCTCCAAAAAGAATATCCGGCCGATCCGCCAGATAATCAGCGATCTTAGATTCCGTGCTCGTGGCCCGTCCAAACGACGTGTACCGGACGATATGCATTGACATGACAATGTATAGCTGGTAGCAGGTCCACGCGTACTGAACCAGCGGCGGCATCCAGAGAGTCGAGGCCAGCAATCCTAGTGGAAATAGAGCGGCGAAAAGTGCTATAATGCACATCTGGAGAATCTCCCGGGTTCGGTTCCGGACTGGGTGGCCGTAGTGTCGGAAGAACTGCTGCACGATGGCTGAGAGACCTGTGAACAGCATGAGGTCACCGCCTTGGGATTGAGGGAAGTGCAGGACGAAATCACGAGGTGATTCGGCTTCGGTGGTCGGCGTGGTTGATGGCGATGAGATGGAGGAGGAGATAGGGGTGAGGGGCTCGCGGTCGAGGGCGAAGAAGGCGCTCAGGAGGCGGAGGAGCAGCGGGGCTAGCCAGATGAGACACCAGAGTGATCGGCCGATGGCGTAGATGACGGCAAAGATAATGATGCCGGAGAGCTCAGCGATGAAGATGCTGAGGTAAACGTGCGAGCCTGGTCGGCCGCAGTTCTCGTGCACAAACGCCATCTGCGAGGCTTTATCTTCTGCCGTTGCTGGAGTGAAGATGAGGTGGTAGACGGCGACTTTCGCTCGTACGGGGATGCGGCCATTGTCGACGGGCGGGAGAATGCCCTTCTCGATGGCAGCGCCCGTGGCTGGAGGGGATAGTCCTGCCAGTGATCCAGGTTTTTCGGCGGGTAGAGGCATGTAATGAAGAGCTCGCGCCCACATGCAGTTACGGGCTGCGCGGGGCTCGGAACTAGCAGTACCGGGAACGGTGTAGGTCCAGTCCGTTTGCTTAAAGAACGAAGTGCCCAGCATGTGGCCCTCGTGGGCGCCCTTCAAGAGACCTCGGGCGTTCGCGATATCGAAGGTGCTCAGAGCGGCTTTGTGCAAAGGACCCCCCCATGGGCATCAGGAGAGCCAGGGTTGGGATGGATCGAAGTGTGAGGTAGGAGAATGATCGCTGGGGCCATAATAACGACGAAAACCAGATGTCGGTGGCTGCTTCTGCTCCGATATAACCAAGCACCGCACCAAAGGCGCCAAAAACCCCGCCTTGGTCGGACATATCGCCAAGCGAGATGATTTCTGGTAGCAAAGGGTTGCGGTCAGATCAAACTCACTCCTTTGCCTAGATGGCCGGATCTATCATGTCAATGATCAGATCTGATGATATGGCCGAGTTTTGAGTTGGTCGGAGAACTGCTCAGCTGGTTGGTTGGTGAGCGGTTCAGCGTTGTAAGGCTGATCTAGGCTTACATGGGATTCAGCCGCAAGATGGGGTTGTCAAAAAATCCTCTCGGCCAAGGGTCATTCCATGATGGCTATCATGTTTTGGAAGTGTTTATGTAGAATCCGTCTTCCGATATATCATGCCCCTTGAATCGGGGACATGGCGGTAAACCAGTCAACATCATCCATGTGTGCCGGTTCGGTTTGGTTCAGGTCCAAAAGCTTGCCAAGACGGGACTAGCTCTACCCAGTAGGAAGGCCACTTCATAACGCAAGTCCCAAGCGAGTTAGGGGAATTGATAACGTGGAATACCCCCTACCCGCCACGACACGCTAAAAACGCGTCGCGTGTTGCAACTCTCCTTTTCCAAACCACCACCATGCCACCCACACGCCATGAAAAACGACGAAAATTGGTGGAACAAGAGGGCAGGATTGAACTTGCAATACAGGTTTTGAAAAAGCAAGATATTGCAGCAGTTGCCGTGGCTGCGTGTGTATTCGAAGTGCCGCATTCAACATTACGCGATCGCGTGAAGGGTGTTATTCATAAGCCTATTATACGCACAAATTGCATGAAATTGGATCCAATTAAAGAGGATTCGCTAGAAGATTAGATACTAGACCTAGATATACGAGGAAAAGCCCCTACCTACCCTATAGCGCAGGATATAGCCAGTATCCTACATGATCAGCGTTCCAATTACCACCCTATTACCATCAGATGCTCAAATCCTATGACAATTTATCCTCCCCTTCTAGAAATAGTTAGCTCAATCATCAACAAATATTAGATTTAGATCAGATAATCTAAACTTAGTAGCGTCACCTTAATCAAAGGCTCTCCGTCTGTTCCGTTATAGGTGCATTTGTATATTAATACAAACAAAGCAATATAATCTCTTTAATACCTTTAAGGCAAAAACTTCCTTCGTCTAATCCTCAACTCTTACCTCCTTCTATCTTTAGCTTCTTTAATCTCTAGGTTTTTATCTTTGTTTCGATATTCTTTATTATATTAACTATTGCTCTAGCTTCTACTACTGCTACTACTACTCTAGCCCCTGCTACTGCTGCTATAGGTCCCTCTAGCGGTACTAGAGATACCGTAAGTCAAGGAAGTTATACAAAAGGCAAAGGTCATACTAGAGGTAGAGTTAGTAATAGAGTATCTGGTAGAGGATCTGGCCTAGTAAGTATTACCAGTACTACTCTTAGTTCTCGCCCTCTTTGTGATCAAATTCCCCGTCCTTCGCCCGGGGCAGTTTTTGACGTCATCTTCGGCTAAAATAGCATTGACAATTGCCATATTTTTGTTTTTTGTTTTTACCCTGTAGGCTATACTCTGACTTAGGGTATTTAGCCTGTTCTGCCTCTGGGGTTATCTTTATTTTTATATTCTAAGTAATGTATATCACAGAGATAGCCCTTCAACCTCCTATAGGTACTATTACTATAATCAAGTATAATTAGGAATATATAAATTCAGTTTTCTGATTTCTGTCACAGGATTCGACTATGTGATACCCGGACTTTCGAGGTCGATTCAGGGTCAAACCCCCCTTCGAGACGCCTGCGTATCGAGGCCTACCCAAACCCTAGTATATTTAAGATCCCACAAACATTCCGGATTCTTGATCTCTTCAAGAATTAGTCTATGTATCGACGACCAGTAAACCCTTCGTTATCCGTCCGATTCCTTGCCTAGTCACAGGTCTCTAGCCTGACAACTTAGCAACCATGACATCTTCGAAGGTGTCAAGGATCAGCTCATTTTTGTTCCATCCAATACTTTCTTCGGCTTTGATGGCTTGCCCGGAATTCAGAAGACTACATGTATCTTCTTCCAGTATAGGATTACGGGCCAGGTTCAATGTACATCAGCCAGAGAATATGCCCCCACGCCATTTGTTAAGCTTGCGGATCGCAGTGTGGAGTTTGAACACCCGGAAAACCCTACTGAATGGAGATATCACCCAGGCGCACCTCACCACAAATATACGATAAAGTGTAGCCGCGCCAAAATAGAACTTCCACTGATCCTAGGGTTCTCAAAACGGACAGGATGGTATATCCGCAACAAACGAACCACAGGTGCGTTTCTGGAGGAATTCGACCCCCCCTAGTCCGAAACGGATACGGCGCCAAATCAAACCGAATACACCGTCATTGGGGGTGTGGGGCCATACTGGAGCCAATCCCGTTCCCCCCTGTGGGTAGGCTATATTCGTATAGCCTAGTATGCTGAGGAGATCAATGTAGTCAAGCGGAATCAATATAATGTGGATTGAAATGATTGAATGATTGAAGATGCTCCGGGGACTGCTGTTCAAGGTCATCCCCGTGCCCTTACGGGGCCTTGGCGATCCGTATGGAACTGTCTGTCCGTACGGAGCGATACTTGGCGGTTGCCATGCTCGAGTCCATGATGAGTCGTACTTTTTCCTCCTGGCCCAGCAGATACGAGAACCCCCCACCGCCGAGAAACACCATGACCGCAGCCGGTAACCCCTGACGGCTTCACCATTCCAGCCCCAACTGTTGGGATTAGCTGTTAGCGGCGACTCAGGGACTGCGAAAGGCTCCAATGTAGTGCTACTGCAAGGATCCATGAGGTTTCGCCATGCGGACCCCACGCGGCAGGGTCCGCGCCGAGAGACTCCACACGGCGATGGACCCCACCAGATCTTTGCTGCTGCAAACCCAGATCCGTTGATGAGCATATCCTTTAATCCGAGCCCGGAACTGTGTTTTTTTTTTTTTTTTACCAGGTGTTGTGGCACGTAACACGGACTGTCACTTGGCATACTCAATTCGCTTGTGCGGTTGTGGCTTCGGTCTTATCCTGTCCTGATGGCGCCCTGAATGGGTATCTGACACGCCACCATGCTTGTGAATCCTGAGGAAATCCTTCAGACGGGTGTCGTGCAGGAAAGCCAGAATATTACGGGCGAAAAGCTTTACAATAGGCGCTAAAATCTCACAAATCACAGATACCAGTTCGATGCTCCCACTGGCCAAGACTGTCGAGCCGGATCCTGCCCTGGCCCCCAGCAGACCAGACACACACACGCACACACACACTCTCCCTCTCAATTCACATATTGGTCCACCACTCAGTCGGCACACAGCACCCATCTTGATCTGTCCGCCATCCCTCCACCAGACAAGGAGCACAAATGGTGCAAGAATACAATGACTTGGCTCCGCTCGTGTCAAAACTTTAGTCTATTGACGAATACGAGGCAAGGTGGCAACACTTGTGAAAGATATCACCGCGGGCAAATGAGAACCACCAGAGCCGATAAGAGAAAGGATTAATTATTGAAGAGGGGTAAATGGGGTTCCGACAAGGACATATTCTAAGTGAGGACTGCCCAATCGGACCCCTACGAGGTCCGTCGCCGTGGAGCCTGTCGTTGACACACGGACGCCTAATACCACCAGAACACTAGAATGCGTCCCTAGCGCACAGCCGATGCTCTCCTTAGCTACGAGCATGATACGACCCTCATGCGTGGCTAACGTTATATTTCTTGTAGCGTTGATCCGTTCATTTGCAAACTGCGAAGAAAAGGCTTATTTCTCCACGAGAAAAGTACGATTAAGGGTCCCAGTCTAACTTGCGCACATTATGTCGAGGCAACAGTCAGGCCTAGCCTGCGAGGAGTGTCGCAGGCGAAAAGCACGGTGTGATCGAATGCGTCCTCAGTGCGGTATCTGCGCGGAGACGGGCAGAACATGCACTGTAGTGAGCAAAAGATCTCCAAGGGGACCGAAAAAGGGTCAAATGAAGGAATTGAGGACCAGAGTTTGTATGCGAGGCCCATCTGGAAACTATTGGATGTTCACTGACTGAGAAAGCGATGCTTGAACAACGTTTGACCGGCGCAGAGAGTGTCCCCGAAGTAGACCTCCCGCTGGACTCTATCGAAGCAAGCCCCGAGCGAGATACGACAGAGGAGATGAGCTTATACGATGACATTCATCTAGGAATGAACATGGATACATGGAATATGCTGGATCTGACTCCTGGCGAGATATCCCAAGGCGAATGGCCATTTGGTTTGGATTATGGCAGCTGCAAAGATTGGCCAGGGCTGAAGAACAGAGACATTGTGTCTAATATGAGTCACATTAATCTCCCCATAGCGCCCCTCTCGACAACCCATATCGCAGTTTCGACATCTGTACACGATGGTGAGCTCGAGATGTCTGATCTCATGCGCGCAGATCTGTGAGTCCCACAATAATGACGAAACGAGGCAAACTTTGACACGTTTTTTAAATTAGGGATCTTTTATACTTCGAGCGAGTCCATTCTATCGCTCCGATGGTCCACAAACAACGATACTTTTCTTGGACAGGAGACGAGAATGTCTCACCCGCCCGCTCTTGCTTGCGCTCGGCAATGAGGACTGTCGCTGCCGCAATGTCGTCTCAATTCTGCACGTTTGCGGACTCACTTTACTCTCAGACGCGTCGTATGCTGGAGGCGCAAAGTGCGGGCGATACTGGATTACCATGGATGACTCGAACCAGAGACCCACAGGGTCGAATCGAGCACGAGCGCATCCAAGCCTGGCTTCTGCTTGCCCATTATGAATTTCTCCGGAAGCCAGAGCACCAGGCCCACCTCACAGCTGAACGCACCTTTCGGCTTTTGCAGTTGTCTCGTCTAATAGAGCTAGACTTTCACGATGGCAATGCCCCGACTAGTGGACACTCGACTTCATCTTCCTCCACATCATCCCCCGCTTCCCAGACGCTGCTGGATGAAGCCTGGGTGGAAACCGAAGAAAAGCGACGGACACTCTGGGCGGCCTTTGTGCTAGACCGGCTAGCAAGTATGCTAAACGACCGTCCGGTCATGCTGCATGAAGAGATAGTACGTGCACCCGTTGACCGACAAGGTATACTTCTATGCTGACTGCTTAATGTAGATCTGCACGCGTTTGCCAATGCCTGAACAAGATTTCCAAACTGGCAACCAACCTACACATATGGGATTCCTCCTCGAAACCATGAACAACACCGACAGCTGCGCATCCCTCCCTTCATTCTCAAAATGTGTCGTTTTGGCAAACCTCTTCGGTAGATGCGTTGCGCACCGTCGCCTTACCCAGTCGAGTTTTATTTCCCCCTCCGATACCGAGTCGCAAGACTTCTGGATCCGACACGAATCCCTCGCCGCGCTGGCAGCCGTGGTCACAAACGAGAAGCAGATATCTCCGGATGTCAATTCTTGCACGCCTTCTATACCTAGATGTGACCCTATGGCTGCATTAAATCGGATTCTAACATCTAGTGCATATGTGTCATTGAGTGAAACGGCCGAATCCAAGCCAGGGAAAACGATGGAGGACCACATGCAGGCCTTGAAGTACAAACAACTTGCAAACCAAGTCGTGCTCGATGCGGTGTCTATCATTCAAAACGCACCTCGGATTGCTTTCCTGAAGGTAGTCAAACGTGTCGAATGATGAAGTACGACAGACACTTTTACTGACAATGCGGTAGATGCACCCCTTCCTGCCAAATGCAATTTCACTGCTTGTTATGTTTCTAAGTGCAACAACGCCTCAATTGCCCAGCACAGATAAAAAAGAGCAACCCGGCGTCAACAGCTTACTCATAGCCCTGGGATATCTCAGCGATGTCAACAATCTGGCTCGGGAGATATTGTGCAAACTGCAAGCTGGCGTTGCGCCGACCACGCCTCCGACACTAGAAATCGCGCAGCCGCAATGGACTATATAGAGTGGTGGACCTCGAAGAGAAGACTGCAAGTTCAATATGATTATTCACATCGCATCCGAACATGTAGGGATCGGAAATAGGACTTAAACCCGTTTATTCTGAGATCCTACAAGAGATGACATGACTGTTGATGTTGCCCATGCAGTGTTTGAAAAATTCTGAATGTTGTGATATGATTGATATACTATTATTCATAAATATATCCGTAGGACATTTGAGTGATCATGGGAAATTTAAACCAGACGTTTCTCGAGCATCTGCAACGTATCTGTGACCATAGCATCGATATCATAATCCCACAGCTTGTGACTTCGGGCGATGATATCCTGACCAACTTCTTCCACATCCGTCCGATATTCACGATCCTTCCAGGTGAAAAGCTCCGCAGTGCGTCTACTGCTCTGAACCAGCCACTGTGATCGCTCATAGCGCACCTCGCTGTACACCGCGAGTGCCTCCGAAATAACAAAGTCATCGAAGCTGGATCTTCTCGACAACACAGCCAGGACCTCCGCCAGAACCAGAGCATCCTCCATTCCGATGCCGGCGCCACCACCGTGGTTTGGCGTAGATGCATGAGCCGAGTCGCCAGCCAGACACACACAGCTCCGAGCGTACGTTGGCACAGGTGCGTCCAACATGTCGAACACGGCCCACTTATCGATTTTTTCCGGTAGCAGAGACACGAGGGCGCGGACCGTGGGGCCAAAATCCGTATATGCGTCAGTTGCTTCATCGAGAGTCGCCGGAAGGACATACCGCTTGCTGTCACTGTCTGCTTTGAACTCGGGCCATTCATTCTTATCGAGAACAAATGCCTCAATGTGCATCGCGTTGACCCCAGCAAGCGGCACGGTTAGGACAAATGCGCCCGGGCCGGTATGCATGAGTACACTGGCAGACTTTTCTGGACCCAGAGCAGTGATGGCTTTCTCTAGGGGTACCATCCCTCGAAATCCCAGCTGGTGCGAATATTGGGCGCGTGGGCTGGATGGTCCCGTTCCGAACATGGATCCGCGTACGCGAGAGCGGATGCCATCGCAACCGATCACTAGATGAGAATCCCGGGGTCAGCATATTGTTTTCTCTCTATGGCGAGCGAACAAGCATAACGACGACATACCAACATCTGCTTCCACTCTTTCACCATCTTGGAATGTCAGAATGGCCCTCCCCGAGTTATCGTCCGTTTCCACCGATTCCAACCATTTCCCAAACCGAACATTCTCCTCGGGAATATGTTGAACAACCTGATCCACAAAATCGCATCGTCGACAGGCCTTGTAGCCTTCTTCCACATGAAGCTCGAACAAAAAGTCCTCGACAGATGACTGTGGGTCTTCGCCTCGCTCGCCGAATCCGTCTACGAAGCTGAAAGTGCCACCCGAGGCGTGCGTCGCCACATTCGTGAAGCTTTGGAGCACGCGAGGGTCTAGTGCCTCCATCGCGCGCTCCGCATTTGGGGTAAAAATAATACCGACCCCAAGCTCTTCGAATTTCTCTGCGCGCTCGTAGATTGTGAAATTCACGTTACGCTTTAGCAGTCCGACAGCAAGCGCAAGGCCGGTTGTGCCACCACCAACGATGGCCACTTCGAGGGACTTCTTGTCTGGTCGAGTCATGACGGGAGATGAAAGAGGGAATTGTCAAACAATAGCTGTAAAACAATGAACCAAAAAAAACTAAAAACTAAACAGGCCGAGAACAAAGAAATCCAACCTGGGGAGTTCCCGCTCTGGACAGTGGACTTTGCCCATCCAACCTACACCTAGATGTATCTAAGCAATACGCAATAGCCACGGAGTTTCTTTAACAGGAGTGGCATGTTTTGAAGGTCTCGAATGCTCAGCCATCGGAGTTTCGGAAAAAAAAATAGACAGAGTAGATGCAAGCTGGCCTGAGCGACGGACTCCGGAGTTTACGACGCTACAGTCGCAGGACTTTCGACCCAGTGGGGGCCAAATGGCGCAAACTGGAAACCTTGTGGAATTATCGTTACTTTCAAGCAGTTCCGAATGGATGTGAATTTGCGAGGTGTCCTTATGGTACGATTTGCCTTTTCGACCCGTGCACTTGGTCTGAGGAACATGGGCTGGTCCAGACTCGCTACGATGCTGAACCTGCCCTAGCTAGATAGTCATATTTGTAAATTCCACACCATTGATGTAACTTCAGGTCTTGGAAGTAGGTCAGCAAATTGACAATGTCGTTGTTTTTGACTCTATCTGTGATTTAGTAGACTAGTAGTCTATTGAGTAATAACCTTCCAGTCCCTGCCCTTGGTCACCAACCCAGTCTTCTGCCCAGTAACCTACCTAAGGTACAGAAATGTCCCTGGTCAGTACCTTACCTAGTGAGGAGGGGAACGCTCGAAGGCAGTGAGTGCACTCGATGGTACACGGGTCGATCTGACTGATGCAAAACCAACACCCAAAGCCTATAGCATGTGAAAATAGTGAGGGCCTACGTAAAGGTAGGCCGGAGGTGTAAGAAGGCGTCTTTCTAGAGTATCTGGCGGGGAGCGATATGTGGGGGGGGGGTCTCCACACTACACTACTAGTAGGTACTAACCAGGCGTGAACCATCTGGCAAAGAACTATTTATTTGCATTGCACCCGAGTATTTGTTCTGCCTCTTTGCGAAATTTGCGACGCCTCGTAGGACGAAAGTTTATCAGGTTGAGGTAAATGAAATATACGTGGACCATAAAAACTCGAACAAAAGAGTCCAATTCAGCAAAATGAAACATAATATTTGCAAATTTCATATTCAGAAACTAAGATTGTAAGAGCAAGATCTAGGCAGGAATCAAGGAACAAGACAGGAAAACATTGCAATCATCGCAAAAATCCACTTTCCTTCCAGACTTGGAAGTACTTCTTCACCACTTCATCATGAATCGGCTGAACAGCTCTCAATGTCGCCGAGTGTTCCAAAGTATTGTCGGTAGACATAGTCACTCCACCGCACGACATGTGCTCGAACTTGTGCTGGAAGAACTCGATCGCTTTCTCTGCGGGATTGTCCCATGGGTTTTCCCCAGGGTAAGCCTGCACACGCCTGAGCCACTCATCGATGGCGACCACATTTTTCTGAGGAACATCAAGAGCATCAGCCAGAACAGGAATCAGGTCCGCCCATTGCCTGAGGACAGGATTGTCGATGTGGTAGATGGGATGGCAGTCTGGTGCATCACGCAGGAGTAGATCGGCAAGAGTTGCACAGGCTTGTTCAAGAGGCAGCCAGGACAAGACGCCGTCCACATCAGGAAGGCTTCGCAGGGTTTGGGCTGACTTGAACAGGAACCCAAGAACTTCCATGTGGTTCCAGTAGCCTGTTTTCATAGATCCAGACAGCTGGCCCAATCTCACGGTCATGGCGCGGAACCGGTCAGGATTCTTTCCCAGTGTCTCGAGCAGGATCCGCTCACAGATAACTTTAGCTCCACCATATCCGTTTGGAAGAGCGCTGTCGATATCTAGCTGTCTCTCGGGTACTTGAGTCTGACCAGGGTGGGTAGATGGATACTTTCCGACCGCGGAGAGAGACGAAATGAACTGGAACGTGAATTTGAAGTCCGTACTCTTGCGACGGGCTGAGGCACCAGCTGCCAGATCGACAAGGTTGCGCATTATGGCGAACTGGGGCTCATTTTGCTTAAGAGAAAGCATACCGTTCACAGGAAAAGCATTGTGAATAATGTGCGTGACGTGGGAGAGCAGCTCATCGTATTGATCTCGCTCAAGACCAAGCTGTGGCTTCGACGAGTCCGTTTCGATGACCTTGATTTTGGCTAGCGTTGCAGGATCCAGAACAATAGACTTAGACTCGAGAGACTGCAGCTGTCGGCGTAAAGGATTACGGTCAGCGGAGTCCTTGAACCTTCCTTTACCCAGGCTAGGCCGGTTGAGGCAGTAAACGGTGTCGATTGAATCAAGACCAGCAAGATGTGAGATGATATGGCTTCCCAGACTGCCGGTTGCTCCTGTGACCAGAACGCAGTTGGCAGAGCCGCTAGACTCTGGTTGCCCGGAGTAATCTGGTATAGAAAAGCCTGCCACCGTGCGTTGCACATAATCGTCTGCGGTCTGCTTCTTAGCCCTCAGTTCCTCACTCGAGAGCGTATCGTGGTCATCATGACGACCCGGTAAATTCTTCAGGGCTGGAGCCAAACGATCGATGTCCTTCTCGATATCGCCAGCTAGCGCCAGCAGCACCCTTTGTACACGGACCTCAGGCAATTTGCCGTCAGTCCATTCAACATGCTTGTATCCGGCACTGAGGAGGTCTCTCTGCCATCGCTGTTCATCGACCACGGCATGTGTCCGACCGTCATCAAACAGCCACCAGCCCTCTAGAGTGCCCCAGACGACATCTACCCAATGGAGTGTGCTGTTCATCTCGAGCAACATGAGGAATCCGTCGGGACGAAGGAACTTGCGAATGCTCTGTGCTGATACTTGTAGCGAATGGGTGGCATGCACAGCGTTGCTGGCGATAACAATGTGTTGTGACCCTGTCAGTTGTGGGTCGGAAGGAGGTTGCTCGATGTCATGGACAGCAAACTTCATGAACGGGTATTGCTTAAACTTCTTCTTGGCCTGAGCAACGAGGGATGGCGAAAGATCGGTAAAGGTGTATTCTATAGGGATTCCCAGCTTTGCTAGGGCCGGAACAAGCACCTTTGTAGTTCCACCAGTTCCAGCGCCCATCTCCAGGACCTTGAGGGGCTCCTGGCTATTGGCGGAGAGTCGCAATTTCGAGGAGAGTTGCGAAAGGAATTCAGCCATCATCTGGAAGTACAGCCTGTTGAATGGCAATTCTCCGTAAAAGGCGGCGACGAGCTCGCGATTCTTCGAATCTCCAAAAATCAACTGCGCACCGTCGGCCTTGCCTGAAAGGACATCCGCCATGTGCGAACCAACATTGTATGTCAGTTGATGGGATGATCCGTCTTCTGGATGATAACGCATCAAATCATCCAGGATTGCTTCGGCTGTCAGCGTAGGAAGCGGTATGGCCGTCCGCGTTATAATGCCTTCATTCTGATCGATGATTCGTGCCTCTTCCAACATCTTGTAGAGGTACTCGTGGAATCGATGGTGACGAGAGACAAACGGAACAGGGTGAAGCACGTCGCCAGGTTTTGCTGCTTCCAGGTCACAGCCAAGCTGCTTGAACGCCTTGCTCGTAAGCACCAAGCATAATCTGGTTTGCTTTTGAGAAACGCCACCGAGATAGCCAGCGCACTTCCAATCTTTCAAGTAATCGTCGGTCTTCCCCTTCGTTTCTCGGAAAGCCTCCAAAATGGTTGATGATGGCAGCTGTAGGCCCTTGTCCAGATAAGCCGGCTCCATAGCGAGATCGACGAAGTCATCCATTGAATTGGGGGTAGACGGCATTGCTTCGTTGCTAGACGCGGGAGACTTTCGCAGAGCAGAGTCAGATGTCTCCGAAACATCATCTGCATTATCAAGACCCAGAGTAGATTGAAGGAAGCTGAGAATTCCCGGAACATCGAAGATACTCATGAGTTCCGACTGTTCCAAGGTGCATTGGAAGGTCTTCTCAACTTCGCGGGCCATCTCCATTCCCATCAGAGAGTCGATTCCAATGTCAGCAAGCGAGTCGGTCTGACTGATTTCGTCCTCTTCGAGTCCGGAAATATCAGCGAGAACAGGGAGAAGCTTCATCCACAGATCTCCCTTGACGTTTCTTTTCGGTGCGTCGACACGTGTGGATGGCTCTGTTTTAGATTGAGTGAAAGGGCCTACGATTTCATTGTGAACAGATGCCAGGTTCTCAATGTTCGTATTTTGCGCGATATGCAATGGGCGATTAATTCCAATTGGGAAATCTGGAGCGAAAGAAGACAGGCTTATTGTATTTCTGTCGGACCAGTTAGCTTGGAAAGGCTTGCACGGGTTAGCAAGAAATGTATCATATATATACTGACCTGGACTCTGGTGTGTATCTTATTCCCAAGAAGATTTCCTCGAGGGAACCAGTTGCAGAATCAAAGACAAATATATCCGAAATAAACGCATCGCCATCGATCTGCTTATGTTGGGCGAGCACATGCCATTCGCTTGTCTGATCGTTTCGTGGGCTGTTGGAGAGCTCCTGGAGAATGCTTGGAGATTTCATCCACTGCTCGATTCCGCTGGCAACGTAAACAGTGTCATGAACGTCGCGTCGATTGGGAGACATGAAATTTGCCCAAATGTTACCAACTTGGGCAAAGGTCTCACTCAAGGCAAAGTCCGGCGTAGAGGTATCAGATCGGCGACGAATGACTTTACCTGCAGACTCATAAGATCGTCCGACTAGCTTCTGAAGACCCCGGAACTTCTCGCCATACTCGATGACATTAGAGAAGATTTTGTAGATGCTGCGGCCCTGGATGACTTCATCCGCATCGTCATTGCATTCAAGGGCCCGTAGACAACGATCATGTGTCACGAGACGTTCCAATCGATTGAATTCCAGGGTTGAGTTGCCATCAGTGGGCTGGAAATATATTTGTCCGACAATATGAATAGCCACCTCACTGCCTTTGATCAAGCTGGTGAATTTGAAGTTCCATCCTTCAAGATCGCCGCCGAGGCGTTCGAAGTCAAGGAATAAAACCTTGGACGGATCTGCAACGATAGGAGTATAGTTGGAAATGTTCAAAATCTCAGGTCGCAAGCTCCTGGCTTTGGCGGTAAGCTCCGGATGGATGCTCGATATGGCCTGCGTGGCAATGTCGATTGCAAATGTGGTTGGGCAAGCTTGGCCAGCTTGGGCCATGGTATACCCGGAGACAAAATTGACGTACTGTTCGACGCCAGTATTGATGCGGAATCGACATTGCTGCTTGCTCTTGTCCCCGTACCCAAAGAAGGTGTAAAGACCCATCGGGGGAGTATTGTTGTCAGCACTGAGCCTCTCAGATTGCGACGCTTGAATTATGACAGGCTTTGGAGGAACCTTGAACTCAAGCCAGTGCCGCTGCTTCTCAAATTGATATGGAGGAAGAATGATGGGCGCATAGTCATACGTTTGCGCATACGAGTGTGGCCAGAAGGAAACGCGCACTCCAGCATGCCATAGATTCATAGTGACATCAGAGAGGTGTTGTAAGCCCTGAGTTGTGCCAGTCAAATTCACTGATTGGAATACTGAGGCTTTGGGGGAGCCCAGGGCTTTGCTTGCCATTGTTGTTATGGTAGAGTTCGAACCGGCCTCGAGCCAGACGGCTTCCGGGTGCTGACTAGCGAGTCTCTGGACCGCGTGGTTAAAAAAGACAGGCTGTCTCATATGCTCAGCAACATACGAGCCCGAGAGCCGGCGATCCTGTCGCTCAGACTCAGCCAGTTCCAGTGGGATCTTGGGTTGCCCGAAACTAAGTTTGCGGCCCAGTGCCTCCAGGCCCGGCTTCAACTTCTCGACAAGTGTGGAATGGAAAGCATTGGTCACATCCAACCTCTTGTGCTTAATGCTTGCCCCGTCGCTCGTGATTGTCTTCTGTACAGCATCAATAGCAGCGGTTGACCCGGCAAGGGTGAAGCTTCTCGGGCCGTTGAAACAGGCGATAGTCGCAGCCTCATCTCCAGTGAGGTGTATCTTTGAAGACGCAAGTAGGGCATCTACCTCTTTCGGATCAGCCTCCATAGCCATCATAGATCCCTTGTCAGGGCCCCATGCATCACGGATGATAATCGACCTGCCGTGAACCATTCTCAAAGCGTCTTCCAGGCTGAGTACACCCGAAACGCACAGCGCAGTGAGCTCACCAAATGAGTGACCCAGTACTGCAGCAGGCTGAGTTCCGCTGTCAATCCAACTCATGGCAGATGAATATTGCATCGAGAACAGCAGTGGCTGTAGCACGGAGGGATCCTGAATAGCCTCGCGCTCGAAGATACCAGGGTAGATACTACTTGCACCTATCGCCTTGCAAACGCTGTCGCAACGGTCCAGATGCAAACGCAGAATTGTGGATTTCTCAAACAAGCCACGATCAAGTCCAACAAATTTGGAGACCTGTCCTCCAAAGCAAAGGATGACCGGCCGTACAGCGGGTGTCTCAGCCGTCTCCGTGGAGAGCAGCTTTTGGTCGAATTGATCAATGGAATCCGCACTGAAAATGAGACTGCGCCCCAGGGACCAATTTGATTGCCGATTAATGTTGAAAGCCAGATTTTCAATACCACGACGATCGCCAGAAATTGCTTTGGTTTTCATGAATTGGCGCAGTTTTTCAGCATAAGCTCGAACAGCTTTATCATCGAGGCCGGACAGATAGATCGGACATCTAAAGGTGGAAGTCGATGAGGTCAGAGTTTGAATCTGCAACGAATCCTCTTGAGGGCCCGAGCTAAGTTTAGGCGCCTGCTTTATGACCATCGAGGCATTGGATCCGGCAGCACCGTAATTGTTGATCAGCGCCACCTTTACATTGTCATCCCAAGAAGTAGCTGAGGTTGTGATGCTCATGTTGTCAGCTGGCGACGCATTAACTGAAGGACTGATGGTGGTGAAGCTGGCCTGTGGAGGGATGCGACCTTCCTGCATCATCAACAGCATTTTAATAAGAGCCACAACTCCAGAAGCACCCTCGGTGTGACCAATGAGGCCTTTGACGGAGCCGATCTGCAAAGGTCGAAGTCCTGCACGAGCAACACCACCAAATATTTGGCGGATGCTGTCATATTCAGCTGGGTCACCCACGGGAGTCCCTGTTCCATGTGCCTCGATTACCGAGACGTCTTGGATTCTCAACCCTGCTTTGTTGACAACGGTTTGGAACACATTTGTCAGCGACGATGGATTTGGAACGAAGATTGGCGTGTTGTTGTGGTTCTGGTTGATAGCGGTTGCCGAGATAACCCCCAGAACTTGGTCGCCATCAGCGATAGCATGTGTCAATTTCTTGAGGAAAACAGCGCCGATGGCTTCACCCCGACAGTATCCATCGGCCTTTGCGTCAAATGGCTTGCACTGCCCTGTAGCACTAAGGAAGGTCCCGGCTGCCAGGTTTTGGAAGAACATCGGGGTGCTATAGAAATTGGTTCCTCCAGCCAGTGCTGCTGAGCAGTCGCCGCTGAGAATGGCGCGACATGCCAAGTCAATAGCGACAGTTGACGCCGAACAAGCTGTGTCGATCATCATTCCTGGGCCAGTCCAACCAAAGTAGTGACTGACCTTCCCAGAAATATAGCTTCGTAGAGCACCAGTCGCTGAGAAGGCAGTAGGGTTGGTATGGGAAATATTGTTTTCGTAATCGTTGGCGACACAACCGATATAGCAGCCAATCCGACGGTCTGCACCGGGTCGGTGATAGTAGCCAGACTGGGCGACAGCTTGATAAGCAGTTTGAAGGATGAGCCTTTGCTGGGGGTCCATATGAAGCGCCTCACGAGGTGACTTCTTGAAAAACTTGTAGTCAAACGCATCGTAATCGTCAATGAAATTCCCATACCACTTCCTCTGCTCATCATCATCAGGACGAAAGATGGTTTTCATGGCGAATCGGTCGTTGGGAATGAGGTCCTTGTGTTGCGATTTCCCTTCGAGCAAAATCTTCCAGTATTGTTCGAGATCTTGAGCACCCGCAACATGACAGGACATGCCAATAACAGCGATGTCATTTTCTGCGACACCGGGCGGCAGACTCGGAGTTGCCGCACTTTGGGTGGCACCCTCGAAGTCGAAGTGTGTAACTTGGCTGTTCAGCCTTCGAAGAAGAGTTGGAGGTATGCATCGCTCAGGGCCAAATTCAACGACTCTTGAGTTTCTGTCCTGCAAAGACCCGGAGACAGCTGCGCGAAAACTTTTAATCCAGTTAAACTGTTCCACAAGGAAGGCACGCGAGGCTGATTCCAGCATGCTTTCTGTGCCAGTCATGACGCTTGCCGAGTTCACACGGGTAGGCAAGATGAGACAAGAAGCATCGGGTAGCTGAAAGAGGGGTTTCTTCCTGCAGAACGCGAAAAAGGCTTCAAGGTCCTTTTCGTATAGCTCACCTGCATGGAAGCGTCCATGGAACTCGGTTTCATTTGCAGTGATACCGGTAGTTTGAAGATGACTTTTCAGTGCCGAAGCAGTACGAGCGGAGGTTGTCACGGTTGCTCGGTTGTCATCGTAAAGGACCGAGATATAAGCCTTTTGCATTGATTTGTCAGATGCATCTCCTTTTTTATATCAATGTAGCCGCAGCAAGGGAGTGAACTTACGTCGGGGAACTTGTCCAGCACTTTCTGTAGGTCTGCCAGCGACTGGCCTCCTCTCCAAAAGGCAATCAATGAAATTGATGGTCCGGTAGGATCGGACAAGTCTTGCGCATCGGAGAGAGCTCCTAATACAAAGACTGTGCGGAGTACTGCCGCGGCATTGTGACGAAACTGAGCCCAAGAGGAGCTGGAAGATACTACGAGGGCGCTGAATATGCCCAGGCAGCACCCGACGGTTTCTGTCTGCGCACGAGGAGGCGCGTGGAATGCTTGTCCGGATCCAGAAGGTGTCGATTGGGATGAGAACTTTGCATGCTGTAGATATTCCAAGAGTTGTGCAATGATGACAAGAGGGCCGAGGATGGCATTGGGAAGCCCGGATACCGTGGATTGCGAGCTGATCGAACCAGTCTGAAGCCAGTCCACGAGTCTGCGAGCATGGGTGTCGCCAGCGGTTTGTTTCAACTTAGGAATTGATTCGGAGAGAATATTCCAGCCACTTTCGATATCTTCGATCGCGTTGACAGCCCAATGGCTTGCAGGATCGTCTTTGATGAATGCCAGGATGCGTCCGAAGTAGAGTTCATCCAGTGTCATGGCACCAGGCCCAAACAACAGGAGAGTCCTGGCAGATGACACAGCCATAGTTAATCTGGCTCTGATGCGAGTTCACCGGGGTAAACAATCTGTGTGGCAAAGTTGAGTACCACTGGTAGCACCTTGAAATGGAGACCCTTGCCAGGTGAAAGCGCATGGCATGGCCACCTTTTACAACTTCCCACGGGATTTCCCGGAGAAACCACCTCGTAACTTGCCATTTCCATAGCACAGCCCGCCGGTCTCTGTGGCTTTGTTAGAGGGAGGGTGCGCGGTTTCCGCAAGGTGAGCTGGCGGACTTGTGAGAAAGCGCGGAGTTCTTGATTCTCCCTTTCTCCGCGTCGCGCCGATTTACTCCGCCCGTCTCACTCCTAGCCTTCAACCGACTCCGATCGCGAATTACCTGCAAAGCTGCAATGTCTGACAGCAGCGAGGATGTAAATGAAGGCCGCCTGCGTCTCGGGTTCTATTCTGGGATCTCGTAAGTTCGGCGGTCGCTAAAAACCACCGACACAAACGCCTCGTCCTTCAACCCGCTTGTCTACACCTCAACGAGACACAATGGGAAGCATCGGCGACGAAGTTAGCAATGGCTGGACCAACGAGCCCATTGCTATTGTTGGCATGAGCTCCAAATTCTCGGGAGATGCCACCAACACCGATAAGCTGTGGCAAATGTTGCTCGAGGGCCGAAGTGGCTGGTCACCCTTTCCCGAGTCGAGATTCCATCCAGACGGCGTTTTCAACCCAAACAATGAACGGCTAAATACGGTGAGCCGACGACGCTTCCGAATGGAACATGAAATGGGCTTTACTAATGGCTAACTCTAGACACACGTCAAAGGTGCGCATTTCCTACAGGAAGATGTTGGAATGTTTGATGCGGCCTTTTTTGGCTACTCGGGAGAGACAGCAGCGGTAATTACCAAGTGGCAGAGCCCGTGATATCTGACCATGTATTGACCCTCCCTCAGTCCATGGATCCGCAGTACCGCCTGCAGCTGGAGTCAGTTTACGAGGCCTTGGAAAATGGTGAGTGCTCTGTTGTTCTCCGTTTTCTCTCTTCGTTTTTCTTCCCGGTCTCTTGCAAAATCTAATCATTGAGAAAAATCAGCCGGTCTACCACTAGCCCAAATTGCAGGCTCAAATACTTCCGTATTCATGGGTTTATTTGTCCATGACTATAGAGACGGTCTACTCCGAGATGCCGATAATCTTCCTCGGTTGATGGCTACGGGAACAGGTGTCCCGATGATGTCCAATCGGGTCTCGCATTTTTTCGATTTGCGGGGGGCGAGCATGACTATAGAAACGGCCTGCTCCTCGGGTATGACAGCGATTCACCAGGCCGTCCAAAGTCTGCGAACTGGAGAGGCAGACATGTCAATAGTGGGTGGAGCCAACCTCACCCTCAACCCTGACATGTTCAAGGCGCTGGGGTCTGCAGGGTGAGTATACCTAGTTCCTGACCTTGAACAAATGTTTGCTCGGGTAGCACTAATTCTCGACCAGATTTCTATCTAGCGATGGCAAGTCGTATGCATTCGACTCACGCGCCAGCGGCTACGGTCGTGGGGAGGGTGTGGCTACTTTGGTAGTGAAAAGACTGAGCGATGCCCTGGCTTCAGGTGATCCAATAAGGGCCGTTATTCGTGAATCAATGCTCAATCAAGACGGGAAAACCGAAACCATCACATCCCCCAGCCTTCAAGCCCAAGAGGCTCTGGTGCGCGGTTGTTATCGCAAAGCAGGGCTGGACCCACGAGAAACACAGTATTTCGAAGCTCATGGTACCGGCACGCAGGCTGGGGATACCATCGAAGCGCGTGCTATCGCATCTGTTTTTTCTTCTAATCGGGAACCGCTGCTCATTGGGTCAATCAAGACGAACATCGGCCACACGGAAGCAGTAAGTGGACTAGGAAGTGTCATCAAGACAGCCCTTGCCATCGAGAAAGGGGTCATTCCGCCATCCATCAATTTCGAAAAGTCAAATCCCAAGCTATCTTTCGAAGATTGGAATCTGAAATTGGTTCGTGAATTGGAACAATGGCCATCGACTCCGGTCCGGCGCGCTTCTATCAATAACTTCGGATACGGAGGCAGTAATGCGCATATCATTCTTGAGGGCAGTGCCTCCTGGGCCTCGCATGGCTTTGATGCCAACAGACAGCAAAATGGATATACGAATGATGCCCTGAATGCATCCCAAAAGCGCGCCAAACTGGTGCAGCTCGACTCTCATACACAGCCTGACCTTGATTGTTCCAAGGTTTTAATCTTGAGTGGGAAAGATGAGCAAGCTTGCCAAAGGATGATTACAAACCTGTCAGAATTTCTGGAACAAGACAGCTTCAGGCATCAAAGCTTAGAAAGTTTCCTAGAGAGTCTTGTCTACACACTGGGTGAGCGCCGTACTCGATTTCCGTGGACAGCAGCCCATCCAGTTCGCGTCATGGGCGGCACTGAAGCGATCGTTCAAGCGCTCAAATCCCCGAAGTTTAAGCCGACGCGCAGTTCCCGTCGTCCCAGAATTGGCATGGTATTCACCGGTCAAGGTGCACAGTGGCATGCGATGGGGAGGGAGCTGGTTGACGCCTATCCTGTTTACAGAGCTTCGCTTGAAGAAGCCGAAAGATATCTGAAACAGTTTGGGGCCAATTGGTCCTTGATAGAGGAGTTGTCGCGCAATGTCGAGTCTTCCCGCATCAACGAAGTTGCGTTGAGCACACCAATTTGTGTTGCATTGCAGATTTCGCTCGTACATCTCCTACGGGACTGGGGCGTCGTACCAACCGCCGTCACAAGCCACTCGAGTGGAGAGATTGCAGCCGCGTATACCGTTGGGGCGCTAAGTTACCGGGCAGCTATGGCCTTCTCCTACTATCGTGCTGTTTTAGCTTCAGACAAGAGTCTCCAAGGACCTGTCAAGGGCGGCATGATTGCTGTTGGACTCGGACTAGAAGAAACGGAGTCATATCTGAGCATGCTAACATCGGGAGAGGCCGTCGTGGCGTGTGTTAACAGTCCATCGAGTATTACAGTTTCTGGGGACCTTTCAGCGGTGATCGAGTTGGAAGAACTCGCTACGGCAAAAGGAGTATTCGCCCGACGCCTCAAAGTGGACACTGCCTGGCATTCACATCATATGACTCCCATTGCAAATGTTTATTGCGAGGCACTTGACCGTATTCAAGCCGAAAACAAAGAATACGACATGTTGAAAGCTGTGACCTTCTCCTCTCCAGTGACTGGAGGCCGGATCACCCACGCCGACAAAATTGCACGCCCTGAGCACTGGGTTGAGAGCCTAGTGCGGCCTGTTCAGTTTACAGCCGCTTTCACTGACATGGTGTTGGGAGATACAGACCTGTCTGCCTCCAACGTCGATATCATCGTCGAGGTGGGGCCTCATACAGCTCTGGGAGGTCCCATTCAGCAGATCCTCGCCTTGCCCGAGTTCGATGGCATACAGCTTCCATACTTTGGAACTCTTGTCCGAAAAATGAGTGCCCGGGATAGCATGCAGTCGCTTGCTGCTAATCTTCTTCAGGAAGGCTACCCTGTTGATTTATCAAGTGTCAACTTTGCCTTTGGGCGGAACGAGCATGTCACCGTGCTCACAGATCTGCCATCCTACCCCTGGAATCACCAAACCCGACATTGGATTGAGCCAAGATTGAATAGGGCTCTTCGCGAGAGAGCGGAGCCTCCTCATGATCTTCTTGGATCACTTGTGGAGGGATCGAACCCGCTCACCCCATCATGGCGGCACGTCCTTCGCATATCTGAGTCCCCATGGACTAGGGACCACGCTATCCAGTCTAACGTTGTCTACCCAGCCGCGGGTTATGTATGCCTGGCAATCGAGGCAGTTCGAAAGCTCTTGGCCAGTGCCCAGGCAACCCAAGCGAAAGAAGTTTCCGGCTATATGCTACGAGACGTCGACTTCCTACAAGCTCTGATGATCCCAGATGGGGCAGATGGCATTGAGATCCAGACAACGATTCGCCCAGTCGACAAAAGAGATGTTGCCTCTCATGGGTGGCGTCATTTCGAAGTGTGGACTGTGACCATAGACAATAGATGGACTCAACACGCAAAGGGGTTGATATCCGTCGAATTTGAAGCTCCCTCTGGGAACTCCAGACCTGTCCTAGGAAATATCAAGGGGTACTCTCGACGCGTAATTTCCGCCGATTTGTTCATGAACCTCAGGTCCCTGGGAATAGCGCACGGTCCTATGTTTCAAAACTTCCAGAACATTGTTCAGTCCGGCTCGGAAATGCGCAGCCTCGCGACTATTTCCGTTGCAGACACGTCGCAGCCCAATGACCTCCCTCGTGACAATATTTTACACCCCGTCTTCCTGGACTCCATCATCACTGCCCCTTACTCTGCTCTTCCCGGAATCGCCGGCCGCGAGTTTGCCGCTAAGGTGCCGAGGTCTGTTGAGAAATTTTGGGTATCCAGCAAGATAAGCCACACCCCGGCGCATCTTTTCAAGGCCGAATCTTCGCTCATTCGAAATGACGATTCAGGGATGGCGGCAGATGTACTGGTTTCGGACCATGATACCGGAAACACTGTCCTTGAAATGAACGGGTTTACTTATCAATCACTGGGGCGAAACGTGTCACTTCAACAAAGTGATGCCTGGGAGAATGAGTGGTATAGCAAAACAATTTGGTCGCTCGACATTTCGTCCGCCTCTCCAGCAACAGTGTCATCGGTAAAGAAGCAATTGGCCTGCGAAACCGATCCTTTTAATGACTCTTCCACGCGGGAAATTTGGCGCGCGTGTGTCTATTTCTTTCAGGATGCGCTACTGGCATTGCACCCGCGCGAAGTTCAAAACATGCAACCTCGTCATGCTTCGTTTTATTCATGGATGAATGCAACAGTGCAGCGGGCTGCATCTGGAAAGTTATGCGCTGGCAGTGAGAAGTGGGTTTCAGCCCTGGATTCAGACAGGAAGCGCCAGATCTATCAGGCATCTCAGCACGGTGAGGCTGGCGAAATATGTCATCGTCTGGGTGCCCAATTGGTATCTATTCTGCGAGGCAAAACAACGCCAAACGAACTATTCCCGACGGACGACATCTTGATCCGCTTCTTGAGCGAGATACCAAAGGTAAAGCGGGTTGGATCGCAGCTCACGGGTATTTTGCGACATCTCGCCCATAAAAGCCCTCGTGCTCGTATCCTCGAAATTGGCGCAGGGACTGGTTTGATGACCAAATATGCCCTTGAAGCGTTGGGAACCAAGGACTCAGGTGGTCCACATGCCTCGCTGTATCACTTCACGGATATTTCGCAACGCTCCCTAGAGAAGGCGCGAGAAACATTTCTGTCATGGGGTGACCTGTTGTCTTTTGACGAACTCGACATCAATCATGATCTCCCAACACAAGACTTTTCAGATGCCACTTACGACATTGTCATTGCTTCTGACCTGAATCGGGGTACCAAATCCCTTCCTGATTCGCTTGACAGGATTCAGCGTCTCCTCAGGCCCGGTGGATCCCTCTTGCTGATAGAAGATATCAAAGATCAGATCGATGTGGAGTTCGTCAGCAAGTTGGTCTCTGATCAGCCGCTGACCGAGAAGCGCAAGGAACCAGAGGCTACAATGGCCATCAATGGGTTCTGGGATCATCATCTTCGGAGCGCTGGATTCACCGAACCCATTCTCGAGCTGCCTGACTGCGAGAGTGAAACCTGGAGCTCAATGATAATATTTTCAACCGTACCAATATCCTCATCCCAGAGGATAAATCCAAGCAACTTCATCCTCGTTACGAGCCATCAAAGTGGACCTCCCCCGGCATCATGGCTGGAGAGTCTCCAGGATTCGATTTCCATTTTCACGAACAGCTCAGAAAGAAACGAAGTGGTTGTTCATAATCTTGAATCTGTCGTCGCCAAACCCGAAATTCTCTCCGGCAAAATTACCATCTTCGTGGGCGAAATGAACGAGCCAATTCTTTATGACCTCGATTCAGCATCCCTAGAAGGGGTGCGTGCCATGAGTACCTCCTGTCAAGACCTACTCTGGGTAACTCGTGGTGGTGCTGTTGACTGTGAAAGGCCCGATTTGAGTCTTGCTCCTGGATTTGTTCGCTCTCTTCGCAGCGAATACGTTGGTCGCAAACTCCTGACAATTGATTTAGACCCCAAAGGACCACAGTGGTCCGAGGTCGGTGCGTCTTCAATCGCACGGGTACTTTGCGATGCTTTTAGCGATACCGGGAATGATCAATCCGCAGAGAAGGGCCCAGTGGAACTGGAATTTGCCGAGAGGGGTGGGGTGATCCTTATCCCTCGAATCTACCATGATGTGTTCAGAGATAGAATTCTTTCCTCTCGCGCTCTGAATGCCGACACGCGGGAGATGGTGGCTCTTGAACCGTTCTATCAGTCAGATCGGCGTCTTACCTTGCGACCCGATTCTCTGGCCTTCAGTGATGACGAGTCTGTCCTTGAAAATTCAGCAGTGCTTTCCTCGTCTTCAATTCAACTCGAACCCAGAGCCTTTGGAGCGTCCTTGCGCAGAGGAGAGAATTCTCTGACCAGTCTTGAATGCGCGGGAACTATCACCCAGATTGGCACCGATGCAGCCTCGCGAGGCTTCTCTGTTGGTGACCGTGTTCTATGTCTGTCAAATGGATCGTCATTTTCGAACCGGGTGGTAGTGGATTTCAGCTTTGCGATGCACGTCCCTGGCGACATGACCTTCCAAGAGGCAGCATCAATACCCGTGGCATTTATCACAGCATATTTTGCACTCGTGGAGATGGCACGGTTACAGAACACTCACTCTGTCCTGATTCATGACGCAGCCGGAGATATCGGACAAGCAGCCATCATGATTGCACAACACCTGGACGCAGATATATTCGCAACCGTCGATGGCCCCAGTGAGCGGAGCTTGGTCATGCTGAAGTATGGTATACCTGCCGACCACATATTCAGCTGTAAAGATGCATCATTTGGCCCTGCAACTCGCCGATCTACGAATGGCCGTGGAGTCGACGTTGTACTCAACTCGCTACCCGGACAGCTCCTTCATGAAAGCTTTAAACTTGTAGCACCCCTCGGCCATTTTATCGAAACCGGATGGCGAGATTCGGAGGAAAACAGCTTTCTGGAGATGCGACCTTTCTCTTATGGCATTTCCTTCGCGGCTGTTGACATTCACAGTCTGTTGAAGCATCGGTCCCCAGACGTTCACAGATGTTTGAATGAAGTGATGCAGCTCATCAAGGCCAAGGCAATCACACCAGTGCATCCTATTGATATATATCCTTTGGGGGAAATTTCGAAGTCGTCTCACCTTCAGAATGAACGCTATTTAGGCAAAGCTGTTTTCTCGGCTAGCCCGGGTGACGTGGTTCCGGTTTTGCCACGGACAGGGGCCGCAAATCTTTCTGGCGATGTCTCCTACTTGATCGTGGGTGGCAGCGGTGGCCTCGCACAATCGGTGGCGCACTGGCTGGTTTCCCGTGGAGCAAGGAATCTTATCCTCCTCTCACGCAGCGCTGCTAGAAGTGAAAAGACAGCGGCACTTGCTGATGAGCTTCGCGAAGCAGGATGCCACCGCGTCTTGCCTATCAGCTGTGATGTCGCCAACGAGGATGACCTAGACCGGGCCATCGATTTATGCGCTCAGGAGGGACTGCCAACCATCCGGGGTATTATCCATGCTGCTTTTGTTCTCAGGGTATGTCTAAACCATGCTGTCTCGATCCATGGCTTGGAGACTAATTATTTTCTGAATAGGACGCGTTCGTGGAGAAAATGAAACTGGAAGACTGGAAGGCTACGATCCAGAGCAAGGTTGCTGGCGCATGGAATCTTCACAATCAGTTCAACATACCAGGCGATGTCGACTTCTTTGTGCTCTTCTCTTCCATCAACGGAATCCTTGGCTATGCCAGTCAGTCGGCATACTCGGCTGCTGGTGCATACGAGGACGCCCTGGCACACTGGCGCGTCAAGCAGTGCTGTCTCCCTGCTGTTTCAATTGATCTCTCCGTTGTGAATGAGGTCGGCTATGTCGCGGAGGCTAGTTCATCCGAGACCCTTCGCAGATCCCTTCTCAAAGCCGGACGCAGGGTAATTGATGAGGATCACGTCTTATCCTCACTTGAATCGGCCATCATAAACCCTTATGATCCCCAATTTATTGTAGGTGGCATAAACTCAGGCCCTGGACGCCACTGGGACGCTGATGGTGATCTCGGTCGTGACATGCGTGTCTTGCCACTCAAGTATCGCCCACCCGTTTCCAGCGGACAGGAACAGGAGCAAAATGGCAACGACTCCCTGGCATCACAGATATCTGCATGCACATCCCGCGATGAAGCCACCCGAGTCGTGGGGAAAGCCATCGCGGAAATGCTTGCCGATATGTTCTTGGTTCCTGTTGAAGAAGTCGACCTGGGCCAGTCACCATCACAGCAGGGTGTCGATTCGCTTGTTGCTGTGGAAGTGCGGAATATGCTCTTTAGCCATGCTGCCGCCGAGCTGTCGATTTTCAATATCATGCAAAGTCCCAGTCTGAGCCTTTTGGCTGCAGATGTCGTGGACCGGAGCCCTCATGCCAAGTTCTCAACGGCATGAATGTTCTCCAATGTTGATGAGGGAATAGTGCTGCTCGAGAAATGAGAGATATTTGTTGCAATGTGTATGTTTTTTCTCACTTTGATCAAATTTTGTTATGATGATGGTTTGCCATTTACGCAGCTAGAGCATAGAAATTCCACCCTTGAATTCATATTTCAAATAAATTTTTATTTGTATTGACTAGAGTGTTATATGTACATTAATGGTTCGGGATACAGACTCGTGCTCAAGGTTGGATATTTCAAGCAGTTTAGTAAAAACGCCACCCTTAGGGGAAAAAATAGTGAGGGGGGGAGGAGGCTCGATGGCAGTCTGGCAGTGCAGAAGGGGCAGCACCTATCTGAAACATACACACACAACCACTCCCATGCCTTAGGGTAGATAAGATGGTGTTGGGCTGAATGGGGAACAGCGCACTGTTCCTACTGCTGTGGCATAAATCAACGAATGTGGTAGAAACCGGAATGAATTGTGTAGATGTCTAGTCTATCTCTATGTTCATGTGGAAACATAATATTAGATCTATACAATTAAAGTGCCTGATCTTTCTTGCTACCAGCTTCTATTCACAGCATGAATCCGATGATCTCCCTAATACTTGAAATTCATGTAAACCTCTTTAGACTTCACATCCACGAATCTGCCGTGTCATATCTCCTTATTCTGAGCCCGCATCATCCTCTTTTGCTTGGTTGGCCTGGGCCTGCTGCATCTGCATCTTTTTCATGGTCTCCGCCGCTTCAAACGAGTACTTGCACTTCATACGCACTTGCATACCGTACCGATACATGATTAGCGGGAACGGCACGCATACCAGTGTCATGAAGGCCGGGATGCTAGACGCCCAGTGAATACCCAGATTGTGATACATCTGTGTCGTGAACAGAGGAAACACAGCACCAATGACCGAACGGAAAATAGCAGCCGCGGCCAAGACTGAAGCCGCGTAGATTGTATAGGAGTCGATCAAGTAGTTCATGATTGGCAGTAGAACAAGAACACATCCGAAGCCGAAAGGTGCAGATAGAATGATAGCTACCGACCAATGGATACTGGGGTAATTGGTCCATGCAAATGCAAACATTCCGATCGGGAGAGCGACTGCACCAACGATAGCAGGTGGTAGTCGGGATTCGGCTGTTGTGCTTTTCGCGAGGACCAGTTTCATATACCGGGTGTTGTTGTCCCAGATCGCATAGATAAGACCAAACACAATGCCGACGGCAATACCAAGGAATGAAAGTCCCCCAATTCCCTCGCTCCAGCCACGGCCTTCGTTATAAACAATTGGCATAGCTCCCATAAACATATAAACTGTACCATAGATGATTGCCATGTAGACCGAAGCGATCAAGACGATTGGCTCAAGGAACAGAAAGATCCAGGGACGAAACAGGGCTCGCTGGAAGACTTCAGATGGCTTCTTTTTGCCCTGACTCTTCTCAAGAACACTAATGTAAAACTTTCCATCCGCCTTTGACAAACGACTAGCCCTTTGTTGCAGCAGGACCGGGCCGTAAGTCTCGGGAATAAAGATGACTCCAAGGATGCCGACAATCCCGATGAAGATAGTGCACACGCCTTGAACCCACCTCCAGCCAACATTTTCGGAGATAAAGCCTCCCATGACCGGGCCAAGGACGGGACCAAGGAACGGTGCAACGCAGTAAACGGTGAGGGCGAGTCCACGTTGAGCTGGCGGGAAGAGATCGGCGATTGTGCCGCCGGAGTTGACGAGGGGAGATGCCCCAAATGTGCCGGCAAAGAAGCGCAATATCAACAGCGTAGCCACATTTTTACTCCCAGCTGATCCCCCCAGGAAGGCTACCATGGCGACGTGGGTAATGATCCACAGTTTCTGTCTGCCGTACAGTTCAGATCTTGAAGAAGATTAGCAAGACAGTGCTGGAGAGTTGTTTGTCGAGAGTTGGTTGTACTCACAGAGGGCCCCATAGAGCGGGACCGATAGCAAACCCTAGGACGAAAAGGGAAAGACCGAGAGTGAAGACTTCGGAGCTAATGTCGAAGTCTTGAAAGACCTCGTTGGCGGAGACGGAGTATGCGGAGGAGGTCAGAGTGACAGCAAAAACCGAGATCGTCGCAACAAATGTGATAAACCACTTTCTGAAAGAGCCCCAATTCATGGGATTGCCCGGATCATCTTTTTGAAACTCCACAACGAATGGATCTTCTTCGGTTCCATGGCCATCATAAACGGGTGTTTTCTCAACCTCGGCCGGGTCGGCATTGACTTTGGTCGCGCTGGACATCGTGGTCGAAATAAACAGCACCAAGCGGACACAGCTATCTGATCGCGCTTTTACAAGTCCGGCTTTTGTGGTCTATATATTACGTTCAGGGAAACCGGAGTATTTATTGTTCATGCCCTCCGTGATGTGAAAGCGGGATGCATGTCCATTGGATACTGGAATAACGGTGGGTCGAGGCGGTCCTGCTTTCCATTGGTCTTTGCTAGTGAGACTTGGTGGCATTACCCAATCATATAGCGCTCCGCTATGGGGTACTTTTGACGGAATACCATTTGATTGGGCAGTGCGTTTCTTTGTTTACGCCCCCCCGCATGATCATCTTCCAGCCTAGCCTTACGACTTCCCTCCTACTTCGTCGCCGTGTTGGGTGCTCTGTCAATACCTACAGGATGTCCACTGGCCAGACACGATAATGGGAGCTCCACCATGGCTACGACTGGAACGGTCAACATGATTCAACCAGAGCACAACGACTCGTGGGTAATACGCAGACAGCGATTGAAAGTCACCACAGCTTGTCAGGCATGCCGGTCAAGAAAGATCAAATGTGACGGCAGCCGTCCAGGTAGTCTACACCCCTGTCCTTCACTTACCCCTTTAGTGCTCACGAGCCATGCTGATACAAAGAATGTGCAGCATGCACTAGGTGTCAAACCAAAGGAAAGTCTTGTAACTACAATCGTCCTGGTGCGGCTGGCGACATTCCGCGCAAGCTTAGTCCAAGGGAAACACCTCAGCATGCTCCTGTCCTTGTTTCCCCTCCATCTTCACCAGCTCATTCGATTGAGGCGTCCTCGACGTCGACAAGCTTGACTCTCCCAGGCATTGAGTCACGCTCCTTCTCGGATAATAACCGAGAATCGAACTCGGAGTCGAATCTCAACCGTCCATACTACGCAGCCCACGGCCGGTTCGCCGGCCAGGTGGCGGCGGCTATAGAGGAGAGAGCTGGTCGAGCCCCACCAGCTACGACATACCTTGTTCCACTGGTCGATGCGCCCTTATTTGGAGATCTGGATTTGCCCCTGCGATCTTCCCCTCTTTCGGAGTCCACCGAGTTGCCCTCCCGCGCTCGTGCAGATCAACTCGTCAATATATATTGGCGACACATACATCCGGTTGAGCCTGTGTTGGATTATGATCAGTTTTCGCAGATATATGCAAAATCATTTTCGACGGAAGGTTGCCTCGCGCATACGGACCATCACATTCAGCTCAGTATCCTCAATGTGATATTTGCCCTCGCAGTGCAAAGACAGGAACGGGTGCCATTCAATTTGCGGAATGAAGAGGGGAATATTTATTTTCAACGTGCGTGGGCGCTATTCCCGACCGAGTCGATTATTTGGGAACCCGGTTCTCTTGAGCGTGTGCAGTGCTTGATGCTTATGAACCGATACCTCCATTGCACAACTCATCAGCAAAAGACATGGATGACTGCTGGACTGGCAATGCGCATCGCGCAAACAATGTGTTGTAATTCCCTTGAGACTCCCTTGGGCAAAGATGCCGGCAATGACGCGCGTTTGAAGCGTAAGGTTTGGGCAAGCTGTGTTATTTTGGATCGGTAAGTATATATCCGTTTTAATATCACCTCAGAAACCTCGCTGATATGATTAGGTGTGTTTCCTGGTCACTCGGAAAGACATCAGTGCTGGCACTCATTCCATCGCCGACAAGTGACTGTCAGCAGGGAGGCGATCCAACCGGGCACTCTCGATGGAAACTGGAACTTCACGAGATAGGCAATCAGATTCAGATGGCCCAGATTCAGACACGAAGCACCCTTGCCTCTCGATCTGTGGTGCCTTGTCTAGATCAACAGGAGGAATACCACACCGCGGCGGTCCGCCTAGACGCTTGTCTCAACAAATGGGAGACCAGTCTTCCAAACGATCTACAACTGCGGAATCTTAAGTTTCTGGATGACAGGACAGTCCGAATGGAGCGCTATTTGATACACCTTCGGTAAGCTAGTACTTGCTATTTCTTTGCACTTTGAGAATTGCTTCTCTAATATCGTCTACTGTATAGTTTTCTCCATTCTCGTATCTATCTCTACAGGCCAATACTCGCCCGCTTCTACTCCATGAAATCCAATGGCCAATCAAGGTCCACGAATCCCGCAACTCTCAGCGAGCGGCTTCTGAGAGAATGTGCTAAGATGTGCGTCGATGCCGCGCAAGGTGTCACTGCCTTGGTGACCGAAACATTAGAGCCCTGTGAGCCTATCGGTATCATCCCTTGGTGGACACGTATTTACTACCTTCACATCGCGGGCGTGATCTTCCTCGCAGCCATGGTCGGATCCGATCTCTTTACCGACTCAGTCGCTCAATCATGGCAGGATGTTTTGGCAGGTCTCCGCGCACATGTCCACCTGAGTACATATATTCAGAAGTGCATTTGTACCTTTGAGGCCCTGTCCGCCAAGATCTTACAGCCCACTGGTTTAGTCGCACAGAGTGGGTGTGAGCCCCTGGTGGAAGGCGCAGGGATGTCCTTCGATGATATTTTCCAAGATATCCGCTTTGACTTCGATGAATTCTTATTTAGGACGGAAGAGGTGCTCAATTTTGATGTGCTCGGGTCATGATATATATACGACCATGCAAACTGGGGGAAAGGACGAGGCACCCTGCTTAGCTTTAATATATTGACATACCTCCATCTATTCCATTTGATGAAGTACCCCAGCTACATCTGTCTAGCTAGTTCAAAGACTGCCGATGCTGGACACCAGATCGATGGCCTACCGAGGAAGAAGAAGTCTCCGACTCGCTATCTGAATGTGGTCGCAACTTCGATTTCCTGGCACCTCTGGCTTGTCAACAGCGACTTGACCAGATACATATTTGAACGCTGCCTACCATTTCAAAGAGCTTGGAGTTTTGCTACTTTTGCTTTTTCGGACATTTCCGCACGGCCATGCCATGATTCAAAGGTTTACCATTTTCCCTAATTAAAAGCATGAATACAAACACCAAATGATTTGCTGCCGTTCCTGGTCGGAAAACGATCTCAAACCCGCTGGATCCAATCAAGGGGCTATTCTAGCAGTTGCATGTCAGTTTCTTAATTTCGACCAAAATGATTATGTTATTGCTAGAATTGGTACGCGGAGAAACTCAAGTAATCAAGACACAGGGACACTCTGCTGGTTGTGGAAAACATCGTTCGGGTCCACTGCCCTCTTGATATGCTTGAGTCGATCCAGGTTTTGGCCATAGTACCCGGCCAGGGCCTTCTCGTTCGTCTCCCGTGGATCCACATTTCCAGCATACTGTCCGTAATATGCCTTGGGATTGCCGCTCGTCAGAACTTCGCTTAATTGGTCCAGGAAGCGGATCGTCGTATCAGTGAGATTACTACTGGTACGAGCAAAGGAGAACATAAAGTAAAGCGTGTCGCGGTGAGGATAGGCCGCCTCCGATGGAGAGAAATCGCTCACTGCCCCGCCAAGGCCGTCGAAGTTGAGGGCATACAAGTCTGTTCCATTCTTTGTGTTGGCCAAATAGTTGAAAACACGCTGGGCGGTCGCTTCAGGGATCTGAGTCTTCTGAGTGAAGACAAGGGACTTGGCGTAAAAGTGCGACGGAGAAGCGATGCCAGCGGCGCTGACTGCCCCGTCCAACGCCTTGGACGCCTCTAAGAAGCTGGTGTAGACTTTTGTTTCGCTCACTTGTGGAGGCGTTGTAAAGTGGCTAGTGAGGTTGAGCGTCGCAAACTCGTCCTCGCTACCGAAGTATACCCCCGACAGCACCATACTACTAGCCGTGACGGTCAATCCGTATGACATCTCACGTGGTAGAGTGCCGCCAGCGAGGAGCTTTTGCCAGCTCTGGAATATTTTCACCTGCGATGAGACATTTTGCTTTGCCCACACATAGGTATAGTCAACAGTCACCGGCGGCGCGGGTACAGTGCGGATGGTGAAGTCGGTCACGATGCCGACGCTGGAGCCAGCGCCGCGGACGGCAAAGAAAAGATCTTCGTTCTCCGATTTCGATGCTCGAACGATCGATGAATTCGCGAGGACCACCTCCACCTCTTCCACAAAGTCCACGAGAAGTCCCAGCTGGCGTGATGCAGCCCCGGCGCCTCCCACGGTGGCGTGTCCACCCAGTCCGACATCGAATGTCTCTCCGTGCGGTGCTTGTCGTCCTCCGTTGTTAAACATAAGCTCTGTAACTTGACCGAGGCGGTTTCCAGGTCCGAATTTAGCCATCCAGGTAGTGCGGTCCATGCTGAAGTCCTGGAGGTTTTCGAGGTTCACTGAAAGCTCCCCGGTCGACGATCCAAAATTGCCGTAATTGTGTCCTCCACTCTTTGCTTGGATCTTAATGCCCGCGTTGACAGCGCACTTGACGGCTGCCGCAACCTGTGCTGCATTTTGAGGAAAGACGATGGCGGCCGGAGTTGTGAGAAGGTCGAGGTTATACGGAGAGACAAGGGCGGCGTAGTTAGGCTGACCCGGGAAGGCCACTCCACTGGAGTTCCTCCCCACTGACGCTAGGAGACAAGTTGCAAACGAGCCTGTGGCCTTCATTATGACAGAGTATCTTTTAACTATCCTGTATTCCAAGGATTTGCGATGTGATGCGATCGATCCCTTTTAAAAATGCAATTTTGTTTCTGCCCCCCACAGGATGAAATTGTAACTCCGGACTCCGAAATTACGAGTGTACGAAAACTCCGGAATCGAGCTTCCAGTCTCATCGACACGATTCCACCACCGGTGCAAGAATCCTATCTAACTCACGGGCGCGGTGTTCACTTTGTATTCCTGGTAGTTAATCTACCTGCCTCTGAAGTGTTCTTGCCTAGAGCTTTTTGCAGCTAAGGGCTAGACAAGCTTGATGGACTAATAACAGGTATTGATAGATCCGCCGTAAGGTGCGCTTATTTAAACGAAGAATGGCGGGATCTTTTAGCCGTGTCTTCTGTGGCTTGGTTTCTTCTAAAATGTCATACTCTGGAAGGAGGGGAGTGTAATCTTCTGTCTCTCGCTCAGAATTACGGGCTTGCCTGAAAGGGCGAAGTAGATCGCAAAGTTTCCCTTCATATCGTGGCATTTTCGAGATTTCAGGTCTCAAAGCGATGTGTGATGTGGCGTAGAAGTCTCGGAGTGGTTTTTGATTTTTGATATCGATGTGATTCAGAAACGAGTAGACCAAGAGAGAATTCTGCTGTATCGAGATTTTGTAAAAAAAAAGTGAAAGATGAAAAAGTCCCACGGTAGCAGTCTCTGGCTTTGCGACACACTGCACAGTCAGCATCAATCGTGAGTTTGGAAGTAGTAATAGTTCCAATTCCAAAATTCATCATCAAGCGTCGTATATTACACACAAATATAAGCAGATTTATGCCCATGCACCACCCGCATTAAATGACTCAGCTATGTATTAATTCCCATGGTTCTCGATCCATCGCACTTCAAAATGAGCTGACGAGATGCAGGTAATGTTCCAGGAACATTTACGCTCCCGGGTTATAAAGAGCCAAGGGCGTAGTTATTTGCCCATATCCCAAGCTAATACATATCAATAGCTTTATTCGCCCAAACCTAACAAAGAATACGGCAGGCATTCAGCAGAAATAGAAAAAACAATTCTAGATTGAGGCGCAAGTATCTAACGTGAGATGGAATCTTTTCCGGTGGTGTGTGAATGAATTGAGAGAAAGAGTATTCAGGCAATGATTCAATGGGTGTACGGGAACGAGGTCGTTGCCTGCCTAAGATCTCTCACAAGTCTAGAATATGACTTTCAGAAACCGTGAACGGATCGATTCAGTGTCTCTCCGACGCTCAAGATATAAAGTTGATAAAACAAAACCAAAGCGGGTGCTTCCCAATTCAGATCGTCACTATTCCTTTGATCCATTGATCGGTTAGGTCCGACTCATAGAGAAAATCATGGGGGTTTTGCGTCCAGCGAGATAGATTTTTTGCAACAGATTCGCGAGAGTTATCAAAGGCTTGATATTCCTCTTCCTCTTCAAGCCTAAGGGTGAAGGCTTTGCATATTTTCGGGTGATATACCGTGAGTACATTCAGGTATCTGCGTCCATGCATTTTGGAGGTATTCTAGACCAAGTCATAGGTGGGTATTGTAAAAAGCCATCATGTGGAGAGGATCCTTGTTTTTCTGCTTCTTCACAGGCATCTGAGAAGTTTCAGGTACAACCTTACTCTCAGAAAGCCCCATATTGGTCAGCAAGTCTCATGTTGGAGAAGAATGAGAAGTAGGACTGCCGAAAGCAGGATCTCCCCAACCCCCCCCCCCTCATTTCGAGAGGTATTCTTGTGACGTGCTAATTGAACAGGAATAAGCATGGGCTGCCACGGGGAAGTCGACAGATCCAAGTTGGTTTTGATCGGGTTGAATCATTAATCACATCCTGTTGCGGGTTGCGCGACTAGCCCTCAATTTTCTCAGAACACAAGTTATCCGAGGGTGCTCTGCCTCAGCATGGCGGCTACTGAAACCTCGTGATTGGCAATAACATGCCCTTTCCATATGCAGGACACTGATCGTTGAATAGGTCACCTAAGGCTCAGGGCGCCACGGCAAAGACTATCCAACCAGCTACATGCACATGAAAACCACATTTTTTGTCCAATCAATGGGGAAGAGTGGCCATTTGGTCTGGTCGACACGAGCTTTTAGATGTTTTTTCCTGTTTGTCAATGTGCTGTTGAGCTTGCATCTCACATGGTGGCTGTGTGCAGATGTCAAGAGAAGAAGTGTCTCAGGAGGATCAGGGGAACCCAATCACGAGTTCAGCTGAGAGGGTCAGTGCAGTGGTCGCGCGACGGAGGGTGAGAATCACCCGTTCTCACCCTTCTTCTCACCCGGTCTATTGCGCCCTCAGCTTTCTCACCCCTGGTCGCGCGACCGTAAAGCGGCGTTCACCCATTTCTCACCAGGGCGACAGCCACCCGACTACTGAGCACGTATACGCCGAATGGCTGGGCTAGCCAATCGCCAGGTCTAGCCTAGTGGGGAAGTAGTTGATCGCCGCTTTCCCATCGCGCGACCTGGGTGAGAAGGGTGAATGCATAATGAAAACGTGACGCATTGAACAGAAACCCAAAGCACAAGGACAGACTAATATAACATGGCATTGTAATTAGAGGATCAGAACCCAGGAATGGGTTGTAATGGACTTTGAATTCTAACACGTGCTAAACCTGACAAGAACGTGCTCAGGGATACATATATGCGCACCAGGCAGGCCAACCACGCCCGGAGGCTCCTACCAATGCCTGTTGCAGTATGAAGGATGAAAAGGGGAGAATATACATCATATTTCTATTCCTATTAGCAGTACAGATTTCATATCACCATAGTCGTCACTGTAAATAGGTGCACATATCAATTGAAAGTTCTAATTTTCCATCCTTTGATAATCTGTCCAGTATGATTCAGAATCTGGCAGATTGACTTTTACTAGGTGATATTCTCTCATATCCACACAATCCACTGACGAAGCCAAATTCATGGTCGTTCCTGCACCGAGGGAGCTGAAATTGATCCTCGGAGTGCGTGGCATCCCCAGCCAGCTCATCGCTTTCCATTGCGAATTGGAAGAGCATAGAAGCTACTGCATCAACACTTCCACCTCGTTGTAGGAAGTACCATGAATCAGGAGGTGACTCACCACCGTGATTCAACACTAATTGCACGTTATGATCATTAGGAATCATATTCCCCCGCAGGCAATTGATGAAATGCACACAGAGATTCCTGAACCCATTCCTCATACACTTGTCGTTCTTAAGATGCATCTGTACATCATCTGAGAGGAAAGTGAAACACACGCGGTTCTGCCGAACCCATAAGTCCCCATCGTCGATAAAGTCGCAAAGAAATTCACTCCATATACCGGCCACAAGCTCCAGGGCTACGCGCATTCGCGGGCTCAGGCAGCCAGATATGCATTGCCCACAACTACACCCGTACCTCACGCGCTGGATATTTGTTTCGCTGAAATCAGTACTGCCATCCAGAAGTATAAGACAGTCAACGTCAGGATCGCTAAACCCAGCAAAATTATCCGAAATATCTTTGACCATGGCATCGTGGCGATGTGTGGTTCTTTTTTCCTCCAATTTTGTAACGAGAGCATCCAATGGGGTTTCGCCATGGAAATTGCGCATGTGGAGAAGTGACTTCTTCCTGTCCAAAATGAATCGCACGCAATTAGGCCTGGTGCCGACTGCAACAAGGTGCAAAATGGTGTCACCATTCGCAGTATCGATCGATCCCAGGTGTGGACCATCCCTCGCTGCATCATGTGTGAGTTGCTTAAGGATTTTCAAAGAGTCATCATCACTGCTAAATTTTAGAGCAGCTTTCATTCTCGGTAAAATCTCATCGTCTGAGATTCCCGAAGTCATTGGTGGGACTTTTGGGATCATAAAGTCGTGGGCAGCGTCTAGACGATGGCATGGGTGTTTTGGGTCCAAGGAAAGTCCAAACCACGCCGAAGATCCTATGCGTCGAAACCCCAATTCCCGCCAGAAACATTCCAAACTGTCTAGTGAAGACATCTTTGGAGAAAGTCTGAGTACTTCTTTCTTACTGGAATCACATGGAGCTCCACTTGGACGTACAATAGCAACGAACCCAGGTGTTTGCCTCCGAACCTTTTCTAGCACAGTTTTCACGAGTACAATGCCTTGTTCGAAAAGTTGACATGGCTTCTCGACTTGCAAGGATTCGATTAGAAATATGTCGCCGCTCTCTAGCCCCGAGCTCCATAGCCCAGTGCCTTTCTTGACCGGATGACTCTTAAAATCTGCTTTTAAACGGCCGAACCTGTCCATCAAACTAAATGCGAGAAGACATGCTTCCTCCGACAGTTGCCCCATGGCAGAACGAAACTGAGCCCGTATTTGATCACGCCTGATAAGTTTACCGTTGCATTGACCAACATACTTCCGACTCTTATCTCGATGTGAGCCCTCACTGCCCTCGTCAATTATCAGTCCGTCAATCTGCTCCACCCATTCAGACTCGGTAGAATAGTCGTTGTCAAAGAAGCTAGTTGGAATAGAAACTCTGCGTGAGTGACTTCCAGTACTTTTGGTGTTGTCACATGGAAATCTTTCGTCCAGAACATCAACATATCCGTCAGAAGTTGCTGTTGACTGTAGGTTGTTACTTATGGGGGTTGCAGCCGACCGGAAGCGAACTTTGAAAACGAGGTTTCTCGGCAGTGGCCGCTGCATTGCGCTTTTAAAGCGAGTCGTTGATGGATATAAAGTGTATAGGTCAGATTAAATGGTCGGGGCGAATTTGTAGATAATGTAGTAAACACCAGGAAATGAAAACGGTATTAGGAGGAGGCCGAGTGGCCTCTCTCCTTAGCCTTTTATTTGCTAAGGCGAGAGCTGTTTCAGCACCGTACGGGAAAATGACATGTGAGCTATCTCCATGCCGCTGGACTGGAAAATACCGCATCATGTGATCAGGTACGTTCTTTCAAGCTGCTATTTGTGGATTTGGGCCTTGGCCCACCGGAAAGTCACTTGCCGACCCACCGTCCGGGCTGTAAGTCAAGACTGCAGCCCACTGAAGCCGGACTTCACCTCACCATCTGAGACATCTTTGAAGAGCCAGGACCTCGATAAAACCACCAAATTCTTCAGATTTGCCATTTGTCCTGGTTCATCACTGGCTAGTATCGGGCATCTGTGAGTCTGACTGAAGTATGAACCGCCAATCACCGATTTAGGAAAATGCCTTCACCTGTTCGCAACAGCAGATACAAAGCTGCTGTTCGAGAACAAAGAGTGCGAGCCATCACTGCATGCGAGTACTGCCGTCAAAAAAAAGTAGGCCAATATCAAATATCCCCCAAGTTAGCTATACTAGCAGCATATTATAATCTAATCAAAGCTAACACCGAGTACAGCTCAAATGCAGTAACGATCGCCCAATCTGCCAGCAATGCCAGGCCCGTGGAAAAGATTGTGCCTATGTAGAAACACTTAAGCTTCCTCGGTAGGCTGCCGGAGTGCCAAGGCTTGCTGGGAAATAAACTAACGATTGGGTTAGGCCATCTAAGGCTCGCATATCCCGCTTGGAGGAAGAAAATAGATATCTGAAAGATTCACTGGCCAATTTTGAGCAGGGGTTGAGGCCCCAACGAGTTGAAAAAACAGCTGAGTCTCAAACTTCAGCCGAGTTTGCATCCAAGTCACTGGAATTGATGTCAGTGCACACGCCGGAATTATGGAATGGACCAAGTATCGAGGGACGCCAGAGTCTTCCCTGCTTAAGTACTCCACCGTTAGATCCCCAGCCCTCCAGTCAGGTCGACACTGTTGCGCAATCGCATGGACCGACAAGTGCTGTCACTGATGAGATCACTTCAAATCTCGAAATGATGATTAAAGGGCCTTCTCACCATGCTGAGGAGTTGGAAGCCCTTCGGAACGCTTTATTTGCAAATTCAGCCAGACTAAGTAGGTCTTCTTTCCTAGATGCAATAGACGTGGTCTAACATTGTTTGACGTGTAGGTCAAATGGAGAAAATTAACTTCAATTCCAGTCGATTTGATTTCGATGGAGTAGATTCTCGGGTCGCAATGCGTCTCTTATCTTTGTATTGGGACCGTCAGCTCGACGTCGGCGCAGTTGTCTATAGACCTACCTTTATGAGGGATATGGCATGTCATGGGCCATACTTCTCTAAACTATTGCTCAACGCCATTTACTTCACCGCCTCAAAATATTGTTCCCATGAGGAAGTCTTCGATGATCGGACAGAAGCGCTGACAGCGGGTCGAAGATTTCGGCGACGGGCGATGGAATTGATTGGGGATCACATTACTAAAAGCGAGATACCTACAGTGCAAGCGCTTCTTCTATTGTCTCATGCTTTGTTCAACTGGTGTGATGAAAAGAGTTTGTCTTGGCTATACTCTGGCATGGCTATCAATATGATCATAGATCTGGGCTTACACACCGGCCATAAAACCGACCCGAGAGTGGGTAAACTGGCCCCTGAAGATATTGAAGCTAGACAGAGAGTATTCTGGGGTGCATACTGTAAGGAAATTCTTTCCCATATTATTGGAGCCTCAAAACTCACCGCTTTCGAACTAGCTATCGACAAGTTCTTGTCTTTATATCAGGGGAGGTGCATTCGATTGTGTGATGCTGACACAAGCTTATATCCACGGTTCCTTGACGAATTTGAAGAGTATGAGACATTACAGGCATCATCCTATGCGAACGTCAACGAAGCTTCCGATCTACCAGCCCATAATATCTCAATTCTGAAAGGCTACTGTTCTCTTTCCATCATTATGTCTGGTATCCTGGACACTCTATACACAGAGCGCAGCACACTCAAGGAACCGAATAGCCTGCTTGAGGCCTCATCATCTCTCTACCATCGACTCAAAAATTGGCTCAAGTCCCTTCCATCCGTGCTGACCGACACATTGTCGCAGATGTCGAGGGGGATTGCATCCCCGCATATTCTCTCATTGAGGTAAAGCCAAAGAACCGACTTCAAAAAGAAACAAGTGTCGCATTTTGCTTACTTCACACAGGGCATTGTACCATACGTTGGAAATACTCCTTCACCGTCCATTTGTGTCTGATGGACATTTGCGCGGTGTGTCGTTGTCTGCCGCACCTCTTGCATTCAACACCTGTGTCTCGGCAGCTAGTTCAATAGACAAAATACTTACCTGCTACCGGGAAATGTTCTCGACCAGATTTGCACCATACACTTTGTCTTACGCAACATACGTCAGCGCCACAATTCATGCCAGAGTGGCTGCACAGAGCCCATCGGACTCTCAAGCCCATGCCTCACTCCAGAGGTGTGTTTCGACGCTTAGAGAGCACCAGGAATTATCATTAGGACCAAAGAAAGCATTGGGGGTGATAAGAAACCTCATGAGACGTGTCGGCATTGATGAAAACGACAATTCCACTACTGAAATCCCCGGTAACATGACCACAGAAGGCTGTGCAACTATTCCAGAAACATGCGGTTTGTACGGTGGGAACTCAACTAGGAATTATACAGATTCCGTCGCAAATTTCTCTCAATCTTTCCTTCCAAATGATGTACCTCCCATTCCTTCAGAGTCATTTGACTACGACATGGATTGCATCTTTCAAACCTTCAACATAGCCCATGGGAGTGTTGTGCCACCCGTGCAGTGTTCTCCACCTCAGCATAACGCGGAAAAGACTTGGGAAGCTAGCATCCAAGAGCAACTATCCGACTCGCTCCCATTGGATCCTCTATACGGACTGGAAAATATTACTGGATTTTAAGAACAGCGGTTTTGATAAGGCAAATAAATATGTAGATTGATAGGTGGGGGGGATAATGGATTAAGCCTCAATTTTTAATGTTTATTTCCTAGGTATATGCCGAATAAATCGACCGTCCTCACTAAGATGGATTCTCCGTTCGTCTGAACCACTACTGGCAGATTCATTTATATCCCTTGGCTTTCATTATGACGAAAGCTTCTTCTAGCGCATCCTGGGCGCCCAGGATGGTGTAACCATATCCCGCTAATGTCTTGACTAATTTGGACGCATCCAGTTTGGCATTCGTGCGAGGTGCTTTAAGAACTTTTCTCTGCTCTTCGAGGCTGAAATTTGTCCAGCTTAGGGAGGGCCGAATAAACTTTTTCGTAAACTCCATAACCTCGTTGTGAGTAAATGTCCCTGGATTTGTCTGGAATTTGTCAGTCCCGTGGCTTCATTTCGCAACTGTCAAATTGACTCACAAAGTTGAATATGCCAGTTTCACGGTGTCTCGAAAGCAGGACTGCAGCTGGTGTCATGTTCGTCATTATGGTCCCAGACTTGAAGTAGTGAGTTTCTCCGCTTATCAGATCCCGAAATAAGATGCTCACTCACATTAGGAACATTAACAATCTTTTCGTATCTAATGAGCTTCGTGATGAAATTCATTGGATGAAGATCCGCGGCAAGGGGGTTGCGAAGACGGAGGATCAAAACGTTTGGGTAACTCTTGATTGCCTATGGGAGTAAGTAAGTATTAGTTTTTGATCAGGACAACAAACAATGGGAAAGGACACAAACCTGCTCTGACACAAGCTTTGAGTAAGAGTAGAAAGAGGCAGCATAATTTGGTGGCTCCTCCTCAGTAAAGCCCGGGCCATCTAAAGGGTGGCTTTCATCTTCATCATAAATGCAGGCGGAAGCGAAATGAGTAATATGAACATTTCTTAAGAAGCAACAGTCCACCAAGTTAGCAGCGCCGATCACATTGGATCGAATTGCTGCATCTTTATGGTCCTCACACCAATCTGCGTTCGGAAAGCCTCTTTTACCAGCGGTGTTGATCACACGGGTAGGCTTCACGCGATCGAGTTCGCTTCACCGATGTAAGTCATACTGGCCAGGCACGACTCTTTTCATGACACTCACCGAAGAACTGCTTCGCGGTCTTCAATTCGTACAGACGAGGCTTGGTAGCGATCTCCATTTTTCGATAACTCTTCCTGGATCAGCCCAGACACCCATCCATTGCCTAATTTTTCTTCGTCAATATGCCTACAAATATTGACTTTTTCTGATACTGCTTTTCCGAGGCATACGCACCAAATACTAAAAATACCTCGTTAGATGACGAGGCTGTCATTTTGATAGTGGGATCCGTATGATTGATCACTTGTCCGTGCTTAAATGTAAAAATTTAATTCAGAAATGATAGCAGAATCCAGCTCTTTTATAGATACCAAGAGTACCCGGAGTTGAAACGGAGTCAGTGTTGCATTCGGGGTCGGGCTTCGGCGAGAAATCAACTTCATGTCCGGTTTCTGGCGCTTCCCGGCTCTTCGGGTACTTAGTATCCGATAGTCAACATGTTTATGATATTCGTTAGTGGCCCAGTATCGCATCAGATAAACACGGAGTCAGTCCCTTTGAAATTGGACCCACATCACGCAAGGTCTATTTGACTCCGGTTATAATAACACTGGTTGATTACATACACATTCTATGGAAATGCAGAATATTAAAGGGACTGAGACTTCCACGAGGCAGTTGCACAGAATACTAGGAGTCATTTCAGTCCAACGCATTACTATCCTTACTTTACCCGAACCGAAAACTTGACCGTACAGAATGGCACCTGCAGCTACCGAAACACCAGCCACTTCAGTATCGCCGAGTGAGCGTAGTGAGGCACCAATCGATGCCTTTCTGACCGGACTGTGCAAATTTCAACCTCTCCCGAATTTGAAAACGATTCTTGTCACCGGAGGGGCAGGCTTCATGTGAGTTTTAGCTCTTCAGTATCATGGTACTGTTATGTGGACTTGTAACTTATCCTTGCTAGTGGAAGCTGGGTAACTCGACATCTGGTCCGGCAGTATGCCGAGACCTATAATGTTATATGTCTGGATAAGATGGATGTGGTCGCTTCGCTGAACAACATCCTGGACCTATTTACCTGCACTAATTTTCGCTTCCTTCATTGCGACCTTAACGACCAACACACCGTCCTATTTGCGCTTCAGTCCTACAGCGTGGATTGTATCCTGCACTTTGCAGCAAGCAGTCATGTCCAAAATTCGTTTAATGACCCTTTCACATTCACACAAAATAATGTGCTGGGAACCCAGAGCCTACTAGAAGCCGTTCGCTCCTATGGTAAAATTCAAAGGTTCATCCATGTGTCGACTGACGAAGTCTATGGTGAAACGAACGGCCAAGTGGCAATGGAGAATTCCACACCAATGCGACCGACAAATCCCTATTCAGCTAGCAAGGCTGCAGCAGAGATGTACGCGATGGCATACCAAAAGAGTTTTGGTCTTCCTATCATTATCGTGCGTAGCAATAATGTTTACGGACCAGGACAATATCCCGAAAGTTAGTTTCATCAGCCTAATTCCTTTGATCGAGAAATATAAGCTGACTTGACAAAACAAATCCCAGAAATCATACCGAGGTTTGCAGGCTTGATGCTCAAAGGTCAAAACCTCACGCTCCAAGGAAATGGAGACAACGCCCGCCGCTTTCTTTATGGAGCAGACGCAGCCGATGCCTTTGATACTATCCTGCACAAGGGCGAGATTGGTGAGATCTATAATGTTGATTCTAGCTACGAGATATCCAATCGAAAGGTGGCAGCTATGATGCTAGCGTTATTCGGCCATGATCCGGTCAAAGACTTTGGCAATATGATCACATGGCTGCCCGATCGTCCATTCAACGATAATGACTACGCAGTTGATGGGAACAAACTTCAAGCACTCGGTTGGAAACAGCGAATCAACTTTGATACTGGATTAGAGATGACAGTCGATTGGTACAAGAAGAACATGGCGACTTGGTGGCACTGCCAGTTTGCGGAAAATGGGAAGTAGCTCAACGTATAACAGCACGTTGCTTGGAAATATTGATTTTAGAGTATCGGCTTAGAAAGTGATGATTTTTAGTTACGCGCTTGTTTTCATGAGGGAATGAATAGTATAAGTATTGCCTGACTACCGCCTAAATTTTCAGTGTCAGTTTCTGGCTTTCGGGGCATTGTATGAAATACAGTGCGCCCAACTGCTTTTCTCTAAAATATTTATAAGCCCAAAAAGCGTCCGGAAATCCATTAATTAGAGAAGTACACAAAGTACACCACTTCTTCTTGCCTTTTTGTCATCTCGAGATAGAGAGCAGCGATCAGATTTCTATTTAGATGAGACCTTCAATAAAGAATATCAGCCCAAGAAAGGCGGCAGAGTCCACTTCAGCCCAGCGCCAAAAATTATTAATACCTCAGCTAAAGTTTCGTCGTTGCAGGATGGTTTCAAATGCAAAATACCTTGAGACGTTATTAAAGTACAGTATATAACTACGACGGGTGGTATTACAGAGAGAAGTACCAAGGTTAGCATGAATCATGGGCTGTATAGATTTGGTAGGAAACGAATAAGAATGTACCGATACAAACCCATCTAGACACTGTCAAAATAGAGGGAAATTCACAATCACCAAACAATAAAGAATTATACCCTCTTATTAACTGTAGGCAAGAATTTAAGTCAGAAGCTACATACATAAAATAATTATAACTTACTCCCAACTACCCACTTCGGAGGCCAACAGCAGTCAACAGAGTTAGCACTCTTACCCCGTTAGAAGCAAATATAGACGCTGAGGGGTATTAAGCTTATCTGCTTCAATATCAAAGAACCTAGAACAGAATTGCAAAAAGAAAGTACTTTAGAGGATAAAGGAATAAGGCATACCAGAGAATGTACTTCGGTAGGTCGAAGGATTCTACTTGGAACAAGCGATGACTATGAGAATCAATAGACAGACATCTAAAACTGAAAGCCTTATCTCCCCTATCTCTAATCTTTCTCCTCTTCTCCAATACAGATATTGTTTAGCGAAGTAATTAACTTTGTGGATAACTTACTGTATAGGTAACTGGGCTCACTACAGAGTAGCCGGTAAGTTGTTAAAGTAGCTACAAATAAAGCACCTGACTGGGAAAGGAGGAGTGGTGTGACCTTTAAAGCAGAGAAAATCACCATTAAAGATTTACTCCCAAAGTCTATAAATCGGACCTGGTGTATTCTACCATCAAGGGAAATTAAATTACCGCGATAGTAAACATGTATGGGCTTCAAGAAGACATTGCATATCTGAGGACATGTACTGGTACTTTAGTAATAGTTTCCCTTTTAGCATAGCCGTCGAGCGTTAATAAATTGTGCGGTGGGTGTATGCGTGTGCGCGTGTTACCAACTAGTATGCATTGTAATTACCTACTGGAAGGGAAAGCTCGTGGAATAAGTTAAATATGTCAATATGACTTTATAACATCTGGCAATGAATACTTCAAGCAGAGTGAATTCCATCTTTTCGATAGATGGGGGTTTTCAAGTAGCCACACTGGCTATGCTATGATTGTTTGTCGCGTACTTGCTCCAGCCTCGAATGTTCGGCCCGTAGCTATAGAAAATGTACGGCACAAGCGTCATCAAGGAGCTGATACAAGCGAGGATCGTCAAGGTATAATGCACACCCATGTTGCGATAAAACGGAATTCCAGCAACAGTCATTCCGCCCGCCACGTAGTAGCGTGATACCGTCATAAATGACAAAGCAGATGCCGCATAAATATCATAGACATCGATAACATACATGTAAGAACTAGTGAATACCAAAATGGTACCGTAGCCTACAAAAACGGATGCAACGATGGGCGACCAGATGGAAATATAAGACTAGCCCATGCCGAGATAGTTAGTAAGTTTTTTCTATTAGAAAGACGAAAAAATAAATGATTTGGGTACATACGAAGTCTGTCCAAGCCATCCAAAATAGACCGATGGGGATAGCAGGTGCCCCAAGCATGGCAAACCACAACCGATTTTCCGGCCGAGTGTGTTTGCTATCATTTCTTTCCTTTGTCTGGACGAACTCAATTTTTGTCCACCGATAGATAAACGGTACATGGCATGCCGCCAACATCATTCCAACGAACATTGCCAACCAAATGATGTTTGTAAGACCTTGCGACAATCCATAAACATCACCAAAGATGAATTCATAACCGTCAAAGAACGTAAAGATAATGATGTATATCACTGTCATATACAGCGAAATAAGGATGATAATTGGCTCCTGGAAAGTGAGAAGAAATTCCCGCTTCAATGCATTATAAATCCGTGCGAATGCCCCTACCTCGGCGTGGCTAATATCCATTTCAGATACAAACCTGGTGTCGTCCGCCTTCATACGAAAATGCTTTGCCTTCCATTTCAAAAGGAGAGGAGCATAGGTCTCTGGTTGTATTAGAATAATTATAACCAAAACGATGCTCGACATGATCAAGATGATCCAATTAGCCCAGCGCCATCCAAGGCTGCTTTGGCCCATGTATGAAGAGATCACAGGTGCGAGAATAGGCCCCGAAAATGAAAATATGGCATAGAACGGGAACGCTAGCGTCTTCTCAAGTGGGTTCCACAGATCTGCGATTGTACCTCCTGCACAGGTGAGAGGTGGAGAACCGAAGGCACCGGACAAGAAGCGAAAAATAAGCTCCGCACCGTAGTTCGGGGCAAGGGCAGAAGCCATCACAAAGATCATGAAAATAACGAGCGAACTAAGGTATACCATATTGCGACCAAAAATCTCGGATAAAGGTCCTGAAACGAGGGCCCCTGTTGCAAATCCAAAGAGATACATGCCTTAAGGTCTGTGTTAATATGACTTATAATCTGCACTAGGCTGCATAATGAACTGATTTGACCTACCAGTTACCAGGGAACCCGCAACCTCACTTACGTTGAGATCTTTGCTACTCTGGGGAAGTACGGCAGCAGTTATCGATGAAGCCGCTCCGACCGAGAATGATAGCACAGACACCATAAGCGTTGCTATCATGCGCTTGGAGAGACTGAAGTTGCGTGGGTCAAGAGGATCATGTTCTCCTTCCCACCCAACTACAAATACCTCTTTCAGTGGACTTCCAGTAGCACCGGGACGTAATTTGACTTGGATTCCTCTCAATGAGTCCACTCCAGAACAGCCATTATCAGAAAGCGCCTTTTCTGGGTCCTCTGGGCACTTTTGGCCTATCTCGGCGTCGAGTGAATCAGATGTTTTTCCAGATACATCGACCGGGGAAGCATGAGAGATTTTCTGCCCCATAAAGGAGCTCTCTTCGAGATTTCTGTCGACAGAATGTCGTAGCTGCCTGTATTGGATATAGGATTGCATTTTCGATGGATCGTGGATCGGAAGGACGAATATGACTAGAGTATGGGGTGAATTTCGCGTTTCGAGAAATCAGTAGAATAAGATTGACCAAATTGGATATTTTGCACTTTTAATAAACGGCAAAAAAAATCTCCCGTCGAAGACTATCCGGACCACATCATTCCACAGCATCAAGAAGCGGTAAATGCCAGAGTACCGGGATCATGTTAGCCAGGAGATGTTTTTTAGGGTGAGAACGTCATTCAGAGCAGCCCGTAGAGTCAGTCGCCAAATTTTCTCGGCTCGAAAGTTGCCGACGTTCTCAGGGCATGCAGTTTTTCGGTTGACCACGTTTGCACCCAGGTTGGGTTGGGGACGACTCTGAGAGCCTCGTGCGTATCAAGTGGGCCGGATTTCGTCCGGGTGTTTCTGAACAACTTAAACTCTGTTTTATGGACCGGGCCGTTTGATCCGACCCACTTGCGTCCTCGCTCCGCGCGTAATGGACGCCGGTCCAGTGACGTGCTTCGGATATAACTTACCTTCCGTGTGAAGGCCTATAAGTCCGGATTATAACTTATTCCTACTAGTTGAAATTAAGACTTCCTCAAGTTGAGCAACCACGAAATCAGATCAGAAAATTACTATTTTCTGAATTTATAAAGGCTGCAGTTTTTGAAGCAACAGTTTCTTCCCGCTACACCTTAGAAAAATGGCACCTTGCAAGATGAGAGCACAGGAAGGATCCGAACAAAGTGGAGGTGGTAATTTTTTAACTTTTGCCCATGGATTACTGCGGGGCTCTCTTTATTCTCATAGCAACTAACTGATCAGTACTTTTGTGCGAGGAATCGGTTCTTTTTCAGGCTGGGCTTCATAGCTGAGACCATTCTGCATTTCAGAGGGCCAATCATGGACCAGTTTTAATTATGAGAACATATTTCGATCTATTTGTTTAATCTAAAATCAAGGCTGTGTGAATCTTCGTTCTATTTACAACATAGGTGGAGCTCGATGATGCTCGAGAAAGCGCGCAGCCTTGGTGGCGCTCTCAAGTCATCTAGTTGGCTATCGGTTGATTTTTGGACTTCCAGCATAAGCGAAGATAATATCTTCTTTTGCGAGGGAAACGCATCGCTTATCTGTTCCAGCTTCAAAGCTCAGGGCCATTTACGAGGTCAATTGAGATTAAACGACATTTTGAAACAATTTTGAGCCTGCGCAAAAGGCTTGAGCTATTGGTTTTTACCGAATCTTTCACTATGACATGCCCTAGTGTCACATGGGAATGACGATTATATCGAGCTTTATGCAACTACAATCCAAGATGTGGATCTTTTGAGGCTGGATTATGCAGCTGATATCTTCGTCGCTGCGAGCCAATGACGGATATACTCTTTTGATGCCAGGGCCTTTTCTTTCAAAATCAGATTTGCCACTAACCAGCCTTTGGGAATCCTGTGTGCATATGGCCCCCAGAAGTATACTCGGATGGCCTGTTTATTCGCGCCAAACGTGCAGATGCTTTTCTTGTAACCTTTCCCACTTCTATGCTCTGAAATTCTTTTGCGTCGTTTTGACTATCCACACAGCACAAAATATCTCAGTATGATGAGAAATAGTCACAAATGGACTGAGACCGAAGACCAAATATTGAAAGCAGCAGTGGATCAAGGCAAGTTGATTGAGCCCTTCAAATTCTTGGTCCTGAGTAAATCAGCAATTACAAGCTCTGATAAAGCTGACTCAATTCCACAGCCACGACGCCGATCGACTGGCTCTGGATAGCAAGCTACCTCCCCAAACGAGACAATAAGGACTGTCGCAAACGTTGGCACCAGCGATTTGCAGGAAGTACCAATTTCGGGAGCTGGATGGATATTGAGGATGATCAGCTGCGCGCTGCAGTTGCAAAGCATGGCCCAAAGTGGGGTGTTGTTTCTAAAGAAGTCAGCACACGAACCAGCGATCAGTGCTCTAAGCGTTGGAAACAAGTTCTAGATCCAAATCTTGATCATAGCCCTTGGAGTCCTGCAGAAGTGAGTCAGATTTTAAGATCGACGTGATATGCCTGATAGGAGCTTATTGGAATTTTTGATAGGACAATTGCCTACTCATTGGCGTTGAGCAGCACGGACGAAATTGGAAGATGTTATCTGAGATGCATTTCAAGAATCGGGCCGCATTATCATTGAAGAATAGACATGCACTCCTCGTCCGTCGAAAAAATAGGCTAAATGGATTACCTCGGGTCTTGTCAGCATTCCAATCTAGATCTCGCTCCCACTCGCCTAATTTCATCGCAACGGCCGGATATCGAAACAGTCGACAGCTTAGCAGTTTTGAAACTTCTAGCGATGCCGATATGATATTCGAAGAGGAAATTCAAGATGAAAGGATTGCTAGTGTATTCGATGGTAATGGCCTATCCGCCAAGGCGGCTCAATATGGCTGGAAAGGCCTCGAGGTGGCAAACTCAAATGCCATGTTAGAAACAGAGAATTGTTGGCCCACAGATGCAAGAACTTCCTCGTCTTCTTCATTGTTTCAGGGGGGAGTACTCGATGGTGATTTAGGGATTGGCAATTTGTTTGAAGAGTCATACTGGGAGCCCCAGAGTATTAGGCTGTTGCCCAAGTGCACTTTGCCTGAAGAACTTCAGGATACCTCCGAAGGCCTACTGGGCTCCATGTCTCCATTCGACAGCATTCCACGGTATCCATATGCCTCAATAGACTCAGAAGAAATAAGCCCAGACACAAGTGTCGCCATCTGCAGTCAACTCAGCAATAGCCCTGGCGATTTTCCCATGACAGCAGCATCAGGATCTGACAATAAGCAATTGGCAAATCCGACGGCGCGTTATCCTGCGAAGGACTGGACCAATCTACTTGACCTGACTCTCCGCTGCACAAAAAGCAAAATGGAGGCGATCAGGAAATCGGTTTTTGAGGCCGCAAATGACGCGCTCTGTATTGAAGAAAACGATGAAGATGTAGTTGAGTTGAGGCTGAGAGCAGAGTTGAGATCCTAGATATATTAAATATACTTTATTTCGACCTTTATTTTACCTCCTCTTAACAAAAGAACCAAAGGTTCAAGAGAGCCCAGATCTGCCTGAGGGTGCATGTGCATTGCACTAGCAGTCATCCTCCTCCAGCTCGTTACAGAAAGGATTAACTCAACTCCGTTTCTACGATCTGCTTCCGGTAACTCCTAATCGAAAAAACCTGATCGCGTCTGTGACTCCTGGAGCGGAGCGGTGAAGTTGGCTTATCAGAATATCGATATTCTGTGGCGCTGCAAAATACGAGGGCCGATCTACTCCGTACATTCCTCTGCATTGCATACGAAGAGATCTAAGTTCAAGTCCCCCTCCTCTTGCAGCACTGAAAGAAATCTAAATCTTCGAGCATCAAAATCTCAAACCAGCAATGATGACACTGAAGATATCATGCAGCTGCCAGAATCTCCAGTTCACCGTTGCTCTCCCCGCAGAGAGCCTTCCTTCTAACAGCAAAATACCTTCACCGAATGTTCGACCATTTAACGTGACCAGTTGGCAGGCGAACACCACAGACCAGGAAGCAAGTCACACCACCGGAAGTCGACACTATGGAAGACCCCAACCTGGCACAGCGTGGTATCTATAACCTCCCCTCGCCCTTCAGAATGGAATGATAAAACATACGTCTGAATTAAAACAAGATAGACGATTCATTCGTCTAGTACGGTCTCTCGGAAGTTCGACTCTTCTCGGGCTTTGAATGATCTGATAGAGACCGCCTCTATGCATTATAAAAGATGTATTTGCTGGCTTGAAGGTACTGTACCGAGTTAAAAAGGAATCACTCATCATTCCTTCCTTGGGACATGGAAGGTGGCTATGTGCAGATGCCAAGTAGACTAGTGTATCAGGTGTGGTAGATTAGTCAATGATGTATATTTAACTTCAGCCTGGAGGGTCAAAGCGTGAGCTTTGCATGAAAAGTGTGAGTCTCACCCGGTGTCACCCCGTTATCACCCCGTCATCACCCCGTCTATTGCGCACTCACCCTAATCACCCGGGTCGCGCGACGCTAAAGCGGCGGGCACCCCATTCTTACCCGGGCGGCACCTACCGCACTACCTGCTGTGTTTTAGCCACACGCCGAATGGCTGGGCTAGCCAATCGCCAGGTCCAGCCTAGTGGGGGTAGTTGATCGCCGCTTTCCCATCGCGCGACCTGGGTGAGAAGGGTGAATGCATAATGAAAACGTGACGCATTGAACAGAAACCCAAAGCACAAGGACAGACTAATATAACATGGCATTGTAATTAGAGGATCAGAACCCAGGAATGGGTTTAAATGGACTTTGAATTTTAACACGTGCTTAATCTAGGTGAAATGCTCGACTTGAAACTTGAACATGAGTTGTGTGTCCAAGAGGTCCCAACTTTCGTCACCTACAATATCAAACAGACTTATGACTTAGAATGGAAAATTAGCCTTGCAGTCGCCGGAGAGACAGTTAAGGTCAAAGGAAAGCACCCAGTGTTGATTATGGAAACGGCTGGTAAGGATTTAGAGCATTAGAAGATTTGTCTTGATTATGAGCCCTATAGGCTGGATCAGCCGCTATTAGGGATACACTTTTAGTAGGGAGAATTGAAAACTTTCTCCTGGCCAAAGGCGCTATACTCGTAGAATAGCAACCTGACCTCTGCCGACAAAGAACCCAGAACTATAATTAGCCATGCACTAGAGACCCAGTATGGTGACCACTCCCTTGACCTAGCATTGCGGGCGATACTAGAGGGCCAGAAGCGTTAACTCCATATTCTATGCCGGCGTCTGTAAGACAAACGGCGAAAAGGAATACACCGGGATTTTAGTCGGAACCTGGAAGTGATTAATATTAAAAGACAGAGCTAACTATAGGGGCTGTCGGTATTGAGCCTTAGCGTGTATAACTCCGACTGCATACGTCGCAAACAATAGTCTAAGTCGGACAATTTGCACTATTTGTGGCTTACTATTCTGTCTAATATCGGTCAGATACCAATAAAAGATCTCTATTATCTCAATAGGCACTATACAGAGATACCTTAAGTCTAAGTCTGGTAAGCACTAGGAAATGAATGAAATCCGCCGGTCAACAATAATTATTGTACTATTTTTACCGCTACTAATATTCAGGATCTGATAGAAAAATTCCAGTCGGAAAGCTATATTCAGTTTAACACCGATAATTACAATAAGTTACTAGTCGATAATAATTTTTCTTTTAGTAACATCTTTCCCCTGTATACAATTCTCCCACAGGTTAAAGTTCCCATAAGTAAGGGTTAGGGAGATATTTGACTTTAAGTCTCTGCCAACCCAGATGATATCAATCTTACGCTAATTATCTTACTTGCGGCGGATGCCACCCTATAGCCGGCAAAGGGCCCCAAAGCAAGATCAATATATAATATTGCTCATCGATACCGTAATGCCGAACACTTATAGAGGATAATAGGAGCTTAATATAACACATTGTGTAATGCTTCATGGCACTAACATTTTATATATCTTGAAAGATTCATTCGACTTCATAGAGGAGCTATCAGGATCAACGGAATTTATTTCTTGTCCGTTAGTAAAAAAAGTACTATTATAACAACATACCCCAACAGAATCCCGAAAAGAAGACATAGGCAGATAATAAAAAAAGACTGAAGCTCTAAATACTAAATCATAAGTGGGAGTCAAGTAAGGAGAATAGAATCATATTTTATAAGCTCAATAAGGCTTAGTATCGAAAGATAATAATATTAGCTAGTATTGAAGCCTTATAAAGCCAATAATTAGTGAATAAATACGCTAGTATTCTGATTATTTAAACTGTGACATTTCCCCACTTCCCCTACCTACCTAAGCACCTTTCCTTAGAGAATTCTAGTCCTTTAATTTTCTATAAATAATTATTCTACCGTATTAGTTCCCTATAGAAGATTTAGTTTACGTTGTCCAACCGATAGACCTCCTATCTTCAGGATCTCTATTACCCGCTTTTTGACGACCAAGGCATATCTTCTTTATCTATCTAACAAAGCTTAGCTTAATTACGTTATATTACTAACGAAGCTCTTCTTATATTTAAGATACGCTATAGAAATATCCCTGCTTATCAATTTACCGAAGAAAATATATTAGCTTTCAATAACGACGGCCTAATCCCTATTTACTTTACCAAAACCAAACCAAACTTACCTAATCAAGAATAGCACGTAAAGCGTAGTACCACTGGTAATATCACATTATATTTTAACGTCTTTCCTTAAAATATAGATATCAAAACACCGATCAGTCTACGTATCGACATATATCATGACCAGGGAGGCCTCACTAGTAGTAGGAGATAGTTCCTCCCCTGACCTACAGTAAATCAAATATAGCATAACGTCGTTGAGTAGGATTTATCACAAGCACCACCAGGCACATATACTATATAGTCTTATGGCGAGGGCCCAAGGCCTATCTCCAGAGACGGGGACCCTATAACAGTTACAAATTCGGTCTTTATAGTTAGACCCACCAAGAGTTACCCTAATCTAGCACCTAATAAGTAACCCCTTACTGGTGCGAATATTAACTAGTTTAGGGAACTGCCCGATAATATTCGTTATATCAACAAATATAACGTGTCATTTTTTCACAAGCTTGCCGCCTTCTTTCAGAGTCAAAGCACCTCATATAGCATCTTTATTAGGCGAGTGATAAGAGGGTATAGGGGAAGCTTATATCTGGAAAGCTATATATTTAAATACAATAATAAGATCTGCTATAAAACAGAGGAAGAGATTATCTCTCTCCTCTCCCATGAAATAATTCATAGCTTCTTATTAATAGATCTCGAGGATAATGGCTATGATAATAGGTGGTATATTGAAGGTAGCAGCCCGTATCCTATCTACTGAAATCTATTATACTCAAACTGTTTAATAAGCCTCGCTAAGTTTTATTGCCCTATCACTTTGGCCCTCAGGGCTTTAAGTACCTTATGAGCAGATTAAATACGATATTATAAGCTTATAGTACCAGCCCACAAGTTTATATGGATATAGTCGATTCCTAGAACAGTTTCTATGATAATTAGTACGCAGAGATAATACCTTATACCCGTAGCTACACATACCTTCTCTAGATCGGTAGTAGCCTAAGAAGAGCCAGCAGTACATTTAGATTTAATAAGATAAGTCTCCTAGACATTATCATTATCGAAATAAGTTACCAATAGTAAAAAGGAGAAAAGCTCCAGCTATCTAACTGGCTGATATACTTACAGCCGTACCTGGGAGATATATCTCAAGAATTCTGAGCTATACTTCGAGGCGCAAATATAGACTTAAAAGATATAGTGATAGCTTATAAAGACTAGATCTTGGCCACCTCAATACAGGAAATTTAGCAATTCGGGCTAGACAAATCGAGTACCAGTAGACGCATTATGTCTGGGCTTGTACAAGGATCAAGAGCCGCCATTGCAGGCCTCAGAGATAGAGATAACATCCTGTCGACGTCCCGGGCAGGCCTCTGTATGATATCGTTAAATACAAACTTTGAAGTTTGTATCAAGAGAGCCGGTCAGAAAATGCAAATCTCGTATTAGCCGCGCTCATTTTCAAAGGCTCGGGTTTATTACTTGATATTCAGACGGGGCGAGGTTCATCACAAATAATACAGACCCCCTCAATCCTGAATTTCGCGTACCAGTCAAGCGGAACTCAACAGGAACGAGCATAAATATAGACACAAAAATAGAAGCTATCTTCATTTATAGTGATTTCAAGCTGTCAGCCTTTGATTAAAGAAACAGGGTAAATATAGCAAGAGGATAGAAGGGAAAGTAAAAGTAAAAGCACTCAGAGCAAAAGAGAATAAGATCTTCTTCCTTTTACACTTTTTCATGTAATGAGAACAAATAGGGGCCAAGATAGGTACAGGTGACAGGAGCAAACACTCATTCCGAATGTTTCCTTCAGCCGCACACTTCGACCTCCAATGTCTAACTTCAAGTTGAAATTGGCCGACTATTCGCTGCCTCACTCTCAAAGGCGGGGTAGGTTTGCTAACCGCGTTTGATGGGCTGTCTACGGAGTAACCCCTCAGCAGATGAATAGCGTCCTTCTTTTCTCAGCCTTGTTGAGAATGCTACATAGTGAATTATCTATGGAATACGAATCAAGATACTTTATTCTGTGTGGTCTTGGTGATGTGAGCTACATCAATAATGAGGCTTAGCTGCATATAGCTGCATAATATGGCTGTAGCCTGCATGTATGCCCAATTCATGCAGAAGTATTACAACTTATGTCTGCCTTGCTACACTGCGATGTGTACAGCTGAGGCGGGGCTAGGTAAATGATCAGTTTGCTGCTTTAATCTTAATATAAAACCGTGTTCGCTCTTGTATTGAATTAATTGAATCAGCACACTCTTCCATCAGCCTGCAACATTTGAATTTGTCTGAACAACTAAGCCAAGGTAGTACGGACCGTGATTGATAAATTCTATTTACTATGACTGTATTAATTTAAATTATTAGATCTACAACCAAACTACCACTATATTATCCGAATTTCTATCTACCAATATATCTATTGAAGCTGTAGGCTGGTCTATCACTGGAGCAGGCGTTACTATATTGGCTGTTAGAGGGAGTGGTGGAATCTTGTTGTAACTCGAAGTGTTCAAAAATGATAATTTGAGTAATGTGGAGCAAGGCAGGGCCTCTGAGGTTATGCATCTTGCAAACGAAATCAAAAATGTCCGGATAAACGAAGCTGGCATTATGAAATGGGCGCAATGGCACAGGTTGTAACTGTCTCTACTGCCTCCCTATGCCAACGAATTTACACGGTTAGCAGTCAGCTTTCCAGCATTTTGTGATCTTTAAGTTTTCAAAATATCCTGTGCGCTCTATAGTGTTGAAGTTAATGAGGCTATGAAGGTAAAGTCTATAAGGGTACAACAAGCAATACAACTAGATTGTTAGGTTGTGTTTATACTAGCTCTAACTATTGTGATACTTTTACCTCTTTTCCTCTGTATTTTCCTATGCTATCATTACCGACCTGTTATGTGTTACTAACTAATTACTACTTATGAGTGGTTGGTCAGTTGGTAGACTTACCTTGTTGTATGTAGTCACTCAAACCTACTTAGGGTAATCCTTATGCATTAACTCTCAATCATCCTGTTGCTTGTGCTAAGCCTTGTGTAGGCTAATATCCTGTTAAGTAACTTTGGAGGATATGTCAGTTGAGTGTGTCAAATAGATCAGTCCAGAAAGCTTCTCTACTTGTAGAGTTGTAGTTGTAATTATACTGTATAGAAGTGAAGGTGTACTCAAGCAACTTAGATAAGATTGATCACAAAGAACTAAGTATATGTGTGAGAAAAGAGTTTTTTATATATCTAGCCCTTTGTATACTCATGTGTCAACTCCCTTGAAGTCACTCTCAGGGTTACTCTTGGAGTCACCCCTACTCTCTGTAATACTTTTGTTGGGGTAGTTGGACGATGGCGCGTTCGAGAAGGATGTAGCATTCAAAGAAATCAATTTTGAACATTATCCCTGCGTGTAAGATTGTGTCTGGTTCGGTATTAGTGGTGGATATGGATATGGATGTGGTCATGTCTGTGTCTGGAGGGATGGTCGCGAGACGGTATGCTTCTGCGAGGAAGGGGAGTTTCCAGCGGATTAGTGAGACAATTTTCATGAAGCAGGCTAGTTTTTCGTATGGAAGGAGGTGGTGTGGTGTTGGGTCGGGGTGTTGCGGCAAACAAACGCGCTGTAATCGCTACACAGAAAGTACCTGAACAGTTTCTAATTCGATCACTCTATTCATAATGGAAAGTAAGAGGTAGAAGCTCAATGAACTGATTGATAAACATAGAACAGGAAGGTAGAAGGGTAGAGAGGATAGAGTTGGTTGAGTTGGAAAGTGCAACCAACCAAGGTGAAAGTATCAAAACAAGTCTTTGCTGCAACCCCGATGTAGTCTTTCTTTTCCGGCCACATTTTATTTGAAGAGAGGTGAGTTTAATGTGAGCTTGAGGCTTTCAATATAAGCTAATATTTGAAAAGCTCTATATGTTTTTTTGTCTCTGGCCTCCTTTTTACGCCTGCTTATCGTGAGTTATACTATTGGTAGTTTGCCTTGTATACTAACTAATATGGAACAACTTGAATAAAGCAAACGACGATCCGGCCCAGACCCTCTCAATCCCGACCAGCAACTCCAGTTAGTGCTAAAATATACACAAGTTACGTGATGGTAAGCGAATTCTAATCTTCTAAAGGTACCCTGCAAGTCTGCTTTCGCCTATTACCTCCGAAGTATGCCAAAGTACAGTCCTATCTCTGCACCACTACGACAAGCATTGATTAAATGCTTTCGAGCAACCACCTGCCTGGTTCGCCCTGAACTACGTCGTCAACTCGTCTTGGTTGGCGGTGCTGCCAGCATTGCCCATGACTCGGTTTTCTACACTGAGGACGTGGATGTTGCGGCCCCGAGCGATGTCATCTACGATATCTGCAAGGGAGTGATGGACGGCGCCCTCAACTTTTCTCTCGAGCCCGACGGCAAGATTGCGTTCGATGGTAGCCAAGGTATTCGTGTCCGAGTCGATATCATCGAGATCGGAGACGCTATCGAACGAATCCACGTAATAGAGCCTTTTTTCGAAGGCTCTGTCGCGTCCATGTCGGACTTGCTGAGACTGAGGGCCGTGACGGTGGTTGAACGTGGGAGTGATGGAGAGGCTGATGACTTTCGATGGCTACTGGCGGAGGTGGCGAAGGCAGGACAGCTTATCCCAGGGCTAAGCCAAGAAGAACTGGAATATATGCGTGAAGCCGGGAGGTCATGTCTGGGAAGATTGGATCGTTTGGTATTATATAGTATTCTAAAGCAAGAGGATGGAAAAATCCTCTAGTTTGTATGTTTTCCTCTCACCTTTCCTTTGGCCCGATATGGTCCGTTTTGGAGGCACCTGGGTCTCTCCCTCTCTCTTTTTTATATTTTTTACTTTTTTCCTCCCTTCTTTTTCCACTAAAATACATTATTGTATTCATTTTTGGCCTTATATGAGTAGTACTAAGTGCAGTAAATAGGTATATTTGATAACATGATAAAGTACCAGTGCCCATACAATTCAATTCAATCCAAAGCTCAATTAAATGCAGCCTACTAACTCAGAATGTAATGGCTATGCAGGCGTTACCTCCGTCGGTAACCAGAGCCATGCAAACGACACGTATACAATGTAATAAAATAAATGAAAGCTGGCCGTAGCTATGTAAAAGAATATAATAAACCCAGCAAAACTGTCGTGAAACCCCACAATTTAATACTCGCCACCTGGGCACTACTGCCAGCTCACAGTAGACCCTATGCGGCCACATCCCATATAGCTCTCTAGCACTTACAACAGCTCCAGGTCTTCGATCTTCTTCAATCTGTGCCGAGATCTTCTATTTAGTCTCTTGTGGATTCACCAATTGTCGTTCGATATAACCAGCGTCTTCATGCCCTGCTTTAAGCCCCCGTCAGGACTTTATTGTTCATTAGCCTCCGGATCTACCGCTTCGTATATCACGTCGCGGAACTGGCCCATAATGCCGATTTGATGCATGAATTCGCCCAAGTAGTGAATGGCCGGCGGGTGTGATATAATGGCATTGTAGTAATTGAATTGCCCTGGGTACCCTCACTAATGCACTGCATAAGCCTGATCAGATCCACAGGCGAGCTCATTCCATTTGTTTATGACACGTTTTCTTGCAGATCTACCAACACCATGCTGGTGAGAGATCTAGCTCCACGATCCATGCTGGTTGTATTGGTAGAGCTTTCTCCCCTTCAATTGCAGCATTCACAAAAAGGGTCTGCCAGCCCATCTTGAGCGGGCTTGGATCAGAACAACAATGGCTGGTGGAGAAAACTCCCGCGGGAATTTTGGCTATCTTTTTCCGCATTGTAGATAATTTTTCTATTGTCATAGATCTCTCATTGTCGATATCAGTCAAATGCGAAGGCTTGGCACTCGGTTTCTGGCGCCAAGTAATGAGCTTGGCTCCCCAGCCTTCATGGATGTGACCAAAGCAGTGCATACGAGGCCGAGCTCGGGCTATCGCTTCGAAAAGGAGAGGGCACCCTGCTCGCTCAGCCGAGTAAGTCATATCCATTACACCTTTCGGAGGACCATGGGTAATAGCAACATCGACATTATGAATTGAAAAATCATGACCGTGATCAGGGTGGTATTGGAATCCCCAATCACCTAGCGAGGGCGTGAATGGGCTGGCATAGACTCTCAAAATCGCGCCATTCCCTAATCGAAATTCGTGAGTCCCTTCGTCAAGGAAAGTAATTCCAACTTCTCGGTCAAATAACTTTCTCGCCTCGCCTTCGTAGCCATACGTCTGTTGGACCAGGGTGGGATCCAAAGGTGGTTTGACACTAGCCACTTTTCTTTGGAAGGCAGGAATATCCATCGTGAAGTCATGGTTTCCAGCTATTGCAATTTTGAGCGGTGCGTTGATGGTATGGAGGAGGCGAATAGAACCTTTGTATTCCTCAAGCTTGGACTCTGTAGTCAGGTCTCCACAGTGGATGACGACGTCTACAGAATGGTTCGGGGTATCTTTAGCAAGCGTCTCGAGGCCATGTGTGTCGGAAATCACGAGAAACCGTGTTTTGACAGGGCGCTGGCGATCTGCCATCGTGAAGTGAAATATTGAATAATTTAAGCGATGTGAAGAAATTTGGAAAATTAAGAAAAAGGAACGAGTTCTGGTTAAGTCACCTTTGAACTTGAATGCTGTAGCAGCAGCAAGGAGCGCGATCTATCGTGTGAAGAGATGAATGGTAAAAAGCGTGTATTATGCAGGAAGCTACATAGGTAACTCTACGTAGGGGATTTCCTATGACGGGTGGGGCCTTCCCCCTTTGACTGCCGCCGCTTTAGTGAGGACGCTCAGACTCAGACTCACTGAGTAAAACTCAGTCCGGGCTCAGAGTCAGTGAGCTGTAGTAAATCACGTGACGGGCGCTCAGAGTAGACCTCGCCAAACGCGGGTTTGGGTTGGGTTTTGAATTTCCTTACCCGCCCACGGGCAGCCCACCGCGGGTTTTGGCCTTGATGAACCCGCCTACGGGTTCTTGGCGGGTACCCGCGGGTTGCCCAAAATACCCAAAAATATGCATAAATCGTGGATAAACCTGATTAGTCACCTAGTGTAATTTTGGTAATTTATCTCTGTCATGCTTTTGGGTGGATGTTATACTGAAACAATAAACGCTATTGACCTGGAAATATATATTCTCTATATTAAAATCACCGCCCTTACTACTTCACCTACATATCCGAAGGGACCATAGGCCGCATCGATGATTTTATACAGATTTATCGATTCAGAATCTTTTAAATGAGCTCAAAATTATTATCTGATGATTTAAATCAGTGATTTGGACCTTCTCAGTAGCCTTCCCAAAGTCATATTCATCTCTGGGCGGGTTTTACGCAACTCAGGAATAGATAGATCCAAACGCACGACGCGAGTCAACAAAATCTACAACCAAGCGCTCAAGATAAAAAAAAAATCCTTTCTAATATGCACAACCTATTCCTTCAGTATAGTGTCTTCTTCCTTGTCATCGCGATCAATACACCAGTCTTTCAGTCCTCTGCTGTCTATTAAGCCGTTATCTGACGCTTTCTTGGACTCTGACATTCAATCCTCTGTAAGAGAATAAGCCCCTCCCATTGGCCTCTGAATGTCATAAGTTGACCTCTGTATATACTAAGATAGACTGTAGCCTTTCAGTAGACCCCGCATAACCTACGACAGAACCTCTCGAAGACCTCCAGCGACACTCAGGTATATAGGACCTCAATACAGAAAGAAATGGATTGCGTATGAGTCATATCTAGAGAGAGAGTTTCTTGAATAGTGGAATGGAACGGAGTACGGCCAAAAGCTGAACGGAGATGGCCAATCCCGAATTAAATGGTCCACCGAATTACGTCACGCTGAGGCGTGGAAACACTTTGACCAAGTGGCTGATATTGATTCTGGACGTCCTCGAGTTATCTGCCAGGCTTACCTTACTGTGCTTGATCATCCACAATATAAAGGAAATGGGATAAGCGCTATAAGTCAATACAAAAAGTCCAATACCTGTCGCAAAGGGAAGAAAAAGGGATTTCATCAGTCACTGATTTCGGATTCATTGCAGAATCATTTCACAAGGGAACTATCCAATATCCACAGGGTAACAGCAATCCAGATTAAGGAGTAGTTATTGAAGATAATTACCTGTCTCCGTTTGCCATTTCAGACAGTAGAGAATCCGGTATTTCAGAGGCTGCTTAGCCTTTTATATTCTGGTCCCAGGGAATTAGAACTCCCGTCAGCCAAAACCCTGCGAAGATGGCTCCGGGATGTAGTTACCTATCAGCAGGACTTATAGTTATAAGATCTGCCTGATGATGCTAAGGTTTCCCTTGCTTTGGATTATTGGACTAGTCCGTTCTAGCAGGCATTTATAGCTATTATGGTTTATTTTATTGATAAAGATTAGAACTATAGGGAAATGCTCCTTGGATTTAAGCTGCTGTACGGTCCTTATATAGGAAATAACCTAAGTAATGTGTTACACTAGCTACTAGAGGAACACAAGCTCCTGGATCGTATTTTTAGCGTTACTACAGATAACGCTACCAACAACGATACTATGATACGAGCTTTGCAAGAAAGACTGATCTCCACCGGCGCAATTAGCTCCAGAGAATCAATAGTCTGGGTTCCCTGTATGGCTTATGTAATCTAGCTTTGCTTGAAACAGCTCTTGGGTTATATTAGGGCAGCCCCTAAGAACAAAGAAGTAAGAACCTTTTGGTCCGATACTCAAGCAAATAGGTTGAAAGATTCGGCCAACCAGGGAGACGTAGCTTATACTCTGACAAAGGTGAGCCAAGATATTTATGTTTGTTTGTCAATATAACCGGAGCGCTTATAAAAGTAGATTCGATCCTTTGCGGTCTTTGTCAATACAAGCCTACAATGACGAGATACTTTCCTATGCCTCTAATCAGATGGTGCCCGGCTGTTTCTGTTATATAACGTTCAGATACGCTGGAATTCAACATTTTTGATGCTTCGCCGAGCACATCGGCTAAGAAGTATAATCGATAAATATTGCCGCGATTATGAATACTTGTAGTTCAAGGTTACTGATGTTAAATAGAGATAAATTAACTACCTGGTTCATTTGACTAAACCGTTCTTTCAGTTCACTATGGCTCTGATAAAGACCAGAGATATTATAATCTATAGTGTGCTCCTTGTGTACAGAAAACTACTTAAGTATATTAAACGGTCAAATCGAAAACTGAAGAGAAAAGCAATACCCTAGAAAAAAGATATGTACGGTGCGTTGCTTATTGTAAGGCAGAAGTTGAGAGAGTATTATAAAAAGACTTACCGTAATTACAGTTTTCTCTATAGTACTGGAACGTTACTTGCTCCTCAGTATAAGTTAAGTACTTTCGATAATAGAGAGTACTCTACTTACTACGAAGATACGTTAAAAAGGTACTGTGAATATTTGAGAGCATCTTTTATATAATATCAGCAGCAGAACCCTGAGTTATTATTCCGTACAGTGCAACGGTCTTCTACTTTGTATAGCACAGAGCTTAATCAGCTTCTTGAGCTATCTAATACAAATATATTCTATAAAGGGGTAGAATATAATGAAGTAGATCAGTATCTTAGAGAAGGTACGAGTAATTGACATACTATACTGGAACGACTGACTAACCCTGTATAGCGAATGTCCCTGTATTACTATGACTTTATTAGAAAGAGCATAAGCGTAAGTTCCCAGTGCTCTCTCGGCTTGTATAAGATTTGCTTTTAGTCCTGGCCACCGGTGCGGGTATAGAAAGGCTTTTTAATAGTGTACAAGATATTTATTATTATCGTCGAGGATCTCTTTATAAGGGGACCATTTAGGATTTGATAATGTATATATGCTCAGAAAGGCTTACACTAGAGGGGCAGCAATTAATCTGTTTAGAGAAACCGTTAGAGAGCGACAGTTAGGAGGCAGTCGAAGAGGATAAAGCGTTGAGAGCAATTGAGGAGGATACAGCGCCGATTAGCGAGGATAAGGAAATTAAAGAGAGCGAGAATTTGGAGGGTATTTTTGAGTTAGAGGAGCTATATTAAGTAGAGTATACGCTGGTAGAGACTGACCGGACCTCTATATACAGCCAGACTCCTGACCTTGAATAAGAGGAAGAGAGTATAGAGGAGGACGATGAGTCAGATTTACTTCTACCTTAAATTACGCAATTGAGTGGTGACAGGGGCCAGAAGAGATCTTCTGGTCGGGTAACAATGCCCTCAAGCAGACTGCGAGGTTATGAACTATACTAGTCCTTGTAATCAGCCAATTTTATTGTTTGTTTTAAGCACATTATACTCTTCCAAATATATTCAGTCATAGACCAGCAGTTATACAGTCGGTACCATTAGATAATCGAAAGTTACTGCATAATCTAATGTAAAATGCTATGTCAACCTTTTTTGCTTTTTTGGGTAATCGCGGGTACCCATTTGGGTCTTGGGTTGGGTTCCCTATATGACAACCCGCCCACGGGTTTGCTGACTAAGACCCAACCCGGCCCATGGGCTGGGTTTTCGCGGGCGGGTTTTGGCGAGGCCTACTTCTACCTGGTTACTGCTGCACTTTCCTCATCCTTTCCTCGTATAATTTTCAAGGATTTATAGTGGATTATATATTGATCTAGGCATTCAAAGTTGAGGGCTATTATTCAGTACTTTTCGAAATAATCTATACCAGCTCACTCTTTTGACTTAAATTTGGGGAAAAAAAGTCCGAGGTGAGCCAAGCCGATTTAGGTCACCGCATTGAAGTTACGGCAGAATGCCAAGCAAAGGCTAGCCGAACCAGTAAATCCCCCGCCAAGACGACAGCGAACTGCAAGTCCCATCGGACACATTTAAGCGAGGCATCGCTGGCAGCCTTTAATTTGGTACCATACACCTAGGTATCTACTATCTCTCGAATCTCATATTTCCTTAACCCTGGGGCGTTCTATCGGAAATCTTCCTAGGTTGGAAGCATGGCGTCGGAGCTTTTCCATGACAACTCATGGACGACACCATGGCAATCACCCGAGTTCCCCCCCGAGGAACTCCCCCATGAGAGAAGAAAAAGATTTCAAACAAAACCGGGATGGAGATCGGGTTGGAATGGCCATCTTCCTCGATTTTTCCAGTTTCACTCGAGGGGCATCGGCGGTTGGCCGTGGGGCTTTGTTATCTATCGCACAAGCTTTGAAGCTACATCTGACCAGGACTGGGCTGCTGTGATTGCAAAGATTGATCGGTACTGCTACACCTCAATGGGTCCCATTCCGAAAGGATTCGAGCGTCTGTTCCCACCCCAGCCAAATATTCGTGAACTTGTTTGCGAGGGCTATCGAAATGTGATTGTCGAGGATCCAAAGCTAGAATTTGCCTCGATTGAAACCATTCGCAAACGACATATTGAATGGGCCGAGGGACAGGGCTACTCCCGTCATATTGGCAGACCTCGATTTGACTATTGCCTTGTTCTGGATGACCGCTCTATACGGTCGATTTTGGCAAGTTCAGAGCCAAAGAGTAATGCATCTGATTCTGGTTTAGTCGGATACGTTAATGTGATCGACTGTGACTTTGACCCAGAGGATCCTGAAAATGAATGCTCGGAGTTCTATGATGGGTCACTAAGAATTTGCTTACGCGATATTTTCTCCTTTGCTCTATCTTGTGAAAATCTCCAGACAGGCGAACAACAATGGGGAGACTGGGGAATGGAAAATCCCGGAAACGTTATCTATACAGATGGACATTCATCGCTTATTGAGAAGCAAGATGTGTTTCTCTGTCCATCTGATTACAACATCTTTTCCCGCTTACGAGAACCTAAATTGCCAAGAAACCCGACCATCACCGAGTCTGAGTATCGTGAACGGCAGAGTTCTATCACAATAGAAAGTCAAGCCGCCTGATTCATGTTCATGTTTCATTTGAACCAGAGAAGAATGAACCTATTTGATCACAGATTTTGTATTTCGAACTATTCATGGATCGATTGGAACAACCTAGAGGGGTTGGTATTTTTTGCTGAGAGAATTTCCAAATAAATTAGCTAATTGAGGCCTTGAAGCTCGAGATCATCCATGTAAATCTCCCCGACGTGGCTCTCCAGCTCTGTAAGAGCATCGCGGACCGCACGAGCCCGGTCATTCCACTCAACACTGGCCCCTGGATCTTGGGTCCATCTAGTGTGCATTTGCTCAATCGCTTCATTGACAAAAACGTGGCCTGTAGCTACCATTTCACATCTGATGTGTATGTTGGAGACTCAGAGGAATGGTAAGGCTACTTCCCTGTATTCCAGTGTCTCTAGAACTATTGAACCTTTGAGACTCGGGAGATATCTTTATTTGAGTCCACAGTGACAGTGCTAAAACAATCATCCAGGTACCTTAACACAAACAACTTCCTGCGCAGCGTTCGTAACTTCAAGATGGACATTACTCGCACTGACCCCAATGCTTATGTCTGTGCCATCCACTGGCAAGTCGCCCAAGGAACCACACTTGAGAACATTGACTTCTATATGTCTCAAGTAAATGGAAATACACAACAGGTACCATATCTTTATCGTTTTCTCGTCATATACCCTGGCTGACATGAAAAAGGGTATATACATGGAGAATGGAAGCGGAGGATTCATGGGCAATCTCACCTTTGTGGGTGGAAACTTCGGGTATGAATTGGACTCGATCCCACTAAGACATGATTCACTCTAACAATAGAAAGGGCCTACCTTGGAAACCAGCAATTCACTACAAGCGAGTTAGTATTCGTGAATTGCAAGACTGCTGTTCAAGTCCACTGGGATTGGGCGTGGACGATGCAAGATGTTGTCATTGAGTCATGCGGAACCGGAATTGTTGTTGTTGGAGGGGTACGTATTACTGTCTTGTTCTCTAGGTCTCTTTTTTTGCATCATCCCTCTAACCCTGACTAGGCTGGTGGCTCAATGAGTGATGGTCAGTCCGTCGGGGCTTATATCCTAGTTGATGCTATCATAGCCAACACCGCGACCGGAATCCTCACATCCTCATACCAAGACAACTCTACAGCGGTCCTTCTACAAAATGTGGGGTTTTTCAATGTCCAGAAGGCAATTGTGGCAGACACTCGCACCGAGCCTCTCCTAGCCGGCGGGGATGAAGTCATGCTCGACACTTGGGGCTTTGGCCTCTACGCCGACAATAGTGGGATGCACTTTGCGCAGCAGACTCAACTGCCATCTCTTAATCGCAAGAGGTCATTAACGGGCAGCAAGTCCTATGTTGATGGAACCTTCAATTTCTTCACTAGGCGCCGTCCGCAGTATTACGATCTTGGTGGTGGGCAGGTATTTGATGTGAAGGCCTACGGTGCAAAGGGCGACGGTGTCACAGATGACACGGCGGCTTTGAACAGCGTTCTGTCATATGCAGCGAATATGTCTGCGATTGTTCATATTCCGTATGGTGTTTATGTGATCAAGGATACTGTTCATGTACCTCTCGGATCCCGAATCATTGGTCAAGCCTGGCCGCAAATAATGGCAATGGGTATCAAATTTGAGAACATGGAGAGTCCCCATGTGGCTGTTCAGGTTGGAAACGAGGGGGATATTGGAGTTCTTGAGATTCAGAATATGATGTTCACTACATCTGGGCCTACAGCTGGGGCTGTTCTTATGGAATGGAATGTTCATGAATCCAGTCAAGGTTCCGCCGGACTTTGGGGTACGTACTAACTATCCCACATGTCACAAAACATCTGCTAACAATAAAAAGGATTCCCATTTCCGGGTTGGTGGCGCTATCGGATCCCAGCTTCAAGCAAATAAGTGCCCTAAGAAGGCTTCGTCGCTTCACAAAGACTGTGTTGCTGGGTCACTCATGCTTCGCATTACTAAACAGGCTTCGGCCTATATGGAGAATATTTGGGCATGGGTCGCAGGTCACGATATGGACATAAAGTCGCAGGATCAAGTTGACGTCTACGTGGCGCGAGGTATTCTCGTGGAGAGCCAAGGTCCCACGTGGATGTATGGTACAGCGTCTGAGCATAGTGTGTTATATCAGTATCAGATATCTGGAGCTAAGGACTTGGTTATGGGGATGATTCAAACAGAGTCTCCTTATTTCCAGCCTAGTCCTCCAATGCCGGAGCCTTTCACCCTTGGAAGATTCCCGAATGATCCCGTGGATGTTGATTGTGAAACATGCACATCCTCCTGGGCAGTGAGAATAGTGGACTCGGAATCTATATCCATTCTGGGGGCAGGTATGCTTTTGATCCATCTGCAAACAACTTCAAAATCATCGACTGACATCTTTGCCCTCTCTTTCCAGGAATCTACAGTTGGTTCCGGTCATACTCCCAGGACTGCTTGAAAACAAACAATTGTCAAGAAAAGGCTTTCTATGTTGAGCAAAGTAGTGGAATCTGGCTGGTTAATCTTGTGACAAAAGCAATTGTTCAATCCATCAGCCCTCTTGGTGAAACAGCGATTTGGTCCAAAGATTCGAGAAACGGATATACCTCGTCGTTGCTTGGCTGGTTCCGCGCGGAGGAAAGTGTCATCGGCAGGCGAAACTTCACCGGATTCTACTTGTATGAGGATCAGTATGATGGGAATTTCCTGAACACGCTTCCATCATCTTGCCAATCTGCGCTCACGCAGGTGGTTGACTGTCCTGATAAGATTCAAGGGTTCCAAGTTGCTAATTGGCAAGGTGGGTTTGAGAATGATACACTCAGTAAGCAGGTGTGCTCCGCTGAATGCGAAGTCTCTATCAAGTCATGGTTCAGCCATGTCACCGAAAACTGCGCAGGTGTAAATCAGACCTCCTTCCCCTTTAATTCTAGGGGAGGTAGGCTCTGGGCATCATGGAATCAAACTTGTGTTCAAGATCCTGCTACTGGGAAATATTGCGGTGGTAAGTTGGGTGGCTATATCCATTTTTTGCGGAAAGCTGCTAACTTCAATTACTCGGATATTAGATGTCTTGAACAAACAAACTTCCTGGGACGAATCAACTGATGAGCTTTGCTCGTTCTGTAGAGTGGACCGTTACAAAAAGATGCAATCCACTCCATACTCCTACTACAGTGAAACCTGGAAATTGCAACTGGAAAATATCAACTCCAAGTGCGGACTCAATGTGCCTACTAATATCCCGGATCCTTTGACACCTACCATTGATCCCTATGAGCCCACCACGGAATTCTGTCCCTCTGATGTGACTTATACGTCCGTGAAAGGAGACACCTGCGACTCAATTTCTCGGGCTCACCAAGTTGCGTCTGCTGCTCTGTTCATGGGCAACGTCAATTTGAAGAACTGCAACAATATTCCCTCGGGAACAAAACTTTGCATCCCATTCCAGTGCAGCCATATCTATAATCTCCAGTCAAACGACACCTGCAGCTCCATTGAAATAACGCAGAATGTCGGGTACCAAGATGGTCTTACTCTAAAGAAGTACAATCCGTGGCTTAACAACCAGTGTAAAAACCTGCATATGAACAGTGATGTGGCTTACGGGCATGTCATTTGTCTCGGTCCGCAGGCTGGAAATTCAACGGGAGACGCTCCAGATACAGACACCACGACGCCGGACTACAGCGATGGCTACGCCATTCCAGAAATTCCTCCGCCCGACAATGTACCCGTTGCTAATGAAACAACTCTGCGGTGTGGTAAGTGGCACGTTGTTACGAACAAACAGCTTCAAGAGACTTGTACGACAATTTGTGTTCAGGAATCGATACCTTGGAGTCTATTCCTGGAGGTCAATCCATCGTTGAGTGCAGAGAGTTGCAACTCTAAGTTGCTTGTTGGGACCGCATACTGTGCAGGACCTACATATGGATGGGATTTTCACTTTGATGGGGAGGATGATGAGTTATAAGGGGCAGAGCTTGATTTTGAAACATGATAGATTCGTCGAAGATGTTGATATACTTAGGTACAATATACAAGTTCAAAATGACCACTATTAGCAGCTATCATCTCCAGCAATCACCAGAGCACTTTTCATATCTTAAAAGTCCAGGTGGCTTAGTAATTGTTTGACCGTTCAGCGATGGCTATCAATGAACTGGCCCTTTCTGGGCTCTATATTCCCCTTCCTAGCTGTATCTGGTACATACTAAAAGCTGCCAGTAGTCAAAGAGCCCTGGATCTTATAATAGCGTCAAGTTTTATGTTAGGGTGAGCGCGGGTGATATGGGTGAGAATTCTGGAGACTGGGGTGAGAGAGGTGAGAACGGCGTGAGAGCGGGTTAGAATACCCGCTGCGATGTGATGCTCTCTCCTAATATATACAATAATAGTAGTTGATGAATGAAAATCCGAGGGCACTAGTCCAGTCTGCTATTCTAAAATATATCTTTTTACCTTGTTAGTCGATATATAATTTTCAAGAAGTTCTCTAAAGAAATACAAAAGAAGCTGGACAAGAGGATAATACTATCTGCTATAAGTAGCCCACCCCAGCTATACCCCGAAACTACTAGTACAAGAAACAAGTATTAAATTAGATACTGTTGGTAATCATCAGGTAAGGTGCAAAGAAAACACAGGTGACATATGGGCAACAAAGACGCATTATGAAATCGGTATCTGAGCAAGCGCTATTCCAATTCTAAGCGCTATAAAATGCTGGTGATACGTGGAGTCTGGCTTGTATAGAAATGCAGATCCCAATACATAAGCTACCCAACAAGTCCTGATTTTTACATAATTGCGCAGAAAGGGTCAGGTTGACAAAGCGGATCAGGTTCGCATTCTGGCTTGTAGGCCTCCGGCCTTTTTTCTTTGCACCTGACATGCCTTGCATGACCTATTTGTGCAGAGCGAGCTGGAAATGTATGTTCAATGGGATTCAGCGAGAGCTCAAACTTTTCTTGATCTTTTGGATCTGGCCGGTTAGAGCTGCAGTCAAAATTAGCTATTAAGATCACTACATACGTAATGCCCTGGCAGGTGAAAACAGTTACTGAAACAAAAATGAAGGAGGCTCGGGCACAGGGATGATTCCCGAGCCTACTCATCATTTATTTCTGGCGGTCAATGTATTGGACATATATAAATGGGCCAAATAGGCGGGCGTACGTGTCATTGGAACTGCAAATGGCGATGGCGGCCAATCGACCAGCCAAGTTCTCCTCTCCACGATTAGCCCTGTATTGGTAATAGCGTACAGCCATCGCGAAAGCCAAAGTCAAACCACCCTAGAGTGCGTCATCACTTATTTACACTATTCATCTTGTATTTCTCCTCAAGAAGGCTAAGCGCCGAGTTTCATCAGAATTAGGGACCAGAGCCAAACCTAAGACACCATTTCACTTGACATGGATATTCACATCGATTCTCCGCCTGAATATCGGGCCCAAGACCCTGTCATAACTGCAGCACTGTCGGAGGGCAACGAGCCGGTCATCATGGATATATTTCGTTACGCAGACCACCAATACCGTATCTATTCAGGGGATCACTCCTTGAAATTCCATGCTCAATCGCATCCTCAGAGTCCCACAAAGCCAAGCTAAATTGTTTATGAAAGTGGGACTAATGCGCCCAATGGAGCAGTGGCCCATTGTCAATTCATCGAAAAAAAACAGTCTCAATGACATTGGTTATGCAAAAAGTCCTAGTGGCAAATCATCTATTTCGTGGTGGTCTGATATGCATCAAAATACACCAATCTCTATCCAGTACCGATTCACAACGTTGGTGCATTTCCCACCACAGGCAAATGGTAATTTGTCCAATGCAAGCGGTCCCCGACTCTTCATCTGGAAACGTAAATCTAGGCTGATGCCAGTGGATGAAGAGACAGATACAGTGGTTGCCTTAGTCCACGATATTACGACTGTTTCAACTAAATGCGGGACACTACAAATTCTAGTGCCCTTCGGCGATAATTTTAGCCTCACGGCTTTGACTACTTTTCTTACAATTTGTGAGAAGTTACAGAAGGATTCTAAGCGTTAAATGATTATCCAAACTGTTACATCCACTATATGAATCGTGCCTTTTTTCGCGAGGTCCTCTGATGAATCCCACAACTTGTTTATAAAGATGAGCCAAATGAGGCATTACCATATATTATAGTTCAGAAGCATGTGTTGTAGCTTAGAGGTATAAACCGAGATTTATTGCGATGATTCGGCTTAGTTCCTGATCTACACCAGTCTCATATCACAACACTGTTGGATGGAATGTTTTACAGATTGAGCAGATACGACATGAGATGCAAGGTGAGTGGGCGAGGGTCCGGAGGAAAGCCTGATCAGGAAAACAAGGGAAGGGCACTGAGATAGAGTGTCTATAGTAATAATGAAGTGTTTCAACCACCGGACTATTAGAGCAGCTATTTAAAATACAGACAGCGAAGTTTCGCCTCCGTATTGTAAAATACAATGTTTGTTCTAGAAAGCGGCCTGGGGCCGGAGCTGCTGAATATCATTCAATCAAATCAAGCTGCAAGAGTGTCGAGTTATAGCTGATTTCGAAAACTACTATACTACGTCGATCCAAGACAGTGGATGCTGTGTTGGACTTTGCGGAGACGTCACAACGGTTTCGAAGTCGGGCGCCAAGCGGGCAGCTTAATAACGAAACGGCAACTAGGCCACGACAGGCCTCGGCGAGGCTCTAAGTTCCTTCAGGAAGAGGACTCTGAACTTGTACGTACACGGATTTATACAGTAGTGGTAGGCTGCATATCGTTCGTGAGGGTTCAGCGTAAATGAAATCATCCATCCATCCATACTGTACTACGTTCATCATCATCATCATTACTGTACTACGTTCAATCATATGAACGGATTCAATTCCGTAGTGTTGCCCGTTTCGTAAACATTGGGCCAGAAAGTTAGATACGATGATAAAAGATAGTAGCCATTCAAGGCCACTAGTAGTATACAGCAGCCTAGACCGAAGCTGTGATACACACTTGGCAATGATCTCTGAGAAAGAACGAACGACCAAGCGCTGGAAAAATACATACCGATGGAACCAGTAGCCGAGGTAAGCATATTCAATCTGAAGAACGTATGTGAAAGTATCGCAAATCAAGCCATAGTCACTAGTCAATCAGGAAATTGGGTATCTAGAAGCCAGTGCCCAATTGGCTAGATTTGAATAAGGAAACCAAAAGTTTCTCGATCAAACATCAATTATGAAATTGATTTTTTTTATTAATTTGATGCTTTGTCCAACCCCTCGCAATGCGCATAGGACTTTGTTTTCCGGCATAAAAAGCAGCGAGTGACTGCTCAATACCTACTATTGTCAATGAAAAGAGCTTTCGTCGAAAAGGCTCTACTAAACCGAAATTACGAAATTCTTCCTATTCTCATTGCTACCTGGAATTTGGGTATTCATAGCACCTTCAGGTTTCATATTTGAAGCGGTGCCCTAAACGACGGGCTACGCCAGCATATGATTGCGCTGTTTTCCTGACATTTTTTGTCTCTAGCAACAGAAACCGTTGGCACTGCCGGAAATTACGACTTGCACTCGCTATGTATAATCCTTGGGGCTTGTTACGATCTTGAGCTAATGTGAGCAATGTTAACCGCTGATACGTGAACGCACAGATCCTTTATGGAGTATTGACGTCAATGATTCTTCAGAAAATTTTTATGGATTGCTGGATATGCCTTCTTATATAGGCTCAGGCCATGACGACACTGTTGTGGAATGTGTGTTTTATCCTGCACATGACACCCTCCATGGATTACTATGGCTAGGACCGGATCCACTATCGCATGATACGTATGGAAAAGATTTGTTCAGCTACATGGCCACATTCCTTATTCAAGAGCGGGTTGACTGGATAGAACTCCGGCTCTGTATGTTAAGCTATCTCGCTGTGGAATTTGTAGATGAATACGTCTTTTTTCTACCTCGAAAAGAATCATTGATGGGTAATTTACTACGAGTGATATACGGGCTTATTTTGAAGACTCTACCCTGTCTGGAAGCAAAGCGTCACATTCAACTGGCCATTTATTCATATAGGTAATTTCTCGAGCTCTTTGGCGGAAATGGGAAGTACTTGCCCTACTGATCCTGATTATAAAAGCCCACTTGACCCTGAATGGTTTGTACTCAATATTGCCGCCAACTTTGATTGAGTTGGTTGCTTTTATCGCTCGGACTAAAGATTCACCTTTGGATCTGTAGAGTACAGTGAGATTTCAAACATTTAATCCTACTACCACATTTGTGCAGCGAAAAGCTAATCAAAGCTTTCCTGTTATTGAAATTGTACTGTATGACGCTTGTATCCTCTTGAAATTTCCTATTGCGCAGTGTCAGCCATTCTTTGCCAAATTGGAGCAAAATGTCAAAATTTAAAAATTTATGATTAGGTTACAAGCTCGTTTTGAGTGAGCCCAAGTTTTGCATTGCTCCGATATATTTTACAGCTCCGTGGACATGAAATTTAAGTACTTATATTCCTTTCGCGTTCTCTTATACGCTGCCACGTGAGGCGGTCTTTGCTAAAGAGGTAAGTTTGATCTATATAACGACGAATATAGGGAGCTCATTACTTGTCAGGACTAGCAGTCTAGGATGACGCAGAGTTTTGAGGCAAGTTACCTGGGAAAAGCTATCCAAAAGGAGAATCTAACAAGCTATAACTCGGACATAAGGATAAGAATTCCTAATCTGACTTCTTAATCATTATCTACGTATCCTTATCGGTAGCGGTTACGATTTCAAAGGTTTCGCTCTAATTAGGTCAACCGCTGCTCTTTCTAAACTGCTCAAAATCCTTTTCTGCATCTTTCTGCGAGCAATTTCTTCGCACC